ACTTTTCTGATCTCAAGGCACTCAAGGCACAAGAACCGACCATCTTGGATCTCCAATCAGCCTGCCGAGGCTTCATGCAGCGCCAACGGACGTATGACACTCTCTGCGAGATCAACGCTCAAGAGCCTGAAACAGTCGACCTTCAAGCTGTGGCGCGTGGTATGCTGGCCAGGTTGCGGATCGGTATGCAGCTCGGCCAAGTGGAAGAACACGAAGAGGCCATTTTCGAATTACAGACCTTGGCGCGTGGTTTGATAATTCGTCAGAAATTTGCAGAGAAGCAGCAGTTCTACAAGGAGAACATGGAAAAGGTCATCAAGGTGCAGAGCTTCATTCGGGGTCGCCAACAAGGTGAGGCCTACAAGAGCTTGACTAGCGGAACCAACCCTCCAGTATCAACTGTCAAGAACTTTGTACATCTCCTCAACGACAACGACATCGACTTTGACGAGGAAATCGGTAAGTGGCCATTTTCTTGCTGTTATGGCAACGTACTAACTGTATACCAGAGTTTGAACGCCTGCGCAAGACTGTAGTACAGCACGTACGTCAGAATGAGCTTGCCGAGCAGTACGTCGATCAGCTTGACATCAAGATTGCGCTGCTTGTAAAGAACAAGATCACTCTTGACGAGGTCGTCAAACATCAGAAGCACTTTGGAGGCAATGTGGGAACTCTACTCAGCAGCAAGGACATTTCCTCGAAGGACCCCTTCGATCTCAAGGCCCTCAACAAGAACTCACGCCGGAAGTTGGAGCAATACCAGGAGCTCTTCTTTGTTCTGCAGACCCAGCCCCAGTACATGGCAAGGCTTTTCAGGCGCATACGTGAACAGAGCTTGGCCGAGGGTGACATCAAACGTATCGAGCAGCTGACTATGAGTATGTTCGGACTGGCCCAAAAGCGCAGAGAAGAGTACTGGCTATTGAAGCTACTCGCCAGATCGCTGAAAGAGGAGATTGAGGGTTGCGCGAACCTCCATGAGTACCTTCGAGGCAACTTCTTCTGGAACAAACTATTCGCCAACTACATCAGATCACCACGAGACCGCAAGTTCTTGAAAGATGTCCTTGGATCTGTTATTCGCGAAAACATTATTGAGAACGAGCACCTGGATCTGGAGAGCGACCCAATGCAGATCTACCGCTCCGCTATCAACAACGAAGAGCTCCGTACTGGCCAAAGGAGTCATCGTGACCCGAATGTCTCGCGAGACATAGCACTCAAGGACCCTGAGACGCGCGCAACCTTTATCCACAATCTGCAAGATCTCCGCGATGTCGCAGACCAATACTTCACAATGTTCGAGGAAGTGCTTCACCGCATGCCTTATGGAGTGCGGTACATTGCACAGCAGATGTTCGAAGAGCTACGTTTGAAGTTCCCCTACGAAGCACAAGAGCAGCTTCTACAGATCACGGGCCACTGGGTATGGAAGGCTTACATCCAACCTGCTCTGTTGCAACCCCAGCACTGGGGTGTTGTGGACCGCGGTCTATCGCCAGTCATGAACAGAAACCTCGGAGCTGTCGCCAAGGTTCTCAGTCAGATCGCATGTGGTAAGCTGTTTGGTGGTGAAGATCTCTACCTGCAACCTCTTAACAGCTACATCACGGAGGCCATCGATCGGATGCAAGATATTTGGTCGAACATGATCAATGTCCGCGCCGCCGAGGCTCAGTTTGAGATTGACGAGTTCAACGATCTGTTCGCAAGAACCAAGCCAACACTCTACATCAAACTCGCAGATGTATTCGCCATTCACAACCTCGTCATTGACGACCTACCAAGTTTGTGTCCTTCGCAAGACGATCCCCTCCGCGAGATTGTCCGTGAGCTCGGTAGCGCGAAGAACAACGAAAACGAGCTTTTGCACGTCAGCACCAGCGAGATTACCTTGACCCTGAATCCTAAGTATCATGAGCAAGAGGGTGAGTTTTACCGTCCTGCACATCTGACAACTACTAACGTTTCCAGATCCGGACTCCGCTATCAAATCTCTCTTCATGGAAACCAAGCGCTATGTCCTATACATCATCCGCATCCAGACCGGCGCCAACCTTACCGAAATCATGACCAAGCCCATCACCCCCGACGACGAAGCCCGCTGGGACGCCCTCGTCAACGAAGAAATCATCGCCCAACGAAGAGATCGCTCACGTAAACAATCCAACATCGTCCGCTCATCCGCCGCATCAACCTACACCCAGGACATGGGAGCCAACTCTGTCCTCGACCTTGACTACCCCACTCTGAAGCAATACTGCCTAGAGAACATGGTGCAACTTCAACGCGCAGGCCGCATCTCCCACACGAACAACTACCAGGATCTTCTCAATGCCATCGCAGTCGATATCCGGACGAAGCACCGCCGCCGCATCCAACGTGCTAAAGAGCTGGAGGGTGTAAGAACTACACTCGCTGCTTTGGACGAGAAGGCGCATTTCTTGGAATCGCAGTTGAAGAGTTACAACGACTACATTGAACAAGCCATGGTGACTCTGCAGTCCAAGAAGGGCAAGAAGAAGTTCCTCCTCCCCTTCACCCGCCAATACAACCACCAGCGCGAATTGAAGAACTCGGGCCGTGAGTACCGCTTTGGTTCGTTCAAGTACTCGGCCAGGAACCTGGCCGAAAAGGGCATCCTGATCTCGTGGTCTGGATACGACGAACGCATGTGGGATCGCCTTGACATTACTATTTCGTCGAACCAGACGGGTATCTTTGAGATTCAGGGTAGCCAGGGTTCCATGATGATTCCGGGTGCTTTTGCAGAGGTGCCGCTCGATGGGCTGCTGCAGGCGCAATTTGATAATCATCAGTTCATGAACTTGTTTGGAGAGGGTGTTGGCAGTGGTGGTGGTAAGATGATTGGAAACGGAGCGGATGGAGTGGCGAGGGTTAACGTTAATTTGTTTTTGCATTTGATTTTCAAGAAGTTTTACAGGGATGGATAAAAGAGTTCACGGCTGGCTATACTTTTTTTTTCTCATCGCATGGGATAGGGTTGGGGGTGTTTGGGCGGTGTAGGAAGGTGTGTGTGGTGGGAACTGTCATACCTTGTGGTTTTTTCATCCTTTTTTTTTCTTGTGTCTTGAGATGCATTTCATGGTCGGGGAAAGGTGTTGTTGGTTACGACCATGATGATATCTTGTCCGTCGGTTGACGTCTTCTTTTTCTTCTTCTTTCCTTTTTTTCTGGGAAGATCCTTACTTTTGAGATGATACATAAATACCTTTCTTAGCATCAATGCATTTTACATAATTTGTAAAGGAACTTGTGCATGTCGTTCATTCTATGGACGATACAGACTTCATTCCTCTAGTTATGGAAACGCCGACCAACGTCGAAGAGACAGCACGACCTTCTCTTCAGCGCGCATCTTGATGCGGAATCAGTGTACAGGCACATTAGAGACATTGCTGCCAGCTGCAGAATGTGTACGGGGATAAAATCGCATATACAAGTCTACCAAGCTAGCTAAGATGTGACACGACCCATATATACTCCTGCATGAGTAAGAGCACGCAGACGTCTCGGCATCGGTTTCCCGACACAGCAACCGGACGCAAGATGTAAAAGTGTGAAAGAATAGCGAAAGAATACATAACGAGCGTTGCTTGCTTCCGTAAAATTTGGCAAAGAAGGAAGAACAGAATTGGGAGCCGATAGTGATATGGTGCCAACGAAGTGAACCCCTCCGCGTCTTGGACGTGCCTGTGTCTTCATCATAGCAGCAAGCAACTGGCCAGCCTGCGGGCTAGCCATCCCGGCCCGCCAAGCGCGGGAGGCCGCCATTTCCGCCGTTGCGGCCTGGTGCATGGCCATTCCAAGGGCCTCGATGGCCACGCCGCCGGAGCGTCAGGGGCGTTGTGGCTAGATAGCTCTTGGGTGATCCTGGGAAGGCCTGGACAACCGCTTATCCATTCATGTGCACCCTGATCTTCATTGAAGTTACAATAAGGATTGTGTGCACAATCCAGGTTATCGCGTTCTGCCTCTGAGAATTCGAGTCCCTGTGAAGTGGTGAAGGGGATTCGACACCGCCGTAGTTTGGCTTTGTCGGGGTAGTCCTTCTATCCGGCAGCGATGCCATGGATGACTGGTCTTCGATCTGGGTTGGGTACATCCCGTACTGCTTGTTGCATGCTAAAAGACCTTGCTGAAGTGTGTACTCTTTGTACCTCGCCTGCGGTTCTTAGGGGCCGTTTTCGGAGAGGACTACGGTGTTCGAATCTAGGTTGTCCATAGCGTTATGTACATCGCTGGAGGAATCTTGTCGAACGACCAGATCTTTTGCAGAGGTACCGCGAGTGACGACATTGCAGCTGCTGAAAACTTGGAGTACCTTCGCTGAAGACGCTGTTCTCAGGATGCGGATTCGGAGTAAAAATTGAGACACGTCTGGCGAGGAAGACTAAAGGTGGTCGACGGGGTGAGCGGTCTACTTTTCACATTTGTCGTTGCACGGCAGTGCCGCTTCGACCATTGTACAGCTCTCCAATGGCGCCGTGTTGGTACGAGGTACTATGACCGCAGTGGTGGTAATGCATACAGGCTAGCTCGCGCTCGAAAGCTCGTGCTCATTCAGAGCATCTCGAGCATATTTGACGAGAACTTGTTGGCATTGTGTGAATCTGACGTCCTTAAGAGGGGTTGCGCTGATCGAAATCGTTATCGATTCGGACGATCTTCAGGAAGTCTCCACGAAGGTTGCTGGCGGAATATGGGGGGTATCAGAATGTATTGTATAAGCTAAGGAGCTAACTACCAATGGAAAGGGCCTCTTGTACCCCCAAGGTAGTCACATGACGGTAGCGGTAGACCCCAACAGGGGGCTGATTTGGGCAAAAATGCCGGATCATGTTTGAGTAGGCCTCGTCCTTATTCTTGCGAATTTGAAGGTCCCACAGTGCAGTCCGAGAAAGCGTGAAGAAACATGGTAAGGTATGGTGAAGAGCAATCACCGAGACCTTCAGGCGGGCGGAGCGTCTGGCCTCTCAGCTGTTGTCGATGTTCTCTGGTTTGATGACCGGCGAAGAGAGAGTGAGATCAACACAGACTCTGGGGGCGTTTGCGTGGGCCTCTTCTGCGATGACTTCTTTCGCTTGTTCAATAGAACCATTGCAACGAACTAGAGTTTCAAGGAGCAACTCCTGGCTTTGTGTAGGGTGTAGGGGCGCGAGGATAGCCATCATCTGATCCGTCGTGAAGGCGGTTTCGAGCCCGAAGTATGTGTTCATCATCCTTTCCTTGTATGCCACTGCGGATATGTGCTGGGATAGTCCGTGATGTATACCACGTTGGATGGTATCAGAAGATGCGACATCGATCTCGATCTCGACAACGATAAGTTGGCGACCGGGATGTTGGCGATGGCGATAGCGATGGCGATAGCGATGGCGACGTCTGCGAAAAGCAGCCACAGGTAAAACAGGAACTGATAGACGTCCATGATCTTCGTAAGATTGTGGTTACAGGTCTTTGTTGTAATCTCGATGCGGTATCTTGTTCGAATCATGCCGATCGAATCGGTGTTGGTTCCGCATCCGCAGCGTGCGACCATGGATAGAGAATGGGTACAAACATTGAGGCGTAGCTCGGGTGGTAGATCGAGGAAATCGTGGAATTTTAGCTCATAGACCCAGGCCGTAGCGGAGGTAGCAGCTCCGGCAATGGCAATGAACTCGATCATTGTCGCATCGTATAGATGATCGTTTCCCACACAGCTCTTCGGAATGAATAAGCGGCATTGCTCATTGACACATTGATGTGAATAACGCGCAGCGTATAGTATCTTTCCGCTTTGAGTGAGTACGCTTCGCATACCTTGGGACTCAGAAACACACTGTTCGATGCAGCGCATAGCTTCGTGCTGGCTCTTGAAGAGATGATCGATACCAGATATCTGTTCGAAGACGAGGTACGCCATTGGGGATGACGTTCGGCGGGAAGTAAAGGTTAGGGTTCAATCGTATCGTATAGCGATGGTCGGACGTATATGCCGTCAATATACACCCCCTCCAGGCTACTACAGTCGGAAATTGTCTCCAATTCGAAGCAATTAATAACCTCAGGAAGGGGACGCGATTTGTGGAATCGTTACATATGCTCACCTTGTCGACAGGAAGGTCATGTCGAGCTTGCGCAGGTTCTTGCAAACGATGACCAAGTCTAGGCTTGCTGCCGGTACTGGTGCTTGTAAGTTATTTTGCTAGAGCCTGAGGCCGTGGGGATATGTACCTGATCGCTATAGTGGCTTAAGATAGACAACGTGCGCATTCGCCATGGCACGCTGTTGGATAGCATGGTTCTGGCTTGGGATTCAATCGTGATGATTTCATGAACATGCATAGCCGAACTGGTAGCGAATGTGTTGTTCGGGGCGAGAGGGTTCGAGGATTGGAGAGGACGTGACGTTGTCGTCGATACAGTCTTTGTTGTAATGAGGGAGCATGTCGAGAGTTTGTTCCACCAGGTGACTGCAATATGCTTGCGGGTTCTGGTCCCAGGAGAGCTTTGGCAAAGAGAACAGTGGTACAATGGTGGAGGTAGATATGAGAAGAGTGCTGAGAAGATTGCGAGATGAGTGGTGGATGTGAGTAGCAATGAAATGGTACAACCTTTGAGGTTGGAAGTGAGTAGTGGAGTAGAAGTGTTCAGGATTGAATGGAGGTGTTTTTATATGGGCAATACACTAGTGGGTGCGGTAAGCACCAGTAACAATACATGAGATGGTACCTTCTTACAGTTAGATTCGTTGATCGTAAAAGCAGCAAACCCTCATAACCTTCCTTCCTCTAGTGTGGAAGCCGACTGGCAACGTGGGCAGGCAGCCTGGGTATCATGGTTGATTTTTGATGTTAGTAGAAGTCACTTACGGGCATACTATACATTGCGGAAAGTGTACATGGCTCATGATTCCTGTGTTACAAGGAGTCAATAGATGTACCATGTGATCGTAGCTGACGCCGAACCTCTTACCTGTCAACGACAACTACCGGCAGCCTCCTTCCCTGTCGGGTTCATGCTCTTGACTTGGCGCAACTGCCCGTTCAATATCACTCAAAAGCCGTCCTAGCTTCTTTTCCCCTGTAGCCTCCTGCATCGCCAATTTGTTCGACCACGTGTTACAGAGTTCTGTTAGGACCGTATAACGGTATGACAGATCTGCACCAATACGGATCAATGTCATCGTAACCTCGGAGTACCCGTAACAACCTTTGTCTTTGAGCACGGAAGGCTCGGGGGGTGGGAATGTGATGATAGTGGTCAACGTGGGGGGTGATTGGATATAGGTCGTATGTAATCAAGGACAGGAGGTTGGTGTTGGATAGATAGGGAAGTACAAATCATACTGGAGTCAATATGTGGTGTGGTAGATGCTTACACTAACCAGGGATCGGGAAAGCTTTTGAATGACAAGGCCGCTATACACTGCGTTTATGAAAGCATTGGCGCCACTGCTTCTGCAATCTCGTTGCAGAGTGCTATCCACTTCCTGCGATCCTGTAGATCCTCTATCCTTTTCGCGGCACTCTGTGGATCCCCCACTGTCTGTAGTAGCGACTTTAGCTTATCTTGTTCACCATCGAAGTGAGTACCCCTAACAAGTGCACCGCCACGAATCATCAACATCGTTATTTCGGCGCTTCGAATTTCGGGGGTACGTTCAAACGTGACCATGCACCCAGATTCCATCCAAATCTCCCAACAAGTTTTCTTATCTGTCCCAGATACTGCGATACGTTCGTTCGGATTGCATCCAGCTTGGAGCAGAATGTTGATCATATCAGACGAATATGGGTAACCGTGCGGGGTAGCGAGCCTTTTAAACAACATAGGCTTCTTCAAGGCGTGATATAGAAGACTCCATTGCGTACTCGCATCTTGGTTGTGCAGCTTCCGTAGCGTGACTATCTTACGCAGATCACGCAGATCATGGCTTTCAACGAACGCGACTAAATCAAGTTCTATAGCCAACAGAAGAGCGGATTCATCCACAGCGGGAGCAAAGCCAGGTCGGGTGGAGGGTATCTGTATGTCGCTTACTGGCTGCATGAGCGCATAGGCGAAGCGGTTGAGTAGGCGTCCTAGTGTCGGTATCGATGTTGCCTCGATTTCCTGCATATAAAGAAAGGCTGTATAAATCACATTTTTGCCTTCGTGGAAAGTCGTCTTCTGAGCACACAACAAATAGCAGACCATGTATGCCAATACAGTGGTGGCGTCAAACTCGTGGTCGTCAATTCGCAAGCATTCCATTTCCCACACACCCGGAGTGCAAAGGAATTCGAACACTGTACGATGCATGAAGACCACGAAAGGACCATTGACGAGATCATAGTCCTTTGTTGTGACCTCTAAGAGTCCCCTGCATCGACTTCGCAGGCGACCTTTGAGCATGGCACTTCTTGCTTTCCGTTCGTTAAGAGAATCTGGGATGAACTCTCCCATTGCGTCAGTTTTCATGTCCTTCTCGTGCGCCCAAGCTAACCGGAAAGCTGGTATCCTGTTCTCGAAATGCAGCTTTCGACTGGTGTAGCATACTCGTAGTAGTTTCGCAGACTGCTGAATGAAGCGAGTGGGAAGGCCGTTGAGTATGTGACGAAAGAGTTGTTCGAGTTCTGGTGGTAATTCATCAACACGACGACGAAGTTCGTCAGCATCGTCGTACGCCTCGAACCCCTCCGTAAGAGTGCGGCATGCAAGAACAACCCACAAAAACACACCGCTCGCTTTGCTCTGTATATCTTCCACCAGCCCTTCCAGGGTTGCATCGCTCACACATTTAGCTTGGCGGACATAAGGGTGCGAACGTAAGACGTCGTTGATGTATCTTTCGATGTCTGGCTCTGTGAGATCCTGAAGCTTAAGCTTGGGCGCTGAGGAGAAGGCTGCGACACAGCTATCGATAGGTCGACTTGATACTATGATCTTGATGTTTGCGCTGGTGATGAAACTTTTTACGAACGATATCCCATCTCGGTGGTTGCCGGTAAACTCGTCTAGGCCATCAATGAAGAAAGCGAAAGCCCCTTTCGTCTGTTGATTGCCAATTTGCTGGAACGCAGTCTTCATTTCGCTGTGCGACGGGAGTCTCAAGCCTACAACACCACTCTGCGCTTCCTGCCACATGTATGGCAATACTTCAGGGGTCAACGTTGGGTTCTGCTTCAGAACGTGATGTAACAGTCCTCGAGCGAGTCCTTCTTGAGAGCTCTGCTCGACAGCTCCGATGTTCCACAAGAAGAACGAGGCTACAGTCAGTTTCCTTTCTCCCGCCCATTCTTGCAGGAAAGAAACAACCTGAGGGTGATGGAACAAGAATTTCTGACAAAATATCAACGTCAGTATAGCCCTCATCTACAACTTGCGCGTACATTCTACTCACCATCAGCGTGGATTTTCCGCTACCGGGCTTGCCATGTATCCAGTAAATGTCAGGTCCAGAACGCAACCACTCGCCCAGATCATCCCAAGCCACATCGGAAGCAGGTGGACGAATAGCCCATTCAAGGGTGTTGGAATGAGCTTCAACAACATTGTTTCTTCTATCATCGATCAAGCGAAACCAAAGATGATCGAGGATTAGTTTGGTACAAGCTGCGTCGATAGCCTGTTCGGTAATGTTGACTAGCTCACTGTTGTCGGTTATGGAAGCGTACATTATCTTTCTGAGCTCGCGAACGCTGCTCATATCCTGCAGATCGCGCGCCAGGATTGTATGAGTAGTCCCACCACGAAGTGGTGGGACAAGTCTATCGATATCTGAAATGAGTTCTGATAGTTTTCGAACAAGACTGTCAAATTGGTCTTTATCCCTGATGACCCATTTGATATTTCCGGACAGTGAGGATTTGCTTTGACGATTGTCGTGCAAATTGTGGCTGGGATGTTCAAACCGGGATCGGTACGTATCGTATCGCGGTCGCTTGTTCTGGAGATTGTTGTCCGGACGTCGGTGCGACGACTCCGCCTGATCAGACTGAGATGATACGTAATCAGACCAAGATCGCTTCGCGTGGCTATTGATGCCTGATGAGTCTTGAGGGTACCTGCTTCGTTCGAGTTCGCTTTCCCTTGCATCGCGCCGGGATTGGAGAGTAAGTGACATGTCGCGTATACGAGCCATCAATGAATTGCTGACAGTCGTCGAAGACTCAGTTGTCTCAGATGCCTCCGCTGCTCTCACACCATAGCGTTGTTGCAACACGTTGCCATCTTGGAGAAGTTGGCGAATGCACCCAAGGGTCCTGTAGATGAGAGATGCGACAGTAGCTTCATTCAGTCGTGCGTCGTATGTTTCCTCGTCGTAGATGTGCATACGCTCCGCCCATTGTAGTAGTAATGCTCTTTGAAGATCAAGCCTTGTTGCAAGTAGTATGTAATCCTTTCCCATGGATTTCGCCGCACCGATCTGCGAGAATAGCTCGACGCAATCTTCGAAGACACCTATAAGTGCAACAGCACCTATGACAACGCCCGCCACTTCCATGGGACGATTTCCCTATAAGCTCAGATAGGGACCGGAATGTTGACCGATGCTGTATCGTGTGTCAGTACGCTGGTGAGACGGAAATACTATGCGACTACCTTCAGTGTCCTCTTAGGCGAGTTTGTGCGCTTTGGTACGACTGTACTCAGATACGACGAACAATCGTCGCTCACTAGAATGAGTACCCCTCGAGAAGGTGATTGTACATGAACTTACGGAGTGTAGAGTAGTAGTCTTAACCTGCTGATGGGATGAGGCTGTGTTTTGCAAGCTGTGTGCGCGTGTTGAAGGCTGAATCTGCCTGACCCCGCGACTGCATGATGCGTAAGAACGCGCCCTCCGCTCACTGGCTGCATGCAGTAATACCACAGACGCCACTTGCCGCAGCACAGCAGAGTTCATTTTTGCCTCGCCTGTAATTCAAGCTGCGAGGTGGCGGTTGGAAAGTTACATTGCGGCCAGTCCCTAGGTAGGATGTGTTATCGCGTGTCAAAAACTAGGCTGAGAAGCGGTCGCAAATGCTTCAGCTGCAGCTTCATCCTCTAGCCGGCGTATCTTCCGGCGCCTTATCAGTCGAGAGTTTCATCAGAGATGGTCATTATGATCAACGTGTAATTTTGTGGGCGATGAAACGGAGATACACTGGATTAAAGCAGACATGAGTGTTATCTTCTTGGGCGCGAGCTCCCGGTCACAGACGGCGCGTGCCAGCCGCGCTAATGAGCCAGTGTGTGGCGCAGAGTGTGGCTCGAGCAGAATCAATCCAGCATCGGCCAAACCGCCGCACCACTAATGCGTACCGAAACCTACCACCTTTCCAAACGTCAAAGTCCTCGCTACCAAACACAAATGATACATGGTACCGGTAAGTGCAAACGACACCTGCCACCCATCACTTCATCCTCGCACTTGCAGTCGCGCCCCGCCCATCCTTCGGTATACCCAGTCAGGCATATGCAACGATCGGACCATTGCTGTTCCGACATGACTCGCGCCCCCAAACAAGGCATCCAATGTCCGCCCAATTGCAGTAGTCGGATCTGGGCGATCTTGGTGATCTTGGTACGAGCACGTGCGGAGAGAATGAGTGTTGGTGTGGGTGTGTGGAGATTCTGAGCTTTATGAGGCTCTGCTCCGTGATTTTATGGAGCGCGCGGAGTATGCAGAAGGGGTAGCATGTGACCTGGAATAAGCTGGACATGCTCTGTGGTATTGGAAGGTAATGCGTGATCGTTATTGACATCACAAGGAAAGCCTGAGCAAGTGGCAAAGGTTTATTGTTCAATGTTCGTATTCATTCATCATATCTCATGGTCGCAGTGACCTGTGTGGTATCATCATTTCGGGTTCAACCCAACGGCTCGCGCCGCGTATAAACTTTCTGCACTGCAGACAAGATCCAGGCGAGCACTAAGCTCAAGCCTTCTCGTTGTGGTTGGAGCCGTCAATGACCTCAACCGCCTTAGCACCGTCCTTCTCGCTGTGAATGCTACCAGACTCGATATCCTTAACAGGCTCGATGTTGGCGCCAATAGGACCAGCCTCCTCGAAGTGACGACCCTTCTTCTCAGGACCAATGGCGGTGGTGACTGCGATACCGATAGCGATGATCGCGGTAGCAACACCCATGACGGGTCCGTAAGCAGGCGACTGCTCGCCCTTCGCTGTGTTGATCATAGTGGCTTCAGCGACGGCGTTGACGATCTGAGCAGAGGGCGAGGAAATCATGTTTCCGAGTTGGTAGGTGATACCGACGAAGGAAGAACGGAAAGCAGGTGGGGACAGCTCGCTCAAGTGGATGGGAATGACTCCCCAGGCACCCTGGACGAAGAACTGGATCATGAAACCAGATGCAGACAAACCACCCTCGGTAGTGGGGAGAATCCAGGCAGGGATGAGGCAACCGGAGATGAGAGCAGCGCAGACGATCATGCGGCGACGACCGAACCATTGCGAAGTGTATCCGAGGATAGTACCACCAACACAGGCACCAGTCTTCATGAGAATAGAGGCGCGAGTGGCACCGGCGGGGCTGAGATGCTTCTGCTCCTTCATGAAGGTGGTGTAGCTGTCTTGGCTAGTGTGGGAGTAGTAGTTGAACTAATTTGATGTTAACAATGGATCTTGCGTACAAGAATCAGTGGCTAAACATACCCAAGTCATGAGGATGATGCAGTAGACACACATCTTCCACTCCTTGCGAAGCATTTGCTTTGTCTCGGCCCAGAAGGCACCAGGCGCCTTTCGGTGACCAGCCTTCTTCGCCTCAAGGAACTGCTTCGATTCAGGGAAGAGGACGCGGATGAGACCGACTGCGATAGAGAAACCGGCGCCGACCCAGAACACCGTCTTCCAGGTGTTAGTTGCGCCACCGACACCCAAGTTGGCGCACGCGGCAAGGACGTAACCGAATGAGTAACCTTGCTGCAAGATACCACTCATGAGACCACGAGCGTTGACACTGCAGATGTTAGCATTTGCGACCCAATAACGGAGCTGAGGTCTACTTACGGGCAGTTCTCAAGTGCCATGGAGATGGCGTTTCCGTAAACACCTCCCATGAAGAGACCGAAAAGACTCCTGACGGCCAAGAATTGCTGGAAAGTACCAGCGTAAATGGTAGCAACCTGGAGAAGACCCAAGATGATCATGTTGAGAACCATGGGCCATTTGCGACCAAACTTGTCACCAGCTACACCGAACATAGCAGCACCGACAGAGCGGAGAAGCAGTGTCAGAGTGATGGCAGTTGAGATGGCAGTGTTGGATGTGTCGTAGTAGTCGGCAAGCTTGGTTGTCTGGATTGACAAGGCGTGAAAGTCGAAGGCATCGGCAGTCCATGCGAGGAAACCGACGAGGAAGTATAGCCAATCCTTCCATCCAAGCTGAGCGAACAGGCTGATAGGATTCTTGAGAGGCTCTGGCTTCTGCCACTCGCAGTGCTCTTCTCCGTAGTCATTACGAACGACTACACGCTGGTCCCAGGTGAACAGGTCCTTGAGACCCTGTTTGGCGGTAGGGATGATACCCTTTGCCAATGGGTCCGCGGGGCGGTTGGTGCTTGACATGGTGTTGGAGAGACCTTGAGTCGAGCTTGAAGGCAATGAGAAGATAAGTAGACTGCCCTGTGGATGTAGGCGCAAGTCCGATCACACTGCTGATTCCAAGATCGGAGACGGGGCAGCCATATATATACCTGCGTTTGCTTCTGATTGATCGAGTCGCCTCGTAACGATACTACAAACGCCCATACCAGTCACCCGCTGAGTCTTGATGCGGGCCAAGCCTGCCAAGTCCGTCCATGCAGTCGTTGTTGGACGGATGCGCACTGGATGTAACCATCTCCAGCATGCCAAGGTCACTAATTTACACTAAGCATTCCGGTGGGCCATCCTAGCGCAAAAGCGTGAGTGACAAAACAGAACATGTTCCGGGGTCGGATCGGACGTATCAGTGCGTTCTCTCAGAGCGGAGGAAAGAAGTGGGTGTGACGATCCTACGACGCCGTTGACATTTTCCCCACGGGGTGTGCTTTTCGAAATTCCCGCAACGTGGTAACTTTCCAACCACATATCTATGCAACCACACCATCATAAACGCATTGGTGTGTAGTAACACCGAAAACCGTTCTTTGCTTGTGTCCGACCAAGCTCCGGTAAGCGCTGGAGAAGCTTCTCGCGCGACTTGCTCGCAAAGAAGCTTTAAGCCAGTGAGGCAGCCACAAAACTTGGCGACTGACCCCGCAGTGAAGAGTTATGCCGCCGCGGCTACCGAAGCTTTCGTCGCCTCGTTGTAAGCCAAGAGGAAAGACGGCACATACGATAGCCAAGATTCTTCATCGTCAGCCGAGCTTCCTTGAGTGGGCTTCTTTCGACACCCATCCTTTGTTCATCGCGACGTGTGACGACGTCCTAGCGCACAACACCAGCTATTGCTTACAATCATCAAAAATAGATACGGTCGACCTGTTGATCTGGGGATGCTTTTGCGTTATCAGCAGACTAATTATTGGTGCAAGGCCCGATGGTTCGGCTTGCGGTCCCTAGGGTTGGCGGAGTGTTTCGCGCACGCGGCTAGGTGAAAAGCAAGCCTGCACAACACTGTGAAAGTGAGCGGAGACAAAGAGGCCTTGGCGGTATAAGTCTGTCTGTTAAAATGACCTGACCTATCCCTGCCGGTGCGCAAATAGACCAGATTTGGATTGGGGAACGGTAAGGATTGGATGTATGGTTGATGAATGTGGGGACGGCAAGGGCGATAACGTTTGGATGAGGGAGGGCGCGCCCCCGTGTCCCTCGCTAAATCCTACACACCACCAAGACTCCGATTCCAAACGCCGACCGGAGGACACTTACTCGTGAGTACTCTTGGGTGTGATAATAATTGCATAATATTGTATCCACACTTGTGGCCTGAGGTAAGGCGTGCGCCCGTGGAGGTATCGTGGCCTTTTTTCTTCACGACATGTGGTTTCAGTCCCGAGTCCTTGGCTGCACACGCCGAGGTTGTGCCTGAAATCATCCTTCGCCATGGTTGAATCTGGTATGAGCTACCGCTACCCTAGCGGGAAGATTTACAGTGCTTGAACGGATGCAAGCCACGAACCCATCTTCACCGGAGAACCTACATTTGCCAAGTTGCTGAAAAGATAAGGGTGTGGCTGGTTTTGAAACGGCTGGATGCTTTTGCGCTACAATTGATAACCCACTTTCGCATGGTATCTAGCACTCTAGCTCACCAAGAATCTAGGCGCAACCGGGGTATGGGGAAGGCGAAAATGCCGAACGCGGACTTTACAGCGACACCAATCACACGTCTTGCGATTCCACCCGGTAGCTGCTGGCCCTGCATATGCGGCTGTTTGGATGTGGCAACTACTTCTAACCGCGGCCGCGAATCTGCGGATGCGGATCGCTGAATTACCCCTTGGGTGCGTTCCGGGAACATTTCTTCTGGGCGATATCTTTTAGACTGGATACGAGCAAGACAAGCGTTGGCGTCGTGGAAACGGGGTTTTGATGGAGGAGCTGAACGTGTTGAACAGTATATGATGACTACATGACCGCGATTGAGTGTAAACTCCCGATGGTGGCGTGAGAATCACTTCGACAATACCCGTCTGCTGAGATCACCACTCGATCTACTTCACTGGCGTACGTTCAAAGAGGAAAGGTGATCATTAGTTGCTACGACGTAGAGAATGGTCACCAGAGGATAAGTCCGCTACTCGCAGGATTAGCCGATTGTATCAGACATGATCGATCAACTACGCGACCACCAAGCTATGATGTCGAGCAGAATCCTACGTTCTCCCATGGATATTACCGTGGTGATGCCATCATTCGCCCTCCTTCTGCCTCTTAGTTACTCGATCAGTCTCCTGCTTCTTGATCACGCGGCCAAGTTTCAGAGTCTCACTACGCTTCTCGTTCTGTTTTGCCTGTGCTCTGGTAGCATCAAGTTTCTCAGCTGGGTTGGCGACAATACCCTGCAGGCCGCTTCCACCCAACAAGCTATCGCATCTGGTCTTCGACACCCTAAGTAATTTTATGATCCACGTCATACGATCCTCAAAAGTCCAGTTGCGTGTTCTTGCAGCCTGGTGCCAGAAATTGGCGTCGAACGAATGGAATACGGAAGGCCCTAAGCGGTGCAAACGCTCTGCCAGATCTTCTATTGTCCAGCAGAGAATCAACTTGTCTGCAGGCAGGTAGTAATCAGGCCCTGTTAAAGGCCCACGCCAACGCTTCTGCAACGAGTTCTGGTTCTTTTGGCCTTGGTTGCCTTCGATACCATCAAGATTGTTCATGGCGTTGAGAAGCATTTGAACCCACTGCTCACGGTCTTCGTCTGTTGCTGGAAGTGTTGTATCATCTTTGGGACAGTGCCAGTTCTGCTGCGGCATGGTAGCCATTGCTTGACTAAGGGAATTGACTATGTCGGACGGGTGAGGGCACTGTGCAGGCGCTGTCAAGCCTTGATCAGCAGGTGGTGCTGCGACGATATTCTGCTGAGTAATGTTGTGTTGTTGTTGTTGAGGTGTGACCGTCGCGGGCATATTTGATACCATCTGACCGTTAAAGAAGCTATATTGCGGGATCAGGTTGAGATAGGTTTCTCCGTAGAAGTGGTTGTTGCCATAGGTCGCTGGACTGGGGATAGGAGTATTTACACCCATGTTGGGAGAGTGTTGTTGTGCATACGAACCACGTACTGCACGTGGTTGCTGCTGCTGCTCTGTGGATACATGTGGTGCATACTGATGACCCCAAGAGTTTGGCCGGTGCTGCTCTGGAATTACATGTGGTCCGTACTGACAAGCCCATGCGGCGCTTGTTCCCGTATTGTGAGGGCTTGGAGTAAAATGATCACCCCATGCGTTGTGCTGCTGTTGTGGCTGTTGTACTGGAAATATTTGGGGCGGATGTTGATAAGTGAATGTACTGTGCGGTTGCTGTGATTGCTGCTGCTGTTCTAGAGATACCTGGGGTGCATACTGACGGGCCCATTCATCCTGTTGCTGCCACTGTTCTGGGTATACCATTCTCAGAGCTGTACGTGTGTTCTTGTCAGCTACGGTGATACTGTTGACTAGGGCTGAGTTGCGTTCTTGAGCGATGAATGGCGACGGTACCTAAAGCAGAAGGTGGGGGATCGTTTAATGGATGCAAGAAGTGCTGTGAATGCACGCTCCAGAACATCGGCAGAAGGAACCATCGCGCAGTCGAGCGAAGTAGAAGAGCGAAATGTATTGCGAATTCACTAACCTCGATCTGCGGATTTGTAGCACCATTTTCACTGTTAGAACATTAGACATGTGCGAAACTAGCAAGGATTCAAGATCGTATGATGAACCAAGTCGTCTCCCTCAAGGTAAGACATCGCGCACGATAGTGGTGCAGGTCAATAGTGTCAATCTGATATCCGGTGGATACTGCATCCATCGTCACCAACTATGCATGCCGCTCTTATCCAAGAAGAAAAGGCCATCAATAAACTCATGAAGTACGGACATTAGTATGCAAGAGACGTAGCTGCGCAAAGAACGAACAATTTCATCGTAAGACAGGGGTCATGTCATCCATTACGAACATATAAACACACTAGATTCGAAAGGAACCACCACACCACACTCATCCTGTCCATCAATCCACTGCCTACTACTCGTTCGACTCACCAGCATCAGTCTTCTCCACTTCATCGCTGTTCATCTCCGAAGCATCTCTCTTCTTGCCAGCGACAGCATCATTTCCAGCAGCCAGGTAACTTTGTCTATGGCCATTCGAGAAATGATTAGCCTTCGTTTGTCTACACAACATTGGCGCATTCGCAACAACCATGTCCAAGCCATCAAGTTTGAGTAGCCTCGCACATCTAGCCTTACTCAGCTTCAACAGTTCACACACCGCGTCGATACGCGCTTCGAACGTCAAGCTCCGGTGCGTGTATATGTTCTTGAGCTTTGCTGGGTCATAGATGTTGAGAGACACAGGACCGCAAGTATGAAGCTCGATAGCGATGGTGAGTAGATGCCAACAGATGGTAGAGATCATGACAGGTGTGATAGGGGATGTAGGCGGATTAGATGAGAGAGTGGCAAAATGCGAATCGAAGTTGGCAACGGTGGCGCGGTCGATGCATTGGGTTATATCGACGTAGGCGTCGTACATCTGACGAATACAGACCTTGCGGGTTGCATCATCATCATCCTTGGGTAAGCTAGAGTCGTTGACTGGGGGAGTGTAGTTGTGGAGAATCACGCGGGTGACTGCCGCTTGCTTAGCCTCCGCAAAGCGTTTGAATCCTATGGCTGACGGTACAGCTGCGGCGACTGGTTGAGTCGTTTGTGCTGATACTTGTGCTTGAGCAGGAGATTGTGCTTTTCGTGTTGCAGCTGGTTCCTTCTGCGTCCAATCGCCACTCGACTTCTTAGAAGCTTTCAATTCGGTAGCCATTACGGACGATGGGACTGCTGAATAAGTTCCTAGACTAGGATAGTAAAGCCCACCTAGTGGTTCTGTGGAAGCTTTCTCTGATAATGCCGACGTTGTGTATTGATGTGCGGCGTACTGCTGTTGGTTTATATCCTGCATGTGTCGGCCCTGTGGCACTGAATCGTGCTGCAACCACGGTGTTTGTGCCTGAGCATGAGACAGCTGCACGGGCTGTGACGCATACGATCGTTGTAAGACGCGCAGAGGTGCTTGTGGCGGGTGAGACTCTGGACGCCACTGTTGACCAGGTTGGGAGATTCTAGCGCTATCAGCGGAACAAGAATCTTGCCACCGTGCATCAACTATGCGATTCGTATACGTAAACTGTGCTTGGTTATGTGAATCATGCCTTTGCTGAGAATGCGGCTGTTGCTGTTGCGCCATGATATCTCGGTCTTCGAGTACATACTTTAGGTCTGCAGAGTATGAGATGTCAGCGTTGATGTTCTCGTAGTCTATGTTGTTGGGATCAAAGCCATCCAGTATAGCATCCTGCGCGTGTACAGTTGCAACTAGAATATTGAGGTCGTCTTTACCCAGTAGCCCATTTTCTACCCCAAGATCACTCTCCTTCAGGTCGACAGTGTTGAAGAACAGGTCTAAATTTAGGTCGTGAATCTTCGCAAGACGGCTTGGATCCTGAGTGTGTTGAGACATATCGTAGTTGGTTGTGTATTGTTGCTGTTTCGGTCACGTATTTGGCATGGTTGCCATGGGCGGTGCTGCCGTACGAGTCTGGAAGCAAATCTTTAAGTGCTGAGAAGTTACGCGACATTGTGAAGTATCTCTGGGTGGTTAGTGGAACGTTGTGGTGAAATCATCACGTCGCGTCGATTTCATAACGTGAAATCGTTGACAATAGGCGCTCCGTTGAGGTGAATGCAAGAGAGACTGAGCACCCATGTCGCGTCGATGGCGAATACGGCCGCAAAGTCATGCCACTGTTGCTATCCACTTCATAAGCTTATTTCCATGATACTGTGTTGATCTACTGATCAGGAGTCATGCATATGTTTTGCAACGCATCAGAACCCTTTTACTATTGAGAGACATCGATATTAGACCTCAATACATCCTCTTGATGATATTCGCACGTGTTAGTATGTGGCTTCGATATACATACAAAGCATACATGCAAAGGTACTCATCATCCAAAAATATGGCGGACGCAAAGAACTTGATGGCAATGATGAAGAGAACAACAACATTGGGGTAAAAGATGATTTGTGTATACCAAGTGCCATGGACGCAAGCATCCGATATGGACATCATGATATGAGAACAAAAGCCTCTCCCACAGTGCAACCCTAGGGTTTGTGATGTAGCACAGGGAAGTACGGTCATAACCAACTAAGAAGCTTGGAGATTTCAGGATAAGCGGCAAAAAGAACATCGGCGTGATTCGCAAGAAGTGGCGATACAGCTCTTTTGAACTCTCGTCGAAACAGATGGCGCTTTCAATGTATATCAAAGACATCCGGGTTGTAGATGGTAATGGAAGATGAAAGCGGGTGATTCGATTAGCTCTTGATGTAACGGGGCTTTTAAGTTCCTTCTTGCGGAGGCTGCTCTACGGTGGTAGAACCGCCTGGGCGGGTCGTAGTGGTTGTTGTCGTGGTCGTGGTCGTGGTCGTGGTCGTTGTGACTGTGACGATATTCCCAATGCCGGCATCGCGGTATGTCTCCCTGCGCACATCCTCATTGCTTGAACGACTTTTTAGTGCTTGCTGAGTCTGTTGTGGCTGGCTTCCTCCGTATAGCTCATCTAGAATAGCTTTCCTTGGCCCTTTGCTTGAAGCATATATAGCATCTAGTCTTTTCAGTGTACTTTCTAGAACTTCCCTACGGGAAGATTCAAGATTATCCTCATCCTTGGAATTATCCAGAGAGCCTCTGGGCTTGCTCATCTTCTCTGGCACAGTGTCGTCAATCTTACAAAACTTGTCTAGAGAAGAATCAGGCGAGCATGGTAGCATGGGCTGGACAACGGATGATCCGGCGAGTAAAGGGTGGTCGAAGAATCCCATGTGCTGAAGTGCGTGGGCAACAACCTCACTTGAATGATCTTCGCCGTCCATGTAAATGGCTCCAATAATGGCCTCGAGGGTATCTGCCACCGTGTTTCGAACCACCCCCCTGCCCGATCTTGCCCAGCCGCGGATTATGACTTGATCCAGCCCGAGCCTGAGGCCACGATCAGCGAGTTCCGTATTGCTGACCAAATTGTGCTTCATATCAGTCCAAGCTGAAAGGAGGTGACGCTTGCCTACGATCATCAGCGTTGGGACAGGTTGGAAGATATAGTGTGAGATTACCGCGGTAGTCACGCGCCTGGTAAAACATCTTGGCCAATACCGCGTCCATGGCAGCGTCTCCGACTAATGAGAGAGCCTGGTTCTTATCGACGCGATGGACAACACCCGCGACGCGAAGGAGGCAGTCGGGTAGAGTTGCCTGCAAGGCTTCTGCACATAACAGCTTGTTCTTGAAGACATGACCACTGATCATTTCCGTGCGCTCGATGAGGCCGTCGACCGTTTCGATTTCATCAACCAGGGCAGGCGGGAAGCCTTCTTTCGCAAGAACAGAATTAGAAATGCACCATCGCCGCTTGGAAGTATGAAAGAGTGCCTTGAACTGTTCATGCTAGTTAGTACTGAACACGCAAGATCGGTTCATGCATCTATATGCTCTTTCGAACCTGGAGTCAGTTCTTGAATAATGCCATATTGAGAATGCAAACATCCATTTGTTCAAACAATTCATTGTGTTCGACAAGATGGTCGAAGGCGCCAAAAGCGAGCGTAATGCCGTATTTTGCCTGCATCTGCAATGCTGTAGCGCAGGGTGACTTCGTGAAAACCCAGCCAATAGCGGACTCGGCGCCGGCAATGCTTAGGTCAATTCTGCCACCGGAACTGAGCATATTCTTTGTCGCAGTGTTGATGATCGCTTTGGGTATGGGTGGGCCAAGCGAACAAATCGACGATAAAAGCGGAGACTGTACCTTTGGGTCATCTGGAAGCCTGGTTTGTAGGGCAACAGTCGTCGGTTTGTCCCCTGGCAAACGGTCTGGTTAGATGACTTCGGTCTCATCTCGCTTGGGGTCGTCTTGGGTACCATGGTTTCGTATCACTCGGCGTGGTGCCGTGGTTGTAGTGGGAGTTGACGCTGCGTAGACAGCGAGGCGTTGGTGCTTTATTTTTGCGGCATGCTTTCGCGACACTGCCTTGCTGCCCGCTGACGAAACTTTCCTCACGAAACCTCCCATCGCTGAGATGCGTGGGGAAATCAGAAGTGCGGACGACCGAACAGCCGGTAAGATTGTGCGTGCGTGAAACGCAAGGCTTTGGTGTTCGAAAAATGTCAGCCGCCGGTGTCCGAAGCAATTTCATTGGTGCTTTGCATGGCACGGTCGCCCCACCGATCAATTCTCACCAGCGCAACTGGTATGCCAATTCACAGCGCAAGCACAGTCTCCCGTGTGTTTTGCTCTCCCTTTCGCGATGGTTATGATCTTCAATCGCAATCTTAATTATGGCCATCTTCTATTTCTCCGAAAGCTTCGGCCTCCAAGCCTTGCCCAGGCCGGTTTTGCTAGCATCAAGATCTCATGGTTTTGCTGTTGCTGTTGAGATCCTAGGCAACCTTCTAAATGTGCTGCGTCGCTCTTGTTGTTGTCCATTTGCTAACGCACTCGCGACTGAAGTTTTGAAGGCAGTTCTTGCAGGAGAGGCTGTCGGCGATTGAAGCTTCTGCGGCGAACGCTCTGTCCCCCTCGTCAGCTCACAAAGTGTTGACTTGCGGGCTTCCGGTAATCAGGTGCCCTTGCAGTGCCTAGGTTCTCGGCGTGCAGTTCGGTACATCTTTATTGAATGCTATAAAATATTGGTGGCGCAGAAGGAGTGCAAAGTACAAGTAGATATTTAAAGTTCGCGTTACACGTGGCGGGGTGATCTACGCGGTTTCACATTGTTCTGCGAGGGTGACTACCTAAACTTTGTCGCATCCTGCGGTTCTCGAGTTATCAGCTTCCCTAACATCACTTTGTTGCAGTCTTACACTTGACGACGCGCTATTGACTTGTGTTCAAACGGACCGTTCTCGGTTATAAACAAAATGTAGCGGGTTGTTTCTTCATGCCGCTTTCGCGTACGCCACTACCAATCAGGAGTCTTGTCAGCAAGTAAGCCGATCGACAACTTAATTGCTATCTGGGGGTGACACGGGCCTGCCATGGGGACGTGCACACTAGATCAGCTTGAATGTTGACAGCCCTGCCAATCCGGAGGTCGAACGGTGGAACGAGCAGCCAATCAACTAGAACCTAAGGATGATCCAGCCAGCCATTGTAAGTCTGGGTCTCTCTCAGGGTGCTGCCACAGGTCCGCGGATAACTTCAAAAACCGAGCCTCCCCTCGATCGTTCCATCTTGTCCCAGAAGTCCAATACTTATTTCTTTCGGTACCCTCATTCTACAGCCGCTTCCGTGTAATAAACGTTTGCCAATATGCGCTTCTCCATCATCGCCGCAGTTGCTGCATTCAGCTCTACAGCTCTGGCCCAAGGCCTTCTTGACCAGATCCCGCAATGTGCTGTGAGTAATTGACAATGACTACTACCGAATGATAGCTAAAGAGGACGCAGCAACAATGCTTCGGTGGCAACCTAGGCAGCTGTGGTGTTGCCGACATTGCATGCATTTGCGGTAGCAGTGTAATCAACGATGTATCTTGCTGCGTATTTGCTACATGCTCGCAGGCGGATATCCAATGTACGTCACTAACTATCTCACAGTCTGTGCCAGCTAACAAGTTTCACAGCAACCACTCAATTCGCCGTCCAACTGTGCAACCTCCAGAATGTCGATGTTAACACGCAACCCTCGTGCCCGTCTGGCAGCGCAACGCCTTCTGCGGGCAACTCCTCCAGCGCTTCTATGACCTCCTCGGGAAGTGCCTCTATGACCTCTTCAGGAAGTGCCTCCATGACCGCCTCAGGAAGTGCCGCCTCAGGAAGCACTTCCATGACTGCTTCAGCATCCGCGGCAGGCAGCACCGGTGCAGCGCCCTACCAGACTGCAGGTGCTGGAATCGGTCTTGGAGTTGCCATGGTTGGATTGCTCGCTGCTTTGTAAAGAAGAACGGTTATTCCTGTACGCTGTTGGACACTTGTCCAGCACCCAGCTTCTTGAACTGTAACTCCAGCCATGCACCCGACGCGTCGAGGACCAGAACGCTTCACGAGGCGCGCCTCGAGAGGTTTTTCTCGCAAAAATCGACTAGTCACACGAAAGACATGGCCTGGCTTGTCCTTAGTATAATTCTACTTTTTTTTTGAAACTTCTTTGTTTTTAGCAGGCTTGATGACTATGAAGGCCGCATTTGCTGAACTCTGCCACGGGTATGATGTCTCTCTCTTGATGTCAAAAATGGTCCATCAATCGCGAAGATGGCTTGTGAAGAGCTTTGTTTCAAGATCTTCTCTTCGGGGTCTCGTCAGACATAATTCTGATTACCTTGCGAGTCTCGATGGCTGCGATCCATAAGAGCCCAATTGAAGTGGAGGAGTCGCTTGTCCTACTGCCCGTGAGATAGCCTGATACCCATGTTCATATGATGCTCACATAAGAAAATAGTCTGGATAGCTCTAGCTTTATCCAGGTTTAATGTAAGTGCTCGAATCTTGAAGACGTAGATAATCCATAAGATGATTATGTCTTTGCGCAGAATGTGCCCAATCCGGTGCCCGTGCGGCTTAGTCTTGAACATTTGAAGCCTTGTCGGCCTCTAGCCGGAAGGCGCTGCGCCACCACTATCTGCCATTGGCTGCCTCCCACCGAAGCATATTGAGATTCCGCGGTCCATGGGGGGCGATCTCCACACCCCAGATCTATTGACCCTTCAACACCTCCGACATCTCTCACTGTCAGCCTCCCTCCCTTTTTTTTCCAGTCCTGTTCTATTCGCATACATATCATGTAACTGCTTGAACCTCACACCATCAAGCTGAGTTGATATAGGCGCTCATAAACTCGTGCGACAATGGGTCTCGGCATCCTCGCTGACCATGCACTCGAACGGGTCCCTGGGACCGCGCAGGTATTTGAAGGCGAGCAGCGGAGAGAAGTCGAAAGAAACGCAGGAAGTAGGACAGGAAGGTCAGATTTGAAGTACGATAAAACTGGGAAAATACTGCTTGTTCCGCAGCCGAGTGATGATCCGAATGATCCGCTTGTACGTCCCTTTGAACCTCCCAGTCTCAAAACGAGGCCTAGGTAAGCCTCCGCAAGGTTGACTGATGCGTTCACAGAACTGGTCTCTTCGTCGCCGCGACACCATTCTCCTTCTTCTGTCCCTCTTGTCAGTCATCGCGAGCACCCTCTCCCCCATCCTCGCCGCCAACACCATCTCCCTCGCCATCTACTTTGGTCGCGACTTAACCGACATGGCACTGTTGACCGGCTACCACCTCTTGGGTGTTGGGGTTGCGGGCTTTCTTTTCGTGCCGTCAGCGCGTATCTGGGGAAAACGACATGTGTATCTCCTGGGCAACGTGCTGGTGGTGGTGAGTTGTGCTTGGGGTGGCGCGATAGGAAATCATTATGGTGGGTTTCTGTGGGCGAGGGTGTTTCAAGGTGTGGGGTTAGCGCCATTTGAGGCGCTTGTTAATGGTGAGTTCCAAGGAAAGGGATGGAGGGCTCCGTCATTGAGTTGAGTAGGTGCTAATGTCTTGTGTAGGTACGTTTGGTGTTTCCTATATCGTATCTGCTTGAGACGATGTTCGGGTTCCTCTGTCGTTGGAGTGACAGCTATCTGATGCCCCGCCGAGACGACTCCAAGCATCGTCGCGAAGCGTGGATATCTTCGAATTCCACTTCAAGCCTGCGCTAACTTTGCATCTCGACCTATAGCTAGCGTTGGCGATATGTATCACGTCCACGAGCGTGGAGTTCGCATGGCACTGTCCAACTTCTGCGTCTTCGGAGGCGCGTTTCTCACCCCAGTCTTGGTAGGAGTGATAGCGGATCGAATCGGGTACCAGTGGACATTCTATTTCGTCGCCATATTCGCAGGAGTCATGCTACCCTTGATGATCCTTTTCGTTCCGGAGACGGCGTTCCGGAGGGAAGAGAAGTTCGACATCGACACCATGGGGAACTTGCTAGTTCTAGATGGAGAAGAAATGAAAATGCTGGGGAACAAAGGTCCAAACACTACATCACTTGAACACGACGCAGCTGGGGATATGGCTGAAAAGGGAGCGGAACATTCTCCAGAACATCAATCGATGGGCAGTCCGCCACGCAAAGCTACTTTCCTCGAAAGTATCAAGCCGTTCAACGGACGGAAAACAGATGAGCGGTATCTGCACCTCCTTTTGCGTCCTTTCTCACTGTTCCTACATCCGGGTATCCTATGGGCTTGTCTCATCCAAGGCACTCTAATCGGCTTCACGGTTCTTATCGGTGTTGTGCTTGCAGCGATTATGCTCGGCCCACCGCTTTGGTTTGGAGAGGTGGAAACAGGATACATGTAAGCTTCATCCTCACCTCCTTCTTCCCGTTCTTTTATTCACCTTGTCCCTATGTTAAGCGTACATATTCTGACTCCATAACCTTGTAAAGGTATACAGGTGCCTTCATCGGTGCACTGCTCGGCTTTGCCCTCACCGGCTTGATTAGCGACTGGTCCGCCAACCTACTCACACGCCTTAACAACGGCGTATACGAACCCGAGTTTCGCATGGTACTCGTAGTTCCACAACTCATACTAGGTTGCGCTGGTATCTACGGCTTCGGTTGGACCAGCGCAGATGCGGGGAAGTACGGGTGGTTCTGGCCTGATTTCTTCTTCGCGCTCGTAGTCATGGGTATGGTTTGTGGTGCTGTTGCCAGCGCGCTATACATTGTCGATGCGCATCGTAAGTCTCCAAGATTGTGTCGTGTGTTGAGATACTGACGTGTACAGGCGGCATATCTATCGAGGCTTTTACGTGCCTACTCGTTTTCAAGAATATATTCTCCTTCGCCTTGACATTCAAAGGATTTGACTGGATTGTTGATGCTGGACGGCGGAGTGGGCAAGGTGGGGGTGGGGGAATCAAAGACCTTTTCGTCATCGTCGGGAGTGTGCAGGTCGCCATTTGTGCATTAACGATTCCGATGTGTAAGTTTTAGGACAGCAGGTGAAGTGAAGACATGAGCTAACACATTTGATAGACATCTTTGGCAAGAAGAACCGGAGTTTTTTTCACCGCTATAATATTTTCTTTGCGATAACAGATTGGGTCGCGGATAAGCTGACATTTTGGTAAGGGGGGTGTTAGAAGGCCATTGTTGGAGATACTCGCTTTAGATCAATCATTGTGAACTTCAATCTCAACACACAGTGTAACCTCCATCCACTTTAATCTCTTGTCCAGTAATGTAGCTAGAGGCATCCGATGCCAAAAATGCTACCGTACCCATCAATTCTTCAGGTGGGCCCATGTGACCCTGTGGAATTTTGGACTCCCACTCGGCCTTCAGGTTTGGATTGTCTACAAGAATCTGCGCCTTCCTACTCCCTGTCAGCTATCGTCTCTTACTTCAGCACGAATACGCACATGGCCTGCTCAGTGATCATGTAGCCGGGGCTCAAGCAGTTCACTCGAATGCCCTTGCTCGCCCATTCAACGGCTAGACTAGCCGCAAGATGCCGAACTGCGGCTTTACTCGAGTTATACATAGCCTGGGGTTGCGGCACATTGACAATGCTGCCGCTGATGCTTCCGATGAAGATCATGTTCCCGGGCTTGTTGCGCGCCATTAAGTACCTAGCAATTTCAGTGGCACAGTAGAATGTGCCTTCCAGATTGACGCCGAGCATTGTCTTTATCTGTTCAGGCGTCATCTCGATGGCTTCTACGTTCTGACAATATCCGGCACAGGTAACCAGGTTCGTAATCTCGTCATGCGCGCCGAGTACCTCGCGAATGGACTGATCGACCTCGGATTTCTTCCCAACGTCAGCGTAATGCGTTGTAATCTTTGGGACCCTGTGGGAAACCGTAAACGCGTAAACGCAGAGGGAGACCTTCGGACTGCTTACGGCTGTCCCGAGTGTAAATGCCGGAACTCTTGGGTGATCTCCATGGCTCGTTGAGTAGCCTCCGCTTCTACAAGTCAGGGTGACGATGGTCAGCACATAGCGGTCAAGTGCTCCAAAGGTTGGGAGAAGACCAACTGTGAATGTCGACAATCGCGAGGTTGGCACCGCTTAGAACAAGCGATCGGCTCATAGCTAATCCTAGGCCTCTGGCGCCACCCGTGATAACTGCGGTCTTGTCCGCAAGCGAGAACGCGGGCAACGTTGGCCGAAAGGCCGCCCTGTGTGTATATCTGGCGGAGGTAGTCATTCCACCTGGCGAGCGTAGGCGCCTAAAAATAGTCTTGCAATTCATAATACCTAGTGTCAAGTTCTCCAAGCGAAAAGCATTGAAAGACGAATGCAGCCGTGACCAGCAGGCACGATGGTTTCATGGAGGATAGAGCTGCATCACTAGCTCCCCTGTTGCGGTATACCTGGGCTGTGCCGCAGAACAAGCTCTCTTATCGGGCGATAGCGCTAATCCGTTCCTATCAGCGCAGCTAGAATGCTAATTGGTCGCGCAAGCACAATCTACTGTGTGTTTCGCGGCGCATATAGATGATACAAACCAAGACCGTGTAGGTTTTCGATGGCTTAAACGAACTTGCGATTTATCCTCAAATTCAACCTTTACTACTGAACGACTGTGCAGATTGAAGTCAAGTAGAAATTGACACGAGGAAGAAGATTTGTCGCTGCAGCAGTTGAATGCGCCAGTTCCTGAACCACTACTTTTCCAAGACACACAATGTTGAATGTTGTTCTTGAGCATCTCCTACACCTAATTCATTCTAACCAAATCATGTGCCAATGTGATGAGGCTGCCACACTGCTACCTACATACTTGACGACGGATCAACGTTCTGTAACATGCATTAGGAACCACACAGATGGGCCACATTGATGAAGGCGCAGTAAACTCCAGGAGCGCAGGCTCGTAGATCCAAGCGGGTGCGGCACAGCTGTCTCTGGAATCTAGCAATCGAGCCATCTCTAAATTCTCAAAGCGAAGAAGAGGCACCCTGTAATGGTCTTTTCCTTGCGTTCGAATCTTCTTACGAACATCAAAACGCAGTGAGAAGTAGAACGTAGCGCCAGCCTGTCGTTAAGAGAATTTGGGGTTGGCTCGTTTGACAGAGTGCTGAGACAGCTAGACCGAGATCTATAAGTTTGCACGTCAGTCAATAGAGAGTTATACTGCTCAGGGTGGGAAGAGGGGGGTTTGAGACGTTACCGTGAGGAGTGTATGCTCAAAAAAACCGAGTGAACGCATGACGCGATGAACAGCGTCATCTCCGCCGTCCTGATAGACTGCGCCAATGAGAGCTTCGAGTGTCGTCGCGACCATTTTGGGGGAGACGGCAGGCGTGCTATCAGCCACAATGACGCATCTGTCGAGACCAGCTTGATACCCTCGGCGAGCCAGCGCATCGTTGCTCAGCGTCTCGTTACGCAATTGCGTCCATTGCGCTTGAGAATGCACTCGCCCTAGGATCGTCAGTACCCCGCAGCGCTCAGCGGGACCGTATTGCTTACCAGTCGAACTGCGAGCTTCATACCAGGCGCTGCAGAGTACCTTGGCGAGAACTGCATCACCTAGGACCGACAATCTTTTATTGTTGTCAAGGCCCTCGAAGTTGTTCTTGTGTAAGCAGGCAATTTTCGGAGCTGCCATTTGAACAGCCTCGACCGCGATGCGCTTATCAGTGAACGTATATTGAAGTGAGGTCTCGATATCGACCGCCTTCGATTCGACTTGAGGTAGCATCGTGAGTTGATAGAGCTGAGACGTGTTGATCAATGGATGAGAGACGAGATGGGAGATGATTTAGTTGTCAAGTGAGTTTCGCTTGGAGATGATCAAGTTCCTCTGCGAAGCTAGCGCAGGCTGCATGTGCTATAGCGACGTGCATTTCAGGGTAACATGCGGTAGTGTAGCAGGGGAAGATCAAGTTATGGAATGCCTTTGCTGTAAACTCAGTCACACCTTTCCAATGAGATCTCCACGGGTGCGTCGCCAATGCTGTGGGAACGCCTTACCCTGCGCAATGATCGCATCTAGACCCCGGCGTGCCGACAGCCGTTCCTGATGAGCGACGGCGCTATGCCAGGTGTCTAGCTTCTTTCTAGTTAGCGCCACCATACGTCATACCAAAATGCCATGAAAACAGGCATCATGGGGTCTCCGCCAAGGTGGTGTCCGACGTTAAAGAACTGGGCGAGCCATTAGGTAGGCACACTCGTTACTTTTGCTATCCGAATAACCGGTCCGCGGAAGTAACACCGACACGGATCCCCCGGAAAGACCAACCGCAAGGGTCTAGTCAATATGGCAGAAGAGATGGTGGTGCGTGGCCCTGCAGAAATCCCCTTCAAGCGTACGCCTTGCTGATTTGCGATTCTTGATAAACAGGAGCTTGGGTTCGAGGGCCTTGACCGATTTGCCGACAGGCATTTTGACAAAACCTACGACCGTCTACCAGCGATTCCGAGGACAGCGAAGCAGAAGCGCAAATTGGAACAACGACAGCGGGAGTATCTGCAGAGGACCCAAGGTCAAGCACCACAAGACGGGCCGTACCCGCCGCGAAATCATCCTGAAAATCAGCCTGGAAACCACCCTGACAAGGGGTACACGTCTCGCTCCACTGCACCAGAAAGCACAAACGGCTACAATTCCGACCCAGAGATGTACGCGCCAGATCGCTATGGGCGGGACGACCGATATCACGAGCCAGAGCAGAACGGCTACACCGCACCAGGGCCAGGATTCAAAGTCCCACGCGGCCGCGACGGACCGGGTGATACACGCGGCATGCAGGTAGCAGTGCGCCTAGTCCAACGGCATGCAAATTCCAAGCTAACGTGTAATAGCCTTATGAGCAACAACCCCATTTTGAATACGGTCAACAAAGTCTCTACGGAGGTGGCGGCATGCGACCAGCACCCCAACGAAGAGGCTCATCATGGTCTCCGCCACGCTCCCAGCGACAGGGCCGATCAAAGTCACGACGTCGTCGGTCGAACTCGCGCTCCAGAGATAGCTCGACCGACATGAAGAGCCGGCTGTTGGCGACGGTCGGCGGTGCTTTGGTAGGGGGCTTTGCCGGCAACCGAGCAACTAAAGGAAAGAAGTACGATACCGTTGCAACGATTGCCGGAGCCATTATCGGCGGCGTTGGTGCAAAAGAAGCGGCGGACCATTGGGATGATCGGAAAAGAAAGAAGGAACAGCAGAGAAACGGGGATTGGGATGACGACGACTCGGATGACAGCAAGCGAAGGAGTGATCGCAGGAGAGACGACAGATATGAACGTGATGACAGAAGGAGCAGATACGACTACAATGACAGATATGAGGGCGATGATCGGAGGAGATACTAAACATGCTTCATGGCGGTGGAGCCAGGCTGACAGCTTACGTGGGACTAAGCAGAGCTTTTTGGGACTGGCGTCCGGCTTGCGCGACATATTTATTGCGGTGGAAATTTCCGGGCTCGGGCATGAAGTGATGATGGCGCAACCTGGGACACGATACCTTTGTAGGATTTTTAAGGGAAAAAACGGATGACATGCAGGAGGTGTAATTGTTTGTTGCGGGAATGACGTGCGACGGGCGTGCCTTGTCTGCGACATGATCTGATGCGAAGGGGAGGGGCCACGCGACGGTGGGAGTTCACAGGAGGCGCCAGGGGTAGAATGTCGGTGCGGTGGTGGGCTGTCGTTCGTAATAATAGCCGATACACGAGGCACATGTCTATGCTTTTTGCCGGCAAAGAAATTCTAGAAGACTTGTAGAGGGTGTGGACATGTTTTGGACACGACGGATGCGGTGAGGACGTACAAGTGTTTTCCATGGAGCAAGTGACTGTCGAGGAGCAGAGGCAAGGTTCAACTCGGTGTGTTAGCTAGGGCTGTCCGTGCTGTTTCGAGAAGTGTAGTAGAAGGTTAGACCGATCCACCTGGTTGCGGGACCAAGCCTCGTCCCGCAGTCTATCCATCATCTCTCCGAGCACCACGCTTCAGTCACAAGAAATTATACACTACACAGAAGCCAGCGCGCCAGGACCCACTGCAGGTTCCCGAGCTCCCTTGTCCATAGCTCTGTGCCCGCCCAGCTGCACCATTGCTCAGTCCTTGTGCTACCCCAAGCCGCGCTTCTCAGCATCCCGCTCCTTCGCCGAGCCATCGTCGAGCAGCACAACTACACTCGAGGAGCTGCACCGCGCATACACACGCACCACCACCATGAGCTGGTGACTGCCCGACCACCACACCACCGCCCCTTCCCCACCACCACCACGCACGAGCTCCTTGCCTAACCGTCTGCCACCTGCCCCTCGCTCCGCGACGTTTGCCTCTGGTGTCGCCGCTGCCGCCGCACCGCAAGACGACGATGCGCAGATACAGGCCTGGAGGAGGCCCCGTGAGGGCTCATGGCGGCGTGCCAGTGCCTGATCCCTTTGCCATGGTGCGCGCATACGACAGCGACTCCAATCCCGCCCGCCCCATACGACCCTCCCCGCTGGCCGCCTCGACTATCCAGGGTCTCCCGCTAGACCTGCTCGACCGCCTGCGCTCCTTCCCGCTGTTCCAACAAGCACCGGACTCGTTCCTCACACAGGTCGGCCTGCATCTCAAGCCCCAGCTGTACCAGCCTCATGACACGATTCTCACCGAAGGCGAGACGGGCAAGGCAATGTACTGGCTGGTCCGCGGCGCTGTGCGCGTGACCTCGCGGGACCAAGAGAGCACATATGCAGAGCTGAAGCCCGGTGCTTTCTTTGGCGAGATTGGCATCCTCATGGACATTCCCCGCACCGCCACCATCATCGCCAACATGCGCTCCCTCGTCGTCCGCCTGAACAAGGAAGATCTCATGAAGGAGCTGCCGGCGTTTCCCGAGGTCGAGGTCGCTATCATGCACGAGGCACAGGAGCGACTGGCCATCTTGCAGCGCAAGAAGTCGGAGATGGGAGCCAAACGGCCCGCCATGCCCATGCGCCAGATAACGGGCAAGCGCGATCGCGAAGACGGCGACGTAGTCATGGCAGAGAGTGGCACTCTGCGCGAGGGCGAGGTCAATGCCTTCAAGAAGAGGAAGTCTCCCAGCCCGGGTCTCGCTGAAGCCATAGCTCATAGTGCCTTTGGAAGTGGCAGCATGCACGTGAGACCACTGCTCAAGGAACTGCCTCTCTTCTCCGAGCTGCCCGATGACATCCTACACTTCATTGGCATGCGCGCCCAACCCTGCTCTTTCGACCCCTTCACCGACATAATCCGACAGGGCACACAAGGACGTGATGTCTTCTTCATCGTCAAGGGCGAAGTCGAAGTCATCAACATGAACATGCCAGAGCAGAACGGTTACACCTCGCCGAACGCTGGGCGTAGGAAATCCATTGCAGCGGGCGAGCAACATTTTCAGGAGGTAAAGGCCCGATTGAAGCCTGGGCAATACTTTGGCGAAGTCGTCAGTCTCTCGCTTGCGCCACGCCGCACGGCTACGGTCCGCTCCGTGTCGGCCGTTGAGTGTTTGATGATCAGTGGCGACACGTTGAACCAGCTGTGGGACAAGTGTACTCCCGACGTACGTAGGCAGGTTGAGAATGTTGCCAAAGAGCGGTTACAAACTGCCAAGGACGATGATGTACAGATGCTCGATGCGAATAGCACACCCAACATCCACGACCTGGCCATAGCAGATCACATAATACCACGAACACCACGACGCAAGAAGAGCGTGCCGACCGTCACCTTCAATGACACAATCGATATCGATAGCCCGGTGACACCCACCCGGAGAGACGAGAAGATGATGGAACCGTTCGATCCTGATCCATTTCTCAACGTCGACCTCGACAATGTCAGGTCGAGATCTAGGAGAGGGTCGCTCGCCCCACCACCTCCAGGATCAATGCCCGATTCGCCATCCAGCCCAGCTAAGACCGACTTTCCCAAATCCCCATCGCCTGGAGGATCTCCCCTTTCCCCCTCGCCATCTTTCACGATAGCGAAGCATGCGTCCACACCGCCAGAAATGCCCTTTGACTTCAAGCGCCCTCGGCTTGTCAACAGGCCGAGCATATATGGGAGAGGCAGATTGCCTGATTCAGTGCTTATCAAAGTTCTCGCAAATCTGGACATTCACCAGCTCATGAAGTTGCGCGCAGTCTCCTCACATTGGAACAAGCTAATATCCGAATCACCGGACATACTCCACGACCTTGACCTCACCAAGTACAACCGCAAAGTCACGGATCGAGCGCTAGTAGATGTAATATGCCCCTTTGTAGGCAGCCGTCCTCGATACATCAACATCAGCAACTGCTTCCACGTTACTGACGAAGGCTTCGCTGAGCTCGCCAAAACATGCGGTCCTAGCGTCAGGATCTGGCGCATGAAGAGTGTATGGGACATCACCGGCCCGGCCGTCCTAGAAATGGTGCAGAAAGCCAAAGGCCTCGAGGAAGTCGACCTCAGCAACTGCAGAAAAGTAGGCGATAACCTGCTTGCTCGTGTAATCGGTTGGGTGGTTCCTGAAATGCCACCGCAGATGGCAATGGCGCACGCGCAACACCAAGCTCAAATCAACGGCCGGAAAGGAAAGGGAAACCAACCGGCCCCGCAACCGCTACCCCCTGGTACCGTTGTCGGCTGCCCGAAGTTGAGGAGGTTGACGTTGAGCTACTGCAAACACATCACCGATAGAAGCATGGCGCACATTGCCGTCCACGCCGCTAATCGCATCGAAAGCATCGACTTGACGCGCTGCACGACCATCACAGACGTTGGTTTTCAGCACTGGAGCGTGTACCCGTTTCCACGGTTAACGAAGCTCGTTCTGGCGGATTGCACCTATCTGACTGACAATGCGATTGTATATCTTACGAATGCGGCAAAAGGGCTCAAGGAACTGGATCTGGTAAGTGTCGAATCATCCCGTACATGTTAACAATTTGAATGTGTGTTTGCTAACGAGGATATAAAGTCATTCTGCTGCGCCCTCTCCGATACCGCAACCGAAGTCCTCGCCCTCGGTCTGCCTTCCCTCACGCACCTCAACCTCGCTTTTTGCGGCTCGGCCGTCTCCGATACGTCGCTTCGTTGTATTTCGTTACATCTCCTCGAGTTGCGCAATCTCAGCGTACGAGGCTGTGTTCGCGTTACAGGAACTGGTGTGGAAGCGGTTGTGGAGGGATGCCGCGATCTGGAACGCTTTGATGTCAGTCAGTGCAAAAACTTGGGAAGATGGGTCGAAGCTGGGGGTGTGGAGAGTGTGAAGAGTAGGGGGCGAAATGTCAAGTTTGTGACGGTCAGTGATGGGCGGTGGAGAGATGGGAGGGGGATTGTTAGACGATGATGATGATGATGAACGCGAATCCTGTTCCAGCCATCTCACATATACGGCACGGGGTTTCATGAGCGATAGTGAAGAGAGTGGAGAGTCAGGTGTATGAATGGTTCCGTTGTCTATGGGTCATCGCACGGTTCGAGGGATCAAGTGATTTATGCGCATACGGTTAGACGGTGATAGAGAAGATGTTTAGGGAAGACGATTTGGAACGATGATGTTGTATGGATACGATGTAAACGGTCTATGTCAGAAGAATACTCGGAGATGGGAAGCATTGGGGCTTGGATATGTGGATCTTGGCACGGGTTTTCGCATCTAAGGAAGATACCAGGCTTTTTTGTTCGGTGTGTATTTAGCGATGTATTTGGATTGGTTAGATCTCTTTGCTCTCCTATTGGCGGTCTTGGTTTATGTTTCCCATGTTCTATATCACTTGAAGGTTTATTTTGTTCTTCCTCGTAAGCTGTATGGCATGGGCAGCGGGAGTGAGCAATCGCTTCCAGGGTCCAGCTTCGCTTCTCCTGCACCTTGGGCTGGTGCTGGTGTCAAGGTTTTTGTTATAATCGATCGTTACAAGCGAATGACTGAGCGTGTTGGTCTGGAGCATCTCGATCCTGATTTGTGGTTCGGTTTGGTTCAACGAACATGGCTTCTGAAGGTATCTACCGGACTGGCCGCAATATTGAGTCATTCAGCTTGCGTCTTTGAGGATGCTCACAGTAGGAAGAAGTCTCGCGGTGATGAGCATAGTCCAATAGCAGTCAAGATAATCAGGAATGATATATTCGAACCACACAGACGGTGTAGCTGACGCATCTACAAGGTCGTTAAGATGACCTCTTACATTCTGCTCGCCTTCATTTTCTCTACCTCATGTACTCTTTTGATGATTTCCCTCAAACTACCCATCTTCATTCCAGCGCCCTCTCCCTCCCTTAGGATATCCTCCAAGGTACGAACATCCTGTTTTATTACTTTGCCTCCATGATGAAAAGCATTGAACTCCTCAAGCTTCACAGGCTTCACTCCCTCAACAAGTGGTGCAATGAGCTTCTCTGCAGCCCAACCCTTGATCAAGAATGATAGAATCCAACCAGTCCAACCAAAACGTGGCAGGGTCAGCAATTCTGCCTGTGCGCGGATCATAAGAGACCAAAGTTCGGTATTGGTGCGAAACTGTTCAAACGGCGTCCACTTGTCGACATGCCAAGTAATAAGGTGCAACAGGTGCAAAAATACGAGCCATGGCGGAACAAACGCCGGTATAGTCTGGATGCTTAGCTTGCCGTTGGCGTTGTAGATGGCTTCAAACTTCTTCACGAGCGGAGGCTGGGTGTTGAAGGCGAGAAATCCAGTCTTGGGTTCCAGGTGAGAGAATAATAAATCAGCGTTGGCAACTTTGTCTTTGTCTGCGGTTCTTGGTACGGAGATGCGAGTGGTCGGCTGGTGCGCAAGCATGCTTATGCCGGCGAACAGACGAGTAGGCGAGATGCGCATAGTGCTAGCGTAGTGCTCTTCGATACCCAGTCCAATGGCTGAGTAAATTGCAAAGCAATCTTTATTCTGCTTCTCATTTAAAAACTTGCCCACAGCACTAATTGTTACAATGCCGGCTTCTGAACGCGCAGTGTTTCCGTCCAGTGTGTCAAACACAAATACGAAGGTTTCTCCGCGGATTTCATCTAGAGACTCAGCTAGCCGATAGCCAGAAAAGGTGTAGACTTCGTTGTCTTTGTAGGAATAGAGGTGCTTAGGACCAGTGAAAGCTGATTTGCGTCCAGGGCGCACCAGGTAGGTAATGTCTGCGCCTGTTGACAGGTGGTAGCCTTGCGACAAGCCAACGGCACCGCAGCCAATAATAAGAATTCGTGGCCTTGACATTTGGTGAAAGTGTGTTGTGGTTACAAGTATGGTGTTCATTGACGAATACTCGTCCACTTAAATGTGTCTCAGAACGGTACTCATTTGTCCGTGAATCGCCCGGACGTATCCAATAGAGCAGGTCACCACATGACGAATATTCTTGCCTATTCGGGTCAGCCTACCTCTACTACCTTTGCATAATGAACCGACATAGTAGCAAAAGTTGTGAGATACCAGTAGCGTCCAGCGTCCTCAAATCTCACCACGCAATCTATTTGTCAACTCAGCCTGACGGGACAAGGATCGCGCAAGGAAGCACTCGCCCGTTACCAATTAGAATGATTATAAGTCGAACACAGGCAATGACACAGTGCTTCTACCGGTAATCTTCCTGCAATGCGCAGAAGGTTATGTGTCCAGCACAATGGCGCTCTTAGGTCTATCTAGGAGCAGGTCCGTAACTCATGTCACTATGCGCTTGGGTCAAAACCCTTTTTAGGATGAAAAAAGGTCGATCATCTGTGAGAGACCCCCGTCCCTGCTTTGAAATGAAGCGCTTACAAATGATTGCCGCGTGTTATGCCTCGTCTTAGGTAAGCAGCGGAGTCAATTCCTGGGCTTTTCTGCATCACCTAGTTCCATCGCCAATCATCGCAAACGCCGAGATATCTCCACCATGGCGCACGATTGCGAACAGGCCAAAGAGCGAATGTAAAACTTGGATTTCGCATGATGTTGGTGTGGACATTGTGCAGTGCGTGATGGCATTCTTCCACGGGTGACAGCCCAAAGAAGCGCGTTGTTGCACGATAGAGAAGACAAAGAAAACCTGGATGATATACTGAGTAGGCCGAGCATATCTGAAAACATGCTGGGTATTCAAATATCACCTCGACGTCCCCAAGTCCCCCATAATTTGCCTCCTCCTTCCACGATAAAACCTCTCCAACATCTTCCTCCTCTCTTCCTGGCTACTACTCTCAACCAGTAGCGCAAACTCGGCTGGGTCATCAAACCCCATACTCTCCGCCATACTGCAAAACTGCCTCTTCCTTACCTGCTCATTAGGTCTGTACCGGTAGTTGATCTTGAACTCTCCTTTCATCGCACTACCCGTGATATGAACGTCGTCGTCATCAGCCCCGGAATCTTCAAGATCGTTGGAATCATTCAGAGGGCTAGAGTGGTGCTGCGGTTGTGATTGAGACTGCGATTGCGTGCCCTGGAACACGCGTTCATTACCCAGATCAACATCGTTGCGCAGTTCCTGTGCGCGCTTGCCCAGCCTCGCTTCCATCTCGCTGCGACCAATAACCTCGGAATTTTCATGCGTGTACTGCACACCAGCTTTCGCTAAGATGGCGTTGATCGGATCCGGCCCATTCCTTTTCACGACCTTCTTTCCCCTGGCACTGGCACTTGCCAAAAACGAATCAGCAAACCTCTTGATACCGGCGATGTTAGCGTCGTCATCGAGGCCCAGATTCTTGTTGCTCAGAATGTCCTCGTCTTCGCTGTCAAATTGCGACTCGTCGACGTGGAAGTCGTAGGCATTGACACCGGCTTTTGACTCTGCAACGTTGGTCTTATGCATGATGTCGCGGAGAAGTACACTGTGTTCTTCGAATGTGAAGAGGTTTTCTAGACCGAATAACTCGCCTTTCTTGGTGGACTGGTCCATTACGCCTTTGAAGTAGCGGCGCTCTTCAGAGGCATTGTAGCCGATGTTGGCCTGTTGTTGCTTGTAAATCTGACGGGCATAAACTACTTCTTCGATCGTGCCGCTCGAGATTAGGCGAAAGACCTCGACATTGCGTGTTTGGCCGATACGGTAGGCGCGATCTTGGGCTTGAAGGTCATATGCTGGGTTCCAGTGTGGATCCATTACGACGACCTTGTTGGCAGAGGTGATGTTCAGACCAACGCCTCCCGCCTTGGTGCTGATTAGAAAGACAAATTGATTGGGATCTGCGTTGAAATCTGCGACTGCCTGAGAGCGATCTTCGTACTTCATGCTGCCGTCAAGGTACGAAAAGTTGTACTTCGTACCATCCACATCGAAAAGACCCCTGAGTAGCCTCAATAGGCGAACCGAGTGTGAGAAGATGAGGACTTTATCGCCATTTGAGTACCAGAAGTCGAGCAATCGCCGCAGCACCTTCCATTTTCCACAAAACTCTCGCTGGGATTGTCTCAAGATGTTGTCGCGGATCGCGTAGAGTTTCTTGTACGTGTCAGGACAAGCTATCTCAAGTGTTTGGAGATCTTTAGCTTGCTTCTCCTGGTTTTCGCTCGACATTGGTACTATCAAACCGAGGTGATTCGCAAGTTTCTGGAATGTGATCATGGCAGGGAAAATGTAATTTGACCACTTCTCACCTTCGAATTCGACATGACAGCAATATCCTCTACCCTTCTTAGATCCACAGTCGCATTCTTCTCGTGCAGTGCGTATCATCTCACACCTGTCACTCTCGAGAAATGTTCGGTATGCATCGGCCTGGGTCTCGGTGAGCTGGCAGAAGATGATGCGATCGCTCTTCTTCGGTAATTGATCAGCAATAAGCGTCTTCATACGCCGAAGAAAGACACTAGGTAGGATGTTATGAACCAGGTCTTGTGCCTTGCTTCGCGAATCGGCCAGCTGCGCATTGGTAGCATCGTGAGCCTGACCTAACTTCAAGGGCAGGCTGATCTTCTGTTTCCACTCTTGTGCTGAGCCATATGCACCAGGTCGTGCCCAGTTGAGGAGGTTCCAAATTTCTTCGTATTTGTTCTGAATAGCCGTGCCTGTCAGACCAATACGACACAACGCGTTGATCTTGTTCATCGCCTTGGTAATCTCAGCATTCTTACTTTTGACTTGATGGCACTCGTCAGCGATGACGCAGTCCCAGTCGATCATGTTAATCTCGCTCTCATGATTGCGGTATGTTGTATATGTCGTGATCATGATTTCGAGCGATCCCTTCGCTGCGGCGCCAAGGACGCCCTTTCTGTCGGCTATGTTGGAGCCGTGGTATCGAGAGACGTTCCACCAACCCCACTTTGATAGCTCATCTTCCCAGTTTTGCATAAGTGTACCCGGACATACGATGAGTACTCGCGGATACCATGGTTCTTCGGGTAAGCGACGAATCTTCCGCATACAGGCTGCATCGCGCTCAGTGCCCGTTTTACCGAACGCTGCTGTTAGAAATGCGATGACTTGGATGGTCTTGCCCAAGCCCATGTCGTCGCCAAGTATGGCACCTGTCTGCTTGACAAACTTGTCATGAAGGAACTGGACGCCTTCAACTTGGTAGTCGCGCAGCCATTGAGCAATGGGCCCGGGTATGGTACCATGCGACTGGCGAAGTTTGATGTCCTCTTTCTCTCGTTGCGGCAGGATATCCTTGTGAAGCAATGGCTTCTCTTCGGTGTCGGCAATATCGGACCAGTCAACCTTTCGATAGCTAGGAGGATATCGCAGGCCAGCTTCATGCAACTTCTTCAGTGACCGCTGTCGCGAGATGATATAATCAGGAATCGGGTCGTCCAGAAAAGTAGGCGTAGGACCTGCATCATCTCCCAAAGAGTCGGTGGTGAATCCCGTCGGACCATATCCCGTGTCTTTCTTTGGCGGAGCTTTTCGACCGACGATACTTGATGCAGCCGATGCTTTGCTCTTCTTTGCAGCACGAATCCTGTTGGTTTCGGCAGCGACGCGCTTACGGTTGTGAGTCCTGCGACCCTTGTACTGCTTGTAGGCAGCACCAGTGTCGAATTCATCAGCCAACAAATCAGCTTCTGAATCAGCATCGTCAGTACCAGAAGTAGATGTCTTTCTATTTCGTGACACCTCCGGCTTTCGTACGTCCTGTTCGTCATCTGTTGATTCTTCAGCTACCCTCTGCGACTGGGCCTGGCTTTGTGTGAGGACTATCAGATATCAGCATCTTGTCAAAGGTGTTCAAGGCATCGACTAACCGTCAATATACTGCGAAAGGTCAAGATCTTTGCGCAATGTTTCGATGATGTCAAGACCGTCATCCTCGTCCTCCCCACTCTCGCCAAAGGCTTTGATCGCTCTTTCGTGATGCTTGGACTTATCGCAAAATGACATGATGGATGAGGCGACCGGGGTTTGTTGAGCTAGTCACTGGCAGCAACGCTTGACCGAAATTGTATCACATCCTCGTGCACAGTCACGGTCCACGACGATTGCCGTGGAAAGATGCACGTGAGGTGGGAGTGAAAGGGAAGTCGGAAGGTGCCACTAAGCTGCACAAACGCGCTAACGCGCTCTCACGTGAAAGCGGGGCGAGACTAACAGAGCATCCCTGCAAGAACTTCCAGCCAAAATCTGGAGCTCGAGCCTTGACGTCTACATCATCGCGCGCAATTGCACGTTTACGAACATCCAAACCCAAATTTAAAGCCGAACCTCGTGTCGCGTAACAACCAATACCTCCCACATTCTACGAGATCGCCAAAATGCCGCTAGACACCAGCACCTACTCCCTCGCGCTCCTCCGCCTCGACGGCCGCCGCTGGAACGAACTCCGCCGCATCCATGCGCAAATCTCCACGCAAGCCGCCGCTGACGGGTCCTCGTACCTAGAAATGGGCAACACCAAGATCCTTGTATCCGTGACAGGCCCCGCAGAAGGCAAGCAAAGCGGGCAACGAGGGGGCGCCGACAAGCTCGCCAAAGTGGAAGTCGAAATCAATTTTGCTGGCTTCTCTGGTGTAGAGCGTAGGAAGAGGAAGAGTGACAAAAGGACGAGCGAGATGGAGCATTGTCTGAGGGAGGCCTTTGGAGGTGTGCTGTTGTTGCACCTTTACCCGCATTCGACAATCACGTTGAATGTGCACATCATCAGCCAGGACGGCAGTTTGTTAGCGGCGTGTATCAACGCGAGTACGCTGGCGCTTATCGACGCTGGAATACCAATGACAGATTATCTTGTGGCTTGTACGGCGGCAAGTTCGGCAAGTGCGAGCGCGGCAGACAATGCGAGTGCGGATGATCCGTTGTTAGATCTGAACAACCAGGAAGAACTAGAGTTGCCATTCCTAACAGTCGGAACATTGGGAGAGAGCGATAACGTTGCTGTTTGTGTCATGGAGAATAGGGTCAGAATGGAGAGGCTAGAGAGTATGTTGGCGGTGGGTATTGAGGGGTGCAAGAGGATGCGCACTATACTGGATGGTGTGGTCAAAGGATATGGCAAACGATTTGGTTGAAAGAGAGACAGGATGTAACGTCTACAGATTCCATCATCACCTAGCGACGTAGGGTATGATACCTGCGCTCGAGGGCCGGCGAAGGGAAAGCCTTACGGCCCAGTGTCAGAGAGCATCCAAACCACGGAGTAGCGTGCGCGACGGACGAGTTACGTCAGTTGCAGACCCATAGTGGGATGCGAAACTGTTCGAATATATCACGGAACAACAAGACTAGAAATGATGGATACAAAACCCACGTGGTTTGCGATGTTGGTTCTACTACAGTGGTTGTCGGAGCGCTATTACTGCTACTTGGATGACAGCATCTACCACAGCTTGGACTTACACGAAATGTCTTCGCACTTGACCAAGTCTTTCCTGTTGACATAGAAATACTAACATGCATCCCTTATAGTGATGCCTCCATTGCGAATATCGCGACCGGAATTGTCTTTGTTGTTTTACGTCGCACCTGCCTGCTATGGCTCGCTAACCCCACAATGACGCCCCAGGACCAGCACACCGGTAAGCACTAGATGACGACTTCTCGACAACGTCGCGTCGTTATACTTAGAGCGCACCCCCATCTCAAGAACAGGCGTCTTTAACAAGATCCTCGCCAAAGGTATCAGGCGAGAAGCAATTAGCTGGCAAAAGGCGCGGCGTGCGGCCAGGTCAACAGAGCATGCCAGCGATCACGTCATTCTCATTCCTATCGTATCTCTTCATCTCCACTCCTTTCTCCATCATCTCTCTGTCTTCGTCAGCTACTCCATCATGCATTCTTTTCTCCCAGCCCATCGTCTCGGGGGCCAGGCCCGAATTTCCAAGCATTTGCCAAGCAGCGTTTGGCCTGGACCGACATAGTGCGCTTTACCATTTCATCGGCATTGCGCGCGGCATATGGCATATGGGGTTGCTTTGGTGGTGTTGGCTCCTGCTGCATGGGCGTTCTCCGTGCGAGGTGTGATTTGTTCACGCTTGCGAGTCGAGCAGACGCTCCGAAGTAGTGGATACTTGCGCGTGCATGTACTGAGGCTGACTGCCTCACATCATCAAAATCTCGATGTTGTTGTGCGTGATGGGAACTCTTTAGTCCCTTACAATGGAAGACTGCGCAACTGACAAGGTAAGCAAAAGCCTATACCGTCACTAGAAACGTTCCGACTGTTTGCACCACCGCCGACCTCCAAGCTAACATTCAGCCGCATAAAGACAAGCTTTGATTATCAAAGCGCACGACAGGGGACAGCGTGTAAGATGACGACGTACAATCTGTATCGGTCTTCCCTGACCCGTTGAAATGAAAGCCAGGGAAGCGTTTGAGTCAAGACATACAAGAGCTAGCAGGAGTAGATACCTGGTTCTAGAATTGCTTTAGTGGTGCGCGGATGTGTACCGGAAAGCAGTGAGTACCTCCGCCATGGAATGGCGGTACGCTGGTATAGTTACAGTGCTAACAAAACTAGCCTTGCGATGGCGGAGACGGCGGGGGTGGCCTTGGTACCCTCATTGTACCGGAAGCACGGCTCAAGGAATTGGGCCGAGATACGAGATCAGTGCACCAAACATTGCGACGACATCGGATTTCTCACCGACGATTCAACTACGGCAAGGTACTGCTTGCGTCTTCTTCGCCTGCCTCGACCCAGCCCATATTTATCAAGAGCACACATCCTGAATCGATGATTGCTTTCGTGAAAACATCAATATCTCTCAACCGGCATGCGGCACACCCCCGTATCGGACGTTTTTCAAAAGCCGCCGGCACTATGAATTGTGGACATCGAGTCAGTGAGCATAGCGGGATGTGGAGTTACATGTCATTCCCCAGCATGCGCAATTTTTCACTTGCTCACATGACAACTAGACTACCAGCTCGAAAGGGTGTGTCGAACCGTTCGTTATATGTCATTAGTATCCGTAGCGTGGCCGTGCATCCAATCACCAATCTGCCGGACCAGCATTCGGCGGAAAATGGGGTGGTAGCTTCGGGGGCTTTACCCCGACCCACGTTTTCCCCACACTGCACTCCACACGCATCGTCTTGGCAATCGTCGGCTCCAACTTATGGCAATCTCGACTGTGCCAAGCCTAGAGGAAGGCTGGGAGTTAGCACATGTTCCAAGCCAACGGTCCATCCGAAGTTTCCCCAAGCAGACGCAAGACTTCATTTTCCCTCGGATGTGGCGCACATGATGGCGGAGCATCGTAACGGGGTGTGTGAAGTCAGAGTACAAATACCTGGTACACATCCGTATACTGAGTGGCCAGTAGCATCCGAATCCATCTTCCACCTTTTGCCTAAACTCACACATCCGGCAAGATGGTCGCTCGCAACCGCAGTCAGCGCAAGCTGAACACCTTCACAACGCTGTTCTTCGCTGCAACAGCAATGTCAACAGCCATCCGCACTCCGGTTTCAAGTCGTTCAACATACCCACGGATGACATCACGATCGACAGAAATGGACTCCGCACCATACCGGGATGCTTCGCTATCGGTGGATGAGCGTGTGGAGGACCTCATTCAACGCATGAACATGGAAGAGAAGGCCGGACAACTCTTCCAGCAAATCACCTTCCCAGGTCCCAATGGGACTGTGACGAACTCTAGTTCATCATCAATCCAAGGGTTGCACATGACACATTTCAACCTTAACAGTGCGATCACCGATGTACGCCAAACTGCACAATATTACAACAGTCTCCAGCAGCTGGCTTTGGACTCCAGGCTCGGTATCCCAATCACACTCTCCTCAGATCCTCGACACACATTCGTTGATGCCACTGGTAGTCAGATTGCGGCGATCAAGTTCTCGCAGTGGCCAGGTAGTTTAGGCTTGGCAGCAATCCGTGATGCTGAGCTCGTACACACCTTTGCGGATATCGCACGACAAGAGTACAAGGCTGTCGGTATCAGGTCTGCGCTGCATCCTCAAATCGATGTAGCAACCGAACCCAGATGGGCTAGGATCACCACCACGATGGGTGAGAACGCTACATTGACCGCTGAGCTTGTCGTTTCCTACATCAAGGGCTTCCACGGCCCTGGTGAATTTGGAAGGGACTCCGTCACCACCGTCTCCAAGCATTTCCCCGGAAGCGGACCCGTTCAGGATGGAGAGGACAGCCATTTCACCTACGGCAAGAATGCCACATATCCCGGAAACAACTTTGAAATGCACCTTATCCCCTTCAAGGCGGCCATCGCAGCAGGCGCGAGGCAGATGATGCCGTACTACTCGAGGCCCATGGGCACCAAGTACGAAGAGGTCGCTGCTGGAATGAACAAGGGTATCGTCACCGATCTTCTCCGCGGCGAACTCGGTTTCGACGGCATCGTCGTCAGTGATTGGGGTCTCATCACCGATGGCATCATCGCGGGACAAGACATGCCCGCTCGTGCCTGGGGTGCCGAGAACCTGACCGAACTCGAGCGTGCAGAGAAGATTCTAAACGCCGGCACCGACCAAATGGGCGGCGAGCAGCGGACCGACCTGGTTCTCGAGCTGGTGGAGAAGGGCATCATAAGCGAAGAGCGAATCGACATGTCAGTCCGCCGTCTCCTCCGCGAGAAGTTCATCCTCGGCCTCTTCGATAACCCCTTCGTCGATGTCGACGAAGCCGTCGCCAACGTTGGAAAACCAGAATGGGTCGCCGCTGGTTTCGAAGCCCAAAAGAAATCCATCACCCTCCTCACCAACAAAGACTGCACCCTTCCCCTCAAGGCTTCCGACTGCGAAAAGTCAAAGGCAAAGTTCTATGTCGAAGGTATCAACGCTACTTATCTTGAGAAGCGCGACTTGACCGTTGTCGCTACCCCCGAAGAAGCAGACTACGCCTTCCTCCGCCTAGCTGCGCCTTACGAGCCCCGCCCCGGCGGTTTCGAAAAGAACTACCACTCCGGCTCCCTGGAATACAACAGCACCGAGAAGGCGCGCCAAGCAGCCATCTACACCGCCGTGCCCACCATCGTCGACGTCTTCCTTGACCGTCCTGGTGCTTTCCCTGAGATCGCTGAGCAAGCGCAGGCACTCATGGTGAACTTTGGTACTAGCCCAGAAGCATTCCTGGATGTAGTCTTTGGCAAGGATGGCAGTGGTCCCGAGGGAATGTTGCCGTTTGATTTGCCGAGGAGTGACGAGGCTGTTGAGGCGTCCAAGGAGGATGTGCCGTTTGACACTGAGAACCCAGTGTTCAAGTTTGGTCACGGTCTTAGATATGAGTAAGAGAAGCGGTAGTCCAGACGATGCGACGACTCGATGAGGTTGTTGCGGCAGTCATGATAGATTAATTTTTTTTGATGATACCCAAAGTCTTTGTTTCTGGTATAGAGAGATGTGATACGCTTCGTGATTAGCTTATACTATGCCGGCTCGGGCTGCCGGTGTTGTACATGTGCTATAGCACAGTATAGATAAGCACTTTTGTGTCGTAAGCATCGCCCAGATTGTCTGGATACATTTGCAGTCAAGTGTAGGGGGAGAACTTGTTGAGGTGTGATCAAAAAGAGCTAAGCGGGCAGTGTGCTTGGCAAGCGAAACGCGTCTTCCCCGCCTGCCGCGTCGCGTTCCAGACAAACTTCGACACCACCCTCCAGCTTCAGCCAAGGACAGGAACCTCGCACCTGCACATCACGACAGCAATTAGCGTTCGACATTTCTTTTATCGAGTGTGCCGCGGTGCGCTCTCTATTCAAACATGATTGATAGTGATTCATGTGAACAGCATAGACACGCTATATGTCACAGCGAAGAAGCCAGATATCACCACGATCATTTGTCCAAAGACATTCAAGACTTTATGTTTTATGGTACGTCATGTCCCAAGGAAATCTATGAGCACTATTTTTCCGATCGTGTCCACACGCGACAGAGCTCCATCAGTTATGTCAGTGTCGCGCGTGCCTTCATCGAGACTATTCGATCATTCTGACAGTTCCTGTTTACCATATACCTGAATCTCGGGAAGTCAAGCTCTTCCATTCCTCATAGTCTAGGGTACCTTCCCTAGTACTGATGACTTCAAAACGAGCGTCTTTATGACGAGGACAAGCTGTGGCACGTTTGCGAAGTTCCTGAACCAGCAGCGCTTCACGAGCGCCGGAAAAGGCAAATTTAGCAAACATATCGTCGCGGCCGAAACAATGGAATCTTCCATCGAGTGAAACCCTCATGTGTAGCTGCACAGAACGCAGTGTTGGCGTCTTACCCAGTATGTCCACAAGACTTTTCACACTAGAACTGTTAAGAGGCTGATCTCGTAGGAAGAAATCCCTAATTGCGTTCCGGTCGGCACTGCCTAGCATCGAACCTATCGTCATATCCAACGTCAGGGTTTTCAATTTCTTACATTCTCCTAGCAGCTTGATCATGGCTCGATAATTTTGGTGTTCAGTGTCGACAGCGGTTCGATCTACGTTCAAGCCAGCAAGAGAGCTCCTACCAAGGGGACCAATCTTCTTGAGGAACTGACAGATGCCGAAAAAAGAGGACCCAGTTGGCCAAACTGTAGTTGGACCCTGGTATGGGACCAGAACAACTTCTGTACCTCTTGCCGGATTTGGTTGTTCAATGCGCCAACAACATGCAATACTGAAATACTACGGTCAACTCGAAGCTCGGCGAGATCCATCAGCGAATATTGCGAAGAACGAACAGGGGAGAATCGACCAGCGTTGCCAGTGATCTTCAAAACTCCAGCGGCATGATGATCGTTTTCGGCTCCCGGTTCAGTAATGTATCTTGGCGTTATGGAAGGAGGGTCGAAGAGGGCGAGTTCGTAAATCATGTCCCGGATCTGAGGCAAGTCCACGAAGGACTTTCTGAAGGACTCACTTTTGGCCTTGCTGGTAAGCATGAGCTCCGGTCGCTCACGTATAAAACTCTGGGCTTGGTCCCAAAGCTGTTTCTGGTGTTGCCCGCGCATCTTTGTGAAATGATCCTCCAGCTTGTCGACCATGTATGCCTTGTTTCCAATTCTACCTAGCCTCTGCACTTTCATTGCTTTTTGGAGGTCCACGTTTTTCATCGACTCGAAGTCTGGCATGCGGTTGGCTTTCAGTGCGGCAAATCTTTCGCGGGACTTGATGTAATCGACGTAATCCATTCCGGGTTCCGGCGGTGATCTATTTCCCGAAAACATGGTTCCTGACAACATGTTGAGGCCGACCATACTAAGATTCCGGGTGAGCGAACAAGCGTAAGGTGTCAGAAGCTCACGATATCTATGTTCTAAAAGAGAGGGTGACAATTGGAACGAGCAGAGTACACGCTGTGATTGTCCACAAAGCAGCACCAACACGTGGAGTGGATCATCACAAGATGCTCAAGGACTGACTGGGCCTTTTCCGAAGTAGTTGTGTTGGTACAACATCATGTTTGCTGTTCTACGCGGAATTCTCAGCAGGGAGAGACAATGGTTCTGGCCCCGCCAGGAAGCAGATTCATCTCCACTTGGACGCTAGAACACATTCTACTGCGGAGTACCAAATGATCTTCACGTAACTTTTGAGAAGAAAAACCCTCAGGCAAGGGTACAAGTCTGGAAGTTCATCCCAAGACGCTAGGAACGCGGAGTGCACGCGCGTACACTGGGTCGCTTGCTACATGTCACGTAAGTTGGTTCGTTGGTCACGCTGAAACACACATATTCCCTAACGACATGAAATGCGCTTGCTATTCCAACGCTGCAGCTCTATAAGTATATCTTTCTCAATCCTTCTTGTTGATTATCCGGTAACGCAAGCTATGCGTTTCTCCTGACATCTCCAATCGAGGTGACCGTCGTTTGCGACAGTCTTTCCCTCTCAATGTCCAAGGTGACTACCGCCTTCACCTTGCGGTCAGACTCTTCCGGAGCCATCTGTCGCATTCTGGTTTTTACTTCTCGATGTGGAGGATCGCTTGTCTTGGCGCTATATGGAGCGGCTTCTTCTGAGTATATAATCCTTTCTCCACCAACTCTCCATCTTTTCTTCCTTATATCTATAGCAACAACAGTATCGATTACCAAGAGCTTCTTTTCTGACCAGTATTCAGCCTACATCGTAAGTTTACTAGGTCATTTCTTCGAAGGCATCTTTGCTAACGCGCTCCATAGACTACAACTTTGACATCACGAACTGTATCGAAGCAAACAACTTCAGCGAACAATCGATCAACGAAGACCGCAAGCCTCTACGATGTCTAACAACACTACATCCACCAACGCGATTAAGTACAAGCCAGGTCGCGATCGCCCGACTGGCTACATCGTCAATGACTTCGAGGCTTTCGCGGACACCAGTCTAGTGACCTGTTGGCGTACCTACAAGGGAAAGGCCGCCAACTACAACCACGACAACGATGTTGCCACTGTTGTCAATGTCAGCAATGCAATTGTAAGTTCTCTTCATTTCTAGTTCGGTTCGATTCTTTCCAACACTACTTTGTCCCTCCTGCGCTTTCTCGTTCACTCAAGCAATTAGTTGGTTGCCACCAACACGCTGTAGGACCTGGTTGAGAACAACGAAAACGCCATGGATCAGATCATCTGGGGTATGACCCACCCAGAGGATGTTCATCCCGGCGTTGCATCCATCGTCGGAAACAATGCCCTCGTCGACCTGCTCATAGTTCGTCACTACAAGAAGTGGGGCGGCCTTGTTCTTCCCCCCCTTCAAGCAGCGCGAGGGCTACAACATGCTCACGAAGTTGTCGCCGATCAAGAGAAGAATCAAGGACTGCAGTGGAATGGTGGTCGCTCCCTGATGAAGTACCCGAACTGGTAAGACATGAGATCAAAACTTAATGGTGCGATATGAGACTGACATTCACAGGCGTGACACTCGTAGCAAAGCTCCACCTCCCGGCTTTCGAGCACCGGTGGCAGCTCCTACGACTGCTCTTAGTCCTCGCAGTGATGCTGGTCGCGGACGAGGCGGAAATCGCGGTCGTGGCGGGCTCGGTGGTGGCTCCTAGTCGCTATGGGATAGTAGAGAATCTTGAAACTTACATGATTTGGGACGCGACGGATTTTGCTTAGCAGGCACGACAGCAAGGCACGACTACAAGAATTTATACAACCGCTACCAACTCCGACAAGGTCTCAAGTACTTGGGTTCAAGTTAGAATGCCCCTGTAATTAAGGAACTGTACGACCGCATCGATAAATGGGACACGGAGAACGCGCCCGAGGCGATTCTAGAGGGGATGCCACAGTATAAGCTTAAACATTCATGTCTTCCCTTGCCGACTCTAGACACTTCGGATAGAATACAATGAAAACAACAGTACAATTACGTCATGATCTGGATACCTTAAAGCATTCTAAGGGATGTCTTAGCGTAGTATATTCCTCTCCGTAGATTGATGTATACTTCGAGAGTGCTCGACATCTACCCCTTGATGGATTGGAAACTTAGGATGAACGACGACAACAGCCTTGCACTGCACGTCTCGATACTCAAACCCAACTAAAGTGTTCCTCGCTGAGCTATCGATATATTCTTCCCAGCATGTTAGGTCGATGTAACTGGTATAGCCCCTTGCCTTCGGGTACACGGGTTTACCCCGCAACGCACGCGCCCGCAGGGCCAACAGCGATCCGACCGTACATCAACTTAGAGAACACGACGTCCCAACCACCTCCCTCTGATTCGTCGATCACCCACACTACCCCAGTTCTACGTGGTCTTGCTTCTTCCTAGACGCCCCCAAAGCTGCGCTAGACCCAAACCTAAAATGCTACGTGATCGACCTATCCGGACTGATTCCGCTACTCCAAGTAAAACCCTGCATACAGGTGGTGAGAACAGTATGCGCGAATGATCGTAGAGACACGAATCACGAATTGCAGCTGCTGATTTGGCTCGTTGAATGAGTCTTCGCGGGATTGGCGTATTCAAGCGCGTTAGCTGACATGCAGTAGCCTTTCATGCTGGCCCATCCTGCGACGTGGCGGTACATCCGGTCCCGTTACCATGCAGTGCGGCTCTGTTCCGTGGCCTTTATATCTAGGCTGACTGACCATTTGGCAAAGTTATATATGCTTTGGCCTCGTTCGGGAGACCGAGAACTGGACCGCCTCTCTGAACACTCACCATCACAGCCATGTCTCTTGAACGCGTCGACTCAGTTGACCCTACGGAGGTCTACGACTACATCATCTGCGGGTAATTCAACCTCACTGAGAGAACGCTGCGCATCGCTCTCAGCCGATTATCCTTTGAGTAAACAAATGCTAATCGACAATCACTAGTGGCGGCACTTCAGGCTGCGTAATTGCAGGTCGTCTTGCCGAGGACCTCAATGCCAAGATTCTCGTCCTAGAAGCTGGGCCCGACAATGCTGATCTAGAGAATGTGCATATGGCGGGAGGGTGGAGCAAGAACTTCGACAGCGAGACAGATTGGAATATCGTGACCGAGCCCATGCCCAAGGTTGATAACCGACAGGTCAAAGTCAGCAGAGGACGCTTCCTCGGAGGTTCGAGTGGCGTCAATGGTACGCTATGTATTCGTGGCACAAAGCAAGATTACGATGATTGGGAGATGGATGAATGGACCGGAGATAAAATGTTCGAGTATATGAAGAAGGTTCGTTATTGAAGGCTAGAACGGCTGTAGCATGGAAGCTAACTTTGATACAGGCCGAGACTTTCCACGAGAAGGGCTGGCATAAAGCTGATATGTCGGTTCATGGGACGTCAGGACCTCTTCACACCGAGCCTCACGATCTAGCGCCTATTTCTGAACGTGTCAGAGAGAGTCTTGTCGACCAAGGCCTTCCTTACCACGCCGACATGTTTTCAACAGGAGAGACATCTCATGGATGCGGAGACGTACCACGAACAGTGCATCAGGGTATCCGGAGTACCGCCGCAGACTTCATCACCAAGGGCTATCGACGGGAAAATATCACTATCAAGACCGAAGTGACTGTCAACAAACTGCTCTTCAACAAGGATTCCGAGGATCTCACGGCAACAGGCGTCGCAACGATATCCAAGAACGGCAAAAAGATCGATTACCAAGCGAGAAAAGAAGTGATTGTCGCAGCAGGCGCATATTGTAGTCCACCAATCTTAATGCGCTCCGGCCTTGGACCAAAAGAACAGCTGGAAAAACATGGAATCGAGTGCCTCGTTGATCTCCCCGGTGTTGGCGGAAACCTAATGGACCACGTTCTCTGCTTCATCTTCTACGAAGTCTCCGAACCAAACCTGACGAATGACCACCTCGCATACCACGATAACGCCATAGCCTCAACCTACGCCCTCTACCAAGAAAAGAAGACTGGAATTCTCTCTACTTTCCCTTTTGGTATATTCGGCTACGCCCGCCTTGACGAGCGCCTCCAAGACTCGCCCTTGTGGGTCAACGCGCCCCGACAGTCAGGCCGCGACCCTATGGGTCTCACGCCCTCACAACCAAACATCGAGTTCTGGAACACGGAACTATATGGTGGGCCAAAGCAATATGAAGACTTCCCTATTGACCACAAACACGCTTTCGCCATGTGTGCGTTGTTGTTCAACCAGCATAGTAGGGGGAGTGTGACGCTCAAGTCTTCTGATCCGATGGAGAACCCGATTGTCGACCATGCCTACCTAGAAGACCCACTGGACATGCTGGTCATGAGCGAGGCATGTCGATTTGCGAACGAAATCATCATGAAAGGCAAGGGAACGAAGGATGTTATCAAGGGCAGTTGGCCGGAGGGTTTGGCACATCATGGGTTCGAGACTAGGGAAGAGTGGGAGCCGCATGTTAGGGAACACGCTACGACTTGTGAGTTGTCATTACAGTCTTGATACGTGATTTGAGGACTGATATCCATCCCTAGGTTACCATGCTTCCGGCACCTGCGCAATGGGCAAATCGGATGACCCGAATGCCGTCCTCGATTCTCGCCTTCGCGTCCGAGGTGTTCGCAACCTGCGTGTCGCGGATGTGTCTTCTATCCCCAAGGTGAACAACGGACATACGCAGATGGTGGCGTATGGCATCGGAGAGGGAGCAGCAGAGATGATCAAAGAAGATGCTCGAGATGGCGGGAATCACTTCTTGAAGCTTACGGATGATATCAAAAGTATGGCGGTTTAATGGTCATTGTGTTCGGCGGCTACATGAGTGTATTTTTGATGGGTCCACGCCGATAGTGTATCGGCAGAAGTTGTACTCTAATCTATATCTTTCGTTCTTGAACTTCCATGACAGAAGACGTACGCCCGCGTGTAGTCTGTACAATCCTCCTCGCCTCGTTCCTATCTCTAGCGTCATCTGTTTTGCCTTTCTTCACGTCCTTCTTCACCTCTGTATTTCTCGCATCATCAACCACTCGTTCGTATCCCCAAACCAAACCCCCAATAACAACACAAACCATCAGAATCAGGTCAACAATGTGTATCCCCCACCACCAATGTTGCACACCCACACCACACGAGCTAAACTCAAAAACCCACTCCCCCTTCTCTTCCTCGAACCACGCAGACAGGAAACCAGCATAGCCAGAGTACTCGCCCATCATACTGCGGAGCGTAATCTCGCGGATATGGGGCGCGTCGTTAATAGACGTGCATTCGTCATCTGCATGGATATCATAAGGACGATTTGGGAAGCGCTGGGCGCGCCATTTGGGCGGTGGAGGTGGTTCGGAAGCCGGTTCCAGAGTAGGCTCTGGTGAAGATTCAGATGTTGATTCTTCCTGAGTGGGGTCGGTCTCGGTTTGGATAGCGGTATCGGTATCGGTATCGTTGGCAGCTACAAAGTTAATATCGACCCCATCGATATCCATCGAAGTGGCAATCATGGTGTCGTTCGCGGTGCTAGTTGGCCAATATGCTTCCTCCCTTTTCACGTTCGCCACCTGACATGTGTCCTGCACGCCGGGCTGCCTAATCCAGTGCATAACATCACAACCAGCGTGATCATGTCCATTAACGATAATACCCCTTCTGCCCTTGCCTCCACCCTCTGCATCTTTATTTGAACTCATGCCAAACATTCCTTCCAAGACGATCTTACTAGCGTGATCAGACAGCATATTCTGTTCCTTCAATCCTTGGCCTCCCTCAAAGAAATCGAAGTATGGAGAATCGACGCAGATACCAGCTTCCTTTTCGAGCGGAATATGTGTGAGGAGGATGGTAGCGTGCGTTTTGTCGGCGACAGGCAGGGAGGAGGTAATGATGTGGTTGATGAAGGAGTAGGTTTCTGTCTGGAGGTCCGAGGACCAGGCGGGGGTGTCTAAGTTCATCGAGTTGAGGATTACAAGGCGGAGGGTTGGTGGTCTGGCAGCGTCTTTTGTAGATGAAGATGGGTCGGGAGGTTGGTCTGGGTCGGTTGGATCGGTTTTGTTTGAGCGCGATTCGTCTGGCAGTGTGAACCAGATATCCCAGTTCGAACTTCCAAATGCCTTCTCAAAGCGTTCGATGCGCGATTCGTCGATGTCACCGGCGTAGCCAACGTCATGGTTTCCGACGATGTTTATGACGCGCTTCTGCCAGTCTTTATCTGCACCGAGTACTTCTGTTGTACCACCCCACAGCGGCTTCCTCTCCTTCTTCTTCTCTTCCTCTTCTACCACGTCTTTTCCCTCGCCTTCTTGTTCTTGTGATGCTTCTGCTGACGGCAGCTCCGTGTTTTCACTCCCGATCGCGCCAAAGATAACATCAGGTACCTTCTCCAATCCCCTCATAACAACGTTCCAATACCGACCTGCTCTTTTCGTGAACTCGCCATCTGTGACCCACTGACTGCCCAGCAAATCACCCAAAACACTGATGTGCGTGGGTTCAGTCCACCATGTTAAACTTCTGACTATATGCGCAAGATACCAGTCATTGCCCCAAAGATCCACCGCTTTCCTCTTTCCCTCTAGCCACTTTCCAGCATCTTTTACAACACCTCGTGCTGCTTGGTCTAGAACATGTCGTTTCGCTGTGTAATTGGCGGCATCGCGTACATTCGGTACGAGGTTCTCGATCGACGGGAAGACGAGCGCATTCGGATCCGGAAGCGAGGAATCACCCTCAAGCTGGGGATCACCGAGAGAGAGTAGACGGAACGGTGCGACGGCTTGCGCGTGCGTAGACGAGGGTTTAGGAAAGGCGCAGCCGTGGAAAACAGGGTACAAGTATAGCCATGTTGTGCCGATCAAGGCTATCGGTAATAGCAGCAAGGCGACGCGGAAGAGAAAGCGAGAGAGCTGCATCTATGCCATCTATGCATGACGGAAAGGAGACGATGATGTTTTCACATGCTGGCGCGTGGAGAGAGCGTGTCTTGGCCGCGGAGATGAATATGCAGGGGTCGTGGTGTGGCCAATGGTGTTCGCGCGTTTGCGGAGCCATGGCAGAGCGGGGCAGGCATTTTGGCAATACACTTGGGCATCTTCCAGGAGCAGCTTCAAGCATAGACACCTTGATAAATGTTATGTCTCATTTTGATTTCTGAAATATCCTATGCCACCACCGTATCTTGCTTTTCGAGCCTTGACCACGAGTTTCGTTGGACTGGTCTTCTGCGTTCTTACGCAGGATGACCCTAAAGGGATTGTGTTCTCTCAATGGCATGATGGGAGATTTTCCGTAATAATACTCTTCGATCTGATCGTACAAGTCCGGGTTTTCCAGAGCACGCCGCTCGTATTCTTGTGTATCGCCAGCACTCGACAAACCCGCCGATTTATAGCGCTCCGGATCAACCGTAGACTGTGGTGGATCAATTCCAGTCCAGTCTCGCACGTTCTCAGCGTTGAGGATATGAACGCGAATGACTGTCGGAGTCTCTGCCCAAGAGCTCTGAGTCTCTTCTTCTTTACATGCTTCGGGCTGCCAGATACGGTCGCCCGGTTTTAAGATCATCTTATGACTTGCGAAAAACGCTGGTAGGCATCCGGATCCTCCTCCAGTCATTCTCTCAACCAGGTGAACGGCTGTCCCCTAAACAACCTTAGCTTATGCGAGATCTCAAATGTGGGATGTGGGGAACGTTACCTCCGCGATACCATTGCTGCTCAGAGTAGTGTCTTCGGAAAAACGTCAGCATAATGACTTTCTTCTCAAACCTAAGAGACTCACCGTCCTCTAGCTGCTTTCCACGAAACACGATCCTTTGCACATTTTTGGGTACACCCATTTCATGTTCTATTCTTGATTTGAGCTGGTCAACTGTAGTCACATCATTGATCGGAATATTGACCTCTTCCATATCCCGTATCGTGACAATGATCCCAGCCTGGTTCAACACATCTTTTGGTGTTCTGATGGCGAGCGATAAATCATCCACGAGGAGTTCGTCACTTGAGTTTATCTGAGATCTCATCACACTTAATACGACGGGATCAAAGTTGTAGTACATGTCCAGTTACCTTCTAGAAGCAGGTGCTGCAACGAATTGTCGAACACATCCCGGAGAATCGGAATCGGGTAATCCATCGAGGTAATGGCGCCAGCCAACAATACAGTGTGCCTTTCTGGAGGTATGCGATCCGACTGTTACATTGAACTTTCGACTGGAGCCAAAATCGACGTACATAGCTTCGTCATCTAGTCATTTCAGACTTGCTTCAACTTGTACTCTCAATGTACGCCGAGACAGCCGAAATTCGCTCACCTCGCATAGCAATGAACCACCCTCCAGCGTCCAAGATTGATCTGGGAAGACCACGGTACTTCTTGACATCGTACAACAGGTAGGGTCCCAGATCTGGGGCGTAAAACTTCTCGTCGTTGTCGGGAACCTTGCAAGTACGTCGAAAGCCCAGTACGATTTGACCATATCCTGCCATGGTAGCAGAAAGGTGGGTGCATCTACCAGTCAAGCGATCCGTTCTAGCAGGCGCGATGGCTAGTTGTGCCATGTCGTTCCAGACACTGCCACAACCACGAGCAGATACGTGCAGTCTTCCAACAAGAGGGTGATTGTCCTGAGAGAAAAGCGAGCACGGGTAGTGTATGAGGGTAGCTGACTGATCTGCTTTATCTATGCCAGTTCTACCTAAGGAAAATACTACTGGTGGTTATGCAATTCGTGAACCTGCTCAGCTGCAATCTGATGGCCAGTGAGAGGGTTTTCAATCTGAGATGCAGGCGCCCAACCTTCCTCAGCCGCACTTTTGTGACGTGTCAAGCTGACTCAAGCAATCTCTGCCATTCCGATGACGCCACGAGATTCTGATCCATGTTGGTCCGCATATCATAGCGATCTTCGCAGCAGGGCACTTGATCGAGAACGGACCTATGCCGCCAGATTTCCTCTCGGGATCTCACCTCGCACTGAAAGCCGATGATACGATATTCAACATGGAGTTTCGAAAACTGGTTATGATTTCATCAAAGCGTGCCAACAGCTTCATCACCACAGCTGATGCGAGCTTCTAAGTTTCCAACCCTCGATTGATTCAAAACCGGTATCAGATGGTTACCAAGCCGAACAACATCACCTGCTGTGGTGACAGCGGACTATCCGTAGCAGCAAATGTCATCGGCATCTTGACTTTTGTTCTCGGCGCGGTTTTGACCTACTTCGCATATTTATCTCTTTCTTTCAAAGCTCTAAAAGATATACAAATGATTCGTGAGGATCACCAACGATGGTGTTTTGAGATGGATACGATCACCCTTCATTGTCAAAAACAGCACGGCCAAGAGAACCCTACTTTCTCGCGCTATACTCGACAATTGCAGGCAGGACTAGATCGCTTCAATAGAGTTTCAGAGTTCATGGAACATGATCTCAACAGTCTACCAGAGTTCGATACGCAGAACGAAACCCCACACATCTTCCAAATCCGACGTCGCGTGCTCTGGGCTTTCAGGCGTCAAAAAGCTGTTGAGCATTATGATCAACTGTTCAAGATCAAAAGTGAGGTGCACTCAATGTTTGTCTCCTACACGACCGAGTAAGTCGCCCAAGCTATTGTTTCCTCATGTTCCTTCTAACATGTATAGACGGATTCTGGACGGAAAAGTATGAGGCGGAAGCACATCCTGTTGCCGTAGAGAGCTTCGCCTGTTTCAGTTGCAGCCATTCACTCCGTAGTCGGATCTATTTTGGAGACTGTAATGAACGAGTGCAGGATTGTACAAGTTGTAAGAAGAGAGATGATCGCTTTGTTTCCACATGCTGCACGCGCCAACGATTTAGTAGGGCCAGCAGCACAGCCAATGAGAGCTCCGCATTTGCGGAGAAACATCACAGCTCCCATTGCGTTCATCAGACATACGGGAAATTCGTATATCGTCTATTACGCTCTCTTCATTCTCACATCATACGCCACTTTTGTATCCATATTCCAAACCAAGTAAAAAAGCGCATGGCATACTATTTGCCCTCCCTTCTCCCACCAACTTAACCAAGCAAATCCCCCAGCGCACCACCAGGCTTAGATCCCGACTGAGGTGCTTGTGCAGCAGGTGTACTGGGAGTAGAAGCCGGCGCACCCCAAAGCCCCTGACTAGTCTTCTGCTTGGCCAAGTCACCCATAGTGACCTTCTGCGTTGGTGTACCTGCCTTCTTCGGCGCAACACCACCAAGCAAGCTCGCAAATGCATCACCACCAGCTTTCTTGGGGGCACCACCGCCGATACCACCGCCGATGCGTCCACCGGGCGACATTACAGAAGGCGTGGATGACGCTGATTGAGGCGCAGGCTGAGGCACGGAAGTGAAGTAATTGGGACCCGAGGCTTGGTAGCCTGAGGGCTGGGGTGGAGGTTGCGAGAAAGAAGAGGTCATGGAGGGGGGTGCGCTCATTTTGTTTGCAGCAGGCGGTGGTGAAACCGTTGCGAGCAAGTTGCTGAAGTTGTTGTTCTGGGCTGAGGACTGGGCTGTCGGTGCGGCGAATTGAGTTGACGAGGTGATAGTAGATGTCGACGCAGGAGAGACGATGTTGTAGGCTGGTGCGGCTGGCTTGGATGCAGGTGCTGCTGGAGCTGCAGACTGGAAGTCGTCGAAATCATCGTCGTCGCCGAAGTCGTCGCTTGGAGCAGCAACGGGCTGCTTTCCTGCTGAGGTCGACATGGGCGCAGGCTCGTCGTCAAAAGCGAGCAAGTCGACAACGGGCTCTGGTGCTTTCGGCTTAGGCTCCTCCTTCTTCGGTTCTTTCTTCGCGTGCGTGGTTGTGGGTTCTCTCCGCCGTGCTGGTGCTGGGCTAGCACTTTCGCCCTCGTCATACTCGTCGTACTCGTCGAACTTGTCGCGTCGCTGTTGTGTGTCCGCGAAGCCAGATTGGTTGCCTCCAAAGCCACCGCCGTCGCCGTAGACCTCTCCTCTGTAGCCACCATAGTCTGCCTGCTCACTGCCAAACCCTCCGTACCTGCTACCACCCCCGCTACCGCTTCCTGAGAAGCCACCCATGCCGATGCCGGCTCCGCCCTCGACACCACCAAACTTGTTTCGGTTCGCTCGCGCCTTCTTGCGCTCGGTGCGGATGCGGTCGACGTCGCTAAGAAGTTCGGCGAGCTCCTTGGCGCGGTTGCGTACGTTGATGCCCTGGTCTTTGCCGTTCTGGTCGATGAAGTGGAATTGTCGTAGCATCTTGAGGAGCGAGACGTGAGAGCGCGCATCGTCAATGACTCGTTCTGAACCGTTCTTGATCAGGTATTCGAGGAGTTGCAGGGCCTGGCTTGTTAGCGATGCTGGCGACAAGGAGAGCGCCCAAGTACCTTGTAGATCTGTCTCCATTCTTCCGAAGCCTTCTCTGTGAAGCGCTTGTAGATCATGGGCATGATCTCGTTCAGCAGTTGGCTAATTTGTTAGCCATGATCCGCCAGGTCCCCGGGCATTGCCTACTAGTTGAAGGTTCCATTGGCAATCTCCTGTAGCATGGTCGATGATGCACCTGGCCGCCTGTCAGCTGCATTCTTCGCGAGACGCCAGGCTCGGCTTACCCCATGGCTCATTGTTTGTTGCCTCGCGGACCTTGGCCTCCATCTCTGTGTAGTTCATCACCGCTACGAAGCGCGTTAGCATTGGCCAGCTGGCTTCACCCTTCCCCTCAGCATACCATTTTGGGCCTTGCGGAATCCCGCCTTGAGGTCGTAGAGCGTGAGATTGCTCACTTGATCCTTTAAGCTATTGAAATCCATGGCTGTAGACTTGTGGCGCGTCGGTCTGGCAATATGGTAACGTGAGTGTACTGGAGTCGGGGCGGCAGCTGTCGACCACGGTCTCGGGAGCGGACCACCGAGGGCGAATTGCAAAGGTCGTTGAGAGGGAACTACTATGCGTTTGCGCCAGAGGTGTCCCGGTCACGCGAAATATAATCGGGAAGACTGCAAAGATGTCCGCTTACAAGAATGTTTACCTTGTCGCGAGCCATGCTCATGGTACATGGTAAACGGCGATGGCGGCCCAGCGCTCACGTGATCGAAGCTCGGGCCTTTCCAAGCTATCCAGATATCTATGATTCTCAGTGAAATAACACGCCCTGGGGAGATGCACGACTTGACATACGAAAAGTGAAATGTGTTAATGGTGTCGCGCACCTTGTCTAGAAGTACCGGTAGTGAAGATGAATTATCTCTGTCGTAGTCATGTATACAGCCCTCGATTGATGCGAGCAATGGAGCGCCGGATCGGGGAACGCGCTAGACTCGTGCACAAGCTCGAGGTATCCAAAGTTTTCCGTCTGGTCATCCATCCGACCCTTCAACTGCTACCTCGTGTCGGCAATTCATCAATTGTATTATATTCCTTGAATCTTGCATATCGTGTTGCATAGCGGCCCGATTCTTCTTATCATTCCTGTAAGTTGCCACCAGAGTCTTGCTGGAACCCGGCCATTGTGTTGTGAATAGCTATCTGATAGTTCCAAAGGTACCACCCAGAGTGAGTTCCCACCCAACAAGAGTGGCACCACAGACGTCAGTCCTGCATTCCCAGCAGTGTCTAAACGCACAATTACCTTGCTATCTCACGATTCACTGCCAAGAAACAGGACCTAACTGCTTATCAGGTTAGACTCACACCCCGCGCTGCATCATGCCCCACCTTCCGAGAGCTTCTGCTCTTTCAGCTTTCCGTGCAGCTCCCCAAATCCGCGCTCCTATCAACAGACGCTTCTTCACTCCTTCAGCATACAACATGGCCATCAAGGCTTACTTTGATTGCTCCTGGACCGGGCCTACCATTGAGGTCGACAACGCCGGCAACGTCACCAGCCAGGGCGAGGTTAAGGGTAGCTACGGCCACTTTCACATGCGACTTTCACCTGCTGACTACGAGCTACAGCGCAATCCGGTCGCGTCAACTTCGAGCTCTTCGACGATGTCGTTCCCAAGACGGCCGAGAACTTCCGCGCTCTCTGCACCGGCGAGAAGGGCTTTGGCTACCAGGGCTCAAAGTTCCACCGCGTGATTCCTCAGTTCATGCTCCAGGGTGGTGACTTCACCCGCGGCAACGTCAGTCTCGGCTTTCCATACAAAAAGACAGATGGCTAACAGATGTTAGGGCACTGGAGGCAAGTCCATCTATGGCGAAAAGTTCGCCGACGAGAACTTCAAGTTGAAGCACGACCGCCCCTTCCTCCTCTCCATGGCCAACGCTGGCCCCAACACGTAGGTTTTGTATACTATACTCTATAAGGAAGAGTCATGGCTGACACGTCATAGCAACGGCTCCCAATTCTTCATCACCACCGTCGTTACCTCATGGCTGAACGGCAAGCACGTCGTCTTTGGTGGTGTTCCCGATGGCGATGTCGAGTCCTACAAGGTTGTCCGATCAATCGAGGCTTGCGGCTCCAACAACGGAAGCATCAAGTACAAGGAGGGCCCACCTACCATCACTGGTGCTGGCGTCCAGTAGATACATCTCGGCGAGGTGGGATGGCGCCATAGAGGCAAGGGTTCATGCGCAACTGGTGGTTTATAATTGTGTAGCACCTGTTAGTGAGACTCTATGTCTCTGTGGGCAGCTATGAATGAACGAACTCTGAGCAGTCTAACGTGCCTTTTCATGCTATTGAAAAACTTTCTTCCATCTTGCGCATGCGGCATTTGCCCTGCGGTCTGTGACTTTTTTGTCGCAATGAGGGGCAGTTTTTACCCCGCACTCGTCATAAGTTTGTACATTCCGCACCACAACAACTTACGCGGAAGCGTCCTTCAAGTGGCTTTGGCATCGATTGAGTTTATGCTAATCGATGGACTTATAACTTTTTGTTGAGGTCTAATCTATAGACGAGATTATTGGGGCCCCGTCCCACAATGCCATCACCTTGATAGCTCTGTATACCCACTCCATCCCCAGCTCTGCCACGATTGTGTCCACAAATTGCCGATACAGCTCCACCCTAATGGCGTGAACGGCTAGATCTAGCGGTCTTCGTCCGCAATTTCGCCGTCTAGGGCGTGATGTCGACATCTTCGACATTTCGACATTTTGACAAGCAATGTGTTTAATTGGACATATCCAGGACAACATCTCATAGCCTTTCGGTTTATTAGAACGACTGCGACACGCACATATACCACTTCATCAGCATTGAACTCGGAGCACATCGAACAACTCGGAACTCAACGGACGTCTACAGACGACAACTACAATCATCATGCCACCATCAGCATACCACCCCTCGACCCACGGCGTCCATGCCGACGACCGCATCAACATCCTCACTGACGTCGCCCCACCCATTCATACCGCAACCACCTTCCGATATCCTCACGACCCATCGCAACTCCAACCTGTTCCCACAGAAGGCGAATTCGTCGACCTCCAGACACCTTTGATATACTCGCGCCTCGCATCCGCCAGCACAAACCGACTGGAAACCATCCTGGCCCCACTAATGTACCCGGATGCTAAAGAAGAGGAATTGAACGGACAAAGTGGGTTGGCAAATCATGTTGTTAGCTACACAAGCGGCCTCAGCGCTTTCCACGCTCTACTCGTCAACCTCGTACCCAAAGTTATTGCGATAAGTGGTGGATACCACGGCTGCCACGGCGTTATAGACCTGCACAAGAAGATGCACGGTGTGAAGACTGTCGACCTCCATGCCGACGACGCTACCTGGGACGCTGCGGGCCTGGGAAAAGGTGACCTGGTTCATTTGGAAACACCACTGAATCCTACCGGCGAAGCCTTCCACATCGCCAAATACGCAGAACGGGCCCACGCGCGCGGCGCATATTTGAGTGTTGACGCTACGTTTGCGCCGCCGGGCTTACAGGATCCGTTTCGTTGGGGCGCGGATGTGGTTATGCATAGTGGGACTAAGTATATCGGGGGGCACAGCGACATGCTTTGTGGCATTCTAGCGGTGAAGAAAGGCGAGGAAGGGTTGAAGAGAGCGAAGGCGCTGCGCGCTGAGAGGATCTTCTTGGGTGCTGTGCTGGGCAGTCTGGAAGGCTGGCTCGGAGTAAGGAGTCTGCGGACTTTGGACTTGCGTGTTCAGCGGCAGAGTAGTTCTGCAGATAAGCTTGTCCGCTGGCTGCAGGATTCCCTTGATGGCAAGGGTGAGGGGAAAGAAGCGGAGGTGGTGAAGACAGTTGTGAGCAAGATCTCTCATGCTAGTCTGCAAACGGCGGATTACGGTTGGCTTAAACAACAGATGCCCAACGGTTTCGGCCCCGTCTTCAGCATCTACATGAAGACGCCACAACTCGCACGTACCTTACCTAGCAAACTCCGCCTTTTCCATCATGCGACTAGCTTGGGAGGTGTGGAGAGTTTGATCGAGTGGCGCAGGATGAGCGATGCAGAGGTCGATGAGAGGTTGCTGAGGGTCAGTGTTGGGGTGGAGAGTTGGGAAGATTTGAAAGGGGATTTGTTGGGTGCCTTCGAGTCGTTGGGAAACGATCAAAAGAACGTGACAGATAGAACGATTAATGGAGGAGAGGTGCAGCTTGGACAGGAGGGGGCGCAGATGCCGGAGGCGGGTGCTGGCGCTGTATGAAGAGGTATGTGGTGTTGAGAGATGCCGACAGCAGCGGTAATGGTATTGCAGATTAGGTCTTGGCGTCGTGAACACGCGTCAATGGTATCAGCGAATTTCTGAGGTTGTCGCTTATATGATATGAATAGTTATAGATAAAGGCCGATAGTTCTGCTTTCTTGTGGCGCGACTGAGAGCGACGTACTAGTTTGGTATTATGATTAAAGTTCGTCTAGCTAACTTGAAGTGCCGGCAGTGTACCAAACTGTAAGAACACGGGTCGAATCAATACCTTGATTCTGATTAAGACTGTTCTAGTCAGGGTCAGAGAAGACGCAACGAAGCCCTCCCACGCGGCCGACAGCTTTGGACCGACGCCGTCGACAGGCTTGCCTTAAACAATGCTGGCATACTCCTCCAAGATTGCAAACCATGTTTAGTGATATCTGAACATTATTGGTTTACGATGTGCCAGCACGTTGATCGAAATAGATCACATGATGCACGTGTAGGGAATTACCTGGGTAGCTTTAGAGTTTCAAGATTTAGTAAGCTGATTGGCATGCGCGTGACGCCAGATCTGTGGCAACACGTTGCAATGACCTAGGGATCTTCAAGTATCTCTCAAGGTACTCCATTGCTAGAGACGCAGACATCGTATCATCTGTGAGGCTGAGAAAGGACGCGAGATCAGACAAGAGCAGACGTCGACGATACTCGGCGTGGGTATATGTGGGTCCCCGACGCTTTCCGCAGCCAGAACGGCCCTCCTCGCGGCGCGCTATGCTACCCGTCAAACCATGACAAAAATTTGCTTCTTCTCCATAGCAGCCGATACCGGTGCGCATGGTACCGATCCAGAGCCCTGAGTGGAGATGATGTGGTCAGGAGAATTGAATCCTGGGGCTGGTCCTGCGTAATATGAGCGATGCCGCCATGGTTACGCTCGGCTCTCAGCGTCGGCGGCAAACCCAACACAGATCGCGACATGAGCTGTGCTGGGCGAGATGACGCTAAAATGAGGAACGGCTGAATGTGCATTTCGCCGACTGTGGGGTAACAGGCATTGCATGACAATGCGAGGTCACGATGGCAAGCTTGGAGATACACGGCCATGGCAAAAGCAACGACCTCGAATTGAGTTTAGGAGCTGATGTCACGTCACCGGCTTTGAAAGCGGGCGCAATGAGTTTGCCAGTCACTAGGCATTACATCACACGCGACAGTTCGCCATCATCACATCAAAACGCATGTCGCCATAAACACCAAACATGTCGACTACTCCACAAGAATGCGTGACAGTATTGTCGAATCGTCGGTGTTTCTAGCACGGGCGATAAGCCGGGAGTCTGCGTCAGTCTGGCACCATCTGGAGCAACAATGAAGCCTCACTAGTGCGACATGGACGCATCCGACGCAAGCCGAGCATCGTGCGCGACATCGTGGATCACCAAGAGTACCAACCATGGTATATAGGGGCTATCGAACACATTGTAAAAAGTCACAAGACCTCTAGAATTGCTCTTTCTGTCAAATTTGCCGGTATCGACATTAGAGAGAATAGTAATTCACAAACTCCGGCCATATATTACACCACTTGCATACGCCTCCGAGTGTAAAGTTCACCAGCTTCAACTCACCACTTGAGCGTCCAAATCACACACAATCTCAAGATGATGCTCCGGAGACAGAACCTCCAACGCTTCCAGAGCCTTGCCCTGGCACACACATCCCGGACTCTCGCATCGACACCGCGTTACGTCTCACAGAGCGCACGGCAGAATGTCTCCGTCCCCGCCGACTCATCACAAGTTTCCACTGCACATCTCCTGTCCACACAGCCGGAGTCACAGATAGCGCAAACGAAAGCAGTTCTCGGTCGCCTACCCACAGAGACCGTCCTCCGCTCCTACCTCATCACTGCCGTATCCTCAAGGCCTCTCCTACTCAATGCTTGTTTCGGAATCCTGAGGCGTATGCTTGACTCCAAGTCTTTCTTGTTGAGCATCGAGCGCAACCCTGTATTGTCCAACTTGCTTAAGAAGACATTTTACGCGCAATACTGTGTTGGCGAGAAGAAAGATGAGGTTGTCAGGAACACTGAATTCGCACGTACGCTCGGTTATGGTGGTATCCTGTTCGAGTATGCGCTTGAGGTACTTGGTGGAAAAGCGCCAACTGCCGAGGAAACCAAGATGGAGATTGAAGTGTGGAGGAAGGGAATGCTACAGAGTGTCGACATGGCCAAGGAAGGCGACTTTGTTGGACTCAAGTAAGTTATCTTCTTGGTTCCTCTCGTGGAGATATTCTAACCACCATTCAGATGGTCCGGTCTTGGTCGCCATGCCCTCAACCTCCTCCAGAACCAACAAGAAGCCACTCCCGAAATGTGGTCCGCTATCACTGCCGCTTGCGACGCTGCCGCCGCGAAAGGTGTGAGCCTCCTACCCGGCGCTGAAGAAGAGGCCACGAACCTTGGCCTCGAGAAATGGACCCTTGCCCTGCAAGAAAAGTACAACAAGCCTGAAAACGGTCGCGCCGTCCTCTACATCACCTACCAATGCTACCTCCGCGATATCTCCAAACGCATGGCTGCGCACCTTGAGCGCGCCTCAAAGAAAGGCTACATCGCGGGTGTCAAGCTTGTCCGTGGCGCATACCTCACTTCTGAACCCAAACATATTACCTTCGACACCAAAGCGGGAACAGACGCCAACTACGACGCCTGTGCCGACGCTGTCGTCCGCCAACAATGGACCGACAAAATCCCCGCCCCTACTCCCGGTACTCCCTTCCCTCGTGTGAACATTGTCCTTGCAACGCACAACCTCGCTTCCGTCCAAGCCGCACAGAAGATCCGCGCCGAGCAGATGCTTACTACGTCTCCTGACCAACTTCCCCGTCTCACATATGCACAGCTGCAAGGTATGGCGGATGAAATTTCTCAGGCGCTGGTTCAAGATGAGACTATGAAGGCGGATACGCAAGCCAAGGTTGTCAAGTGCATGACCTGGGGTACTACGACCGAGTGCCTCAACTTTTTGCTCAGGCGCGCAAGTGAAAATAAGGAGGCGGCGCTGCGCACAGAGGATACCCGCAAGGCGATGGGTAAGGAGCTTTGGAGGAGGTTGAGGGGCGTTTTTGGCCTTGCCTGAACACATTGGAGATGCAAAAGAGAACGAGAGAGAGAGAGAGAGATCTGGATTTTTCCCTTTGTTACGAAGCGAAGCATTTTTGGTATGAAGCATGAGCATGAGCGTGGCGTTTTTCCCGTTTTAACATTTTGGGAGGGATGGTTGGAACTCGGTTTCGGCATGTTTGTCTTTCCTGCCTGTCATGGCAGATGAGAAATTGAGTTTGATTTGCATAGCGATTGTCTAGTTGTAAACGATATCGAAGAATCTGATATCGGTATGAACATTACTCATGAACTACTTCCACCTTGGAGTCTTGCTATGGTGTTGGTTGCTCGAGTAAAGTGGGTACATCGAACGGTACTCGGTATTGCTGTGGTTTCTCGTGATCGGGTTTACCCCACATCGTTGCATACTGCATTCATTTCGTCTCAACAAATGAGTTCAGAAGATATCTAATTTTGCCACTCTTCAACAATCGCCTCCTTGGCTAAGTGGTAAAGCGTCGCACTTGTATCGACTAGATATGCGAAGATCGCTCGTTGTAAGTAATATCCAAGAACACACCCGTTCGAACACAGGCACTAACAACCATCAAGCGATTCGGGCAGGTGGCACACAAGCAAATTCTTTTTTTTGCCTCTTTTGGACCGAGACCATTTCGGTCATTACAATCCCTCTCTTGTTCTTTTTGCTTTTTGCAAACCTCGCTAGACACTATCGTACATCTCCTAACCGAGGTTCCTCATGTTGACGTTTGCAATGCGCGTGTTTTTTTGAGGACGATTATCACGCAGCTATCCTTCGGATGGAGTATATTCTGTCAATCTACGTATGCACTTTCTTCAGTACGTTCTCATCAGCTTTGATACTAAGTTGAAGAACTACCTGCTTGTGCGTACTTTTCCCTATTACATACACTAAAGAGCCTCAACTACTGTGTATTGTTGATGTTGTTAGATGGCTTCTGGACCCACAGCTGAGAGCGATGTCTGCAGACGATGAAGGTCTTCTTTAGACACACGGACTCTTGGCCGGGGCCGCCCTGGGGTCACAGTGCAGCGCGCAACTGTAATCCACACCGATATCCCAAGACCTGCCCAATGCGGAAATGTCTACCTAGCACCAGATTCAACCCATCCTCTTTCCACGAACGATCATCATGGCGTCTCTGACCGTCTCCGTATATTTGTATTCATGAATAGCGAATTTCCGACACCTATCCCGTCCTACATTTATTTGTATATATTTGTAGCATTCGCAATGTTCGAGATGCTCGCTACTGCCAAGTGCCCTGCCGAAACACCAAGACCCCCAAGCTCAAACCACAAGTGCTGCATCATCCGCGTATCAAACACATGTTCTCAACGGGACCACCGTCTAGTGGTGGAAATCACGCATGTCAAGCTCAAGAGAGGCGAGGCGAGGCTGAGCTTGTAGACTTGGCTGTACTCGTACGTGTTTGGGAGTAAACGCGTTTCGCAGACTGCTCGAAGCTCGTAATTTGACCGTCACGCAGAGTATACATGTACTGAGTATCCCCACAATCCCTTCTTTTCTTTTCTCCCTTCTCCATACTGCCGTGCGGTACCTCACATCCCTGTTGTTCTTTTCGATTCTTGACTTCTGGCCGGTCCATCATTTCTCTATCCTAATTTTAATTCTACCTACCATTCCATTGCATCCCGATACCGCCACCATGTACAAGCAAATCGTCACTCTCTCGCTCTTGTCTCTGACATCTGCCCTGCCCCAACGGAACCGCGGCGGCGGCAACGGCGGCGGACAACGACAACAAGCAACCGCCTTTCAACAAGCCGCCCAAGTCCCCCAGGGCATAAGCACTGCAACCGACGGCTCCATGATCCTCGACGACACAGTCATGGTCAACAATCTACCCATCCGCTTCAAGATCTCCGCTCCAGCAGACCAGTTCCTACCTGCGTCTGGCGTGCCCGGTGCAGCAGCTACCTCGTCCAATGGCACGCTCGGCGCAAACGTACTGCTGCATGGTGATGGTGGACAGAGTTTCTTCGACATGCCGAATCAGGCCGTGCAGGCCAACACCATGGGTGTCGCGCTTCTGGCACCCGATGACAATCTGTTCTGGGGCGGAGGTGCCGGCTTGCAACGAACGGATGGTGTTGCACACGCGCAAGCCGTGAATGACTTTATCCAAACCGAACTCCCAGCACGTGTCGCGGTCAACATGTCCAACATTGTCTTCACAGGTGTCTCAGGAGGCAGTCTGATGATGTCTGGTTTCTTCATCCCAGCGCAGATGCAAAACTATGCCAACTCGGCTGTGGAGCTAAACTGTGGTGGCATGCCTCCTCAGGTCGCGTTCCAGAATGCGGCCACTGTTATGCAGCAGACGAGGATACACTTCCAGTCTACACAGTCGGAGCTTCAGTTACTTCAGGGGAGTATCCCACAAGCCGTCACAGCCTATGAACAGCTAGGCGCAGACGCAGGTCTATCTGCTGCACAAATCAATCAGCTACAGACTGTGGACAACACGCCGCAGGGAGGGCATTGCGAGTTCGATGGACAGGATTTTGTGAGTGGTGTGCAGACCATGTCGAGCAGCTATGCAAATGTTATGCAGGGTGGCAATGGGGCGGTGCAGGGTATTGGGGCGCCGAGTACGGGTGTGGTCACGACGGGTGTTGTTGGAAATGAGAACTTGCAATTTGTGGGTGGGAGGAAGCGCGAGGTGGACGTGGAAGCGAGGAGCATGGTACAGATGCGGTGGGCGCAGGATGTTGTTGAGGAGCCGGACTTTCAGATGCTGGCGTGCGATAGGAGTTCGTGCTCGGCTGACGAGCCTAGGATCTAGATATCCAAGTTCAGTATATAATGTTGTATCTCCCAGACCGATGGCTGACGGTCCTTCTCAAAACGTTTCCCTATCGCATTACTTCTGTGTTCATTATCCATCACTGCAAAGAGCTAGACATTGTGGTTGGTCGTAATGTTCATTTGACTGGTATTGTGAAGGTCGTCCCATTGCTAATCGTAGTTGCAATGTCGTCTCCCAAATCCTTCACCCCGTAAATGCATTTTCGCCGTGCCCGTGAACCCATGAATGTTATCGAAAGCAGGAAAAGAGACACCTCACATGACGACACCGGAGTTGGAGGCGATACGCTGTACATTGTTAGCAGAGTTTTGCGCAAGCGTGGTGTTTGACGTACCGGCCACAGCTCAGCGGCCTCCTTTGCGACGGGTCCAGTGATGGCAGAGCCCTTCATCTCACCCTTGGGGTTGACGATGACACCGGCGTTGTCCTCGAAGTACAGGTAGATGCCGTCTGCTCGCCTCCATGGCTTGCTCTGGCGGACAATGACGGCGGGCATGACCTTCTTCCTCAGCTCGGGCTTTCCCTTCTTGACGGTCGCCATGACCATGTCACCAGCACCGCCAGCGGGCAGGCGGTTGAGGCGCGCACCGATACCCTTGACGGAGATGATGTACAGGTTACGGGCACCGGAGTTGTCGCAGCAGTTCATGACGGCGCCGCTGTTTCCATTAGCCTGTGTTCCTCGAATATCCTGTTTCGCAATCGGGAATGTCCTGGTCGGGCGATCGCATCGGGGTCAAACGTACACTGGCAGACCAAGAGTCATCTTGAGCTTGTTACCGGAGGTAGAACCTCGACTGCGGACTGTTAGCAATCTTCCTCTTTCACTGTCCACCTGCGGCGACAACAACAACAACAACAACAACAACGTACCCGCGCTTTCCAGACATGTTGATAGATTATCGGGGGGATGTTCGACTTGGGCGGGTTTCGGGTGCGTCGTCGCTGGAGTTGTCGTGAGCGCTGGAAGTTCGTCCAGTGGGTTGCAGACGACGAAATTGTGTGCGCGCACGGACTCCCGCTAGCGTCATTGCAGCAGAGACCCCAACACCAACACCAACACCAGCACCAGCACCAGTAGCACAGCAAGCCGACACCCGTCATGGAACATTTCTGAGAGAATGCGCTCCCAGGTACCCGCGCTTATGAAGCCGTCTGCCCAGCCACTTTTTGCAAGCGTTAAGCGCATCCACTCTACCACAATCACGATTCTAGTGATGTTCTGAAGCGAAGAGAGCTAGGTGCACTTCGAGACATCGCATTCGATGTGAACAACAAAAACCTTGATAAAACAGTCGACAACGAACACGACATTTGTTAGCCTTCAGTCGCCTGAGAGGCCCCTATAGATCACCTGGTCGAGACTTCCGGATACCGTGCACCAAGTTACACTGCAGATGTAAACATCCATCCATATTCCGTAATCATAGCTTTTGTCAAGTTTTCTACCTGTGCACATCTGGACCTGAAGAAGTCTTTGTAAAGTAAAGTGTTGAAGAGTTCTCAGCCGGAACTGATTCGGGCTGAGAAGACACAGTACCGAATGTCTGATGACAGGTCATGCAACTCGCTGACACCTTAGGTAGAAGGGGGTCTCACACGAGTTGATGTGATTTCCGAGACGCGGTTGGAAATCGTGCAATCAACTATGGAAAAGAAAAACCCAAGTCAAGAATATCGCCGGTCCCGTCTTGTCTACTCGCTGTGATAGAAAGCGGGTATATAATCAGCGACCGAGTCCCTAGCTTAGGAAGCAAAACGCGACCCAGAAATCCTCGCAAATAGCTACTCAGAGCTCAGGGTCCCAGCTAGTAATTATCAGTTGACGGAGTGGAAGCTATCGTGAAACAGCTGCGGCAAGGGCGATACGTCGTATTGTCGAATACGACGTATGAACAGTGACGCACCAGTGCTTCTTGCGGTGCTGCAGGTGTCGCGCAATGATATACCGAAGAAACAAAAAAACGCCATGGCTGGGAGAGGCGGAACAAGGAAGTTCTCAGGATGTGAAAAGGCTAGGCTTGTTTGCGCAAGACCAGGCGACGCAAAACGTGGACCTGCGCGAACAACCACTGAGAATCTTCAGCAGGCTAGGATCGTCATCATGGCCAAAGTACCAAGAGTGACGGCGGTCAACACTAAAGGTTGCATCGCGCTCATCAAAACAAGCTGTACCCCGCGAGTCCCCGCAAAGCACTACCGAGATTTAGCCCGACCGAGCTCACCCGAGGAATCCGCCCTCCGCCAGACCCCAGATTAGGGATCAAGGCCGACCACGCTTTTCGTATTGACTTACGATGGGGCTAGGGCCGCGAGAAATTGTGCTGGTGCAAGCAACTCCACATGCCGAATGACGATGGTACCACAGTCAGAGCGAGCCCGGAGCCCCACGGTCCGATTGGAAAGCGTTGCGTGTATAAAAGACTTGGTAGGCAGTATGAAGATACATCAAGCACTGCTTGGCCAGCATCATGAAGTCTCAAGCTCTTTTGGCGTGCGGCACCGTGGCTCTTGCCCAGCAAGTTTACATACCGGCTGAAGGACCCGCCTCACGACCGCAATGCTCAGCGAATGGTTCATATGCGACTGTGTTGCCTTCACCCCAGTACACGTTCAGCGAGTTTAGCTTCACGCAGACTGAGACAGTTCGTACAGCAAAGTCTGCCCCAGCGCCTACCACCACGACTACCTACGCACCCCCATATGCGTCACTCAGCAGCTTCGTGCCGAATCTGACGACAACGCAATGGGGAAACTGGGACGCAAAAGTCACGCCATCAGCGACTGACTTGGCAAGTCCGTACGGCAATGCGTCATGGACAGCTCTCTGGACAACCGTACCTTGGCCGTCCAATTTCACGAGCTATACCGACAATGCCATTTATTCTTCAACCGTCGAGCCAACTCCAGTACCATCCAGCGAGCTCATCCTGCCACCACCCGAGCCATTGGTGCCTCAGCAATGCTACACTTTCCCAAAAGACTTCATGCTTGGTGTGGCGGCATCAGCAGTCCAGATTGAGGGAGCTATCGCCGAGGAAGGACGAACGCCTGTTCACAACGATGTTGCAAGCTTGAGCACTCCAGGTCGATCGCCAAACTGGATCGCCAATGAACACTACTACTTGTACAAGCAAGATATTGAGCGCATCGCTGCTATGGGAGTCAAGTACTACAGATTCTCCATCCCCTGGACGCGTATCCTTCCGTTCGTTCTGCCGGGTACCCCAGTCAACGAGCAAGGACTTTCACACTACGACGACCTCATCAACTTCGTTCTGGAGAAAGGAATGCTTCCGGCTATCGTTCTCTACCACAATGACTCACCCCTCCAATTTTACTCAAACATCAGCAATATCTTCATCACGCCCGGGACAGGGGGTATCGGGTACTTGGACTCTTGCTTCCAGTGCAGCTACAAGAATGTTTCATTCGAAGACGCTTTTGTCAACTACGGAAAGATTGTCATGACGCACTTTGCGGACCGCGTGCCCATCTGGTGGTCGTTCAACGAGCCGCTGCTAGGCGCAAGGAATGGCAAGTCCATCGATGCTGTTATCAAGTCTCACGCGAGGCTTTACCACTTCTACCACGATGACATTGGTGGCACGGGAAAGATGTCACTCACATTCAACGACAACTTTGGCGTCCCGCGTGATCCAGAAGACCCTGCAGATGTCGATGCAGCCAACCACTTCAACTCCTTCCAATTAGCCACATTTGCAAACCCCATCTTCCTCGGCACCGATTACCCAGAATCATTCACAAGCAGTATCGCTGACTACGTGCCCTTGAGCGATGAGGATCTGGCATACATCAACGGGACAGCCGACTTCTTCTCCATCCAACCCTACACCGCAACTGTGGTCAGCCCACCACCCAACGACACCATCGCCGACTGCGCCGCTAACATCACTCACCCCCTCCGTCCTTACTGCGTCACCCAAAGCACTCTTACAACCACTGGCTGGAACATTGGATACCGCAGCCAATCCTACGTCTACCTCACCCCGAGCTACTTGCGCACCTATCTAAACTACCTTTGGAACACCTGGCGCACTCCCGTCGCCATCACAGAATTCGGCTTCCCCGTCTTCGCCGAGGCACAGAAAGAACAGGTAGACCAAGAGTTCGACAGCCCGCGCAGTTGGTACTACCAGACCTATCTAAACGAAGGCCTGAAGGCGGTTTGGGAAGATGGCGTCAACTTTATTGGCGCGTTCGCGTGGAGCTGGGCGGATAACTGGGAGTTTGGTGATTATGATCAGCAGTTTGGAATTCAGACTGTCAACCGGACGACGCAGGTCAGGAGGTATAAGAAGAGTTTTTTCGACTTTGTGGATTTCATCGAGAGCAGGCGACAACATGCTGAGTAAGTGAAATGAGATAGCAATACGAACAAATCCCGTGCAAATACAAAAGTCTCACGGCTATCAACAAATGAGTCCAGTGTCCACAGCACACTGCTATTCCCCCCTTAAAGCCGACTAACGAATCCACTCCTATCCATCTTGACCAGATACTCGTGCCCGATATCTTCAACTCTCGTCACACCCGCAAGTCCCATACACAATCTAAATTCATCACCAAGCAACCTCAACGCCAGCTCCACACCTTCCTGCCCCTTGTACGCCAAGCCCCAGAGAACCGGCCGTCCCACCCACACGAAATCCGCTCCCAGCGCCAACGCCTTGAAGACATCTGTCCCGTGCCTAATCCCGCCATCAACATGCACAGGAATCTTCTTGCCAGAGGTCCCAGTCTGTGAACGAACAGCGGCGACGACTTCAGGCAGCGCATCGATGGTGGCTAGCGCGCCGTTTAGCTGGCGGCCACCGTGGTTGGAGACGACGATGCCGTCGACGCCGTGGTGCACGGCGAGGAGTGCGTCTTCGCCTGTTGCGACGCCTTTTACCCAGACTTGCATTTCTGGGTGGCATTGTTCTTTCAGCCAGGCTATGTCGCGTTCCCAGCAGAGGGTGGGGTTGGGGGCGTGCGTGTGGAATGTTATTGGGCCGCTGGGCGGTTGTCGCTCACTTCGTTTTCGCGCCTCGTTTGCTTCGGCTGTTGCAGAGGTGGTCTTGTCTTCTTCTTCTTTTACCGGTGTGTCGTCATCTTCGTTCTCCTGGTTGAAGTTTGCGACTTTGAGGTGTTTGGGCAGTTTGAACTGGTTCCTGATTTCTAGATTCCGGCGACCGAGGACGGGGGTGTCAACGGTTAGCATGACGGCTTTGTAGCCTGCTTTCTTCGCGCGTTGGATGAGCTTCTGGCTCTTCGCGCGGTCTTCAAAAAGGTAGAGTTGTAAGGCCCCTGGGTGTTCGCCTAATGCTCCCTTGACGTCTTCCAGACTTGTCGTGCTGAAACTGCTCAAGCCCATCACGATGTCCATGTTCTTGCACGCGCGCGCAGTCGCCAGTTCGCCGTCGCCGTGCGCAAGACATTGCATTGCGGTTGGCGCGACGCCGAGGGGAAAGCTGTTCTTATGTCCGAAGACATTTACGGTCGTGTCGATGGAAGAGATGTCGCGGAGCACGCGTGGTCGGATGCGGTATTTCTGGTATGCGGTGATGTTCTCGAGAAGGGTGGAGCCAGAGTCTGCGCCTTCATTGTAGTAGTCGCGGGTTTGCTTGTCCATGCGCTCTGCGGCGAGCTTTTCGAGTTCGCTGATTGTGAGGCAGTTCAAGTCATGGGGGGTCTTTGTTTGAGACATGCTGGGCGGTGCGGTAGGAGGATGTGGTGCGACGAGGAACGGAGTAATGCGGGCGTATTTGGGGGTTTGCACAGGAGGTCAAGGTTGACGACAACGTCGGATATCCAAGGAAAATGGAGATCAGCCATCTCTGGTAGTTACTTCGGCAGACTTATCTCCAATTCGGCTATAAGATTGTTGATGACGATGTCGATGTAGCGCGGAAGCTATGGCTTGCCGATCTCGGGAAGACGCGTTAACTTGCCGTTCGTGCGAGCGTGGGATGTCGCGCATTGAACAACAAACGGCGTTCTCTCGTCAGCCTTACAATATGTTCTTGCATTGAAGAATGTTAACATCACACGATGGGCGAGTCTGAATAAGGTTCACGATCTTTTGACCAATTAGAGCGAACGCGCGACGACTAAACGACTACAAAAAGCAATGCAGGGGACTAAAAACAGTGTAGAATCAGCGCAGAGATTTAACAAAAGAGAGTAAGGAGATCTATCGCGGAGGAAAAATCAGAAAGTGACAGCGATGAACACGCGAACAAAGGAGACCGATCACAATCTGCGCCAGCTCAACAGCTACACCTGTGCACCTACATCCAGAACATGCCGTTCCGGTCGTTGAGAATAGGATGCCAGGGGTTAAGCCACTCCTGACCGTGAAGGAACGAGTCTTCATCAAAGTTGACCGGTTTATCATACTTGCCCCATAGTGTCGGTGTCTCAGAGATGAGCTTCGCAAGGTCTGCCTTAGCCTTATCAATCTCTTCTTGGCTTACACGTACGTTCTTGCCATTCTGGTCCTTTTCCGAAGAAGGCATTTCAAACTTCGGATCCATCTCAGGATCGGCATTCCATTCGCGAAGATACGTACGACCGCGTTCGCATAAACGATCAGCTAAAAGTAGGTATGTCAAGTCAGTTTAGATATCACATGGAGTTTGTACAGAGACACTTACCAATGTATGCGGGTGCGGCGTAGGAGACCCCTGTTGTGGAACGACCAAAGGTGTAGCAGAGCATCATTGTCAGTTGAGGCAGTGCCGTTTCGCCGAGATTCATGCCGTCTTCCAGGACGTGGTAATGGGCTGACCGAGCGGTGCCTTTGAGGGCCTTGTGCGATTGGAGGAAGAAGTTGAACGGTGTAGGATTGGTGACAACTTTCGTGACGAGAAGTCCCGGTTGAAGGTTTCCGTTTAGCCTGTTGTCGTTCTTGTTCAGAGGGTAGGTTTGACTCGCTTCGGTGGCATAGAACCGGGTGTTATGACGCTTACCACACACCACGAAGGTCAGCTGGAGATCTTGATCGCAAAGTTCCCTATAGGCGTCCTTGATGGTGGAGATCTCATGGTCGATGCAATACTTGAACTGGCTCTCGGAGATGCCATCACGGTAGAACAGCATGTGCGTAGGCCAAGCCACTGGAGCGTGTGCGTGTCTCCAGGCATGGAGTCGTTCTTTCACCATGCTTTTCAGATGCTCATCCTCAATATGCTGTAGTCTTTAGCAACTTAACGACAAAGGATTGGCTTGATACTCACCTCTTGGCCCCCGCGCTGTAATCTCATAGAGCCAGGGTAGGACATGAATCTGTTGTCAACGCTGCCAACGACACATGCGACGCTTGGGCTGCCTTCTTTACCTCCCGCCCCACAATGACCAATATCAGCACCCAGGACTATGATATTGTTCTTGATGTTCGACTTCTTGCCAAATAGTTTATCGAGCGTATCTGCATTCAGATGATGCGATACACCACCGAACTTCATATTAACTTTCAGCGCCAGATTAGACAGGAAATTCTGCGAGTTCACCTCAGAGAACTTTGAGCCGGTCGCGAAGAGAACCTGTCGTCCAGAGAAGTCGAAATGTCGTTTCCATGTTGCGTAGAGCTTGTAATCCTTCTCAGGTATCAGAATGATGCTGCAGTCTTTGGTAGACTGATGAATATTGTTGAACAAATGTTTGACAGCGCCCTCGGCTCCTGAAGGAACGTTATTCTTGCTCTCTTCCGCAGTCGTTCCGTTACCGATCGAGATACCATGGTCCTCAAGCTTTCTACGAAGAACAGTATAAGCTTGTTGAAGTAGGGTGCTGGTGTTGGCAGATGGGCCAAAACAATTTGATAATGCTAGCATATGAAGCTTGCCTAGTTGGGAGGGCGTTTCAGCGAATTCGACATTACTAAGGTTCCAGTGACCAAGCACCGGCATCTTGGTAGTCTCCTGCTTCCTCGATTTCCTTTTTGGTCCCGATGTTTTGGACATGGAATTATTTTTGAAGTGGAGCATCGGCTGTTCGAGAGTGGTTGCAGGGACTTCAATCAGTTCTTTCTCAACGGTGAAGTTTGCAGAAGCCTTAAAGTGTGTTAGCGATGTTCCCAAGTGATCCCGTACAACTGTCATTGACTTACCAAGGGCTGTCGACCGTTTTCAGCTTTGACTCCGATGATCTCGAGGCCTTCTTCCTCAATCAGACCAAAGTTCGCCGCTGGCAAGCGTAGGGCATGCTTGATCATCTCGCCGGTATGACCGCTGTCTAGTGTCGTCGTGATCATCTGTCCGGGAACGATTTGTAGCAGACAGGCTGGTATCCACTGCGCACCGCGTGCGCTTTGATCTCGCATGATCTCGTCCATCTCGTCGTCGGATCTGTTGGTGTTCTTGCCTTCCATCTTGACGCGTTTGCCGACGTTGACACACCACGTCTCGAACGAGCCGTCTATTGCTTCGGGTGGAAATGATACGTTCGCTGCTAGGAACAAATCAGTCATCTTGACAACGCTATCAAACTCTGAACCTTACTTTGAGTGAAGTAATCATGAACCGTGGTTCCCAGATCACCATCTTTTGTCCTCCTTGGCTGTCCGACGACAGCATCTTCCAGTTCGTAGAACTTTTGCTTCCGAAAATCGTAATCACCAAACTGAGCGAAAACCTTCAATCGAGCAGCTTCCGAGTTGTAGTTGATCTCACTGCCTTCGTAGTTTGCTCTGATGTACAGAATCTTGAGCGTTGCTCCTTGCAAAAGCTGACTAACATATCTTCGATTGTCTTTCACCGCTCCCATCATTTTGATAAAGTCTGAAACCTTGATAGGTGGGAGGAACGCGGAAGTTGCAGGGTTTATGTTCAAAAGTGGTCCATCGGTCCCTGGTCTAATTGAGGTGTAATACCCGCGACCTGCTCGTAACATGCCACGCATCTCTTTGTAGCCATTGGAAACGTAGAATCTGTTTGCACCGATCCTGTCAATCTTCTTTCCGGTCTGTTCCTGGTGCTCTTCAATGCATTGCGCAACAGTGGCGTTGAGAGCTCGAATGTATTCGGGAAGCTCTGCCAAAGGTTTCGTTTGAAGTATTTGTTGGATATCGGCCAAATGATCAACGTAAGTGAGTTCTACCCTCAGATTGGTAATTGTCTTGCCGTTTGGTTGGATGTACTCGAACTCTTTGCTGTTGTGTGCGTAACCAATCTTGAGAACATTGTTAATGGGCATGGTCGTCCATAGCTTCTTGAAGTCGGTGACATACGATACTTTCCCCGCGCCGAGTTTGAGAACATCTGCTTTGACCATCGCTTGGAAGGCATCCCGGATCTCCCGTCGCTTATTGTACTCAATACGACCTTGGTCCTTAGCTGGACGAGTGAACTTCAGGGTATACGCATGGAGAGTTTGGGGGATCTTGCTAACTTGGACATAGTTGCTCCGAACCATTACTTCACCGTTGGTCGAGGACACATCTTCGTTGCGGAGCTTCGGGCAAATGCCGTCTTGTTGTACCCTCGGAGGTGGATCTATGGGTGGTGGATGGGGAACGTCATCAACATTTCCGAGATACGGAGTATCTATCGCTACTCGCTGGGGTTTGTTTGCTGACTTGGGTGGCATATTGTTATTTCTCCGTGATAGCGATACGAGAACAAGTGAAAGTATGTGTATCAGTGTCTGTGAACTGCTAGATGTTGGCGAGAGTGATGAGTTCCAGGTAACGAGATATCGGCACCTTGATATATGCTACGAACCTGGTTGTCTAGAGGTCAGCAAGCAGATTGTAGTTTGAACAATCACAGGATTGTTAGACAATGATGTAGCATGTGCAGCCAAACGAGCGGAGGTTACAGATGTCGCAGGCATTGTCTCATGCTCAACTACAAATGGTCACCAGTCGAGGTGAGTCCTTGGAATGCTTTTCTAGCTCCGAGAACAACCCCGAACGAAGTGGTTGATCATGGGCGAAGTGGCTTTCAGCGACGGAGGAACCTGAAGTCGGCTTTACGTGAGTTCCTTGGTGAGGAAGAGCTCGTCAGACTAGGATTGTTCCTTCAAACCTTGGAAGAAAAGCTTGACGTTTGCTTGAATGTCTCGCTGTTTATGTTCGACTCAGCTGACAGCAGAATGTCTTGGATTCCATGCTCAGCAGGTTAGTAGGAACGTTCCATCACCAGACTAGGAACTCGGTCTCCATATCGTACTGGTGCTCCACTGAGCTCTTCAATCGTCAGACAGATACCTACACGGCCTGCCGACAATTGCGAGACTTTGGGATGCGCACCAACCCAACAAGATCAGTCGCACTTTGCTTATCCGAGAAGCATACGAAAGCGCATCAGTGTTGGTCAGCATGCTCATCGTAAAAAGAAAGTAAGGCGCACTTTCCACACCCAAAGAGACACGAAGTAGCATCAATATCAGGCGTCCAGAGGACCAAACCGCACGGTGATCCTATGTCTTTTGTCAGCACATTTGCACATTGCATCGTCTCATCTACATGAGGAAGGGGCGCATATTGGATGTGATGGTCCTGCATCGTGTTGTGTTACAGAAACGTACGTACAGCTCGTTGTTGCCCCGCGGCCGATCGTGCGGAATTCCGATCGGTAGGTCGCGCCACGATTTGATTGGCTGCCCGCAAGGCTCCACCTTTTGCAACCCACCTTGCTTTGTAATTCACAGTATACTCACCGCCTAACCATGTAACGATTGGGTTAGACTTTTTCGTCCGCTTTGGGTTACACAGTGGAGCGATAATGCCAAGTGGAACGTGGTGAGCTTGATGGGGGAAGAGCTTCGAGGCATTTGAGATATCTGGGAGAAGGTGCGAGATACATGATAGTGGAACATAAATAGACTACTGCCCCGCCAGTACAAGTGTTCTTTACTCTCAATCAACAACAACAACAACAATATCTACTCCATCACACACCCAATCGATACATACATCCGCCGCCCATACATCACTCACTCACCCAACATGGCCCTCACCTTCCACAAGATGGCCGTCGCGCCAGCCATCTCCGCCCTCAAAAACGCCCACTTCGTCGTCTCCAAAGGCTACGAACATGCTAAAGCGTCCGACCCAAACACCTTCCTAACCGCCTCTCTCCACCCCGACATGAAGGACTTCCGCTACCAAATCTACCGTCTCACCGACGCTGCCAAGTTCATTCCCAGCCGAGTGAACCCCAGCCTCGAAGGCATAACGCTCCCCGACGAAGAGCAGACCTTCCCCGAGCTACTTGAGCGCATCGAGAAGTGCACCAAGTACCTCGAGAGCTTTTCCGAGAAAGACTTCGAGGGCAAGCAGGATGACGAGGTGATTATCAAGTTCCCCGGTGGCCAGAAGCAGGTCAGGATGCCGGCGGCAGAGTACATTAGCAGGTTTGCGCATCCGAACATGTGGTAAGTGGTCTGTTCCCGATTGGGAAGGAGTTTTTGCTGATCACTACAGGTTCCACATTGTGACTGCGTACGACATATTGAGGATGAAGGGCGTTGATGTGGGAAAGATGGACTTCTTGAACGGTGCGGGCGGGATCACCATTGAGGATGTTCCCCAGCAGTAGACGTGAGCAGTACCGATGTGCAGCGACGTTCTGGATGAAAGGTGACATCTGGGCGGAAAGCAATATATGAACAATGATGAATGAATATTACGTACGACTTCATGCTCTTCACCCTATTTACTGCGGAGTCGAACGGGTGACTATAGCAGCTACGAGAGCATCCATCGCCGAACTCTGCGTGCTTGCATTCGCCGGGCTGATCCATGGCCCAGCCCAATTCACGCTAAATACAGGTAAACCATCTGATGTGACTTTCCTATCCCGTGTCCAGATAGACTCCGCATTCCTGCGAATGGCATTTGCGAACATTTTGTCCGGCACTACACTGTGCAGCTTGACCAGGTTCCGCATGAAAATCCCTTTGAACTGCGCGCCATCGTCACCGCAATCAGGTTCACATTCGTCGTGTACGATACCATCCTCATCCGAGAGGGCGATGAGTGCCGCCCGCGCGAGATGAGTTGCGAGTCTGAGAGGTGTAGCTTTTGGTATATTCCCAGCTCGGTGGAGCTCGGCGAGACCCCCGAGGATAACGCCTTGGTTGTAGGACCACGCAGTTTTGTTATTGTTCTTACAGTCCTCGGTTAGACCGTCGTTGATTATACCGTCATCTGTGATCATCCCGCTTTCGAGGAACCATTGTAGACTTTCCTCCGCCCAAGCCAGATATGTGGCTCTTTTCCTACGGTCCTGGGCGCGGTTTGCCAGATGCGCGGCTGTGCTGAAGAAGAGTTCGTTGGCAATGGCATTTACGTAGTCCTGCTTCCAGCTCCAGTATATACCGCCGTTAAAGCAGTAAGTGCCCCAGGTGCGTGACACAGCGATGAATACATCTTCCGCAAGGACAAGATAAGCGGCTTCGAAGGTGACGTCGTATGCGTTGATCCAGGCCAGAGCCCACCACAGGTCGTCGTCGTAGTAGCCATCTAACCAGTCGCGATAATCAGAGATTTCATCCGGGTGGTAAAAAGAGTTGGAACCATAATTGGAAGATGTCCTAGGAAAGATGACCTGCCCACCATTGTCATGCCAGTTGGGTGGATATATGACATGAAGGTTGCTGGTATTCAGGTCGAGGTATTTTGTGTACCCAGTTTCAAGGCTAGTTACGTCAATGGCGACAAGCGTCGTGTTGGTTGATCGAGGATCCTCAATACCCGGCTGCGGGTTCTTGGCCGGCGCCTTCAGCAAAGCAGTCACGAACACGTCTCTTGCCAGGTCTTGCAATGGTATATGTGTCGGAGCTGCCTTCGCAAAATCGCCGATCATAGTCATAATGTTCGCGCCGTTCCACCATCCTGTAGACTCCCAAAGGCCAGTGCTAGTGTTGTACCAATTTTGCAGAGTCTCGAGCGCCAGTCCGGTACGGAGTATAGGATCATGGTTTCTACTGTAGTCGCTTCGCGATGAAATGTTAGGGATGAATGTGAGGACGAAAAGGAGATATCGAACGAAAAATGTAGACAGCATGACGAATCAAGACTCTAGAAGCGACGCGCATCGATGAAAGATGTTACAAGCAGTATCGGATGCAAATGGGGATGCTAATAGAAGTTCCAAACAGGAATATGCGATAGTTGAGCCCGTGAGGCACACATTCGCAGTCCTTACAGTATGTCCACTCTTACAGTCGTATGTCGTACCTGCTCAGCGTACGTTCATCACACAAGACCGGCGCACAGCTTGTGGAGGCGACAGTCATCTCAGTAATAGCGGAATGTGGCGAGAGAAATTGAAGAGTGGTCTTACCTCTTATCAATCAACGGTACTTGACCGCCAAGTAGCTGTTGCGACAGCCTCGATGGTTCTGCACTAGAAGATGCTGGTAATCTTCTTGAGGAAGGCGGGTGGACTGATTGCGTTGCAGAGATCGTAAGCGCACCCAGTCGAAGCAATGTTACAGCAGAAAGGCATGCGCGCATCATGAGGTTGTGTCTGCAAACAACCTTTAGAGATCTCCGTATCAGGACGCGTCGCGGGATATCATAGAATGCTTGCTTGCGATGTGAACGTACGATTCGGATCTTGATATGACGGCGCGACCGAGAGCTTGGAAGAGAGAGGGCTTGTGCAAGTTTTCAAAGCTACATGCTTGTGTCACGGTACACCAAACTTGCAGTTGTTCGCGCCGAGTACCCCGCTACCATCCCTGAGGTGATCAACTAGACCTAACTAGCTCAAGATTGTCATCGCGCTGGCCAGTCTTGACCAGAAACAGCCAGGACAATCCCAGTAATGTTTTTGCTTGTTCAAATGGGGATCCGATCGAGAAATGGGCTTCGCGGTTTGCTGCGAGAGTGTAAAGGACGCAGTCGCAGTCGCAGTCGCATATTCGTCCTTGCGCTCCATGCTTGTGCGATCTCAGAGTAATGTCTGGTCGCTTCAAAAGATCAAGCAATCAGGATATCGTTACCAAGATCCTTGACCTCCTCCACCCAACAGTTCCCCACCCCAACCCCGGCTTCATCTTTGAAACGCCATATAGTTTCCAGCACTCGCTTAGACGTATGCAAATAACCCCAGAACATCTGGCCATACAACTCATCTAGTGTATTCATAATCCACTCACGCTGACTAGGATCCTCGCTCTCAGCACCCGCAAGGAACAACGGCCAACAAATCGATTTGAAGAGCGCATCGCCCGGCTTTAGGTGTGAGATATGCTGGACAACGTCGTCAGCGAGAGCAGTGAGACTAACAAGTGCTTCGCCACTCGCTGGATCAAGAAGAGGATTTGTAGAGGGCAGGACGCGCGCGAGATAGATGCAGACTGCCGAGCGATGGGCCGAGGCTATGCGGATGCGCTTTTGGATGTCGTCGAGAGGTGAGGCGCGCTCAAAGTCGACGGACCATGCGATAGGGTCAAAGTCGAGAGCGCGTTGAAGTAGTACGCCAACCTGCTGTTGGAGGTATATGGGGGTGCTTGTTCCGGAAGGCGAGCCGTGTGTATCCGGCAATGCGAAGGACTCGAGCATTACGCGTAACAGCGGCCCGGGACAGGAGAGGTAATTGTTTGTTTCTGCGTATCGAAGGATAGGGTCCAGCTCGATAGTCTCTGGGATTAACGCGGGGAGTGTCGTAAAAGTGAAGGTTGAACCAAGAATGTAGAATACAAGAAAGTCAGAAAGAATTGTTTGCCGAAGTCTGCTCATCGGTCGCTGGAGGTATGGCGGTTCCCCTAGGAGTTTGATGAGCTTTAGCGCCCCGTCCATGTGTACCTTCCATTTGTCTCTGCCTGATTCCACCAGAGCATAGTTAACGAAAAGCAGAATAGTGATCAAGATGAGGTCGATGTTTGACGTGTTCACGGAGGTCACACTCTTTGCTAGTAGGGATAGCGCTTGTTGCTTCGCCACAAGTGCGTCCCTATAGGACGACTTCAACGGACCCCCAAACCGGCTTACAGCTTGGTAGTATGCCATTACCGTTGGACTTCGCTCGCCTTGATAGGCCGACTGACCCATCGGGTTGCGTGTTATGTTGAAGACGTGGAATGCTGAGTTTGCGACAATGATCTGCAGGAGCAATGGATAAGCAGATGTAGCGGGGATGAGATCGCGGATAGGGTTTTGCCCCGGTTCATCGTACACAACCATGACTTCGCACAACTGTGTCGCAAAATGGTACAGATAGTACCGCGAGTTACGATCGAGATCATTGACTAGAGGATCCGTCATCTGTGGTTGTACAGTAGTCATCGCCATGGTCTGATTCTGTTCCTGTTCGGACATCTGGGAGAAGTCCGGCACCGAACTGGCCGGCACCATTTCAACATCATTGTCCGATGATTGTTGTTGTTGTGACGAACCCTCGTGTTGCCATACCAAAGTCGGCGGTACATCTTGAGTCTTGGCTGCCCCTTCTGTCGCAGCAGCAACACCAGTAGGACTCTGCTCCATCTTCTCCTCATACCCTTTCCCCATCATCTTCCCACGACTTGCAACTCCACGGTTCCATACAAACAGCTTGCCGTAGCCCAGACATTCTGTCCCAGCTGACAAACATTTCTGGCAGCTTGGCAGCGACCGATCGCACCTCCATCGTCGCTTCCGGCAATTGTGGCAGGCTTTGGTCGGGAGGTTAAAGGGCGTCACGCTCATTGGATGGACGCCATGCGAGATGTGTAATTGATTGACTGTATCGAGGTTGCCTGGAGTTTGGCGGGGTGGAGATCTTTCACGGTGGTTGTGGCGGTTGGAGCGTTGGGATCAATGCATTACTAACGTGATCAAGACTGATGTGGACGCAAGATTTCGTCACACGCGCTGCAGCGCAGCTACAGAGAGCGATGTTGACCGGGTGCGCAGACCGAGGATGAAGCAAGCAAATCGCATGTCTTCCAATGATGACAAAGACGGGATTGAGGCGAGAGTTGCGCACCTGGTTCGCTTGGCCTGCCGTTCGGCCCAGACCCTGAAATATCACGCTAGGCCCGACGAAGAAGCCAAGACTCAATCTCTGCATTAATGGTCCACATCGTGACGGCTTTATGCTCAAACGTCACAGTCACCGCTAAGAGTCGCCTTTGCGAGTCTGTCTCTGAGGCTCAGTACCCGAGTAAATGTCTTCCGTTACACATAAAAACAATGACCGCGGACATTGCGGAGTCCGAGAGGGGTTTATAGAAAGAAGAAAGGAAGTGAAGATATTAGGTCGCCTCAGTAATTTTATTCATCGCCTCGAATTATCCCAAGTCCTCTTGTGTAGCATATTTTGACGCAAGCACGTTGGAATCAAACAAGCCTCCACTTGCCACATACTCCTTTGATGGCTCTACGATAACGACTGCAATATCCAACACCAGACAGCCCATCATGGAGAACACCAACATGAACGATACTACCCCGAGCAACACCATGATGGAGTCCCCAAACCAAACCCCAAGCGACATGACTCCCAACGCATCTTCTCCACCAGGCAAGATCGAAGAAGCAAGCTTCCCTCGCGGTTCCTACACCCCCTCCGACATCGAACGCCTCGGCCGCGAACGCCCTTCAGCGTTCCGTTCCCTGCCCCACGAGCTAGGTTTCTGCTTCGCCCTGCTCGGCTCCATGTTTGTGGCGGAATACATGATCTCAGGCTTCAACATCCTCCTCCCAGACCTCACCGAGGCTCTTCACATCCCGTCCAACGCACAGACATGGCCAGCCTCTGTGTTCTCATTGGTAACAGGCGCGTTCCTACTACCGTTCGGTCGCCTGGCTGATATGTTTGGGGGCTACATCGTGTTTTGTAGTGGGCTGGCTTGGTTCCTCGTTTGGAGCATTATAGCGGGGTTCAGCCAGAACTATGTCATGTTAATCGTCTGTCGGGCGTTGCAAGGCTTTGGGCCTGCGGCGTTCTTGCCGAGTGGAATTATGTTGTTGGGTTCCATCTACCGGCCCGGACCCAGAAAGAATCTCGTCTTCAGCTTGTACGGTGCTTTTGCTCCCGTGGGCTTTTTCACCGGCATATTCTTTGCGGGTGTTGCGGCGCAGTTCGCAACATGGGGTTGGTTCTTCTGGATTGGATCCATCATCCTCGCTATCGTAGCTGTTGCGTCGTATCTATGTATACCGAATCCGAGAGAGGAGAAGGAGAAGGCGAAACAAGAGGGCAAGGGGGTAAAGATGGATTGGTGGGGAACAGCGACTGTGGTGCCGGGATTGGTGCTGGTTGTATTTGCGCTTACGGATGGAAGTCATGCTCCTCAAGGCTGGGCGACACCGTACATTCCTGTCACCTTCGTTGTCGGCTGGATCTTCCTGGGCGTATTCGTTTACATTGAAGGTTGGGTCGCTGAACAACCTCTCTTACCCCCTGACTTGTTCCGCGTCAAGGGAATGAAGCCGCTCGCGCTCGCGCTATTCTTCCAGTACGGCACCTTTGGTATCTTCATCTTCTACGCCAGCTTTTACATCGAACAAGTTGTAGGCGCCAGTCCACTGCTCACTGCCGCTTGGTTTACGCCCATGTGCGTTGGTGGACTCATCCTGGCCACTATCGGCGGATTGGTTCTGCATCTCTTACCGGGTCGCATCCTGCTCCTGATCAGTGGTGTAGCATACATCCTCTCGACGCTTCTTTTTGCCATCTTACCTGTACACTTCAACTACTGGGCCTATATCTTTCCGGCTATGATTTGCGCTACGCTCGGTATTGACATCACCTACAACGTCAGCAACATCTTTATCACGACTTCATTACCGAAAGCGCGTCAGGGACTAGCGGGCTCATTTATGAACTCGCTGTTGTTCCTGGGTATCGCTGTATTCCTCTCCTTTGCCGATCTAGCAGTGAGTGAAACGGAAGAGAGAGGCCAAAGAGGAAGCTACAAAGTTGCTTTCTGGCTCGCTACTGCGCTTGCTGGAGCGGGTGTAATTATCATGTTCTTGGGTGTCAAGATTGGCAAGGCGAAGAGCGATTTAACAATCGGTAAGTGTTCCTGTACGAACTGCACTTGAAACATGTACTGACTTTGCACGCTCAATTTTAGAGGAAAGGGAAGAATTGGAGAATGAGTTGGTGAGAAGGAACACGAATGAGTGAAGAGACATTGTGGTTAAGGCGCGTCATTCCTGGATGTACAGTCCGGTTGGATTCTCTTCTCGTAGATATCTTATAATGCTAAATTGTCTTAATCAGCTATCTGTTCTTCCTGCCGTGTAGGATCGAAGGGTAGTGAATAAAGCGCGTGCAAGTGACAGATGTTCTTCGTACTCATCATACTAGTCTATTGTCATGGCTTTGCCGATGACTCTAGCACTCTCGGTTTCTTTGTCATCCGCCAGCATGGCGTTGTAAGTCCTTTCTTCCTATACAAGATGATTGTAAGATGGAGGAAACTAGACAGGCGCACATCGCGTACGCGCAATGAGGTTTTACCACGCAGAAGCGCAGTATGTCCGCCTGATGTAGAGCTTGTCAAAGAACACGCGACGCGCCTTGTGGGGGAACGCGCTATGCTTATCGATCGCCGTCCCATAGCACCCTATTGACCACCAAACACAAGCAAGCTCTGCACTCTGACCATACCGAATCCGCGCTTCTGTAGCAATCTACGCCCACGATGGAGTGGAAACTCGGCGACGACCATGACCACGATTTTCTCAACGTCAGCCTTCTTCAACAGACGCAGCACCGCGCAAAGCGTCTCACCTGTCGACAGCACATCGTCCACCACGACGGCTGACTCGCAGCCAACGATTGCGCCTCGCTCTATCTCGATGCGCTTTCCGACATTGGTTTGACCGCGAGTCAAAGAAGAGATGTACGACGTATCCTTAGCGACGGAGATTGTAGGCGGGGGAAGCTTGCCAGCTTCGCGGATCGGTACGAGGGGCACTCCAACCAGCGAGGCCAACGCCGGCGCAAAAACAAGACCGCCCACCTCGCAACACACGATTGCGTCGACCCCGGCCCAGCTCTCAGTCAAATGACTCTGCAGCAGTGATGCGCAAAGAGTGAGGCCGCCTGGTTGCTGCGAGATACCGAGGACGTGACGGAATTGGATGTCTGGCTTGGGAAAATCTGGGACTGCGCGTACCATGTCGGCCAGTCGCTGTATGTCGCTGTGAATGAAGGGGTGTAAGCAGCTCTGAGCAAATTCATGCGCAGCTCTTGGCCCTGGCAAGTTGTTCTCGAAAATACGGTTCGGACGATATGACAGGGCTGTCACGTTTGCCTTACTGTCGCTAACCACGCCACGGGCGACCCTTGAGTTCTCGCTGGTCTGAACGCGGACATCAACGACTCTGCTCTCCGGTACCAGATGAGAAAAGAATGCGACGGGTGCGTCGTCTCTCATCCCAGTGATGAACAAAACATCAACGTCCGCGTCTGCGGCGTCATGCACGAGCTTCAGGAAGTGCTCCTCAGGCAATCTTGGCCGTCGTCGCACCTGCTCCTTGTAGAAAGCCGTCAATTTTGCGCGATGCTCTTCTTTATACTCACGATCTTCCACAAGGCGCCTGAAATCAGCATGCGTCTCCGTAGCGTATTCGCGTTTCGTAGCATCACTAATGCGTACAACTCGCGCGTGAGTACAGTGTGTCGAGAAGGTTTCGTTCTCTTGCATATCCGAGAAGGAAGAACACCACACGCTAGCACAATAGTCTTTGCCAGCACCATGTCCGCCAGTGACAAGAGTGATCAATTTTGGCAATGGCGGTTTCGGCAGCGGACAAGTCCATGCCAAAACGTGGTGTGGGTCCATCACGCGCTTCAGACGACCAAGACGCACAGCATTGGGTCCGAAAGCTCTCTGCGCCAGCACTGCATCTCGAGGGTCTGGGCCAAGATCAGCTCCATAGATTCCGTTGCTCAACAGTAGCAAGCTCTCGACGACCTCATATACCCATTGTACAGAAGCTTGAGCAATCTTTGTACCATCTTGATCCCGATGCCACACCCCGGTGATGACGCAAGCGAAGTCCCATTCTCGGCAACCGAAAGCAGTCGTATCTGGTGTAACCTCGCCATCTCTGCCTCCGCCATGCAGCAGATGAAGATAGCAGAACGATGATGGACGAGATTCGACTGCTGTGACTAAGAAATGAGCGACCCTTGGTCCTCCAACAGCCTTGAGGAACACACAACGCTTGAAAGACGATGTCTTCCCACCACCATGGCCACCGTGCATTGCTGACATGTACATCTCAGCTTCGAATACTTCAAAGCCGTTCATGGTTCTGAAATCATTCTCCGTTCCCCATATATCGCCATTGAGCTTAGATCTCGTGGTCATATATGATGCGGTGGTGTCGAATGTGGTGATGCCAAGGTTCAATCTCTCATTTTCCCAGTACAGGTATGCGTCTGCTGAGTAAGTATTGTCGTACGCATTTGCGACCTTCTCTTCGAATTCTTTGAGTTTTCGTTTGGCGTCGGCGTGATTGGTCAATGGGAGGACCCAGTTTCGTACGACGTAGGTGGGAGCGGGATAAGCCTTGAAGGTGACACTGACCACAACACCGAAATTCGTTCCGGCACCTTTCAGCGCCCACAATATGTCGGCTTCGTTCTCGGGACGACTGGACGCTGCCGGAACATGCTTACTGGGTACACAACCGACATGAATGATCTCCCCAGAAGCAACGCTGATCATCACGGCGCCAACAATGCTATCGCAGGTAAGTCCATGAAGTCTGGTAAGATGTCCGATACCACCTTGTAACCATAGCCCAGCTCCAACACTTGGACGGGATCCCAAGGGTATGGTAAGTCCTTCGCTCTGCATGTAGTTGATAATCTTGTCTGCCTTGCATCCGGCGCCAACCACCACCAATGGACTGGAGTCATTACCCAACCCTTCTTCTCTATCTTCTCCAGCGAGAACACTTACGCAGTCGAATGCACTCATGTCAATCGCTACAACGTTGGACCTGAGACAGTGCGCGCTGTGCCCTCCACCGACGATGGTCAAACCCAGTCCATGCTCCAGTGCCCACCAGACGCAAGTCTGAACGTCATTGACGTATGCCGGTCTCACAATGGTAGCCGGGCGCTGCGAACAAGCTTCTTTATTCTTGACTGGCTTGTGCTCTAGTACCGGAAGCACATCTATTGTTAGCTCCGGTACTGTGTTTGCGTGCTGGTTGAAAGCCACCATGACCTCAGGCGCACTGAACAGGAGCGTGTTCGGGTAAGCATTTTCGCGACGGGCTAGAGCACGACATGTCTTTCGCCATATCGGTTGGATAGCTTTCTTTTCGTCGACATCGTGTATGGTGAAACCAGCAACGAAGGACGCGAAGCAGTCCAACGCATCGTCGTTGTCTTGTACCCCGGTCACTCCAGTGGGATAAGATGCCGAATGATGACATGCCAAGCCGTCGATGTGTAAACCCTCACGGTGAAAAACTGCGACAATTCCACCGTCAACGAGCATTTTGATGGCTTGCTCGATGAACTTGTGCTGCGGCTTCATCCCATACATGCTATGGCAGAATAAGATGATATCGTACTTCTCGACACTGCTAACTTCAATGGTAGTATCGTTGTCGACATTGAAAGGAGCCTGATGGATGATAAAATCACCCTTGTGGCCTGCAAACGGCGAACCCAAGTTCTTACTCATCTCTTCCTTCCCATCCAACCATTCTTCTAGCTTCCTGGCGAACAAAGCATTCGGCTCAAAAGCAGTGTATCGTCGGATCCTGGCTCGTAGGCTCTCTGGCAGGTCACCAAGCACACTCTTCGGTCCCGGTCCAATCTCCAATACCGATATAGATGCGTTCGACTTTTCGAGAGGAGCGAGCAGATACGATAACTCGGGGATGATGAAGTCGCAGTAGCTTGACCAGCTGGGACCTTGTGTGAAAGCGGAGAAACCAGCAGCATACTGGGCGTCCGTCAGGGGAACTCTCCTGGAAGACAAGATTGCGGTATCTGTTATGGCGGCTTGCACAAGGGTGCGCTTTAGGTTGGCAAGCGTGGCCATGTTGGGTCGACCTTGTGAAGGGTACACGTGTGCGATGGGTAGATCCGGGATGGAATGACTGGTACGATGAGGAGGATGACACAAGAGTCCTATAGCATCGTTTGGGGAACAGGTGGACTTTGCAGAAGTGGGATGTTTGCCTTGATTGTGAATGCATAGGCCACGCGCATGTCTGCGCCGCTTAACTGCAGATATACGCGCATCACGGCTATGTAAGAGCCGTAACACGCGTCTGCAATATGCGCTCGTAGCCACAGGATCCCTCGCCCTCCCATCTTTCTATGACTGGTTTGGCTCTCCTTGGGTACCGTGCTTGAGTAGATTATATATACTAATCAGTATGGAATTCTCGTACACGATAGACTGAGACGGGTTGACTTGTCCATTGGAGGGTTTCAACGATGCAATCTTTCACATCTTGCTCTAGAGAGTAATCCGAATCGCCGGCACTGCCTGTCAGGCTTCGTGACCTTACCTGAGTGGGATGGGCGTACATATCCCACATGTCGTGTAACCAGGTCGCACCATCAACATCCTGCAAACATGGTACGACTCTTTTCTTTCAGTCGCGCAGCGACTGCATTCTTCCTCGACTAGCATTGTGTCTCGTTAATTGCCCCAGCGATGATGACAAGACATGTCATCACCTTTGTCAACTTCCTGGCAATCTATGGATGTGCAGTTGTTTTGCTGCCGCTGCAAAACCTATAAACTATTGATGGAAATACTGTGTGTCCTAGTCATGGAAGTAGGGATTCAACTCCGAGGCTTCTGTTTCTCTTGCGAAACACTCTTTGAGCACTTCGAGCAGAGTATCCGCTGCGTTATTGGTGAATATGAAGAATCTCAGTCGTAAATGTTGATCATTAGACTAGAATACGACGATCTTCAGTCAATCTCAACTAGAAGCCAATATACATGAGAGACACGTTTATGTCCCACTAGAAGTAGCTAGAGACATCCCACAAGCTTTGTAAGTGCCTGGTAGTGTTGTGGGAGGCAAAATCTTGCACTCGATCAACGCACATCATGAGCGTTCGCATGCCAGCCATCACAACAACAAAAAAAAGTCTCTAGGCTTTGGGCCGAAAGAGCCCATAGGCACAGGTATTAGCAAAAAAGGAGGGATGCGCTCTTACGAACGCCGATGAATGACTCATCGGAGGTTTGAACTCCGGACCTTCAGTGTACTAAGGAGTGCTGTGAAGCCCTCTGTTAGACTGACGTGATAACCAACTACACCAACGAGCCCCGTTTGATGAAAGACGTCAGATTTGATCCATCCATGTTCATACGAAAACCACACCAGCAATGACTGCGTACTCGGGAGGGTCCATAGGAAGTCGAGTTCATGCTCGTGCAACTGGCAAAGTCGTGGTCGGCAAAATCTCTGCTTGGTGCGGGGCGTGGGAGCTGAGCCGATCAACATGGTTGGCCGAAATGTCGGTCCCACCAATGACTACCCACACCAGGGTATGTGACGAAAGGCCTAGCCGTGGTAGGATAGCCCAACATACAGTGATGTTGTCAATCAAGGACGTTGTAGACAGAACTAGACAAACCCTAATATAGCCTATCGTGAGACCAACGGAGCAGTATGGTGTGACGACGTATGAGCGCAAGCTTCTAAAATTGCGTCGAACGCGAATTCTTGACCACGCGCTCGCTTCTAGTTCAGGCTCGACAAAAGCTAGTCTGTTGGGGTGCGTGCTGATGACATGAGAGTACAGGCGTGTGCACTGGTGGTGCGTAGTTGGAGAGTTCACAGCGACAGTAGCTGCCGCGCCAAAAACTCGACCTTCGTCTCAGGACCCCCAAAGCTTGACCCGCTGATACCAAGCCCAGCGACAGCTTGGAAACGGGTAGTCTGATTGCTAGCCAGACTGCAAGGTGACCGATCTGCATCGCCAACGCGCGTGGAAAGCTACCACTCGCATGGTGTAACGGGCCTTGGTACAGCTGGGCGACCAACGGCTTTGCTTGTGCGCGTACTGAGTGAGCGAGGTCGTCACTAGACGCGCCGGTGTAGCGCCCATGAACGGGCAGAAGATCGGGATACAACTTGAATCATTGTGAACGCGATCTTGGGCATAAAGTTATGGTCTTGAGGGCTGTGGGCGTTGGAGCTACGAACGCGTCGCGTGCCTAATAAGAGAGCGGAGCGGAGCCAAAACCACCGACCAGCAGAAGCCTTCTGGCACCCCTGTATCTTTCTACCTACTCGCCAATCCTTCACGGTGAACGATGAACTCTCTCTTTCGTATTGCGCAGAAGGCCAAGCTGCGCATACCGTTGCATCAACGATCAATCTACTCACATCGATGCATCGAGGTTGCGGGGTGAGCACAGTCCCGCCCAAGCAAGCACGCGTCAGCTGCACACGCGCATCGTTCATCACATTACGACAAGCACCACTCCAAGGCTCATGCTGTGCTTCCTGCACGCGTCTGGAGAAGACAAGAATCCATCAAAATCCCCGTAGCCAAGACCTCCATGTGTCGCACCTCGGTAGGAGTTCCAGCCACGGGGTAGCGCGCTACACCAATCTGGAAAAGTAGCCTAAAAACAGACCACGTCTCAAACCTCACATTGTACCTTTCGAGCCGCGACCCCGGTTCTTTACTCCGCTGAACTATTTACCGCTCCACTTGTTCAAGACGCCAAGTGTTACCATCAAGGCTTACCCCCTTCGAAGCTCATGGCCGAGGCCTGTCAGTCTGGCCCCTTTGCCCCAGACGAACGCTGTGGAGGAGGGCCGCCAAAGGGTCGCGTCCTACGCCCGCGTGCCTGAGAATCCGGCGATCGATGCTCATCTAGGTAGACGATCCCTTGAACCGACCTCTTGTCACCTCCTGTATAATATCGATACTTGGCAGGCGTGCCTAACGGGAATGCTACGGGCTTGGTGTCCTAAGCATTACCCAGTCCCCTTCTACAGCTGTCAGGAGGCTTTAGATTTGAGCTTGGCCATGTTCCAAGAGCCAGAAGATCGAGATATGGCTTACGGTATGCGTCAGCGTAAGGAAGAGTGTCATCGGAGATCCGTATCGGCCATGATGTGATATGTGCATCTTTCACCCAAAATGGAACTCCACCTTCCATGCCCCAGGCAGATCTCTTTCTCAACGCGCAAGCAGATCAAATTTTTTACCACGCAGCAGAATAGCCTGAGCAGGAACTCCTCTGGGGCCAGCTGCAGGTCTCGACTAATGACAAGCTTCGTAACGCTCGAGACCGCGGTCACCGATCCACTTGCAGCACCAGAACCATGCATTAGCCCCGGCAACTAGCATCGCTCTCCAGGCTTGTTCGACCTTGGCTCCGCATCACAAAAGTTTCGAGCCAATGTCAAACAGCGGGAGAAGCTTGGCACATACTTCCAAAGGCAAAGCGTCGCCATGCTATGCTTGCCGCCACTTGGCGCAGCTTCAGGAAAGTTTCACACCTACGCCGATATGGTTAACTCATCTTGGCGGTCAACCACGATGAATCCGCAATATCGTGACTATCGAGACACAATAGGTTGCGTATAAGAGGACAGTAAACCCACTTCTTCTATTCTGCAGTCCGGTCACTCACTTCAATTCACTACCCAACCATCTTTCACTCTCCGTCGCCGGGCGACTCCTATCACTTAGTACATTTATTGAATCATCTAATCATTCATCAAACTCCCATCCTTCACTACTACCCATATCACTTAATCGAAAGATACCAACAAAACTAAACCGACAACATGCTTCCTCAACACGTCCTCATTGCGCTCGTCGCCACTGTCGCTGCCGTTCCGCTTAACATCAACTTGGGAGCCTACTCGCCTGCCCTGGTAGTCGGTGATGGAGAGATCTCACTAGGATCAACAGAATCAGCATCAGAGTTGATGGCTACGCTCGCATCGGGAGCAGCAGCCAACGCCGGTGGAGAGGGCGCAGCACAAGGTCAGCAAGAAACACCAGCGCCTGCCGCCGAAGCTCCCGCAGCTGAAGGCGAGGCTGCTCAACCTCAAGAAGAACAACCAGCTGAAGGCGAAGCAGGAAAACGCTCTATCCTTCGCCGCGCCATCAGCGACATCCTCGGCAAGCGCAACCCCGCCCCTGTTGAGCCTAAGATGGCCGCCGTCGAGGAGGCTATGCAGTGGATCAAGCGCGACCTCGCTGGCTTCAATGCTGCGCTGGGTTACGCAAAGGAGGCCCAGAAGGATATGCCCAAGGTTGAGATGGGCACCGAGAACGCCGGTGTTGGTCTGCTCGTCAACCCTGGTGTCAACGTTCCCAAGGACTCGGCCGCCGCCGGCACCCCACCTGCTGAGAAGAAGACCAAACGCGACGAGGTCGTCGAGGAGGAGGATGCGCCCAAGATGACTCTTGTTGCCATCACCGAAGTTTGAGCAAGATACCCGACTTTGCAGACATTTCAGCTAGCCCAGGGACGAGGCCTTCACGCGCCATGGGAATGAGGCTATAATCGGCAATCTTGTCAGTTCTGTTCAGCACGATTATTTTTCTTTCAGCGAACATCGGCAGGATCCCGCGTACTGTGCGGACCGGAAGATGAGGAGTTCTTGGGTACACAACGGTATTGATGTATGGATGGACGAATGAGTCAATCGAAGATGATACAAAAGTCGCAAGATTTCAATAAATTACTATTTGATCAATCGCCGTTTCCTCTCAAATATCCGTTTCTAACAATTTTTCTTCAAGAGCCAACACTCGACGCGGGTTACAAGTAATCGTTCACCGGTCGACATGCGGAGTGGTCCTTTGCAAAGCAAGGTATCGGCCATTCCCAGCATCCAATACAACCGCTTCCTGGAACCCATTGACGCCGCATCCGCGGTACCCGTCTTGAATGTTTTAGCCGCGTCGCCACAGACTTCTGACATTCGGTCAAGCAGGAATCCAAGTCACAGTAAAGTCTCAGCAACGCCTTACATATCTTGGCAACGCTTCGGTTCAGGGTCCAGGGTGTGCGGAGCGGAACATGAAACACGACCCTGCATGGGGGTCTGTGCGGTGGGTGGAGAGCGGGACCAGGTCGTATCGACGGAGTTGTCCTCCTCAAGTGAAATCGTTATTGCAGCTTCTTCTGGTCATCGCTGTCATGGTCATTCCAAGACCTTTCGCTGTACAGCTTTTCAGCAAAATATCGCGATGTTGAGTATTCAGGATCTGCACCTTGTGTTTTTCGAAATCATATTTCGAGATTTCCCATGGTCACGTGCACGAATGCGGCTGAGGCCGCCCACGAGCTGAGGCGACGAGTTGCCACCGATCTTCCAGCTGACTGACCGTACGCCTTGTACTATCTGAACTCTCCGCGAATTACGCAAGACATCACCTCTTTATCCAGTTATGCCCAAATGTCGCCTTTGCAACGACTTCCAGCGCAGCCCGCGCCAATTTCGTCTCGCGTTTGACTGCAGTCAGAAGGAATTAATCCAATCGGCAAACGGTGGATGCATAATCTGTTCGTATCTGCTGGAAGGACTTCAACACTTTGAGCCGAAACTTGAGGCACTTCAGGGCCATGATCGCATCCACATCTGGGGTGGTAATATCGATGGTGGCGGAGCGGTAGAGATGGAAGTATTCAGTGGTGGTGCTCTCAGACTTCGTTTGGAATTCTTCAACACGAAGGGCAAGACCAGCGTTCTACAAGGGGCGCGAATGCTGCCTACCATTCCCGGAGATACTCGAGCGCCAGCTTCAATTGATTGGGCGAAGCAACGTTTGCAAGAGTGTGTTGACTCACACGCTTCTTGCAGTCAAGAGAGCATCCCAAAACTTCCAACTCGAGTGCTCGATCTAAGACCGGACGCGGATGACATGAATGTCAGGTTGATCACAACGCAAGGTTTGAATGCACGATATGCATGTCTAAGTCACCGCTGGGGCAGATCTGCAGCTTTACAAACGCTAAAGTGCAACTATGTTTCACACACCCAAGGCATAGGATGGGATATGTTGCCGAAAACATTCTTGGAAGCGACTCTTATCGCGCAAGATCTCGGTCTCCGGTACCTTTGGATCGACTCTTTGTGTATCATTCAAGACGACGAAGATGACAAGTCGCATGAGATAGCGGCAATGAGTTCAATCTACACCAACTCATACATCACTATTGCTGCTACCCATTCAGAAAGCAGCATGCACGGATGCTACTCAACAGGGTCGCTCCATCATCAAGACTATCCACTTTCGTCGTCGAAGCAACGCAATGCTTCCGTGATAGGGCCGGACCTTTATGTCCGTGAAGAGATAGCGCATATTGGCGAAGAGCGCGCGACAACACCCCTGCTAAAACGTGGATGGGTCTGTCAAGAACGATTACTCTCACCTAGGGTGCTCCACTTTTGCGAAAAAGAGCTTGTTTGGGAATGTCAAGAGTCAAGTACCTGTCAATGTTCTTGCTTCAACCCGCCGGTGCACATCAAGCGAAAATATATGGAGGTTTTCCGTCGCAGTGTGTCCATCAACGACTACAAGACCCCCAATATCAAATTCAGTTTAAGAAGCACAGCATACCTGGATTCTTGCGATGAAGAAGATGGCGTTGATGTTCTCGTTTTGCCGGCAGCATGGACTCGGTGGCTCAGTATCGAATCCGATGATGATGCTTCCGGTCCACGATTGAAGTTGAGAGACAGAATGCGCCTCCTCAATGATCTCCGCCACATATCTTACGCTTATGCTCTCAAATCAGTGCTAATTCAATACCAAGAGGATTGGAACCGGGGACGCCTGTCGAAATCTTGGTCTAGAAGCAAGAACAACGACGACCCTACCGCTGAGCATACGGGTGCAGATAAATCAGATGACGATCTTCCTCAAATTCGTTTTGAACCCGAAATCGACTACATCATTCCAACCTGGCTCAACGATGAGGCCATCAGAAGATGGAGATATGTCGTCAGCGACTATACCGGTATGGATTTGACTGAACAGCGAGATCGTCTACCAGCTATAGCTGGTGTAGCTAGCCAGTTTGGAAACGTTTTGGGCGGTAGATACCTAGCAGGGCTTTGGGAGATTGCCTTACCTGGCGATCTACTGTGGCGTACACATCAATGTGCACAATGCACACCACAGTACAGGGCCCCAAGTTGGTCCTGGGCGTCACTTGATGGAAGGATCAAACACTACAAGATGACATCATATCATCCAGAATTCTCAATCGTCCGCGCGCTTTACGATCCACTCTCAGAAAACAACCCCTTTGGCGAAGTAACAAGCGCCTCATTAGAAATCAACGCTATAGCTGCGAATCTTCACGTGAGGTTCAACGCATCAAATGATATTAACGTCTCCCGTCGACCAATAAGAGTTTGTTTTATGGGAGGATACGCAACATTCATCCCAGACTACGACCTCACTATGGCAGCTACGCCACTGCACTCCAATACACATGATTCGCGCAGTATGCTTTACGAATTTATCTGCATCGGAGACTTCGATGTCGAGCGTAACGATGCAGCCTTCAGTGAAACCCAGAGTAATTCCGGAGCCTCACTTGCTGTGTCGCTCGTTATACACAGAACCGCTGAAGGCGTTTACAAGCGAGTTGGTATCTTAGAGCGCCCTCGCGTACAAGTTTCAAAATCGCTGCAGCACACAAAAAGCAAGCAAATGCCCCATATCTCTGGCACCTTTATTAAGAGCTTACACGAACAACTGCGCGATTCTAGAGAAAAGAATGGCAAAGAAGAAGCATGGAAACTTATATCAGGACTCGTGCTGATTTGATATCTGAACTTGTGTTTCGTGGCGGCAGATACAGCTCTACATGGAGGATTTAAAGACCCCTTAGCTGCCAGCTGCAGCTACCCAGCCTCAAAAACGCTAGCACGGGTCTTCTCACATCATAATGTCGACGGAGAAGATCTTCATTCGATCACCGTCAATAGAAGTCTGTGCCAGCGATGCGCAGTCGGCCAACTAGCCGGAAAGCTTCCTGGATGAAATGAGCAGTTGCAGTTGAGGCTTTGCTTTTACTAGGTAGTAAGAACAAGCAGTTTGAGGCTGGAGTTGTTAGTAGTAGGAGATCTTGTGAAATCATATGGTATTAGAAACTGATCTTGAGCTCTAACATGAAGATGGACAACATTTCAAAAGATCCTCAATATGATTACATTCGCTGTTGTCTAAGTGATCGGTTAAGCAACGCGAGCAAAATCTTGCCATCAAGTCCAGTGAGAATAATCTCCGTCGTCCCGCTGGTTGACCTTACCATATGTATAACTACGAGTACCCCGGTACTCAGGCGGACAGTTCAGTGACTTCCTGTTCCTCGTTTCAGCACCAGGATCACATCCGATGGGGTTCCAATCGGGTTCACAGTCGTCAACCTCAATCCACGCATGGCGTGGTTCACTGAGCTCTGTGCGAGTATTGAAGCAGTGGTTCCAGAGGCAGGAAGTGTACGGAGCAATCTTGTCTGCGTTCCAGTTGTGAAGCTTGGCGATCTCCTTCTTGAACGCATCCTGTCTCTTGCCACCCAAGAGATAGTAGTCGTTGAGAAAGGGTTGGCTCACCCAATCCCTGATCGTGTTCGACTGCGTGATCTCGTCGCATTTGTATTTGCCCTGGTCTGTTGGGCGATCCCACTCGAGCGTTAGCTTCAGTAGTGACTGCATCGGGCCTCCGTTGATGGGGTATGCGATCATAACTTGGCTTGCGACGTTGCAGAACCAGAGACCTCTGCCACCGCCTTGGCCTTCGTCGAAATCAGCCTTGTAACAATTACGCGGAGTCTCGGTCATCTTTTGGAATGCCCTGGCCATCATGCGATACTGCTCGTATGTTAGCCTTTGAGCTCAGACCATCAGGACGTGATTGCACTTACTGTCAAATCATCAAGACCTTTGACCCGATCGTTGATGGTCGAAACCAGAATATTGAAGTAGAGTTTCGAGTCTGTTGCATACTTTCCATCTTTGCTGTAAACGACATTATGGATGGCGCAATCATCCAAACTACTGCCATGTTTGCAGCGTTTCAGGACATCGTATACGCGATTGTACAATCGTTCTCCGCCGAAGGTTCCAACGTGGGTGCCCATGAGGCCCATGCGGATGTCAATCCGATACCACCCTTTCAGGTGCTTCATACCGTTCTGACTGGTAAGGGTTTCGACATCGTTGCCAGTCGAAGCGCTGATGTCCGAGTAAGAGATGTTTGGCCATGTCGTATTCGACCCAGTGATAGTATGCAACTCTGCCATCAGGCCATCGTCTGTTGAGTCCTTGTTGGGGTATCCACTGTCGCTGGCCTGGGAGGGAGCGCTTTCGACGCGAGATGCATCGTAAGCGTCTATTCGCGGGGTAGAAGATGCCACTTGCCGTTATTAGTAGCACAATCGCAAGCTTGTTGTGTATACCTACCGAGGCTCGAAGTCGTCGGGGCGTTTGATGACGACGCTGCAAGAGCGAAGGCCACCAACAAGGCCAAGAGAAGTAAGAAAGCACCCTTCATTGTTGCAATCACAGCGAGTAGCGGCGACGAGTACCGACAGGTGGAATGCTATTGTGGTTGAGAAGGTAATTGCGAGCGGTGTGAGAGGTGCTTTGAAAAAGGTGGGGAACGTGGAAATATATACTACTAAGGTATCAATCGAGGATGAGAGTGAGTCTGAGCGCCATTAGGAATCTCAGGCAGTAATTGGTAGTACGGTCAGTGAGCGCGTGAAAAGGGAAGGTGCGGGGCGTGGTAGTAGGAGGAGACAGTGGGCGTGACCCAAGTGAAGGAGAAACAATGAGGGCAAAGCACGTCTGACTCGCTGCAAGATTCTGCACGAGTATCCATGTTGCCGCATGTGTCATCCAGTGGTATAGGAGGGAAATCCTCATGCGCTGTTCGAGATAGGCATAGGGATTCATGTGCGTCTCTAGGCTACGCTCTCTCAGCCGATATCAGTAGGCTCAAGTCCAGAAACTGCCAATACTCGGCAGAAACACCCGAGTCCATATATGAACTTATTGCTGCCATCGCAACCTGTGCAGGTCAGACTGCTTGCTCATATTTACATAGCGATTGAGTTGTCGACCACCTCACAGATTGTCCAGAACTCTTTCTTCGACTATGCGCAACCGATCAATTTTTGGGTGTGCGGAACAAAACCAATATTGTTTCTGAGTAGCGGCGTGACATCAAATGAGGTACGCAGGCAACTGAGCGATATCGAGAGTTGTAAAGGTTGTCAAAGACGCGACGCGGAAGAAGGCTGGTGAGCCTAGCTTATGTCATCACTCGTCAGGCCTCGGCATGACCTCCGACGCCTATCTTCTCCTCTTCTACGACGCTCACCAATCGCGTTCGGTAGCACGCGCAGCGTACATATCTAGCATGCTACCTGGCGCTATATTCGGCGGGGAAACCGCTGTGCTCGTTTCACTACCACCGACTGCTAATCCACAGCACTTACCATGTCTCCAGCTCGTCTATCAACTCAATCGCTCTTACGCGTCTCAGGACCATCCATACCCCGCCCGCCGCGATGGTTTCAGTCACCCTTGAGTCGCGCGCTCGCGACCTCGTCCAGGTATCAGCAAGCTTCTGTCGCAGCAGGCATACGTGTAGATCACGCCGAAAGCAATGACAACCGCACCGTAGCAGCAATGGGGCGCACCAAGTCAGGCAAAGCCCTCAAAGTCCGCAAATACCCCACCTTTACACGCCTCGAGGACGAACGTCTTTACCGAAAACAGCATCTCGCGGCCGCTTATCGCATCTTCGCCTCACGTGGCTTCGACGAAGGGGTCGCCGGTCATATTAGTGTGCGCGACCCTATCCTGACGGACCATTTCTGGCTCAACCCGCTGTCTGCGCATTTCTCTCTGATACGCGTGTCAGATCTTATACTGGTGAATGAGGAAGGAGAGGTGGTAGAAGGTGATCAGCCGATCAATGCGGCGGCTTTTGCTATCCACAGTGCCATACACAAACGGCGGCCAGATGTAGATGCGGCGTGCCATGCGCATAGTGTGCATGGCAAGGCCTTCAGCGCATTTGGCAGGGAATTGGATATGATAACACAGGACAGTATACGCTTCTACAAGAGCCATGGCGTGTACAACCAATTTGGTGGTGTTGTGCTGGCCAGTGAAGAAGGCGAGAGGATAGCCGATGCGCTGGGTACGATACTTTTCCATTCCCTCAAACATCATACCGTTCAATTACTAAATACCTCGACAGGGGACGGCAAAGCAGCCATCCTCCAAAATCACGGTATTCTCACCGTAGGCAAAACCGTCGATGAAGCAGCTTTTTGGTTCCTCTCCCTCGATAAGACGTGCCAAGCACAACTCCTAGTCGATGCAGCCTCGGCTGGAAGTGGACACAAGCCCAAGATCATTCCGGACAGTGAGGCGGCTGAAACATACAAGAATGTTGGAACACCGGAGAAGGGGTGGCTGGCATTTCAGAGCTACTATGATGAGGTTCTTGCTAAGACTGGGGGCGACTTCTTACAGTGAAACGAACAATGTCTTTTGTCCACATAAGGTTGGCGTTGAGCCTGGTTCAACCGCTGTCATCATGGAACTTCTCCCAGGAGTTGGTTTTGTCTATCTCGCGACTACCTGCTTCCGAGCCATCTGTTCCCGAGAGACTAGCCTCTATGATTTTGAGACATAAACCACATCGGGCTCTGAGGCCAATGAGGCAGTCTGATCCACTGAGACCTGCAGGGTTGTATTTGTCGTTCAAGTTGCGCTACAGCAACTTTGCTCTGGAGATAAAACTCCTCTCATGACTGCGATACATCTCACGAACTACAAGGTGTTGTCTGCCAGGTCTGTGAGTACACTGGTCTGTACTGCGATTTATCTGGGTAGACCACAGCAGCTTCTTTGCGAAATAAGCTCTACAGCTTCAAGAAAACTCGCCGAAGTTTGCATTGATGTTGCTGCATTATAGAGCGTCGCACTGGACAATGCAAGATCAAGAAATCAAGCCTCGTAAGATCGCGATACAGGGGAGCTCCAGAGTAACCGCACGATCAGCCTGATGGCCATAGCCTGGGGATGATCGGACGCTACCACTACATTGCGACGAGACGTTACTAAATTGTTATAATTATCGGTGATGAAAATGGTGTAACGGTTGCTTTGCCAGACATGGAGCACACCGACCACACCAAACCTTGGACGTCGGATACTGGACCATCAACTACTCAGCGATTACACCAACAAGGCCTCGTTCTGCTTGGCGCGGATAATTTCTCGATAGGATTCGTAGTTCTGGTCTCACAAGCACTGTTCAATGGGTTGAGGGTGTTTTGCCACCCGCACCGGAACCCAGCGGAATGCCAGGATTCATCTCACTAAGCTTTTCTGGAACAACCAAATGCTTCCATAGGTAAGCTTTTCCAGCAGCTATGCTTGTCAGCGTACCAACAATGACGTCGAATATCGCGATGACCGGACATACCTCGGATGATCAGGTTGCGCAATCGCCATGAGGTGCTTCGGGCAGAGCCTCCATGTTGAGACTACAAGGCCGATACCCAGGGACACGGGACTCAAAAGTAACCAATTGACGAGTAGGGAAAAGCTCGGCGGAAATCACAATCACACCCATCCGCAGTGTCCCTGGCCTTTGAGCGTGGTTTGTCGAATCATCATCAGTCGCGTGATATCCAGGCAAACCGAACCACGAGGATTACTATCATCCGCAACCTTCCGCCCCACAGTTCTCCCCAGCATCTTCCAGTCCCTCGTAAGCTTCTGCTCGATCTCGTGCCCATGGGGTACAACGGGATGCAGTCAGCATGGAACCTTATGATTCCGTTGCCGAAGATTCGTCGAGTTTATAAGGTGAGGCAGTCATGCGACTTGATGCCTGTCACCTCAGTGGTGATTTGAGCCTCCTACTATTGACTAAAGTTTGCCGCAACAATGGACAAGATCAAGTCGAAACTAACCAACCCGATCAAAGACTGGCGACGCAGAAGCTCTGTTGATGTTGGCGAACACGAGGGCTATGATAACACACCGCTCCCGAGATTGACATGGAAGGGGTTCTGGATGGGCATGTTGGTATCGATGGGTGGATTTGTCTTTGGGTAAGTTGCTTCCACTACTACCACCTTCCTCCAACTCACGCTGCTAGTTATGATACCGGTCAAATCTCTGGATTTCTTAGCATGGTGGACTTCCTCAGACGCTTCGGCCAGAGACATGATGATGGCACGCCATACTTTTCTAATGTACGCTCCGGATTGATAGTCGGCTTGTTGTCTATCGGTACGTTGTTCGGCGCATTGATTGCAGCGCCGATTGCGGACTGGATTGGAAGAAAGATGAGTATCATCTGGTGGTGTGGCATCTTCTCCGTTGGTATCATTGTACAGATCGCAGCAACAGATGAGTGGTACCAGGTTATGATGGGCCGATTTGTTGCTGGTCTTGGCGTTGGTGCGCTGAGTTTACTCGTGCCTATGTACCAAGTAAGAAGAATGTCCCAACGATGCGTAGCCACTGCTAACAACATCCAGGCGGAGACTGCACCTCGACACATTCGCGGTGCGCTGATTTCTACTTACCAACTATTCATCACATTCGGTATTTTCCTCGCCGCGGTATTCAACTACGCTGCCGAGCGCCATCAGTCCGGTAAGGCGGCCTCGTGGCAAATTACTCTCGGTCTGTCCTTCGTACCCGCCGCTATCCTCGCCGTTGGTATACTAGCCTTTTCAGAGACACCTCGATTCAACTACCGAAATGGTAAGATCGATGAGGCTACTGCGACCATGTCGCGGGTATACGGCGTGCCAACCAATCATCATAGCATCCAGCTAGAGCTCGAGGAGATGAGGCTCAAGCTTGAAGCCGAAAGCAAGATTACCAACGGGCCGATCCAGGAATGGCTGGGTATGTGGATGGCGCCGAAGATGGCGTACAGGTTGGCGATTGGCATGGGACTGCAAATGTTTCAACAGTTGACAGGTGCAAATTACTTGTAAGCCACCATTCCGGGTTTGTTGAGCAAACGCTGACCTTGTAAAGCTTCTACTACGGCACTGTCGTCTTCGCTGGCACCGGTATCAAGAACTCGTTCGTTACGCAGATGATCTTGGTATGGAAGCTCTTTTTACAAAGACAGCCCATGGCCGTGCTAACATCTCCCAGAACGGCATCAATTTTGGTGTAACCTTCTATGGCTTATACATTGTCGAACACTACGGTCGACGCAAATCACTCATCGCCGGCTCAGTCTGGATGTTCATCTGCTTCCTCATCTTTGCGTCCGTCGGCCACTTCGCGCTCGATCGCGATAACCCGGAGAACACTGAGAGTGCCGCCACAGCTATGATTTGCTTTGCCTGTTTCTTCATCTTTGGTTTCGCAACAACATGGGGTCCAATGATGTAAGTATTCCTGCTTCCCGATCCGTTCTGCCCTACTAACCATCACCCAGTTGGACAATCTGCGGAGAACTATATCCCAGCCGCTACCGCGCAAAAGCAATGGCTCTATCGACGGCATCGAACTGGCTCTGGAACTTCCTCCTCGCCTTCTTCACACCTTTCATCACCGGCGCCATCGACTTCCGCTACGGCTACGTGTTTGCCGGAACTAACGTCCTCGGCGGCCTCATCGTGTACTTCTTCGTCATCGAAGGCCAGGGTCGCACGCTCGAGGAAATCGACACCATGTACTTGATGGGCGTGAAGCCGTGGGAGAGCGCGAGATGGGTCGTTCCCAGCCTCGACGAAATGAGTGGGGACGTGAGACAGAAGCTTGAGGCGGCGAACCCGGAGCTGGCGCTTCAGAAAGAGACTAATGGGGGTGTGCATGCTGAGGATGGTGGAGCGAGGGGTGAAGAGGATGAGGCGATTCGTAGGAGCGTTATGAGGGATGGGAATGATGAGGGACTAAGGGAAAAGTCTGAGGCCGATGTGTGATCCAATCGTTGGAGAAAAGGCGGTTGTATGGAGAAATACAAACAGCGTGTGTGGTTGCATGTAAGACCTAGCAGGCCTGGCTCCTATAGTGCCTGCTAGTCAAAGACATTTTCTGGTACAAATTTTCAAGAGACGTAATATACATAGTCGTAGATAGAAGTTAGATAATAACAGGCATCTTGGGGCAAATAATCCTCTGGAACGAAGTGGAGTGGTGTGGTTCAATATTCACACCGTGTTAGCTGTCTGACAAACCTGTTTGGCGAGAATAGCTGCACTTCGCGACTGTAATTATGTGGGACGCAACCAAATCAAATCAAATCAAATCAAATCAAATTAATCAAATTAATCAAACCAAGCAATACAACTGCCAGGAGGAACTCCAAAATCAATCCTTGATAGCACCACCTTGCTCTTCTACACCCTTCGCTCTACAACACGACACTTACAATCTTGCTTTGTAAACCAGTAAGTCTTCCAAGCATATCCTTTCGCTGTTCGTTTATCTGCCACAATCTCAAAGTCAAAATTTCTCATAACCTGCGGCACCACTTTAAACATCTCTAATAAAGAGATGTTTTTCCCTAGACATGTCCTCGGTCCTGCGCCAAAGGCTAAAAAGTTGCGATTCATGTTAGACAGCTTCTCAGCATCATCGGTCAACCAGCGTTCAGGCACAAATTTCGCTGCATCAGGACCGAAGACTTCAGTGTTGTAGTGTGCGACCCAAGGATTGACGCCGACTTCAGTTCCAGGAGGGAAGTATTGACCCACGAGAGTAGCACCTTCTTTACCAATAACACGAGTCAATGGCGCACCAACAGCGGAATGTATGCGGAGAGATTCATAGATGACAGCGTGAAGATAGGGCAATCTTTGTGCTTCCTGAAAAGTTACTGGATCCGAAAGCATTCCATTGCTCGTGGCTTTGTCGAGTTCGTCCCGTAGTTTAGCACACGCCTTAGGGTTCATGGCTAGGTACGCAAAGGTAGCGGTAAGGGAGATAGCAGTCGTGTCTGAACCAGCTCCGATGTTACTACCACAGGCATCGACAGTGTTCATCCTGGTGATTCTTCCCTCCAGTTCAAGCGGCAATAACTTGTCGACGAAATCCTGGCGATCATCTCTCGATTTTGTGTGTCCCGAAGTACGCTTATGTATCTGTAGGACCGCAAAATCAATGACCTTCTGGAATGCTGGTTTTATTTTGAAGATGCCAGCGATATATAGAATCGGGTAGATCACTTCGGGTACGAGTCCAAGCAGTGCCCCCTTCTTAACCGTTTCGTCAATAGGAGCGATCATGTTATTCTTGTCGCCATCATCTTCCATGAATCCAAAACGGGATCCTGCAGTGATTTCTCCAATCACGTCGAAAGCGTAGAATTGCATCATCTGTCGCATATCTAGCTCTTTGTCGTTGAGCGCGTATTCGCGGAGGCGGTTGACCAGAATTTTGTTGCATGTATCCACAAAACATTCATAGGAGAGCAAGCTAGTGGTTGAGTAGAGTGCGGTAATCGGACGACGGAGGATCTTATGAGCCGAGATTCTTGGTTCAGTGAATATATTAGGGCTCGTAGGTGAGCCAAAAGGAATGTAGTATCGTGATTTATCTAGGGCGTTGGTGTGGCCGAGAAGGATCCTGGTTGCTTCGGCATCGTTGACGCTATAGCGATTAGGTCCAAGACGAACGATGGGCCCTTTTATCTATTGTTAGGCCAACTATGCAGAGCGCGCAGAGCTAGTGTAAACAAACCATATTTCTTGTGCAGAGCGATGTTTAGTGAGGCAAAATCGTACTTTTCAGTTGCATGCCATTCCCAGAGTCTCGTGAATTGGGCGAAAAAGGGTCCGGGGACTTTACGCAATGGAGAAATTGATATCTGAATGATAGGTATAGCGATAAAATATGTGATGAAAGTGATGAAAATACAAGGGAAAATTTGAAGTAGAGCCATGTTGCTTCTTAAGCGGAGCAAGTGTTAGAGCAGGGTTGCAAAAGGAAGGTTTCCAGAGACACTACTAGGTGTACGGCCAAAGCTGGTTTAATAGTCTTGTGCTGTTCCACTTTTGCCGTTCGGATTCGTCCGGTGTAGCAATAGCGTCTACATTGAAGCGGATCTAACTCTTCTAGCTTGTTGTAAACTCATCGTCTGTATGAACCTTGCACTAAGAAGGTTCTAACTGAGTGCCAAGAAAGGTAGCTCCAATTCTCAATCTAGACTAGAAGCTTAAAGACCTAATTCTTTTGCAATGTGGATATTGGTGTTATGCTGGACGAATCCTAACGGTATGAGCGGTGTCATTAGGCTAAAGCCCGGGGATCGACGCAACTTGTCCTTCCCTACTTTGACAGTTATAGTTTGTACATCGAGCGTCGTACATCGAAAAAGTGGGGGCATGTCCATTTTATCCAGCCTAGGGATATTCAGTGTTATAGTGGAAGCTATCGGACCGGCTTTTCTGTGAACTGAAGCCAGGTGCTGGGAGCATTAGGCAGACACTGAGATATCGATATAGGCTTGTATTGAGACGAATCTTTGAGGAGCTATCAAGACACCCAGAGGGACAATATATATGTATGCCACGTGATCGTGGCTACAATGGAAAAGGCGATTCAACAACTTCTAGGCCATCAACTGAAACGGATGCATTGAAAACTTTGAGGAAATACCAAGATGCACCGGATATCTCGGCGGGTGCTTAGGTGGGGTTTGGTTGAAAGGTGTATGGCGATGTGCTAAAGGCTGATCCGCATTAGGCGCACTCGAGTGGCTGTCCATGGTAGCTAACGATGATTGATCGCTACGACGTCGTATTGGCACCCTCACACTCGGGAAATTGCTGGCATTGGCTGTAGTATAGAACAGTCACAACAGCAACATTAGGATGTGAAGTGAGCGAAGAAACGCCAGTCGCTACTACATAGGTCTAATCTCTCAACTAGGCCTCGACGATCCACCTGCGAAACACCATAGCTGCAAGACAAAAGTCAAATATAGACGGCCTCGGAGAAATGCGATATGCTACGCGGTCCGGGGTTTGTGTCTTGCCACCGCTGCAGTGAATGATTATTGCGCTGAAAAAGAGATACCCGACACACGCGATACCTGGTGAGCTTGAGGGCTAATATTCAATTCCCGATGCATCAACTGCTGCCTCGACGTTAGCCCAGTTGTACAGCCCACGTTCACAGGGGTCTCGACTAGCGTCTTTAGCGTCACTCGTGCGAGGAGGCATCAGCGCTCCATGCGGCACGCGGCTAACAAAAAACGCCGACTCCAAAATTTCCACTTTCTACAGGCTTAGAATAGCATGATAAAACGAAGCAATTAAGATTCCAAGCTAGCAGATCTATACAGAGTCACCTCTTCTTTTTCCCTATCTACTTTATTTCTATTACAATATCAATATCGTTGTATAGTAGAGCTAGAGAGAGAATGTGTACATGCTCACAGCTCGCTTGTTTTGGTAAGGATTCGAGGCATCGGTGAGTCGGGATTCTTTGTTTACCGCGTGGCGGCTTCCATGGTACATTAGTCGAAATACCGCGCCTAGTGCGCAGACTGTAACACCTCTATAAACACCATTTACGGGGCATACACATCGTCTCTTTCTACCTACACTATTTCTTAGTACCGTACCGGCTACCTGAAATCATTTACAACATCTGCCACGCCTTCCTAGGGCCGTGCTTCATCAGCACTATGGACTCAACGTTCGGTGCCCAACGGACGACCTTTTCTAAATGCCATCCCTCATCACAACATCAGCAGCGCGCCACCAACCAGCTTCAGGTTCCAGCCTTGATCGTTTGTTTTTAGAAGACCTGGATATGTCGCACTTTGTTTCAAAGGATCGGCTCGACTAGATCGCCATTTCCCAAAAGAGCTTAGTTTTAGAGGAAGAAGTATCACCTGCCGTTATACCTAAGTAGCGCTTCGACAAGCGTGCCGTGAGAGCTTTGTATGGTAAGGTGTGGTCGGTCCAAGACCCCAAACAGGATAGCGTTTGCGCGGATAATCCGCTCACGTCAGCCTTATAGGCGCCAAGGACCTGTGTTGTAGTTCTGGATGTCAGATCTGCCAGTGTGAAAGCTACATCGCGGTAGACAGATAACCATGTTACTGCCATTCATGGCGGCATCGCTAAATCAAGCTTGGCATATGTTCTGTTTGCGATACATAAGCCGGGAGTGTTACCCATACCATCTGCGGTCCAAATAGTCCAGATTCAGCTCGGTGCAATTTCCAGAGTCATAAATTCATCTGAGTATACTATCATCAATTGTGGCTCGCTTGACCACAATGGATCAAAACACACTACCATCGGCTGTCATTGAAGCTGCTCAGGCATGGGAGGCGTCCAAGGCAGAGTTAGAACGACAGCGATTGATAGCTGCAGCAACGAAACTGATCGAAGTCCTCGAGAACCCTGCCGAGAAGCTGGCCCGTATCGGGTGGGGGGAGCCCTCCAGAACCGCTGCACTCCAGACTGCTTTCGAGCTCGGTGTTTTTGATAAACTTACCGACGAACCACAAGACAGCAAAGCACTGGCTGAGAATACTCCAGCTGACCCACTACTTGTCGGTATGTTTCGTATCGGAGGCTCGACTGCAGTGCTTGACTGACAATATAGAAGGTCGAACTATGAAGCACTTAGCTGCTTACTCCATCGTTGGTCAGACTGGAATCGACTCTTACGTGGCGACACCCTTTACCTATGCAATGTCGGATCCTACAGTTCGAGGTGGATTAATCTACAGCTTCGAAGGAATGATCCCTACCTTCCATAATCTTCCTTCTTTTCTCGCAAAGACCAGCTATCAGGTGCCTAACAACAGCGCAAATGGGCCAGTGCAGCACGCACTCCAGACAAAAAAACCCTTCTTTGCCATTCTACAAGATGATAGTCGACTCGGATCTGCCTTCAATGATTTCATGACGGGCTACGGTAAAGCGCGACCAAGCTGGGTAGACTACTATCCTGTGCACGAACGTCTACTTAACCGACCGAACGACACTGGTCCACTCCTGGTGGATGTAGGAGGTGGTCTTGGTCGGGACATCTCCCATTTTCACAGCGTGTTCCCGGAGGCCAGAGGCACCTTGATCCTGCAAGACACGCCTTCTGTCATTGCTCAGACCCAAAGGTCGACCCCTCCTCTTCCATCGGCGATCAAGGCGATGGCACACGACTTCTTTACGCCCCAGCCTGAGTCCGCTCGACAAGCGCAAGCCTATTACTTACATCTTGTTCTACATGACTGGGACGACGACTCGTGCCGCAAGATCTTGGGGCATATCCGAGATGGAATGGAGCCAGGCTATTCAAAACTCCTGATCAACGAGAATGTGATGGAAGACCTTGCGGCGCCATGGCAGCAGACTAGTCTTGATTGGACGATGATGGCGATGCTTGTCAATCGAGAGAGGACGAGGGGCCAGTGGGCGGCATTGCTAGAGAGTATTGGAATGAAGATTGAGGGTATCTGGAGGAAGGACATCAGCAGTGAGAGTGTTATTGAGGCTGTTGTAGTAGTGGAGTAGGTTACTTCAATTTTAAGAAATGCTAAATCAATAATGGTCATTCTAGGTCTAAGGTGGGGTGATTTTGCGCTCTCATCTGAACGGCCTTGTTGATATGCCACACACATAGTTGCAGAGCTTGTGCTTGTACGGGTGAGAGCAATGTGTGGCAGTTGGGTGCGGGTATTGTTGACAGAATAGCTAGAAGAGAGTGTATGTTGTTGTTGCTTTTGTGTAGTATACTAGCTGAACTTGTATCAAGGTCATCGCACGGCGTTATTAGTGACGAAATTTCCCACAGCTCTTGACTTGCGGCATCATTCAACATGTACACAGAAGCTGTTGGCCTGAATTAGTTGCATATGGCATGCTTTTTGGAGAAAGCTATCCTTGAGGCGACAGTCCAGCAGCAATTTGCTTCCCTCTGGCCTCGTCTAGAAGGTGCGCTACATCCTTGTCGGCCATATCGAATTCTCTTTCAATGAGGCTTCTGCGCTCCTTTGATCTCGGCTCAAAGACTGTGACGAAAGGTTTTGGGCCGGACACAAACCCAGTCGTAAACATCTCTTCTGACACGTTGATCCTTACGCCATCTTTAGAGCGTATGTTGAACGCCCAGAGCAGTCTTGCCATCGCTATCGCTAGAGAGTTTCGTGCAATGAATCGTCCAGGGCAAACTCTTCGGCCGTATCCGAAGTTGCTGGGCTGAGACTTTTCAATCCATCGTTCAGGCCGGAACACTTCTGGTGAGTCAAAAGTGCTAGAGTTCTGGCGCATCGCGGCGAACACAGGAACCACGACCGAGCCCTTGGGTATCAAGTAACCTTTGTAAAAGTCGTCCTGAGTGGTAGCATGCGGAATGCCAGCTGGCACAATGTGCCTCCATCTGAAGTTTTCCTCTACTACAGCCTGAAGATAGGGCAGGTTGCTCAAATCTTCAAATCCAGGAAGACGATTAGTACCGACGACTTCATCAAGCTCTTTCTGAGCGGCGGCAATCCAATCCGGGTAGGCTACACACGCCAAAATGAAAATCTGCAATTGAATTTGCGTAGTTTCGACGCCCGCATCACACAGAACACCAAGATCCCAAGCTATCTCTGTCGCAGCGAGATCTTTTGCCTCCTTTGACTTGTTGAATTCTTTGGCCCAGTTCCATCCCTTGCGCTTAAGGGCGTCTTCCATGTTGGCTATGTGGAGATTTTCCCACATCTGGTACCACGCCTCAGCGGTTTTTTTCCATGGCGTCAATGGTGCTGGGAGGTTGTTGAGGGACGGGAAGAGATCGACTATCCACGCGCCGACCTGACCGGCAATAGTGAAGTTCTTAAGACACTCGTGACTGGTTTGAAGTTGCCATTCGTCGCCGGTGATGATGCGCATGCCGAAGGTGATGGAATATACGATGCTAGCCGCAAAACGCTCGAACTCCTTGGGGAAGTCGTTTGATTGAAGAAGGTTTTTCAAGAGCTGTTTGCTCTCCAGGTCCTGAATCGCCGTGTAACAGGCTGAAGCACGCGGGCTGAGCACAGGAGCTTCAAGTCGTTGGTGCAAGAGAAAGTCACCATCGAATGGCTTGAACATTATGTGCTTGCTCTTGCATGTCAACTCTTGTGCCATAACCTTGAGATATCAGGTCGCTATCACAGCTTTCGGTAGAATCGACTCGTAACTCACCATGCGTGGCCGACTACTGTAGATCATTGCCTTCTTGTCGAGCAGATCTTTGGCCACCTCATGGTCTCCAATCAATATCACATTCGTGCCACCGAAATTAAGGTACACAAGAGGACCATACTGCTCCACCCATTTCTGGTATGTAACCCAGACTGCTTCTTTAGGAGCCTGGTGTAAGTTGCCGAGAATGGGCAGACGAGGCGGTCCCGGAGGTAAATTCGAGTCTTGTCGTCTACGGAGCCAGACATACAATATTGCCAACAGACTGACAACAAACAGGACTGTTGGTGATAATACAGCCATTGTGACTAGGTTGGAGTGGTCTATATCCAGAGATTTGAGGTATGAGGGAAGACGTTGTTTATCTGAAGATGCGATATAAGGCGATGACGGGGCATGTTTCGAGCTTTCGGTGCCTCATCTCATGCTAGGCTTCGATATGTCCCGCTCCCTGAATTTGAGTGGGGCGGATCACGGCCCGTCCCTTGTCGCAGCCAATGACAGGGCGTGGAGCTACTGGGTTAATACGAGCGTACCCAGGTAGCGTCCTGTAGGATTGCGGCACAGCTTGAGCCATCAAATCATGAACGTTCATGAGACGCTTCAGCAGGACTTTCGGCAGATAGGAGAGTGCGACGGGACAAAAGTCATACGGCACAAGCTTGGCATGCCTGAACGAGTAATAGCACGCCCGAATGACCCTGATACTTAGGACCCAGTATCTACAGGAGCAGTATGTGGACGACGCTCCGTGCTGTGAAGCGTCCTGTGAGTGACACTCTGATGTCTTCGAGGTTTGTCGCTGCTCTTTTCCGCTGATATGCATGACTATCGAACAGTCCTCAATGTTGTGGGGTGGACTCTGGTCTCGTTTTCAGCCATCTTCGTCTTAGCGCGATCATATACACGCGCACGAGTCGTGACGACGACCCTGGGCTGGGACGACTGGTGTATGATTGCTGGCCTGGTGAGTTCGACTCTGGACCTCAGTCCTACATTCGATCACCATTGACTTACTGGAACATCAGGTCTTCGCTGTAGTGTGTACATCGCTCGTAACAGCCGGTACTACGCACGGCCTTGGACAACATGTACAGGACATCAGCGATCCAGAAGACCAGGCTGCAGCTACCATGTACGTGCTGTTGGCGCCTTGCTTCTCCATCGTCAGCGCCTTCTTCACAAAAGCGTCCATAATCATCGCACTGATGAGAGTAAGTACACAAGACTATGCAAGGAGCAGAGCTCTCAGCTTACCAGCCTAGATCCGAGGACACACAGCGCGTCTATCGCACAACTTCATCGCGTATACCCCTCTGGTCGTCCTACTGATCGGCTCTACACTCTCATGCTCTGTCATGATCTTCTTTTGTTCGCCCGTACAGAAGTCTTGGAGACCGCAGATTGAGGGCACATGCTTGAACCCCACAATGCTAGATGTTGTCGGAAAGTCGGTGTCAGGTATGTTCGAAGAATGCCAATGTCTCTGCCAGGTGCTGAAGCCTCAGTGTATAACGCGATGATGGACGTCTTTTGCGCTATAATGCCATACTTCATCATAAGGACTTTGAACATTCCTCGAAAGGACAAGCGAAACCTTGTAATACTAATGGGTGGTAGCATCCTGTAAAGTCACCTCGCCGCACTGTTGATGCAATCACTGACGTTGGCAGTGGCACATTCGCAACCATCATGAAGATCGTAGCAATGGGCAGCATCTCCGATGTCGCGGACATGACATACTCTTGGTCCGAGATAACGATCTGGTATCTGTAAGTGTAGTGTTATTGATCACAAGGGACCTTGACTCACTCAAGCAGGACTGAAAACAATGTTCTCATCATTGCTGGATGTTTCCCTGCCCTGCGGCCGTTCTGGCGTGTTGTGATTGGCAAATACAGCTCGTACCTCTCGTCGAACGCATCACGCAAAAACCCTCCACGAGGCGAAAACGGACGATCGAGCGAAGACAAAGAGCTGCAAGTGTACACGGTGGGATCTCAGCCCAAATTTGGGAAGAAGCCCAATCTGTATTCGACAACAATCCGCGTCAGTAGTGAAGAAAGGTTGTGTCCCAGATTAGACGGAACTTCTGGGGAGACAATTGAGAGGATCTTGCACAACCATGGAGACGAGCGCTTCGAGCGTCAGGCCTGCATTGCCAGCACTCGCGCAGGTGGAATATCGCCCAGCGATAGCACGAGGATAATAGTTACCAGTGAGGTAGAGATCAAGTGAAAAGGGTGTCCAATTGTTTCATGCCAAAGTCCTGTGTTCGTGGCATGCCAGTAGCGCCCGGTCCTGCCAACCACTAACCCGCCCCCACCACCGGTGTGACCCTGCGTCGGCTCTCTTCTTTATCCGCCACGCAATTTAGCAGCCTCAGCATCGGAACTCAAGTAGAGGGCTGCTCACCCCACCAGTCAGTTTAGGAGATCATTATATGCTTAGAAGAACATACCGTGCTTTCATACACCAAAAAGCTTGACCGTCGTCAAGTTCCCTACTGCTAGCACCAGCGTCTTGTATTGGCTATCAAGGTCAGCTGCTGAGGCAAAGTGTCCAGACATGTCACTGACCATTGCCACGAGTTGAGCGAGATCTTTGATAATCCAAGAAAAGTTGAGTGCATGCGATCGCAAGCATAAGTGCTCCGTAGACCATGCCGACGATAGTATTCGAATTTACGCCGTTGCCAGAGGCTACGATTGTCAGAACGGTGCTTTCCATCATCGCGAATGATGTATAGGTTAGACAGAATCCTGAGGGCGATGCCAGGGAGATTGAAATAATGAGTTGTTGTCACAGCTGGTGGGTTCCCAAGGGTTGAAGTCGGTGAGGGTATTACACTCTACCGACTATTGTCTATTTATGCATACAATGTCCAGCATAGAAGCCATAACGGCTACGCGATATTTCGGGACCTGTTTGTTGATATCACGAAGAGAATCGCCCAACATCTTGACATCCTTCAGACTCGATGATTTCTAGGTATGAAGTTTTTGGTGGATGCAATTGGAATATTTGGATTTAGCATCATGATGTCACCTAGCATCGAGCCTCCGTGAATAACATGGGATAAGCGGCCAAGCACTGGAAGATCGGCAACGCGCTTCACCAAGCCTTAACCATGCAAATAAGGGGACTGTCAGGTGGTGCCTGGGCCAGACTTGCAGCGCCACGGTTGAAATTTCGCTTAGCGCACGGTATATCCATGGTGGGTCGAGTGGAGTCCATGGTAGACCCACTTGACCCACTTACAGGTTAGACACTCTGGTATGTTACCATGAATCTGCAGACTAACCTTTTGATATGTTCATACCCAATCACACTTCCGCTATTCGCGGATAATTCACAACAGCTGACCGATCTCTCATTATCTCCAGCTGAATCTGCAAAATTCGTAACCTTTGCTTTGTTTACTTGGACCCACAGCTAACTCGATGGGTGCCTTACGCCAGTGTCCTTGGACACCGTATAGCCCAGCCAGCTGTCCCGGCTCTTCAAAGATGGCCTGGACACACACTCTAGTGTTGCAAATCAAGCTCAATTTCATGACACAAGCTTGTCGTCTCCGTCTGAGATAGTGCACAGATCTCACAGACGGTGATACTTTTGGAAACATCACCCAAGAACTATCAGCTCGAAATTTTTCTCAGCTTTACAACAGCCGACAACCTTCTTCGACCTCTTTCAACGCTCTATTGTGCTGCGCCCTTCCGCGACATTCTGTCCAACACCAACGCACACCAACATCGATCAAGACCATAATGAATCCACCACTAAGTTCGACCGATCACCGAAGATATAGCGCTGTCAAGCTGTGGATCTATGGCGCCTCTAACAGTGATGAAGACTCTTACCTGTTGTCGCTCACCGATGTACCTTTGAGTTCCGTCCAGCAACTTATTGCCGAGAGTGGTAGGTCAATCGACTGTATACTGTAAAGTCTATGCTAAACAAGTGGTAGGGTCTTCTTCGACCGGGCCGCGGCCGCTGCAAAATAACGCCAACGAACAAACCCACCCAGCAGCAAATTCATCATCAACCTCCGAGCGATCTATGATTCGCAATCATAGCCATCGGAGTACGGCCATCTCATCTGATGAGAGGATAAGAGCGGACCGAGGCTTTTACGGAAAGCACTGCAAGCAATGCTTCGAGTCAGGCTTTCGCGCATCTTCTAAGAAGCCGATACGCACACATCTCAAGAAATACCATGCCGAGGAGTTCAGAAACCCACTTGCGCATCAGGGCTCCCGTGACCAGTATTGTTGCTGCGAAACCGGTTTCGACATCGAGTCTTGGGCGGATCATTTTGTGAAATGTCACTACCATTCTACAGATAGGGCTGCTGCTCCTGTACCGCTTAGCCCTACCCGATCGTCGTCCAGCTTCCACTATATGTCGGTTTCTGCGTCGAGCTCGACTCAAAATGGCAAAGATAACCCGTACCAGGTCGCCATCGGCTCTGGTACGAGTGGACATGCCGACGTCTCAAATGCAGAATCTCAACGTCAGACGTCGTACCGCGATCAAGATCCCTTGCAGCCCATCAATAGTCCAAGGTCTTTCGAGAAAAGTGCAACGTCCATAAGCCAGTCGCGCCCTCCTTCTGTATCATCATATCATCTTCGGACATTAACGCCGATTACGCCGTCCATCGGCGTGTACGACAGGCAGATCCTTCCTTCAGAGGATGCATTCGGTAACGCCCTCTTCGATGATCATGGTAACAAAGTAGTCCGCACGTACGATTGGCAGCAGATATTCGTCTTGGATGGGACAGGTAATCTTGTATGCGATAGTCTTGGCGTCCCGATTCCTGTTTCTTTTGGGCAGCTGTTGTATGCATATCCAGACTCTAGCGATATACTCACTTACCGTTATGGCGTTGATGTACTTTAGTACAGCCAAGGTGGAAGATAATGTACTACACGTTCAAACCACGCGCTAATTGTACTCAAACAGTGCTTGGCGAGTTTGACGAGTATTTCATTATTGCTTCGTCATCCGTAAAGCATATCGCAATGACTAACCGACTGATATCTTGGCGTTGGCATTCGAGTCTTTCCTCCATAGCCTTCCTTAGGTAGGATTATTGTGGCATACAAAAATGATAGAAAACCACCTCATGATATTGCTAGTCTACCATCACTCTCTTACGCCCTTGTATGACATACTCAGGTGTAGCACCGCACCACACCCCACGAACGCGACACACGTTCTCACATCGATCGATAAGAAGGACTGGTCCTGAGCGCCGTGGTCCTATTCAAACGATACTTGAACACGCTTTAGCTTGTCGCGCTCACAGAGGAGCTTGAATGTGACCGCGACGATGAGGGGCTATGGTCATTCTGGCCAGCTAACACGTTGCAAAGCTTTTATTTGTGTGGGGGAACCGGAAGGTGTTGAGGTGTACCCTTGAAAGATTCAGCAACACGACCGGTCTTTATAACCCCTCATTCCAAACATTAGTAAAGCTCCCTGTCCAACATCCACAATCCTTATCCCTGCGCCGGCAGCGTCTGCAAAGGAAGGTGGTAACCGAGCGAGACATTTTCGCATCCAGTCAGCTTCGTGCCGCGTCGCACCGCGCCTACAACACAACGGCACTTCATCCGGCGCTGACAGTTTTAGTGCAGATGTTCACGACGTCGCAAAAGTATCGAAAAGATGTCAGATGCATGTTTCGGTGTGACCGAACAGCTCCTTTCCAACCATTAGGCCCCCAAGAAGACGGGAGAGAATTCGTTTCGGGTTCAGCCCTGACGTAGCCGGAAAATCCCAAGACACCATCAAATCGCGCCAGGGCGTCCTAGCCCACGCCCCAACGTCAAAGTCGGATCAGATTAGATCCACCTTATCGCTAACCCGCACACTACAGGGCGCTCTTCGACCCCGATACGTGGTTCGCGGGCACGCCATGCTGTCATCGCACAGACCCGCGTGGGCTTTCAGGGTACACAGCACAGTCGCGTGGGTGAATGTTCCATCCGCCATGCCACCGACGCGCTTGGCGACGATAGTTCGTACCAATAGCATGACACGGGCGCCCAAGCTTCCTTGTGCACTTCGGCCATGGCGATGCAGGGTCGATCAGATAAAGTAGTCGCGTCTGCCATGTCGTTATCTGCGATTTTACGCACGCGGGTCGCGTCTCTCACATCTGCTGAAAGAGTTGGGAGATTTGGATGCGAAGATGCGCAATTCGATGAGGCCGAACGAGGCTTTGCCGCAAACTGGTATCCTCCACAACGAAACTGATCGCGGTAACTTCGGTAAAGATGTCGACTACAATCGCGAACGCTCGCTGAGCGACGATACTTCGAGTGAGCATTCAGCACAGGCCGGTGTGAAACGTATTGAAGCTGTGAGTAAGGCGTGGACGAAAACCTCGATCATAATCGCCTATGTAACGTACGCCCTCACATCTTCCCACCACGAAATGCATCCTCTGCTAACTCTCTTCGAGCCTCCTCCTCATCGCCAATATAACTTCTCTCGAGATTCAAGTAACTAGCGTTCTTACCCCCTACGCAACTTCCGCCTTCGCCCAGCATTCCCTTGTCTCCACCATCTATGTAGTCCAAGGCGTCGTAGCCGCCGTCATCAAGCCGCCCATGGGGAAAATCGCCGACGTATTCGGTCGCCTAGAATCCTTCTCCATCACCATCTTCCTGTACACGATCGGCTACATTATGCAAGCCGGCTCCAACAACGTCCAAACCTTCGCTGGAGCGCAAATCTTCTGGGCAGCCGGCTTCAACGGCTTACAGGTCTTGCAACAAATCTTCGTTGCTGATACGACAGATCTGCTGAATCGCGCACTGTTTTCGACTTTGTTTGACCTGCCGTTTCTGTGGACGACGTGGGCAGGTCCGGAGGTTGGGCAGGCGATCTATACGAATATCTCGTGGAGATGGGGATATGGTATCTGGGCTATCATTTTGCCCGTATGCTTCATCCCACTTGCTGTGAGTTTGTGGATGAATCAGCGGCGGGCGAAGAACCTGGGTTTCGATGTGCCGAGTCCGTTTTACGGACGCAATACGTTTCAGGTGCTGAAGAACATCTGGTTTGACCTTGATGGATTTGGTTTGCTGTTGTTTGCAGCCGCTATATCGCTCATCCTGTTACCTCTCACTCTTGCCCCTAGTGCAAGCGGCGGATGGAAAAACGCGAGTATGATTGCTATGTTGGTCATTGGTGGAGTCTTGTTGCTCGCTTTTCCGTTATGGGAGACAAGCAAGAAGCTTGCGCCGAAAGCTTTCTTCCCATCGAACCTTTTCAAAGAACGCACAGTCATCGCCGGTGTCTTGATCGCGTTCTTCTACTTCAGTAAGTCACTGTCCACACCTTTGGTACGTATACTGATTGATCCTATAGTGGCATTTTACATGTCCGTCTTCCCCTACTTCAGCTCCTACCTCCAGATCGTCCAAGGCCAATCAATAGTAACTTCTGGCTACATCACGCGCGTCTTTACCTTCAGTTCAACCATCTCCAGCGTCGTGGTCTCACTCCTGATCAAGTATACGGCGCACTATAAGTACTATGTTACCCTTGGCGCAGCCATCTATCTCATGGGTATGGGTCTCATGTTGCACTACCGCACTGAATCCGCATCAACGGGAACTCTAGTCGGTACGCAGATAGCCATTGGTATCGGAGGAGGCTTTCTGAATGTGCCGGTGCAGTTGGGTGTCCAGGCTAGTGTGAGCCATCAGCAAGTTGCAGCCGCAACAACAGTCTGGCTCACCCTTCTCGAAGTTGGTGGTGCGGTCGGTTCAGCCATCTCCGGCGCGATTTGGAGCACGTACATTCCGCGAAACCTCCAACGTTACCTCCCGGCTGAAAATGCAGCGGATTGGGCGACTATCTACGGGAGTATCGTTGTCGCAGCGGATTACGTCACGTATCCAGCCGGATCTCCAGTGCGCATCGCGATCAACAGGTCGTACCAAGAGACGATGCGATATCTTCTCATTGGTGCACTTTGTTGCGCCGCGCCGATAGTGCCGTTGACGTTGTGCCTTAAGAATTACAAGTTGAATGCGATGGATCAAAAGGTTGTGGGAAATGTGATTGGGAGTGCTGAGAAGAAGGAAAGTTCCAACGATAGTAGCAGGAGTGGGTGGAGATTTTGGAAGAGATAGATGCAGCAATGCGACATGAGTGGTTCCTTCGTATTACAGATAGACCGATCAGCGAGACCATTATTTACATGCCACTCATGGAGCAATGATTTGGTTGACATCAGGCGCGGTAGATGTTAGCCCATGATTCGCCAACGCTGAAGTCGACGTTGTGTTTCACTCGGTTGAAAACACCACTTGTTGCATAGGTGAAGATGCTAGCGTCTCAAGCGCCGTGAAGCTAGCTGAATGGACATCATGGGTGGACGCAATAGTGAATACCGGCGTGGTTACAGAGGGATCTTCAAATGATGAGCTTTCCGTAGCTATGTGCGTTAGCATTGAGGGAGGACTTCTGTGGAGCACAGCCTAAAATGACGGTAGGGGTTCTTGAAGCATCATGTGACGTCAACTAATGACGGGCGGTAGATAGGCCTTCATAGAAGGACGGAGGATAGAGGTGAGATGCACTGTGAATAGTGACAGGGGACATGAGATCAGTAGGCCCCTACTCACAAACTCCTGAAGCTGCCATACACAAGGTCTTTACTTTTCCTCCGATGAACCTAAGAATCTTGGAAATTTCTTGATCAGCTGTCCGTAGCTCAAAAGCATGAGTCGTTGCCGCAAGACCTTGGTCGCCCGGATAGTTACGTCCCCACCTGATCAAGAGCCACGTCATCTCTCGAAACACGATCAAGCAGTGCCCTGGTACACCGGCAGCTTTGTCGGATGATATCGACAGCTTTCGTTGTGCGCCGTGTTACCAATTTGACGAACGCCTTGCCTGCCAGCATATGGTGCTCGACAAACGTAGCAGAATTCGAATCTGCAATTGCTTCGGCGACCTGAACAGGTCAGTAGTTGTCGGGAAGATATGGATATAGCACTGTACTTACAAGTCATATGATCGCAGCCTTCGGTCTTCTGGATCTGCACCCCACAACCTGGGCATCCGACTGAAGACTTTGCGACCTCAGCCGCGCTCGCTGCTTCTTGCTCTCTTCTGACTCTAGCCTCTTCTTCTTGTTGAGTCCTGGCTCTTTCTTCCTCCTCGGCCTGGGCTATCTCCCGAGCGATACGCGCGCTATACTGTGTGCAACTTTCATTCTCGTGGAAAGGTATAATAGGATCGTGTGCAGTACACATACGATAGCCACATGCTGCGCAACGAAAGATGGGACCTTCTATCCCGGTATCGTGGATCTGGCCCGATGAGCATCCTTCAGCATGACAATAAAGAAAGTTTTTGTCGGCACTAAGAAGAGTACGCATAGACAATTCGTCGAACCTGTAGCCCGATGTCAGCATGGAGTAGGAGCAATCATGACACTTATGATGTGGAAATCCTTACCGAGTGAATACATCTTGTGGTGTGTTCTTGCGCACATCTTCGTGAGTGATTGTGCAACTGCATCCACTTGAAGGACAAAGAACGTTGGTCACACTTTCCATTTGTTGCTTGAGCCACAGAAGAAAGCATTCATCGCAAACGTCAGGATCATGCTCGCAATCTGCAAACCTTGGAAAGTGCTGCCATGGTAGCATCTCTGCACAGACACTACACACCCTCTCTTTCGGCTGCTTCCACAACATGGTTCTAGTAGACTTTCCAGGGGCGTTGTTGTTGTTTGTCTCTGCTCTCTTCTTATCATTGGTCCTTTCCTGGAAGGTCTCCCGGAACGCTTGAGGAGAGAGGTGTCTAAACATCAAGGGAGGGGCTCCCGTCGAAGCCTGGGACGGTGATTCTTGCATCAAAATTTCGAAATCAGGAAATACGCTCTCAACGATTTCGACGTCATATTCGTCTGACTGTTCCTTCGGATTTAGAATTGTGGCGGACTGCATCGAAGGTACAGGATCGGGCGGAGGCGAAGAGTACAAATCGTCCTCATCGTTCTCATCGTCCTCATCGTCTGGTTGTTGACGCTGGGGCGTGGGAGGCATTGATGGTGGCATCAGTGGCGATGGGTTGTGTTCTGGTCCGGATGTTGGCGCAGCTTGTTGAGTCTCACTTGAAGACAAAGACGAACACTGTTTGACGGCATCAGATCTGTGGCGAGTGTCTCGCTTCTTCTTTTCCTTCATTGCCATTTCCATATGTGCGACAAAGGAAGACGAGGTCGCTGGATTATTCTTGCACCTTGAGTAGTTGTGGAAGTATCGTCGCGAGTCTGGTTTTCAAGCTCCAAGATGAATTTTTCTAACTGCTGAGGCGATGAAAGTGAGTGTACCAAAAGAGTACGAGCAAACACAGAAGCGACGTTAGGGACGCCGAAAAGAGCGACAGTGAACGAGAGTATTAGCGAGAGCAGGAGCAATAGTGACGCAGAGTCAAAACATTGATACGCAAAGAATCAACAAACTCTATCTCACAGTGTTGGCTCAACGCGAGGCGGTCTAGAAACGTTCTTCTGACATCTTGCATAAACAAGAGGGCGGCGGCTGCGAGTGAGAGGTGATGACCGTTTCTAGTAGTCCCTCTGGAATTACCAACATCAAGCGGTATGCGCTTCGTCGCCCGTAGTGATATTACTTCGTGCGCCACGATGGACAATTAAGTAAAGGTAGCAGAAACCGAGTTTGCACTCTGTACCAGTAACCCATATCGCGACGATAAACACTCGATGCGTTCAGATATCGCGCAGGCCATCGGGTTCAACATCACAACATGTTCTGATGAGTGACTTGATCATGTTGGCCTTTGGGCACCTCGCTGTAGCGTCTCACATGACAAAAGCATATGCAGAAGAATGAGTGTGGTGAGGCTTGCCGGAAGTTGGGAAGTCGCGGGAAGAAGTTCAGGGTCCACTGACTCCAGTCGCCGCACCGCTGAGAGTTGAACACGAGTCATGACTGATTCAACAGAGAAGCTCGTTTTAGAGATAATATACCTATCGCGAACACACGTCCAGAGGCAAATGCCCCTTCTGTATCATAGCTTGAACGAGACAATTCGGACGCATACCTTCGAAGTAGGAAGGTACGACTTGGCAAAACGAGCTTCTTCAGACCATGAACGTTGGAAAGTACTGTCATTCGCAGTCTCATCGAGCCAAAAACTAATATGAATTTTGAGTGCAACAACCGTGCCCAGAAAAAACGCCATGAACACCAGCTCAATGCATATCGCGCTTTCACCCATCTAAGCTCCAGTCCAAGGCTTCCCCTGCTGCTTTTGCCATTTCTGCACCCTCTTCCTGATATCAGCGGCAGTCTGCTGCATGGGATTGAGCTTGCGATCCCTCGCCATCTTGGCGTAGTCTTCTCCGTATTTACTGACTAATCGCTCCACCCACTCCTGCTCCCTCTGACTCTGACCCCTCGGCGCCTTCTTGGCCCCGTTCAAGGCCGCCTCCTCGAGCTCCTTGATGACTGGGTTCTGCGCCTCGTCCGGTCGCTCCGGTACCATGGCAAAGCCGTTCCACTCTTCTCCCTCATTGTCGTCCTCGATGTCGTTGAGCGGGTCGTTCAAGGGGTTGTCCCTCTTCTCGGATGCGAATGTGCCTGTTACGCGGAGAATGGCACCCGTTTCAGGGTCGCGCTCGACTTCAATCTCCTCGGTGGGAATGTTCTCGGGCTTCTTCGCTTTGGAGACAATGTTCAGGGCGTCGGCTGTGCTGTTTGCGGCGGTGTCTGCGCGCGAGGATTTCTCGTCGTTGAGGCCGAGGAGGGCGATGGTCTTTTCTGTGCCGCCGGTTGCGTGGTTGAGGCGCGCTGTTAGGCCGAGACGGCGATAGTTTTGTGCGAGTGTTTCTTTTTGATTCCTGAGCAAGTGTTAGTCTGGTGCTGTCACGCAGAATTGGAGAGTTTGGGCGCAATATCGTACCAGTGCTTTGCGATGATGGGGTTCTGCAGAATCTTCTTCTTGGAGGGACCGTTTTGGCGCTTCCGGGGGATGGAAGACTTGTTCTTCTTTTTCTGGAGTTCGCGACCCATACTGAGTGATTTCGGAGATTGATCGAGGGCGTGGGGTTGGTTCGTCTGGTGTTGTCGAGGCGGTGGTCGCAACTTGCCAAAAGTTTTGGCGAACTTTCCGTTAGCGTTATCGATAGCGGACTAGGTCTCTACCGAGCTCCAGGCCAGGCCAGTTTACATGAAGTAGGTGACAGACCCCTGAGCGTTCAACCCCTCACGACGCAATATCACGGATACATATCATCGAATCATTTCACGTGTCATTATGGTGTCGCGACGGAACAGGACTCTGCTTTCCTTGGCAATCTTCCTGGGTGTGCTGGGATGGAACGTGGCTGCTGCGGCTGTCAAGGGCGAGACGGGCGTGCCAGTGGGCAACTTGAGCGCGCATGAGATTGAAGAGCAATTGCAGGTACGGCAGCCACTGGCTTTTCTCAATTGAACCTCTGCTAGTCTGCCTGCTGGTGTCCCTACCAGCAACACCCTGATGTCGCGTGCCCATAGCGGTACTAACACCACCTAGGAATGCCCCCTCGTACAAGCTCTTAACCAGCACAAGGTAGCCTCAGCCCCCACCACGTCGTCCCTCAGCTCCCAGATCTTCGCCTTCCTCTTTCCCGGCAGCCCCGCAGTCAATGCCCTGCTGGCGACGCTCTACATCTCCGGTCCGCCAAACTTCCTCCTTGCGCTATGTCCGCCTAACATCGACCCCTCCTCGCTGTCCGTCATGGTCGCATTCGCTGTAGGTGGATTGCTGGGTGACACTCTCTTCCACTTGTTGCCTGAGATCTTTCTGGGCGAGGAAGAGCACAACTCGGTCAAGTTTGTCATGGTGGAACCCAACAAGAACCTTTTGTTGGGTGTGGCTATCATGGTCGGCTTTGTCACTTTTGTGGCCATGGACAAGGGCCTGCGTATCGCGACTGGAGGCGAAGGCGGACACGACCACTCGCACGGCCATTCGCACGCAAAAGTCGAGGATACTGCCAAGACCACAGGCGTCGACGTTGGCAGCTCCAAAGAGGGCGTGCGCTCGAGAAAGGCAGGCGCAAACAGCACCTCATCCGTCCCAGAGACAGCGGAGAAGGAGATCAATGCCAGCGTAAAGTTGGGTGGTTACCTCAACCTCATTGCAGACTTCACCCACAATATCACCGACGGCCTGGCGCTCAGCTCCTCCTTCTACGCCTCGCCTACAATCGGCGCAACCACAACTGTTGCTGTCTTCTTCCACGAGATTCCTCACGAGGTCGGCGACTTCGCCCTTCTCATCCAGTCTGGCTTCTCCAAGCGAGCAGCCATGGGCGCGCAGTTTGTTACTGCTGTCGGCGCATTCCTCGGCACCTGTATAGGCATTGCAGTCCAGGAGTTTGGCGGTAGTTCTGCGTCCGCGGATGTCCACGGCGCGGGCGCTGGTATCATGGGCACTAGTCTGCAGTGGGGAGACATGCTATTGCCCTTCACCGCCGGTACTTTCCTGTATGTTGGGACTGTCGCCGTTATCCCAGAGCTTCTCGAGACCGGCCCGAACAAAGGCCAAGAGCTTAGGAAGACGTTGATGCAATTCGCCGCCATGTTTACGGGTGCTGGTATCATGCTGTAGTAAGTTTTCCCAGACTTGTGCCAATGCTTGGAGCAGCATGTACTGACCATTACAGTATATCCTGGGATTAGACTTTGACTTGAGATTCCATCTTGATTCTTCCACGTTCACAGCGTCTTTCAGGACACATGATGAGTATAGTTGATTACTAGCGGATCGGCGAGAGCTCAACATTTATGGCGCAACTTCTATTCCGATAGGAGCGTCACCTGCGCATCAGCTACACAGTATTATGTCAAAACGAGATGCGGGCATCAGCCGGCCGCTGACCGAAAGTAATTGCGCCATGCGCCATAAGCACCGAATACATGTTCCTATCGTGGTCGCCGAGATGGCAAACTTCCCCTTTTTGTGGGCGTGCATCGTGAGAACATCAGAAACAGCACAGCATGTATCAACATGTCCATACTTTGGCGACCCGCTTGAACGTCTTTGTTGTCTTCCACTACTACCCTCTGCTTCACAGATGACTGTGCGCAAGACCCGAGGTCAGTTGTACACAACCCACAAAGACTGTCATCTCGTACACTGCAAATGTTGCTCAGTACTAATATTGCGCTTTCGGACGAACCACTGATAAAGGTTTACCCTTTCCAGCTGCTCATTTGGCAGATCTAAACGCTTTTCAATTCGCCGTTTGTCCAAGACCTTAGGGCTGACGGTACACGTAGCGTAGGCCCGAACCTGGCACCAACCTTCCCCAGATTCCTCGGCATGCCTTCATCAATTATCTCCGCTACGCAAGCTTTGTTACCGCTGCTGCGGTCGTGGCTGTGCGCCGTGGGATTTGCTTACGCGTGGGCGGGGGAGGCTGTAGGAAGATGGAGGGGCGATAGTGGAGATTTCCTCTCTTCTCCAAGTGGGTATTGGTAGTGTTTATGGTCGCACGAGAACCTCAGTTTCCCCAGATTCTTCGGCTTGCTTTTAGTAATTGATTCCGCTGTACCAGGGTCATGACCGAAGATGCGGTCGTGGCTGTGCTTGGAACACTTCCGCTTACGCCCAGAGCGGGCCAATGCTCAATTCTTACCGAAATCAGCTTGCACAAGATGCGATGCGATCGGCTCCACATTGCATTCGGAGACTGCCTTCGTCCGATGCCGCACTCATTTGTACTATGTACAACACTTGTACATGTTACCAACGTGATTGGCCAGCCTCGATCACCATTTGCATAATGCGGGTAAGGCGTGCAGGAGTAATCCTCAAGCACACCCAGTTTGATCACTAAGCCACACTTGCACGCTAGCGCTGCCGCCTTACCGTCTTAACGAGCAGCAAAGTGGCTGCCGACTAACCGCCGTGGTGGACGGCTCTGTCATACATATGGGCCGCATGGTCCTGGCATGGTTGTCATGCCGCTGTCAGTTCTTATAGCGTCTTGGTGCCTAATCTCACTTCCGAACTGATCTCACGATATCTCTTTTCATCTCAACTAACCTTCCATTCCAGCCAGCCTTTTGGGGTGACAGTACAGTACTGCGACGATACGCTACTTTCATATAGAAAACGCATGGGTATTCCGGCATCGCATCTATTGAAGGGTTTATTGGACCATCACGACATGATGAAAGATTTGGCGGTCGACTGGAGGCATCTTCCCAAGAACAGAATGTGCCCATCTAGCCGACCCTCCCAACACCACTATACACCTCGCTACTCACCACGATATCGGTCCGTCGTAACGACTCTCCTCATCCTCCTCTGCATACCGATCTTCTTCTACCACCTCATACCAAGATATACTTCCGCCACCGACGGCATAATATCCTCGCTGGCACACAAATTACATCCTGCTGGGACGACGAGCAGTTTCTGCACAAAAGAGGTTGGATCACTGCAGTGCTGCGCATTATACCTGGCTGCTGCGCCATGTCAGGATGAATGCAGGAAGAACCATATGGACAGGGAGACGTTGGCTTTGACAAAGGAGTATGATGAGTGTACGGATCAGTGTCTGGTCGGATACAACAAGACTTGTATGACCAAGACCACAGAAGACGCCGACGAACAGACAAAAACGGAGCCGCCGCGACAACGAGGATCAAGAACAGCAGAGTGGTGGTCAACGGTCCAACATACTTCGGAATGATGGAGGGAGGAAGGAAATCCGATAAAACCGAATAACAGCAACAACTACCACATCTACCCCCCTTGATCTTTTTTTTGGGAACCGCACACATCGAATCACACTTACCTTGACACTACGGAAGACACAAAACTCGACATAAATGAGAATATAATCACAAACAAACACACCCCGCGATGATGCCATGGCATGCTCCGAGGAGCGGCTGCAGCGGAGGCTGTGCAGGTGGTGGGTACGCCAAGATTGCGGCGCTTGGGACAACCGGCTAGAACGGCATTTTGATGTCGGAAGGAGCAATAAGCCGATCACCGAAAAAGGACAAAGGGGAGTGATGGTAGGAGTTGTACTAGTAGTAGTGATAGTGCTCTTTTGTCTTGTCGTGTTTCGGGGAAATACCGCGTGGCTGGAGGATTGCTGGGATTCTGGGGGATGCAGGCCCTTCCCTCTTCCCACCACATCCCCTGATCGCCTTGATATATGACACAGGGAGGTGTGCTAGAGAATGTCTAGTACTTCTGGATGGCGGAGGTAAGGAAGGGGTTTTGTCCGTTCGGCCATGTTTTAGTTGGCTGGAATGATGAATGGTGGACTCGGCCGATGGGTGTGGAGTACTATTAGTTTTCTCGTAAGGTAGCGCACCATCGCCCTCTCCTTTCCCCTTTTTCATATGTTGTTGCGCTAGAGGTTTGCTGTATTATTTAGGCATGTCAGCAGTCGCATTCGCACTCGGCGGTGCCAAGATGCGGTTCGTTGGAAGGATAGATACGCTGAATTCGTAATCATCATTACCGCCGAGCCTGACCTTTGAGAGGGGAGAACTGCCTTGTGTTTGATATGCGGGGTTACAAGGCGAGTGGGTCGATTGGGATTAGTCCTAGCGCGTGTCATGGACGCGTTCAACGGTTCCAATGCCATCTCCTACGACCGCGTCGCGCTGCATCGGCATCTGTCTACAACAACAACTTCTCATTGCATTGACGCGGTGATGTCATGTGATAGAGCTGATCGGGTTCGCACCAGCTCTACTCCTTTCATTCCTTGATAGTAACGATCCAATACCCAAAAGCAGTCCACATGATCGTCGTACCCACACCTGTACATACCAGGCTCGTCCAACCGTCCAGCCCCGTCTCTGAGCTGATATAACGACACATCACCCCGCCAACGACGCCCATCCAAACAACAAAGAATCCTACTTCCCATACCTTTTTCTTCAGTTCTGTCCATCTGTGTCTCTCTTGTGTCTGCAATTCCCCCCGCATCGACGTACCCCATTCATTAGCAAGCATGGTTACAAAACTCCAAGCTTGGATTGCTGGTAGCGGTATCATATAGAATAAAGCGGCGGGGACTGACCAGACCCACTCGCCCCAGGTAGGATTAATCGGGTTCCTTGCCTTTAGATAAATCGCGGTCAAGAGAAACTTTACCACGTAGTCTCTCGGTATGAACCGCATAAAAGGGCTGACGCCGAGGAAGAAGTAAGAAACCACCGTCGTGAATATGACAAAGGATGTTATCTCTCGACGCAACGCGGCATAGAAGAATAAGGGCGGCTGGTTGAGGTACATGGTTGGATGAGCGTAGGACTCAATGTGCACGGCGCGGGCCCAGCGGACTTGCTGTAGGAGCCAGCGGCGGAGCGTGACGGGCGTTTCGGTAGCGGTCACTGCTTGTGAGATGTAGCGAACACGATGGCCTTGGAGAAGGAGGCGGGTTGTCATGTGTCGATCTTCGTTGACAATCTGCAGAGCGTCAGCGCCATCAATGAGAGGTACACACACCTGGTGTGGTGTTGATCAAAAGGACGAGATACTGACCATCCAATGTCCAAAGATGGTCTGCTTGTACCAAGCTAGTAACTCGGGCTTGATGGCTTCGATACGGAATGCAGCACAAGGTCCGCTCTGGCAGTCGTTGGCGCCGACGGCACTTGAGAAACACCTCGAAAGATGTAGATCATTCAAGTAAATCGTGTTCCCCAACGTCGTGACAAGGTTATCCTTTCGATTATGGATGTTCAGTGCAGTACTGGCTCCTGCGCACTTGTCGTCTCCATGTATGGTCTGGATTGTTCTCATAATGGTGTCTTTGTAGACCATGGAATCAGAATCGGAGGTCCACACGTATTCGATATCGAGAAGCTCGGAAAGAGCAAAGCAGACGATGAAAGAGGTGAACATGATCCCCTTCTTGTGCATATGGGGTTGTGTTACACAGAGATGTGTTATGGCATCGGGTCCTGTGAGATGTATCTCGTGATCAAATAGCGTCTGCTTAGCAAGTATTATGCATTTCTCAATGAGAATTATGTCTTTCCTCCACGTTTCAGCATCGCACTCCATTTGGAGCGCAACATCCACTAGTGGAATGGGAAGATCGATGACGGCCGAGCTACTGGGATAGGCCTGATCATGATCAATCGATGCACACGACGTTGGAAGCAGGAAACCAAGATCGAACGACATACCTTTCGAAAAACGTCAACCATGACTTGATCTTCTGCTTCATTGCCATCGATACAAGTAAGTACAAACTGACATCCCTCAGCATCTTTGTAGCTCTGGAGAGCTTTTATGAAGATGATAGGATCCTCACGATATCCTACGATGGCAGCAATACAACCATATTCAAGCTCTGACGAGCGGTCAGAACGTGTATAGTGTTCTCCTTTTTCTGCCACGCTCAGACTGAAATGGATGTTGCCTTTCATTCCTTCCTGTTTCTGAATGCTTCGACGAACTCTTTCATTGTCCCAGCCGCACTGTTCTGCTAGGTAAACCGTGATGATTGTGTCGAAAGTGTAGAGATAGTCGGACCAATACAATGTAGTATAGCAGTAAAGGGCCGCTGCAACTAAGCAGCCAATGAAGTTGTAGATTTTCCCGGACCTTGTAACTCGAACCTGAGTATTCGGCTCTGAGAAGCTGTCCTTGCGCTCGTCTCTTAGTTCAAATATTTTCGACGGGTGGGAAGTGGTGCAATAAGAGCAGAGCCGCGCGAAGTTCATGCGCAGCCAGTGAGTTGTAAGTATCTTCATGACGACAATTGGTGAAACAAGAAATCATACCAAAAGACTTATCTTATAAGAAACTATAATTATTCTGTTGAGACCATGTGGCAGAGCCTGGAACGAACATACACTGACAACGCACTGCGGACAGACTTTACGGACCTTTTTGCAACGCGGCGTCGTACTAGAAGGTACGTTCTATGCTATGCTGCAGTAAATATACGGATGACACAAAATCAGTAGCTCATGATGCCTTGGATGCTACATCGAGGCAAGACTGGTGTCCTGTACGGCTCTTTTTAGTGCAGTCTGGTACTATTTGAGGATTTCCTAGGTAGACACAACCTAGTCAATACCTATGGCGACCTCAACTGACCTATCGGTGATATTATTCCCATCCATGTACTCAAGTCTCATACCTTATCGTTGCTGGGAAGTCCGTAGTATACCCTATCTTACGAACTATGACTACCAGAATGAACCTCGATGAAGTCCTAGGATGGGAAGGTCACTACGATTGATTACCAAGATGTCCCGGGTATCAAGGTCTAGAGGGCCATAGACATGTACTATTCTTGACCGCTCAGTCTTGGAACTGTCATCTGGTGGTCTGTGCTGTCGCACACTATCAGGGTAGGTTAAGATTTACTACCAAGACTTCCTGGGCATTCGGTGTACTCGTATATCTTGCAACAAAAATGCCTGGAGACGCATTCTTTAGACTTCCAAGGTTATCTGGAACGCAAAGGGCCTTCTTCGGGCAGTAGAATCGCGATTATTACTCCGCACCGCTCAATGCCGTTCCACACACCCCGCGATAATGATGTCCTGTGCGTACTCACCTCTTCTTGGTGCGAACGATGCCCCCTTTTCGTAAAAGGCTGAACGGCTAATATCAGCCACAAAATAACCTTTTCGTGATAACGAGAAAGTTGAGTATGTTACGATATAACAAAATGGGTGTCGACAGCTGGAGAGTTTTGGAGGCTTTCATACCATGATCGCATTGCTATAGACTAAGTGCAATTCCGTTCATCAGGTGCAACTCCATGAATGGGATATTATGATGACACGTCACTGTTCAAAATGTGCCAGGGTCACAGTGAATCCCGGGATATTGGAATTCTACATAAGGCCGCTTTTATAGTATAAACCATGGTAAGTTACCTATCTCAGGCCAACATTCCTTTCAGATCTGCCGAATCATATCCCGGTCCGCAGATCTGCCTATCTTGGGGCCCAGTCTCGATAACACTGCGACGCCCGCTTAAGCGGTAATTTGGACATCTGGCTGTGGATATCCCGAGACTTGACAGCTTACACATAGCTTTGCATGTTTGGTTCGTCAGGAGCATTGCATCCGAATGTATATAGCGTCTGATCGATGACTATAGCCGTACTCCTTCCTCAATTCCAGCGTCGTCCTCGACTGTTAGACCATACAACCAGTCTCTGTACTCAGAACAAGACTTTCGTGGCCTCACATCATCACACTGCACGATTTCTCCTGCTTCTCATCGCCAAGCTAGCATTCACAGAAATCGAGAAAGCATGGTCACAAAATTAGTCCCTGCGGGCCGGGAGATCTGGTTGGATGGACTCCGCGGTATTGCCGCAGTCATTGTTGTTTGGTTCCATATGACAGCTGGAAAGCTTGCCACACCTTATCGATCTTTCTGGGACTTACCAGCATCTGACAATCGACAACTAATCCAGGTCTTACCCTTTCGAATCTTCTTCTCCGGACCTGGCATGGTCGACATCTTCTTTGTGGTATCTGGATACTCCATCTCCATTGGCCTGATCAAATTTCGTCACGAGGGTTCCATGGCCAGGTTCTACCAGAGATTGACAAGCAGTGTGGTCAGAAGAATGTTCCGATTGTGCTTCCCAGTTGCAATCATGATGCTAGGAAGTCATGCGCTGTACTATACTGGGCTTTACACTATACCTTTCAAAGAAGGCACAGGATGCGCAGGCGCACACCCATGGGAGTCTCCGATCCCACATGTTCAGTGCCTAGCACGATCTTTGGTCAGCATCATAAACGTGGAGAACATCCAAAATCTGACCCTCAATGATCGTGAGTAACCCAATATAAATAGGGCTACACCTTTCTAATCATCATGCCAGACTTCTGGACAATTCCCGTTGAGATACGTGGCTCTATGAAAGTATACCTGACACTGCTTGGACTATCAAACGTCCGCAAGACAGCAAGAATTCTCATCATAGGACTACTTTGTGTACGATCATGGTGGAATGGTACACCCGAATTTATGGCCTTCTTTGCAGGAGTCTTGTATGCAGAACTCAGCGCTTCCGTGTCATTTGGACAGCACGAGATACTGTCACCTTTGCTCTCTTCTCGTCGACACAACTGGAGGTTGAGCCCATCCAAGACTGTACTGAATCGACTGTCATCCTTGTCGATATATTTGGCCTTTCTTTTGGGCATCTACCTCCTTTGTCTACCCATACGAATTCAGTCTGAGGGTACCATTGACGCAAACTTCCCACCAGACTGGTTCTTTCTCGAATGGTGTCCTCCGCTCCTATGGTGGAACACGGAAACCACAATGCGCACATGGCATACATTTGGCGCTATTTTGGTTGTTGGTAGTATGCGTGTTCTACCCCGACTTCGAGCACCTTTTGAAACTAGGGCTGCGCGATTCCTGGGTCATATCTCTTTTAGCTTGTACCTTTGTCATCAGACTGTTCTTCGTATCATGCTACACTGGTCTTTACATTGGACGAGCTTGTGCGTTACTGGCGTGAGTTACTTCGAAGCTCATCCACAAGGAAAGTGGGGCATAGTATTTGTGGCATGGATGTTGACAACTCCCTTGATGACAGGAGTACTGCTGCTGATAAGTGTCTATATGGCAGAATTGGTCGATCGAAAAAGTATCTCTGTAGGCCTTTACATGGAGACACTACTATGTAGATTATGAAATTACAAAAATGCGATACGCATTTGGTATGAATGTACTGTGTCTCAAAATTATATCCAAGATATACTGCAGTAGTTGGCTTTATGCTGATGGAAAAGCAGAAGAACCAAGACTCGACTGGGCGCGATATGATCTGCGGAAAGCTACGAGTACCACGACATCTGCACATAAGGAGGCAGACGCCGAGAAGGGTGAGAAAGCATCCGAGACACGCTCAATAAAGCAACGAAGCCATGCTCTGGACGCATCGTGATGTATGACTAATCGGCTTTGGCGGGGTACGATGGCGTCACGCGTCTGGACGCGTTCATTCAACACTGCACTCTTCTTTCGCATTATCAGCGCACGAGATGTCACGTTAAAACATATCTCATCAATACTCTTCACGGATTGTCTCTCGTTACACGACTGTAATGCATCGACCACGGTCTGCGCCTTGTGCCGATGACGCCGCTTGCAGTTACACGAGGACGCCCAGACCAGCATTGAACAAGCCACACGCGTCATCAACCTCTTCTTGAAACGACATGTTTGATCTTCCCGATGCGATTTCCACCTCGGCTTCAGGAGTCGCAACAATCCTTGGGTCCATGTTAGCTACATAGGTCTCTTCCCTTCATCAAATTACGATGTCCGCGTCTACCTCAACACCGAACCTGGCCATAGCTATCACAACAACCGGACCTGCCATTCGACATATCCCTGAATTCAGGACGGAACGTCTCCTGTGTCGACCTCTCGTTGAAGAAGATTGGCCAGAATACCACAAGATGCTACAGGAAGAACAGACGATGATCAACGCGGGCGTGGGCCCAATGTTATTTCCCAGAGCAGCTCGAGCCTACTTCGACAGTCAACGAGAAGATTGGGCATCAGTTGGAATCTTCGTCCTCAACATGGATGACGACGGTGCCGAAGGCGAGTTCATCGGTACAGGAGGGGTGTACTGGTCCAAAGATCGATTACCTGAAGTATGCTACGTACTGAAGCAGAAGTTTTGGGGCAAAGGCCGCGCCACTGAGTTCTTGAATGGATTCCTGGAATTGTGGTGGAGCATGCCTCGGATAAACATTGATATGTATGTCGAGACGAAGTTCCTAGATGCTGGGGAAAGAGGTGTGATACCGGAGCGATTGACTGCGCCGATCAAAGTTGCGAGAGGCGATAGCCAGAACGTGGTGAAGAAAGCTGGCTTTAGCGAGCGTGGCGAAATCACGATATATGACGAGAAGTATATCTTGTTCCGACTGCTTTCTCCAAAGTAGTTGGTCGGCTAGAGGTATAGCCCAAAGTAAACCTTAGAAAAGATCTACTAGATCAAAACGCGGTTTGTTTTGGGCATCTAGAGCGTACTTCTCAGACTCATGTGATTGCAGCTGAGGTTTTCATGGCCGTACTCGTATCATTCTTAGTATCATGTTTCTCACTTATCAAATAGTGGTAAATACACAAGCTCTAACCATCACTAACAGCCTTGCATCTTCCAGACCGTCTATTTACATTCATAGAATTCTCACCTAGTTCCGATGTCCCACAAGACGCGCAAAGCGACCAGTCGCAGCTCCGAAAACGTCTATCAAAGCAGAACGGAATCCTTCATTTCTCTTCCACAGACTTATAGCAATCGCCAGCAGACCAAGACCATATGTGGTGGAGCCGGCCGTCCGAATCCACCTACTCAAAGTCCTCAAAAACCAAAAATACGACCCTCCCTCAGTTTTGAATACTCCGAATCGAGGAATGCATGCCTCTTTCCAGTACGTACTCGCATACCCTGGCCAACTGGCAGCATTGCGGCCATGTTCATTGATGTACCAGTTCGAGCAGCCAGCGTGGAAAACCGATCCTGACAGTTGCTTGTGAATGCTATTGACCCATTGGCTCTCGGCTGTGGCTTTGACTTCGACGACCCTGCATCTCCCATCGATCAGAGGAGCGAGGAGGTTCCGCATGACGAATTCGATCTGCACTTCACACGCGAAGAGCGCGGAGTTGTGAGCTGGGAAAGTGTTGGGACCAAATCTTTCGGGCGCTCGTCAGTTTGCAATTCATGCAAGTTCTTCTGGTAAAGACGAAAGAACGAAAACGGAAGGCTTACAGAATAGCGAAGTTGGGGAAGTCGTGCACGAAGGTTCCCATGTAAGCTTGTGCGCCACCTTGCTCTTTCCATTGTTGGTTCAATCGGTTCTTCCCCTTACCGAAGACTTCCATTGGAGTGAGGAACCGCTGGACTTGGAATCCCGTTGCTAGGACTATGACATCAAACTCCTCCTTCCTTCCTGACTCGCTGACTATGCCTGTCTCGTCAAACTCTCGGATTCCTTCAGGTAGGAGTTCCAAATTTGGTTCATTGAGAGCGTCGAGGTAATTAGGGTCGAAGATGCGACGCTTGCAGCCTGATATATCAATCGTTAGCAAGGCCAGTGCTTGAAAGTTTGTACATTCCTTACCTAACGGAAAGTTCGGAACCAAGACATTGTGATACTTTTCCGGCGCCCGCGAGAAAATGTAGCGCTTTGCATGGTCCTCGACCTTGGCCCGCTTTGCTGTTGCTTGAGCGCCAGGCATGTACGTCGTGACAAGATCATCGTTTTCCAGGAACAATTGCAATCTTTTCCATCTCTCCCATAGAGGAACATAGCGAAACGCCCATGTTTCAGCTTTGCTGAAGTTCCGATTTGGTCGCTCATGATACCATTGTGCCGACCTCGCATACTGTTTGATTGACGCTACATCCTTGACCACTGCGGGGACGACTTGCGCTGCTGAGCATCCGTTTCCGATAATGGCCATTCGCTTGCCTTCGTAGTTGTATGAATGATCCCAACGAGCTGTGTGGAACATGGCCCCTTTGAATTTCTCCATCCCTGGAAACTTGACGTCCCTAGGATACGAGATACCGCCAACAGCGGAAATGAAGACCGCAGCGCAGCGCACAAATTCAACCTTTGTCTTGAGATCCTTGAAGCGCACATCCCACTTCTTGGTCTCTTCGTTCCAATTCGCGCCCAAGCACTCGATGGAAAACTCCATGTGCGTTCGCAAGTCATATTTATCGACGGTGGCTTCCATGTATTCCAGGATCTCGGGGCCGTCGCACAACTCCTTGGACCAATTTGGGTTAAGGTTGAAGGCAAACGAGTACAGAATCGTAGGCACGTCGCAGCCAACACCTGGATACGTGTTGGTGCGCCATGTTCCGCCCACTCCGTCAAGCTTCTCATAAATCGTGAAATCGGTGAACCCTAGCTTGTGCTTCATCGTATGCGCCATAGAAATACCAGACGGTCCAGCGCCGATAACAATTACGTTGGGAGACGACATGCTGCGTGAGTGGGGTGCCAAAAGACGAAAGATAGTGAGGGAACGTGAAAATAAAGGCTTCGCTCTCGTGTCAAGCTGAGCACGTCTCGCGCGCTTTTAAAAGCGACTAGATCTGCACAACCACCCATTACGGGCAGGTCGCCACCCCGCTGCTATGCTAATTACCTGATTTCCATGGAGCCCAGAAATAACCAATTTGAATGCGCGTCCCCCCTTTGCGTGATGATGCGCGTGTTCCAAACCACAGCTCTTCAAGTCCCACGGAATTTGAATCCCGTTGATGAGAATGCGGGGATGCGCGCTAGTCTTGACATGCGCTAGTCCCATGCAGGACTGAACGATTACCCCAGATTCGTACTAGACCAAAAACAGATACATGCCGGTATGGGGTGTTCAGGTATAAGAGAAGGATGTGGTACTGCTTTGCTCGAGCCAACGCAATCTGCAAAACGTAATCTGTCAATCAAAATGTCTGATCTCATCAAAGGACGAACTATGTACCGCTTGATGCGGATGAGTTGTGGAGTGGTATGTAAGATGTGTTGCATTCTGTTTCGTTCTTACTTACAAGTGAACATAGTCCTTCATGCTTTACGGGTAATACTACCTCGACAACGGCTACGCCAAAGCGGATGCTGAATTCTCTAGCTATGATGCTGGTGTTTTGGGTGGGGTGCAAGGCACCGATGCCTTTCTTAAGGCTATGGGCGTCAGTGATCCAAAATGTTTCGGTTTCCAACAGCTAACAAACCTTCAGCATCCTACTGGCACATACGTCATTCCAATGATTGCATCCTCGTATACCCTTGCTGCCACTATCTGTTGCCTCATCGTGTCTATCATCGGCATGCCTCTCGGTCGTCGCAACATTATTCTCCTCGGTAACGCCTTCGTTGTTGTGGGTGCAGTCATACAAGCCAGTTCTTGGTCCGTCGGGCAGATTATCGCAGGGCGTATTCTTTGCGGGTTTGGAATCGGATTCATATCCTGCACTGTTCCCACGTATATGGCAGAAATGTCTATCGAGGCAGGAGAACGTGGCCCAGAAGTGGCGTTCACCTGTGCATTGCTGATCAGCGGCATCCCAATCGCATATTGGATCGACTTTGGCTCCACGCGCATGACGAACCAAGTCTCTTGGCGATTTCCAATTGCTTTTCAGGCTTTCTTTGCAATGGCTTCCGGGTCCGTTATGTTCTGTCTACCGGACACACCGAGATGGTACTATGCCAAGGGCCGTGAGGCGCAAGGAGATGATGTGCTTGCCAAGTTACATAATAAGCCTCTAGATCATCCGGATGTCCATCGGATGAAGCAGGAGATCATGAGATCGATTCAGCTCGAAACAGATGCAGAAGAAAGCACGAAGTTCAATCTCTGGACCCTATTCTGGGATAACACAGATTTGAGAGTTGGGAAACGGATCAGGATATCCTTCCTTGTGCTTTCAATCCAACAGATGATGGGTATGCATTTCCAATCAACGACTATATATCTGAGATGAGATGCTAACAGAGGTCAACACAGGTATCAACTTGTCGGTCTACTATTCTGCTGTCATCTTCAAAAATGTCGGTCTTTCCGACTTCCTCGCACAACTTCTGTCAGCTGTTATGAATACCATGTTCGCCCTCGGCACATATCTTCTCCCGGCAACTATCGAGCGTTTTGGCCGTCAAAGCATAATGTTCTGGTCCGCTTTGGTTCTCGCGCTTCTCATGACGGTCTTTGTAGCACTCATTGGCCTCCCCAAACCTACACTCGGCACACAGTGGGGCGCAGCGGCTATCATCTGCGTTTGGAATATGGTGTTCGGATATGGCTGGGTTGGTGTCCCTTGGCTTTATGGTCCTGAAATTGCACCTCTCCAACAGCGGCACATCGGCGGTGCAGCTGGCGCCTTCGGAGAATGGCTCTTCAGCTTCCTTACTGTATTCGCGGGTGGAATTGCGCTAGAGGCAGTGGGGTGGAAGATCTGGATCTGGATGCTGGTGTTCAACTGGCTCGCAATGCCATTCGTATGGTTCATGTGTCCTGAGACGGGAGGAAAGAGTCTCGAGGAGATCGATGTTTTGTTCGCGAAGGATGACGTTAAGGAGAGAATACTGGCAAGTGGATATGAAGGTGCAATAGGAGAAGGTACTGGAACACGGGAGCGCGAGAATAAACGGGTAGGATCAGCTGAAGAGAAGAACTCGAGTGTGAGGTTGGAGGAGGTCTAAGAATCTTACTTGTGAACAAATAGATTATGCATGTGACTACCTACGTGTAAGCTAGGTAATACAATTCGTCTAGATTCAAAGCCTCTGTAGAATCTGTACATGCTCACGACACGTACAGAATGCTCTTTCTGTCCGAGGAGGGACGCGCACCTGGTTATGTGCTGCGTACCAACCCGGTACATTTAGATCGGACAGGTAGATGTTACTGTGATCTCCAGAATGGTTCATGGCGCTGTTCTATAGTAAGAACTTCCTGCGTTCTCGATCAGACATGCTCTTGCCTTTTGGCGCTTTAGCAATAGGCGGGAACCGCACAAGTCAGGGTCGCAACTACATCTGATCAGCAGCTATTCAACCTCCTGTAAAAGCGAAAGTGCTTCATCTCGATCTTTCGTGTTGAGCACTAACGTCCAGAAACCAAATATATGTAGCCAAGCAGCTCAGACGATCCTCAGTATCGGACAATCGCCAGACTCGAACGGCCTTCACGCAACGTGCTCTTGGTAGCTTTACGGCCTTATTGTCGCTAGCGGAAGACATGCTAGTAGGTTAACTCCACAAATATCAGAGCTCAGCATCTATGCGAACACGATACTTTATCAAATATGGGATCCATCCCGAAAGACCTAGTCAGCAACTGCAAGAGCGTGTTGAAGAATGACAGCCCTGCTAATTAAGCAGCGAGTAATAAAACTTGTCCGCTGGAGAATCTAATCTGGAACTTCATAGATCTGAGTATCTATCATAGTAGTGACTACAAATACCTGATGTCAACAACGACGTGTTAGTAGAATTGGTAAATTTACTCAGGATAAGTACAGTAGTGATATACTCAAGTTGAAACTTGTTCTCGATGTCACTTTCAAGAGAGGTTTTTATTGAAGCAGTTCGAGGCAGATATTCTGTACTGTTACAAAGTTTCTTGCTGGGAGATAGTTTACGCGTTAACGCAGCATATGCAGTTCATATGAGATTTCCTTCAAGTCCCACCCCCAATTCCGCCTCTATCTGCCCCACTACTCCCAAGCTTTCTGCAGCGTGTTCGCTTCCATCTTGGCGTCAAACTGAGGAATATGAGTGGTGTGGCACCACGGTTTGTTACTTTCCTCTTTCCGAACTGTTTCAGCAAACCAGCTACACCAGCGCAATCGTGGAAATGTGCGATTAACTCGATCTCGAGTAGTCTCATGGATCATGCTTCCGAATTCCTCGATCTCCTCATATTTCCCAACGTTATCATAGAGCGTGGCAAGCTGAATCAGTTGACCCATGAACGTAATGGTTCCGTCAATGCCCATGTCTTCGTGGCGGATGATAGCCTCAGCAACAGCCTCGGCCTGGTCGTGCGTGGATCCAAGAACCTTCAGAACCTCCATGGCTCTAATTCCACCATAAATGTCAAAGGACATCCTGGTTGATGTGAAGTATGCATCCGCAGTTCCGATATCGTGTAGTAGACAGGTAAGAGCCCAGGTGACAGGCGACAAAGTTGTAGCGTGCTCCGGTAGAAGCTGCTTCGCGATCATGTTGCCTGCAGCAGTAGTCAGACCTCATTGCTCAATCTGCCAGATTTTCCCAGATTATGACGTACCCCAATAGAACACTCTCATTGAGTGATTATACGTTTCGGCGGAGAGTCGTGTCCTTGCAAAGTTTTGAGCCTCTGTCACAAGAAGATTGTCTGATGGAAAGTACACATCCTCGATTTCGATCACAGCTGGAGGGTCAAGTTGTCCCCTGGCTTGGAAGATTTTTAAGGCGCTGACAGGAACAGCAGTCCATCCGTTGGCTTGCACTTCGTCAATGGTCATCTTGGGGCGATCTGAAGTGTTGTGATTGAGCTAGGTTGAGCTGAGTCGAGTTGAGCTGGACCTGATGTTGCGATTGTGAACTTGAAGTGCGCAAGTTCGAAGCCTATATATGAACGATCTGTGGGAATGGCGCTAGGAGCTATCGGACATGGCTGAAGATAGCACAAGGGCGTACATATGATCATGCCGAGCCTGTGTCGCTGCACAATGTACACCCCATGGTCAGGTTTGGGTCCGTCTAATCATGTCTTCAAGTTCAGCATGTTTGATGTCTTGTGGCTAATGTCATGGCTGGAAAAATCGTGACTTGTCGGAGTGATATTTGATTGATCAAACATTCGTCCAGCCATGATTTCTCGCGTCAACGTTGGTGGTACTGCCATATGAATGAACATGGCAATTCTGATCTTGAACGTTGACCCGATGTATCGCTGCACCAGCGAGGCAATGACGGAAGGTGTGCGAGCTTGAACTAGCCTTGTTCACGCCCTGTTCCGGATATAGCTTAGCGTCGATCATTTGTGACATGATTGAAAGCTTGTCCGCGCCCTCTTCCGAATTTGGTCTAGCGTACAAGAGAAGAACTACAAAGCTGTCCCGACGGATCCAAAATCTTTGGCGTGATGCAGAATAGATCTTGCTAACAAGAGTCGGAACGTACCGTACTTGCACACGTAATGCCAAGTGCTCATTGGTATACAAGCAGATTCCGCTACTGGAAGATCTGGATAGCGGTTTTTGTACGGCCTACTCAGGACAATACATCGCTTCTCGTGTAACTCTTGTGCACCCAGTATCTCTACCTAAACTATTTCCTGACCGCGAACAGGGTATTCTGCACAGCATGTCGTTACTGGCTCCAACTACTCAACAAAATGAACGTCCGAGACTGGACGGTATCTTGCGGAGCGAATTACACATGGCAAATCCTGTATGACAATACTGATGCTTCTTGCCCATATACTGATCCAGTGCGTTTATAGGGCCCACTGGGTTTCGGCAGCTTCGCAACCACACTCATGACTCTTTCTCTATCTATGATGGGCGTTGGCGACGTTTCGAATCAAAGTGTGTTCATTGCAAACCTTTGTTTCTTAGCGGGCATTGGTCTTCTTATCAGTGCTCAGTGGGAGATGGTCAGGGGTAACACATTCGCGTATACAGTACTGACGGCTTTCGGCAAGTTCCCTCTTCATCCGACTGATCGTTGACTAATCATGCATCGCAGCTTTCTACTATGGTGGCTATGGTGTGTTGCTCATGCCTTCCATGGGTATAGTCGATAGCTATGGAGGAAAGACCGCCGAGTATTACAACGCATTTGGTCTCTATCTTGGAGGTACGCTTGCAGAAGAACATCGAACCCAACATTGTGGCTGAACTTGCATAGTGTGGTCTGTCTTCAACTTCTGTTTCTTCATAGCTTCTCTCTCGACGTAGGTCATCTGCAAATGCTCCGGCAGCATAGTCACTAAACGCGATATTATAGGAACGTTGCCAACATCATCATATATAGCGCTTTGGAAATTTCCTACATCCTAAATTGCGCGGCGAACTTTGCTATGGCTCAAGAAAAATGGTCGATTGGACACACTCTTACTGTTGGGGCTGGCGCCTTTGGTCTGATCTCTGCTCTTACAGGCTTCTATGTGCTGGTACATGAGCTTTGCCAGGACTCATTACCGTTTTTAAACCCGCTTGGGGATATTACTTCCTTAAAAGCTCGCTTGTGATCAGAGTGGACTATCCTTGAGCGCAGTGTTGAGAAGAATCTAGAAATACATGGTGGGCAATAAACAGAACAGATGTCGCATTTTCGTTGCGCCCTACGTAAAACTAGCTGGAATGACATACACTCAACCCCTGCTAAAGCAAGAGACACATGTGAAACGTACCATTTCTCCGCTGCTTGCGTCATCTCTTGAATGATAACGACTTATAAATAGATTTGAGAGGCTTCTCATGCTCATCTCAAAAGACATAATCGTCAGTGACTGTAGTTATAGTGCGAACCAGCAACAGACCATAGCGCTACTATGTGCGCGTCTCGGAAGATCCGTTAGCATATCGTTAATGTCAGACTTACGCACGCTATGTGAATATAAACATCCTCGACTCCTCATTAAATAGCTAAGCCTGAGTGCTGAAGTCTAATCGATGGAACTCCGGTCGTGGATTCAGACGACAGATCCTCTAACAAACTCGATGACGTTATCCGCTACGCTAAAGCGCAAACATGCATAATAGGTAGTACAGATTGTATTGTGAGAATATAGTCGTTGATTTATATTCTACGCTACCGATGAACTTCATAACACACAGAAACCCACACTCATTGTGTCTACCCAGAAAACCTGTTGTTTATGCTATGGCAGACGTCTTAAAGTTCACTCAGACGTTCACCTGCCAAAGGTTCAAGATCACTTCATCGCTGTCGCGACCAAAGCCGTAGCCCTCAACCCTGCAGACTGGGAAATGGTCGAGGATCATCCATCTAAGGGAGCAATTGGTGGCTATGGTTATTCCGGGGTTGTCGAAGAAATGGGCAACTGCGTGAAGGGTCTGAAGGTCGGCGATGGAGTAGCTGGATTTGCGCAAGGCGGTACGTTCAAATCTTTAGGTACCATAGCCACACGACTGACAAGTTCGGGCGACGCAGCATACCACATCAACGGCGCATTTGCAGAGCACATCAAATTCAAGCCGGGTTGTCGCGAAAACCACTCAAAACATCTTCTGGGAAGAGGCATCTACGCCAGGCGCTGGCATCACTACTGTTGGACAAAGTTTATATCAAATGCTCAGCCTGCCTCTCCCGCCCACAAAGGTCTCATCATATACGCTAATACTGACCTAAAGCGCTTCGACAGCCACAGAAACGCTGGCTGTCCAGTTCGCGAGATTGTCTGGCGCGAAGGTCTTTGCAACTGCGTCGCTGCCCAATATCGACTTCGTTAAGGAACTTGGCGCAGACCATGTGTTTGACTATAAGGACCGTTGTTATGGCGGGAAGATTCGCAAAGCTAGCAATGATGAGTCGAAGCCGGTATTTGATTGTATGGCTGAGCATGGAAAGGAGAAGATCTGCGCCACAGCCATCAGTTCTAAAGGCGGGAAATACTCTGGGCTTAGCCTTGAGGCGTTGAATGACCTCCCGCGCCAAGATGTGAAACATGGCTGGAATTTTGGCTATACGGGACTGGGGCGAGAGGGTTAGTGATATGATGCCACCCAAGCACGAAGATTACGAGTCTGCGCTAAAAGCATTCGGACCGACATGTACCAGAGCACCCGGTTAATATCGCACAAGCCACAGGACAAAGTGTAAGAGTAAGTCTGAACTGCCCCATTTTTGTGATGTGTTGGTTGTCGTACTGCGATCTTTTTCAATGAGTCTGGTGAGTTCGGTACGATCGGCACCTTTTAGCTTGCATCGACTCATACCTCGTCATTCTGAATCATGATCTGTCGCAGTATATAGAGTCTAACAACAGCTGATCAATGCAGAAGAAGACGCTATTTTCGCAGTCTTACATAACCCATCAATCCATTCGTACGACCATCCGTTCCCAAGTGTTTTTCGATGACACTTAGCATGAATGCATATCAATTTCTTGGTGCACAAGAAGGGATTGTGCTCCGCAGGCTCCCTATTCCAGAACCAAACGACGAACAAGCTCTTATCAAAGTTGAGGCAGCAGGTCTTTGTCATTCCGATACACATGTCTTGCACGGAGGCGGAGCCGCATGAATGCGTGCGTTGCCCATAACTCTCGGTCACGGAATTGCGGGTACCATTGTCAGGCTAGGAGGTCACAAATCGAGCCCCCGAGCGTCATCACTCAAACACGGAGATAAAGTTGCCGTTGCTTGCGTTGGACACCCGATCGAAGCACGCTGTTTTGAGCATGCGCCTGGGGTTGGGTACGATGGAGGTTATGCTGAGTATGTCATAGCCTACTTGGAAAACATCGTCAAGATACCTGGAAATGTCAGCTTCGCGCACGCTGCTGTAGCCACTGATGCCGTCTCTACGGCGTATCACGCTGTCGTTGTCGAGGGCAACGTCATGGAGACGTCAACCGTCGCTATCGTTGGTCTAGGAGGTCTTGGACTCAACGCCTTGGCGATAGCAGCTGCACGAGGGGCTCAGGTTTATGGGGTCGACATCATTACATCTAAGTTCGAGAAGGCGATCTCGATGGGCGCTATTCAATGCGCCACAAGCCTAAGCCATCTCTCAACCCAACACTTCGATGTCATTATAGACTTCGCTGGTGCTCAGTCGACGGTCGAAGCTGCTGTAACCACGGTAAAGCTTGGAGGCATCGTTGTGGTGGTTGGATTAGCCTCGGACACTATCAAGCTTTCAACAACCGACATTGTTACCCGAAATATCACCATCAGAGGCTCTACAAGTGCGAGTATTGAAGACCTACACAATGTCCTTGGTCTTATCTCTTCAGGGGTCATACAGCCCTTGGTAGAAGAGATAGCTTTCCACGATATTCCTAAAGAGCTCGAGCGTCTTAGCTCAAAACAAGTTACTGGGCGTCTTTTTACAGTGCCTGTTCCGGACATGTAGCTGAGGGGAATGAGTTCCCAGACGAGAGGTCTGAGTTCGTTAGTAATGTAGGGATTAGAAATTGGTTACCGGGCCCGTGTACATGACATACGACCTTATGTGACGTTATACTATAAGCACATTCAGTGATGTGTGTACGTGATTCGAATGCCATAGTGAAGCCGGAATTGCGCTAGCGAGTGGGAAGCAACTTTTCCCTGCGGGCAGTGTGTTGCGGCTGAGCAAACGGCGCGGATACAGGACTCATGACTCCCTGAAAGCTCAGCGCAGTATCTACGCTACTGCTCTTTAGTTGTCCCTAAAATTTCCTTCCTCGCCCTAACAACCCAGAGTGGATCCAGATGATCCGGTAGATACGGACTCCTTAACACCACCGTCCCTTGATCATCCGTAATCCTCATCCCGCTCTCGTCCCTTGCACAGAGATCCACAATCTCCACATCTTTCCAGCCCGCGAAGTGGAGGTAATCACCCACAAACTCTAGTCTCGACCGCTCATCAAGCATCATCCACCTTTTGACTACCTTGTTAGGGAAACAGCGGTTGCTTATGACAAGGTGAACGGTACCTAAATGCAGAAAAGGGTATGAGATCAGTATTCTATTCGGGTGCAGGAGGACATAGATGTTACATACCACCTTCATGCGAAGCTTCCAGAAGCTTTCGACAAACCTCAAGTGGTTTATTCAAGTAGTCGATACTAACCACACACGTCACTGCATCAAATTGCATATCTTGTCCTCCTTCCCACGCAGCACGTACATCATGCGGCGGCTTGTTCAGATCCATAACGCGCCAGCGATCCGGTCCCATGAATACGCTATTCAGCGCCATCTCCTCCGCATTGAGCCCTACACCATAGACCTCCAATTCCTTTTTCTGTATCGCTTCCTTGACCGAAGCCGGGTAAAAGCTCTTCCAGCTCGTGCACATATCCATTATTTGTCCAGTTCTCGGCAACACGGTGTCGTAGTACTGCGTCAATCGCGCTATGCTTGGGTCATCGATGTGCGTGACTAGTCGCGGTTGGCGGTAGAACACGCCATCGTCATTTTCATCGTAGCGGACGAAGTCCGAGTCATTGTACGGCCAAGTATCATACTTTGGTTTGTATGATGTGGACGGGAAGGGCGATGTGTCAAGGGCCGCGGACGCCATGTTTGCCACTGCGAAGCCGGAGAAGAAGTTGAAAGGGATGGAATTTATGCGATTAAACGACGAATATGCGCGCCATGGAGCTGTAAGTGTTGGCTTGACCGTGCGGAGGCAGTGGTGGAGGAACATGGAATGGTTGGTCGCGGATGGCAGAGGATTGTCAGCTGAAGGAAGCGCGTTCAGTGATGTTCATGAATGGCCGGATGATGACGTCAAGACACGCGAAACCACGTGCCGACGTGTGGGATGACTTCAGTTCCCATCCTTCTCACCATCCTAACGGTTGCAGGTCTGATGATTCTATCCCAAGTTCACTATGTTCGAGATGCAAAATATGTAAACATTCAGGTAAGGAGCTTTTAGTAATTCGCTACAGGTACGGGTCAGCTATTCCGAATCTCGGAATTGGTATCCCGAACTTGCGGGGTCCATATACATACATCAGGAACGCCCACAAACATTTTATGTTGTAGCCGGTACATCTGCATTGTCTGGTACATAATGATAGCTATTCTCACCACCGCAAGGCTCGTCTTCAAGGACTCGGTTGCGCGGCAAAAAGCCATCGATGCGTTTCACAAGATCATTGAATACACAACACCACATGAGCCACACGTTCTGCAATATGTGTGCGCATTACCGGTAGACGATAGCTTAGGCACCGAGATATACATGATCGAAGAGTAGGTTGGAAGAACAATGTTGAGAATTGCGGATGCTGACCATACCAGATACGCGAATCAAGAAGCAAGCGACACACACTTGGCCACCAAGCCCGTCCAAGATCTAATTCAATTATTCACGACTGGAGATGTCCTCGCTCAACCACCGGAAGTCCACAACTCCAATGTGATTGTGAACAAATCTTCAGGGATGCCGATACCAGTCTCATCAAATCCCGCTGTCGTCCTTATGAACATTCCCTCGAAATCTGAGCTTTCAACCAAAGACAAAGAGAGGTGGCGCCAAATGTCATCTATTGTGATGAACAGCGTAAAAGGCGTATCTGCATTCACTGTTGTTAAAGATCAGGAAGCAAACAGTACGCGAGTCGAAGCTGTGCTGCAGAGTTGGGATGCCTTCGCCGAATATCAAGAGTTCTTGATAGATGGGCGACAAGATGGAGCAGTAGTGGTAAAACTTAGACCTATTGATGGTTTTGTTGGCCGCGAGAACGCGAGCAAGCTGTAGTTTCCAAACCCCACGTAGACATATAGGAGCGTTTTCCGTCCTCTTGGCTAGTTGAACGAGTAGATATCAACTACCCGCCTCGTTCGTGTTTACGATTCTTTGTCTGAGGAACTCGCGTGTCGGGCCATATACCCTGCAACTGATGCCGTGCCCTCTCACGGCAGCCTCCGCATATGCGACTGTTTCTGTACAAGTGTGACCAGTACTCGCTTGACCTTCTCTCTAGAGGTACGTTCCGTCGCTGTTGAGATGCACCATGACAAAGAACAGGTACACAAATAAGCGATAACTCTGGAATCAAATCTCAGTTTACTTCAAGTGATAGCAAGCAACGATAGCATAGAGGTTTGACGCCAGCCACCAATTTGGCCCGATCTTTAACACCAGTAGCTCTGGGAGTCTTATTTGGACTGGGTGCGATGACGTAGGATTTCTGCAGGAATGCTGCGGGAGGCGGGCGGTGCAAGCCAGAGCTCGATGGTTCGCGAAGCTCCATTATGTTCCACCCAGCAGTGTAACCGACGAGCGCAGACATTACCCCGGTACATACGATAACCCGGTGAGCGAATGACATCGGGCCATCTGATGTTGTGGTTGATGGTCTGGCAATCTTGACCCGTCGATCTCGCCATGAGCCATCCTCGGTGCGGGTTCACCTGTAAACTGCTTAGCTCGAGATGTTATACTGGGAGTGGCGCCAAAAGAGCCGCTATGGTAGCTTATCACAAGTTATGATGTTGCTTGCATTTTGCAGTAGCCAGCGATGAAAAGCCTTTGGTTTACACAGTTCACGTAAAGCGTACCCAGCTGTGACATGTAGCCGAAGAGTGACTGGCGGCGCCACGAGGAAAAAGACGAACATACCTCGTTCCAATGAAGCTTGTGCGTAGTAAACATGTCTTCAGGTCCTCCCTCGTAAGCTTCGGTTGTAGGGTCCAGATGTTGCCCAATGTGTTCATGGGTCTCGGCGTTCCCCTGGTGATCAGGAATGCAAGACTCCCAAAGCTTTTTCTGGAGCCATCGACCTTTCGGATCGCCATTAGCTATCCGACACTTGCACCACTTATGAAGCTCGGCAGAACATCGCGCAGTCTTCCGTCCGTACCACATATTTGCAGCGAGCAGTGTGTCGTATACGATGGACCGATCGCAACCAGCATGCATGACAGCGAACAGTACCATTTCCAAATCTGCAGGTCTACCCAAGCGACGATTGTGGTTGAAAAGTTCCACAGCCTCGAGATTTCGATCTAGCATGGCCTGCTTTCTGCCGTCGATGGCCACTTGCGCAGTCTCTGGATCCATCCAATCGACCGTCATAGCAGTGATCCAGAGCAAAAACCGCAGAAACTCGATCTTATCCCGGTTCCAAGGGCCTGACAATAATTTCTTTGGGAGGCGCCCTTTCACTACGGAAATTTGAGGTAGGTGACTCCGAGAGAACAGCATCTGTGAAGTATCTTCAAAGTTCGGCGGCCACTGCGCATCGAAGCAGCCTTCTTTCGGCGTCCTTCCACAGAGACATCCCGCGGAATCATACCGTCGCATGATCCAAGACTTGAAGAAAGACCATGTCATCCATTTGCTGGCGAAGATGTAGGTTTGTACTGCCGAAAGCTCGGCGCGTGTACCTCGCACATCAGTCAGGTAGTAGTTACACGTCGAGTGATAAATGTATTCAGATGAAAGTCGTGCTGCGATGTAGGTGGATGCTTCGATAAGTGCAATACTATGACCAGCGGCAATGAAGATGGGCTGCAGAAGCTCGACGGGGAGACGTTCGATAGGTGCGAGGACCATGTTGTTGTGGTCTTTGGAAGCAAGTCGGGGAGGGATCAAGCAATTTCTTTTTGCTGCAGAGCCGCACTAATGTACCCAAGCACTATATACTGCAGGTGCCCAGAAATGAAGACGTGTTTCCAGGATGTTTATTCCTCACGGTGGACAGCTCGGTGTTGCATTGGTCCGACTAGCTAACGACCCCCACATTTGCCCATTGAGGTATGCCGCTAATTACCCCACACGGTACTAGCACGTCTGCGAGTTGCTTCCGAGGTTCGCACCCTTTCGTCCTTCCAACCTGGCCTTTGACGTGATTGTATCAGGTCTGTCAACTTACTCTTTGGATGCTACGCAGGAATTCTACAACTAAGATTACACGTTGCGACAAGCCATTCGAATTACACCAGGACAGATCTTATTACGATATCATCCTTCACGATCGCGCACCCTACCTAAATACAGATAGTGCTGAGTGAGCCTGTCACATAATCTCAACATTGCCTGCTGGGACACTACTGTTCCACGACGACGACCTTAATACCCAGGTACTGTTGTGAAGATAGCATCGCGCCAGCGAGACAGGCGAAGAACAACTCCAAGCCCTAGTAGTCATCGAAATCTCCGTGAGAGATGGTGCTCTCGCGCGTACGCATGGACACTGGAAGAGCAGTGAAGCTGCGTTTCTGACCAAATCATCACATCGCACAACTTCTGGTGACTGATTACGGCTAATCTCAGGCCTTGTACGAACCCAATTGCGTTAGGGCGGGGCATTGGCCGGCTATACAACCAGCGCAACCGTACATCAGCTTCGACCTGTGGGCATGAGCACGTCATTGTCAGCCTGCGGAGCTTTACTATCTCCGCCCGAAGCTCCAAGCATTCACGCAAGCAACGTAGTCTCTACATAAGACCGAAAGCAGCTGCTTGAATCCGTCAGAGTAATATAAGTTGTCCACAATATGGCGGATCTCGACAGCGGTACTTTGTTCAGCGTCCAAGGACTGGTGGCAGTCATCACGGGCGGGGGGACAGGTAATGATAGCGCGGGACAGGACCAGCGGTTAGCTGACGGCCCGCAGGCATTGGTTTGATGATTGCGCAAGCACTAGAGGCAAATGGTGCGATTGTCTATATCCTGGGTCGACGACAAGAAGTGTTGGAGAAGGCAGCCAACACAGCGGTAAGTATAGCCGCAATGTCCGCACTGATGTAGATGCGAAACGTTCTCTCCACATATGTACTGACGACCCCATGTATAGAAGCATAGAAATATATACTACCTTCAAACCGACGTAACATCCAAGTCCGATCTCTCCGCAGCAGTCGACCACATCGCTTCCAAATCCGGCTACGTCAACCTTGTCGTGGCCAACTCTGGCATCACCGGTCCGACTCTCAAGGGCTTGGAGAAAGGCGCGTCGCTGGCCGAATTCCGCAACCACCTCTGGAACTGGGATATGAGCGACTTCACGCAGACATTTGCACTCAACACCACGGCCGCCTTTTTCACAGTCGTCGCTTTTCTCGAGCTACTTGACAAGGGCAACAAGGCTGGAAATGTTGAGCAGAAAAGTCAGGTCATATGCATCAGCAGCGCTGGTGCCTTCAATCGTGTGCCGATGGCTGGTTACGCCTATGCTGGTTCTAAAGCGGCAGCAGTGCATATAATGAAGGCATTGGCGACGACGCTGGTGCCTTATGATATCCGCTCAAATGTCCTTGCACCTGGCCGTAAGTCGAGACATCCTCCCAGAAACAAGTTGTCGGACTTGTTTGCTGATTGTTGTAGTGTATCCTAGTGAAATGACTGCAGGTATGCTCACACAGGATAAATGGCCGAGAGACTTTATACCCGAGCAAAGAGCGGGCGATATCAAAGACATGGCGGGTGCACTGCTCTTCCTCACTAGCAGAGCTGGAGCTTATATCAATGGCAATGTATTGGTGACAGACGGTGGGCGTTTGAGTATCTTGCCCGCAACGTATTGATACTGGCGCGTTACGCAGCAACAAGCACGTCGGAAGTGACTTTGGACGTTGCTTTGAAGATTTGACAAGAACAATAATTCATTATCGATAGATTGTCAAACACATTTCCGTCATGTTGCTCCATTACACAAGTCATAATCTGCTCATCTGGATCGGGTCAGAATCTTCATCTAATCTTACACCCAACCATATCTGAGCAACGAACCTATTCCTCATCGGTAACCCGAAACTCAAAAGGGCGGTAAATCGCCTTGTCAGCATCGCGCTTCTCTGCATCCGACGCGCCGATAATGTTGGTGGCGCGATAGATTTTCTCGAAAGCCCGCTTCTCTGCATCAGATTTTCCAATGATGTTTGTCGCACGATAAATGGCCTTGTAGGCTTCACGCTTCTCTTCTGGGGCAAGGGCTTCGAACTGCTCGGGGGTTGGGATGCGCTTGGCGATGTCGTTGGTGCTAGCAGTTGGGGCTGCGACGGCCGAGGCGGTAAGGAAAGCCACGAGGCCAAAGGCGATGCCGGTGAAACGCATGTCGATGACTGGAAAGATGGTAGTAGAGAGGGACAAACGATAAATGGTGGGATAGCGTTGTCACCGTCGGCTGCGGTATCGCTTTGGCTATATACCATGTTGCGGACGTATCCATCCACGGCACAGTATAGTCACCATTAGCAGTTTGGTCCAGCACCTGATTGGCATGTTGGTAAGGCCAGCAGTTAGGCATGTAAAGATGCCAGGCCTCCATGATAGCGTATCTGTCAAGACTAGTTTTCGTATTCGTTCTAACTGGATCAGGCAGGACGTAGCTTCCCCAGACCGAGCCAGAGCCAAGCTTCGCCAATCGCAACGGGCCGGCGCCAGAAATGCTTATCTGTCCAGGGCTGTATGACGCGTTAGTATGGGATGCCTCACTTGGTCTAAGATTTATTCCAGCAAGCCTCGGAGGAGGAGGTTGGCTTGCTCGATTTTGTGGTGTGATGTCGCCATTGTAGCCCGCACGATTTTTCTCGACAAGGAAGGTACTTGGACGACCGCTGATCTACCAAGTAGAACAGCCAGTTGGTGGGAGTGGTCCCAGTAGATGCCTGGTTAGATCGATTCTAGTGTCCCGTCCATTATCGCTGGGTAGCAGTCGTGGGGTCTCCGAGGTCTGGCTTTGGAACCTTCCATCTTCACCACAACTTAACAACACACTTGCGCGATTGCATGGCACAATGCATTTGTTCCTAAATTTCGCTTACAAGACCTTGGCGTCAGATGAGAGTCTGGAGTATACATCTGACCTGGATGCAGAGAAGGCTCGAACAGTTCGGGGTGGTGGGCAGACGAAAGTATCCTGGAAAGCTGCGGTGGTCATCACAGTGCTAAATCTGGTCGTTTTGGTAGTCTCAGTCTTGCTATTTGCCAGAACGTACTACAGCCATCATCATGGACTCAACGGAAATTATCAGCAAATCACCCCATACAGCCCTGTGTTGGCCGAGTTCGATCTCAAGCCGACAACAAGGAAGATCAACGGAACGCTCTTCCCATCGCGAGATGGAGGCTCCATCGCAAGAAAACAACCCAACCCCGAATCTGATGCTGTCTGGGAAGAATGGGAATTGACGCGCGTCTACCCGGTGTCCCGCGAAGAGCTCAGGAAGATGGGTGTCAATCCCTCGACAGCGGCAAAGCTGGAAGACGACGTCTGGGGTCTAGGAGACGATGCTTACGCCTCGATATTCGATGTATACCATCAAGTCCACTGTCTGAATTCCCTACGGCGAATCGCATACGGCGACTATTACAACCTCAGCATGGCACGGGCACACACCGTCAAGCAACGCGAGATCCACATCAACCACTGCATCGACATCCTTCTCCAAAGCATCCAGTGCAACGCAAATCTCGATTTGATTCCTTTGCATTGGGTAGAGACGCAGGAGTATCCCTTCCCCGATATGTCGATTAACAAGAAGTGCGTTGACTTTGAGGGCTTGACTGAGTGGCGCAAGGCCAACACAATCGACATGGACAAGTATGTTGAGGTCATGAAGATGCCGGAGGTGGGCAAGTCAGGTGTCAAGGAGCTCCCCGCGGCGGATCAGTACTACGAGTACTGGGGCTATGATAATCCGAACCACAAGCCAAAGGCCGAAGGAGGGCATGGGCTTGCGTTGGATGTGGACTCGAATTTGTAGTACATTGGCTGGCTTTTTCGATTTGCGATGAAGAGCCTTACGTAGTAGCTGTTTCAATTGACGTGCTTGTACGGTTGCAAAGGGTGTTTGGTGATATCGGTCCGTCATGACCACACGCGATGCAATGCTTGTGAGGACAGGGCACGCAAGAATAGAGCGTGCGCCGGGTGATAGCAATTGGAGGCAGCTTCAACTATGACGGCTACTACTCAAATACTAGCCATCCCAGGAGCTAGCCAGATGGCAAGTTCAGCCAAAGGCTTAGAACGCTGACGGTGCTTTACTCCTACTTCGTATATTTCTCAGGAATCAGTCTTTCGAGGCTTGTGGCGCTCTATTGTATCTACCTTTGAGAACGCGAAAGAGGTTTCAACAAGAGGTAGCACCACCATGTGTCTGGCTGCACGTTTTAATTCAATCTGGTCCATTCCGACCAGAAGATCGAGTCGATGACGTTGAGTGCTGGATCCAATATGGTATCATTATGACCATGATCCGCAGCTGGTCCTGCAGGCTGCTCCCATGCAGATGAGCGACGCCGCTTCGCTCGGGTCGGGTTGCTCTCAGACCCTGCTCCGTGTGCAGCACTTCGCTTCATACTCTCACGCTTTGCTCGCAAGAGTTCATTCTGTATCCCAGTGACCACTTCACGGGCCCGCGTCGCACTATGATAACCCTCTGATAAGTCGCAAAGGGCTTGCTGGCAAACTTCCAAGTCCTTCCACGCTGAATTCCTCAAGGACGGTGCCGCTGCCTCGCAGGCATTCAGCACATGGATCAAGCTTGCTGTGAATACGAGATGGACTGCCTGGATGTTGATGCGCCGGAAGCTGTATAGTCTTCGGTAGATTTGAAGTAGCTTGGCTATCGCTCTAGCTGAGTCGGTACATGTTGGTGGGCCGACCATCGGATCCGAGAAAGCAACGTCTGGCAGGTTCGCCGTAGTGGCCGTAAAAAATGGACGATTGGCAATGATCATGACGGTGTGATATTGCATCTGAAGTTGCAACACGTGCGGGACATAGAAGGATGAGACCGACGACAGATCAACTTTCAAAGACTCTGGCAAGTCCTTGTGCCACTGTGCAAGCTCAGCTCGCATACCCGAAGCAAAGTCGTGAAGCTGCTGAGCACCGAGCACTGACACGACAGAGTCGGAATATAGAGTATCCCGGATACGAGCCATCTTGGCGCAGAGCGTTGCATTGTTCCGGTGCAATTCATCAATCGGATCGACCAAAGCGGGGAAATCAAAATCCGCGTACTCGTCAATATAGGGTCGCCACAGCTTTTGCTCGCCGACCTTGGCAACGCAAGGCGGTGTGGTAATGGCATGCTCGTCGAGTGAAACCGGTCGACCAAGATACAAGGACCACATTCGTTCATGGATAAAAGCACCCCAAAACACTACTCTCTGCAAACTCGCCTCTTCCGCATCGATGATACCAGCATCTACATAGACTTGATTGTCAAGATGCAGGCCGAGATCGGTGGCCAGCCGTACTGCCTAAGGGTACGTGTATGGAATCAGTGTATGTCTTACGTGTATTTCTTACAGCTATAACGTACCATGCCGCTGTAAAGCCAGCCACGAGCATCAAGAGTGCGAATCGATTCCACTCCGCTCAAAATGGCAAGAGACTGCACTGTCGATAATGTAGGCGAGTCCAACTCAACGTCGAGCAGTGCGCGCGCACGCGACGCAAAGAAGTCAACTAATGGTTCGGGGAGCTCCACGCAATGCCTGGAAGTCAACGATGCGCCAACAGCGCACATAGAGTTGACGAGCACCTCGGAGTAAAGCTTGCTCACGTAGTCACCCGATTTACACTTGAGTCGCTCGCGATAGAAAACGTCTTCCTGTACAAGATGGATACTCGGGTCCTCCCAGCAAAAGTACAGCTTGATGAGATGATCTTCGAGCTCTGTATCCACGAGATGTTCAACGCCAGCGGCATCCAGCGTGGCTTGAACCCCTACCCGGCTCACTGCTGTTCTTGTGTTGGTTGTCGCGCGGGTCCCCGAAACGAGTAAATGGAGATTGGACGTAGCGCCGTAGAACCTGAGCTGGCCGTCCTCGGCAAGCCTGAGAGATCCCAGACTACCAGTGAGCTGGTCGACCAGGGGTGAAGAGCTGTCAGTCTGAGGAGTGTCAAGCGTTATCATTGACGGCGTCTCTAGAGCCACAGAAAGATCTCGGTTAGACGAGGGCATTGAACTGGCAAAGTTATGCTCTGAATTGGTCGCTGGACCTGGGAGCGCCGTCCATGGGGTTGATAGATTCCTGTAGCTCGGAAGTGGGATCCCGTTTGCCTGGAGTAGTTCCTCCAGCTGCCTTGCATATGTTTCTGCAGCAACAAGTCGCTCCTTCATGGGAACTTTCCGCTTGTCGAGGCCATGTTGGTACACGCATCGTTGAGCATATAGAATACAGTTGCTGCATGACGGGCTGGCAGCGTCGCATTTGATCTTGCGCGCTCGACAGCTCAAACAAGCAGTAGTGACGTGTTTTTGCCGTGCACTCGATGTTGGACGCGCTGATGAACTCGCAGAAGCCATCACGGGTAGTTTCGGGGTTTCGGCATATTGAGCTGATGGTGTGGAGTCGTCGCAGGGAGATGAGCTACGAGTTGTTGGAATGCGGGGGTGTCCTAGCCGAGGCGGTTCACATTTGTTGATGGTTTCCAATTGATGTCTGCACTTACTGTGGAGGTAACGAGATCTGTCTCTCATTCGCGCATACAAGGCAATCTCCTTTACATTTTGATAAATGAACTTTTGCTTCGTATGATGACCATGATGAACAGAGCAAAAGACGCCTTCTCTATACACACCCACGCTCCTCCAAACATGAGACAATTAATAGATGCCGCTACATATCCACCTCTCGAAAGAACGCGGCAGTCTCCACATATTCTCCATCTCATCCTCAGGCATTGATAACCTCCTTGAGCGTCTTGGCACTCTTCTCCAATAACCTCTTCTCTTCACCATCAAGCGGCATCGGCACACTCCTCACAATGCCACCCCTACCCAGAACCGCCGGCATACTAAGACACACACCGAGTTCATCCTGGTAGTAGCTCACCGGCCTCACAATCTTCTCATCAAAGAGAATAGATTTACAAATCGATGCCGCAACGCCTCCGATACCATAGTTGGTCGCACCTTTGTTCTCGATGATGGACGTGGCTTTATTCTTCGTCTCGTCTGCAATGGCCGTCTTGTCTGCTGCACGATCAGAAGACTCGGACAGAGCAGACGAGAGAGGCACACCGCCAATACTCGCCAAACTCCACGCAACAAACTGCGATTCCCCATGTTCACCCAGCACATAAGCATCGATGCTACTCGCCGCGACCTCCGCCCTCTTAGCCAAAATACCCCTCAGCCGCGCGGAATCGAGAAACGTGCCCGATCCAATGACCTGGCTACGTGGCAATCCGCAGTATTGCTGGGCAAAGTAGGTAAGCACATCGACGGGATTGGCAACGAGCAACAAGACGGTATCTTCGCGGAAAGGCTTCATGTCGGAGATTGCGGATTCCAAAATAGATTTGTTGCGCCCGATGAGATCGGTTCTGCTCTCGCCCTTTTTTTGCTTGGCGCCGGCTGCAATGACGATGATGTCGCACTGTCCTGCCTCCTTGTGCGTTCCCGATCTTACACGCGTGGTGGTGTTTCCATGGAAGGTTGCGTCTGAAAGGTCTGCTACCTGGGATTTGCGTGAGTTGTGAATGATAGTAGAGCAACGGGTCGAAAGTAGAAGCAAGTTGGGAACAGCGAAGGGGTTAGGATTACCTGTGCATCTCTGACTTCTTCTTTGGGATCGACGAGCAGAATGTCGCCGGCGACGGGGTTCATGATGAGACTATACGCAATCGTTGCGCCAACATCGCCAGCGCCGAGTATGGCAATGGAGGAAGTAGGTTTGGCGTCTGACATTGTTGGCGATGAGGTGTCTGTAGTAGTGGGCGATGAAGGGCTGAGGCGGATGTGAGAAAGCAGATAAGGGACGGTGTTGGAATATCCAATGGCTCAACATGTCTTCCATCTGCAGTGTAGATTATTGCACTACGTCATCGTCATAGCGCTAGTGCGGTATGCAAGTCCGCAGACAGCCGACTTATCGAATTATCTCCTGAAGCCTCGCGTACGTTCGTAAACCCTCCTACTTCGTCGTTTGCTCTCCAAAGTCAGAGCTCCAGTACTATCCATGCGTCATGCTAGCATGTCATGTCCATGATGCCATGATGCTCCTCTGCCATGTTCTATAACCATTCTCCTACCGTCCCTCACATCCACCCCATCGTTGTCCTCCCGTTCCGTACATCGTGTCTCCGATCTCGCCTTTGGCATATATTTAGTCAGTGTTTTAGCCGACCAAGAGATGGCTTGGTTTATAGTCGTCCCCGCATGAAATATTCGCAGAAGATAGGAATGGCAAATTCCATCTGCAATCAGGCTACTTTAGGCGCAGGCGCAACAGCTGATGCAACGACCTTCTTCCTTGGCTGTGTCGCTAGGCCCTTCTTCAGCAGCAGAGGTATGACGTCTGTTGCTTTGTTGCGGCTGATGTTCTTTCGGCAGACGGGACATTGCGAGCGCTTCGTTTCGTGGGGTCCGGTACGGTTTTCGCCGGCGATGAGGGCTTCCATGAGGCAGGTGTGGCAGAAGAGGTGGCCTGGAATTGTTAAGTTAGCAGACGCACTCGATGTAGCGTTGGAAAGGAAACCCACCACAAGCAGTAGCAGTGAGATCGGTAGGATTATCCATGCAGATGACACAATTGAACGAGTTGAACGTGGTAACTGTCTCTTCTGGCTTGGCCTGCGCCTTGACAGCATCGGCCTGTTGTTTCTGCAATGCCTCTTGTAGCGGGCTCCTCGGCTCCGTCAGATCCACCTCATCCACCTTCTCAACCTTCTCATCCTCCTCAACCTTGTCGTCAACTCCAGCCGCTGACCCGTCGCCCCGCTTCTGCCGCTTCGCCGACGGGCCTGGAGTGGGTGATTCTCTCTTCCTCGCGGTCCCTGTCGGCGATGAATCGGGAGCGCTGGTCAGGTCGACGTAGCCATTCGCTAGACGGTCGGGCCGCGAGGCTTGTGGACGTGCGCGCGTGGTGGGCGGCATGATGCTTTCTGCGGTGAAGGGACTGTATGGGCGCCAAGCGAAGGGTGAGTAGCGGCCGTGGTCGAGGCCGGCTGGGTTGAGGATGTGGTCGAAGAAGCCGGTGGAGTAAGGGACGGGTGGGGCGCGGTACACGGCCTCGCTGAGTGGTTCCTCGTGATGGTCGACGGATGCGCTGTAGTCGCCGAACAGATGGCCAAAGTCGAAGCGGGAGGATGAGTCGTCTTGGGGGGAGTCGTGGTCGTAGTCGGACATTGTCGTGGCAAGCGCAGCGGAGATGGCGGGCTGGAGCGCGCGAAGGGCAAGCTCAGGTACCTTCGTTTCCCTTCACCATGACAAAGTTCCGTTCACCATGACAAAAGTCTGCCCGCGCCCGCAGGCACGGCAGACACGGCTGGATAACACAGCAAAAGCCGCGACCGCCATCCGCCTTGGGCGTGCTGCATTGGAACAAACATGCATGGCGTAGGGCTGAGAGGGGAAACTCATCGCCAAGACTTATCGATAATGTGAAATCATCACCAACATGACGACACCAGTCATTCTAGAGTTGGGTTCAATCCACCACAAGTCAAACATCGCCTCGCACCATGCAGTGACACTCTCTGCATAGTTCTGTAATCACCAGATGATGCGCTGTTCGTATCGGAATCTTGCTGCGAACGCCATCCACCGCCCGCGACCCGTCCATGCGCACAGGAAATGCGCAAACGCCTTCAGACCAAGATGCCTGGCCACGGTCCAATCTCCGAATGCATCCGATGAGAAGGCGCCTCGGGGCACTCTGAGTGTCCCCTCAGAAGCCCGCTTTTCTCCCATCGGTGTCCAACACCTCTCCTCGCACATGCACGCCCAAGTCTTCCCCGGCGCATCCACCTCCCCACCCCCCGAACTCGTCGCCCTATCGCGCGACCACCTCCGCCGCCATGACCTCCTCGGCAAGAACCAGGACCAGTCGCCCCCGGTTGCCTTCCATGTCCCCGAACTCCACGGCACCAGTCTGGACGAGCATTTCTACAAACTGGGCATGGACGCCGCCGAACCCTATCTCACCATGGCCAGGAAACTCGCTTTCTCGGCGAGCCCGCCGCCGCGGCCAAAACAATGGGTTGCGAGGAGCGGGTGGACGAGGTACAATAGTGATGGGACTACGCAAGAGGTGGATGCGCCCGAGGAGGAAATGCTGGTTTTCGATACCGAGGTCATGTGGAAAGAGACGAGTTTTGCTTGCATGGCGACTGCAGCCAGTCCTACAGCGTGGTATGCTTGGTTGAGTCCGTGGTTGCTAGGCGAATCCAAGTCAGATCGCCACTTGATTCCGTTGGGGGATACAAGTGTGCCGCGCGTCATAGTTGGACACAACATCGGGTATGATAGGGCGCGGATAGCAGAGGAGTACCATATCAAGCAGAGCAAAAACGCCTTCATCGACACAATGAGCCTGCATGTTGCGAGTAATGGCATGTGCTCAAGACAGCGCCCGAGTTGGATGAAGAATAGAAAGAGTCAGGAATCGAGGCATGAGATTGCTTCGTCGGAAGAAAACGCCACACTACCACCTGACCTTCTCCACAGCCCTTCAATTGACCCCGAAGAAGAGCTTTGGATGAACAGAAGCGCCATCAACTCGCTCCGCGACGTGGCTAAATTCCACTGTGGGATAACAATGGACAAGGCGCAGCGGGAATACTTTGGCGAGCTAGACCGCGCTGGTATACGGCAAAGACTAGACGAATTGCTAGATTATTGCGCCCAGGATGTTGAAATCACCCATCGTGTGTACCAAAAAGTCTTTCCGCTATTCCTCGAAACATGTCCCCACCCCGTCTCCTTCGCCGCTCTACGTTTCCTCGCTGCAGAAATCCTGCCTGTAAATGAAACTTGGGACGCATATCTACACAATGCCGAGTCCACGTATCATCAGCTCGACGACGCGGTCAAAGAACGACTGGTTGCGCTTACGGACAAGGCCTTGGAGGTGAAGGAGCAGCCAGAAGTCTACGAAAACGACCCTTGGCTGAGTCAATTAGACTGGTCAGGCCAGGAGATTAAAATGGTAAAAGGCAAGAAGAAAGGCGATCCTCCGAGACCGGCTGCCAGACAGAAAAAACCTGGTATGCCCAAGTGGTACAAAGACCTTTTTGCCAAGAATGATGCGCCCATGGCCTTGACCGTGCGCACGCGCATCACGCCCATCCTGCTCAAGTTGGCGTGGGATGGATATCCGCTTGTATGGAGTGACGTCCATGGCTGGACGTACAAAGTGCCCCGCGACGAGGCTTTTGCGTATACGGACAAGGGACTGAATCCCATTTCCATGGACGAAGAAACAAACTTGAAACTCAGAGACGACACAGAGGCGGTGTACTACAAGATTCCCCACAAGGACGGGCCGGCAGCGCGATGTGCGAATCCGCTTGCCAAGGGATATTTGCAGTATTTTGAAAAGGGCAAGCTGGGGTCTGAATACACATATGCAAAGGAAGCTCTCGAGATGAATGCATCTTGCTCGTACTGGATAAGTGCCCGCGACAGGATCATGTCGCAAATGGTCGTGTACAACAAGGAGGTGCCTGATGCGCCGAAGCTCCAATCTGCGTCTGGCAAGGGGAGGGGGAGTAAGGTCGGTTTTATCCTCCCGCAAATCATCCCCATGGGCACCATCACGCGGAGGAGCGTCGAGAATACCTGGCTCACGGCCTCGAATGCGAAGAAGAATCGTGTTGGATCCGAGTTGAAGAGCATGGTGCGTGCACCCGAAGGCTACTGCTTCGTTGGCGCCGACGTGGATAGCCAGGAACTCTGGATTGCATCCCTCATTGGCGATGCAACTTTTCAATTGCACGGCGGAAACGCAGTCGGTTTCATGACGCTCGAGGGAACAAAGGCAGCGGGCACGGACTTGCACAGCCGGACGGCGGGTATACTAGGGATAAGTCGGAATGACGCCAAGGTATTCAACTACGGACGCATCTACGGCGCTGGCCTAAAATTTGCCTCGACGCTGCTACGCCAGTTCAACCCTTCGCTGAGCGACGAGCAGACGAGCAAAACGGCAGAGGCCCTGTACAAGAACACAAAGGGTAAGAAGACGAACCGCAAACAACTCCACGAACGGCCTTTTTGGCGCGGCGGCACCGAAAGCTTCGTGTTTAACAAACTAGAAGACTTTGCAGAGCAGGAACGTCCTCGGACCCCTGTCCTCGGCGCCGCCATTACCGAAGCGCTGCAGCGCCGCTACCTGACAAAAGGCGGCTTCATGACGAGTCGCATCAACTGGGCCATTCAATCCTCGGGCGTCGATTACCTCCATCTCCTCATCGTTGCCATGGACCACCTCACGCGCCGATATGGCCTCGATGCCCGCCTGGCTATCACCGTGCACGACGAGATCCGCTACCTAGTCAAGGACGAGGACAGATACCGCGCGGCCATGGCGCTGCAAGTAGCCAATCTGTGGACGAGAGCCATGTTCAGCAGCCAAATGGGTATCAATGAGTTACCGCAGAGTTGCGCGTATTTCAGCGCTGTGGATGTGGATAAGGTGCTGAGGAAGGAGGTGGATATGGATTGTATCACGCCGAGCAATAAGGAAGCTATACCCCATGGGGAGAGCCTGGATATCTTGGGCTTGCTTGAGAAGGGTGATGAGGCGAGGCTTGACGCTGGTGGGAGGGCAATGGAACGAGGAGGCGAGATGTGGCTCCCGAGGCCAGACAAGTATACACATGCTTATATACCGCGTACACCCATCATGGCCAGTCTGGGTGGTGTGAGTAACAGTAGTAGTAAGGGCAAAGAGGGAGTCGAAGCTGCTAGACTGGGCTTGGCGTATCTGAAAGCACAGATTTCGAGTGACGATGAAGAGTTACGGGTTATCATGAGAGAGATGAAAGCAACGACGACGACGACGGCATCATCTACATCTACTCCTACTACTCCTCGCCGCGGTCCTAGTACAACCGGGGTCAAAAAGAATAGCAGCGGTGCGAGTAAAAACGATACTAGTAGCAACAAGAAGAAGACGAAGACGAAGACGAAAGCCGACGATAAGGAGGTCGAGGAGATTGAACAAGAGGGCAGAGAGATTGATAATAAGGTTAGGAGGTATGAGCAGCGGTTGTCCCACCAACAAATGGCACATCATCATTATCATCATGCTACTCCTAGGCCTTATGTGCCACGAGTCCATGATGAGTGGTGGCGACAGCAGCAGCAACCGCAGTTTGGACAACAGCATCCGAGGAGGGAGGGCCCGCGAGCTGCTGCTGTCAGGGTGTAATTTGGCGGGTTTTCCCAGATTCTCTGTGTATGATTTTCTTTTCTTGCCATCTGTTTGTCGTTTTGTAGGATATTTGTATATGGCTTCTTTTGTTAATAAAAATGCGGGGAAAGGGATTCAAGATGGGTTCAATTGGGGGGAGGGGGGAGGGGAAAGAGCACTGGTAGGACGGCGGCGCTGCTTTGTTCATCTTGCATTTGAACGGCGTTACGTGTCAACCTTTTCTCAGACAGGATTTTTCTTTTCTTGGTTTGATATGTTCTGTGGGGGAGCATATGGGTTGTGTTTCTTGGAAATACTCACATGTCTCACACTGATTGTGCACTGCCGTTCATAAGTGAGAGAACGCTCCGCCCCTTGCAAGAAGACAAGCATCTTCAGACACTTCTATATGATACTATTTGGGTGGCGCATATCTCGCATGCAGTGCACAAAGTTCCTCATTGGTAAGACCTGACAGGCACAAGTGGATCAGCGGATCTCAATCTTCTTAGCTTCAAATGACGTAGCGTTCAAACCGCTTCTCTTTTCGTCACTTATATACTCCGACACATAACAAACTCCTACGTGAGAATAATGATCACCCATCTTCCGCAATACCACGGGATGCGAGCATCCGCACAGCACGGCAATAATGTCACCTTCTTCCGTAAGTGGTGGGCAAAGTCCGAAATAACCCTCTTTTGTCTCGAACGGCCGAAGGCCAGAGATGTCTTCCAAAGCGGCGATCCAACAGTAAATCGTTTGGCCAAGTCCCGGTGAGCTGAGCTCCGGCGTCGCACGCATCGATCGCCAGCGAGCCGACTCGTGAGGGTCGAACTCATCGCTATCCCAAATGTGGTCTGTGCAGAATGCAGCATAGAAAGCGTGCTCGTCATCGTTCTTATAATTGAATTTCCAAGTCTCGAAGAGGAGAAAAAGAAACCAGTGAACGAGCTGCGGGTAACCGTATATAGTTGCGTACATCTCCTCCTTCGTGTGCATGGATTCCATAAACCTCACATGCAGAATCGCTTCTAACAAACTAAAAGCACGATGACGTTGGGATCTCGGGTGAATGGGTGATCGCACTAACGCCTCAACAACCCACTGTATCCATTGTGCAGGAGGTCCATCTATTCCAGTAAGTTCAGTAATGGCCGGTCCAGTATCCGCAATCTCATCGACGAAGGCTGCGGCACAGTGTAAGTTGCCTGCTGAGCATGTCGGGATGAGGCGATGATTGCCAAATGCTTCCATAGAACGATCTTCGACGGTGCAAAAGATGCGGCCTTGAGCTACTTTGAGTTTCGATATCGCGACAAAATTAGGGGCCCAGGAAGGGAGTCCTGGGATCATCTCCCACGCATGACCGATGCCAGCATGCGCCAGGAACCAAAGATCGCCGCAGCTACTTTTCAAGCTTTCTGGACCACAAGTCGACAGCCATTTCGCCACGAAGTCGCAGTACACGTTTGCAATGGTCTTTGCTGGAGAATAGTCGATAGCCAAGGTAAACCCTGATACGCCCATCAGCCCATAAACGAGATCCTTTGGATTTGTGGCAGCGTAAGTCGAGAGACTGTTGTACATGTACATTCCTGCGCGGCAAAAGCGAACGTGCGTTTCTTCCGATAGATACGCTGCTCTCTTTTCCACAAACAATCTTGCAGTCTCAATCTTGGCTATTTCCAGATAGTTCAGATCACGAATCCGGGCACGTAGAGCTTCGGTCTCCAGAGCCTGTTCTTCTCTGGACACTAGAGTGCTCGTTGGATCGCGTCGCGAGCCATAGACTTTCAACCAATTGTTGACACAGCTGATTGCTGCTAGAGGAAGAGCCTTTGTACCCGACACTAGCAAAGCTTCTTTGCTCAAAACCAACTCCTGCACGATCCACATGCGTCTCCAATACTGAGTGAAGAACAGATTGTTCATGCGAGGTACCAAGGCCATAAGGTCGACGTCGATAGTTTTCAGGAGATTTTCGCCTTCTTGCTCATTTTTTGATCTGGAATCAATTTCCTGAAATAAGTACGTGAAGATGTCAAATGCGTCCAACAAGTCCGGTATCGGCAGTCCGATCCAGCAGAAGGTTCGCTGCGCACTTGTGTAAATCTTATACATCAGCGGTATCTGAGAGTTCTTCTCTTGAACATCTGGCTGATTGATACAAACGGCATCAACCCAAATCCTGTGACCGGAGTTGTCGTCGGAACAACAGCCTTCTGTCCATTGGAAGTAAACCGCTTTGAGGGCATAAGTGAGACTCGTCGTTACGGCGATAGATCTTCCTTCCACGATAATGGGCTCGGTAACACTCGCATCACCCCAGGTATATGATAGCGCGGAGAACTCTGGTTTATCGAGGAGAGACACGATAGAAAGCTTGCAGACTATAGGCTCGACGGATGTGATTTCGAGAAGCCGAATCTCGTCGCGAGAAGTGTCTAGTGTAGTGTAAAAAGAACCATTCCCCGGTGGTGGATCCATTTCTCGAGACGAACGAGTTATTGACTCGAGCGATGGAGGTTGTAAGTAAAAGTCGTGATAGCGGGGTGCGAACAAGGCGGGAAGGGGTTCTCAGCTGGCCTTGGCCTCGCCTACATTCGTTGTGATCGAAAGCTAGTGCAGCCACAGCGGCTGACTGCTCAGCTGAATACCACGTGATGAGACAAAATCAAATGATATAAGCAGTAGAAGACCAAAATCAAATCATCCCTTCGAACCAAAACACACAGCGACACAACATCATCGAGCAACACGTCAAATGTCAAAGAGAGGCTTTGAGCCAGAAAAAGGCGCATTGAAGCGGAGATTGAAACGCCATCAACCCATTATCCAAAGTCCGTGTTCCATACCCTTGGCCTCAGCCATCTCAAAGCCGAAGTATATATGGTTCCCATGCAAATGCCATGTCAATAACCTATTCCAAGCCCTGAAGAAAAGAAGAAGAAAAAAACAACAACAGTCTATATGCCGCAAATCGCAAACCGAACACACATACACGATGCTACACAACACGGTCTATACCTCTATGCCAAGTATCAAATACCACAACAGCATCGCATATACAGACATGTGTAGAGACAGTCATCGCCCGATCGCTCGACGAAGATGTGTGTGAAAGGTTGGGGTATCGAATAAAATTCGCCGCCAAATCGCCAAAGGGTGATTTAAACGATGAGAAGCTTCTCCACGTTCTCGCCCGCACTGCGCTCGCTCATGCGGTTCCACATCGCGTACGTGAGAACACCAGTCGCAGCCCACATGATGGGTACGGCGGCTTCGGCGCCAGCTATCAAAACCGTCAGCACACGTTCCTTGATGTATATGCAGCTATGTTTGCTTTGTTGTGACGTGGGTGGACAGTGCGTGCGCAAGTCCATGTAAGGGGGATTACAGAGAGTGTGGGGAAGGTGGGAAAAGGACGGTTGCGGTGACGTACTTGGTCGCTCGGCCTGAGCAGCCATCTCCAGGACGCGCGCTGCGCTGCTCGATGAGCTCGACGAGTTTGCGCGGATGCTGGCGGGTGCGAAGGCGATGCGCTTGCCAGCGAAGGTGGCGCGGGTGGCGATGCGGGAGAACATGTTGGTTGAGGTGTGTTGTTTTGGTGGTGAGGTTTGGGTGGTTTACGTGTGTATTACGGAAATACGAGGGTCGAGACGAAACGTGAAGTTTATGTAGCGACAAGTGGCGATGCGGTTGGACCGGTGAGTGGAATCTCGACACGTATGATGAAACGATTGTTGGTAGTCAACGTAGAGAATCTATTGAATGAAAGTGTTCAGCACGAGGTAGGTATGTGCGTGAGAGAATGCGGGGAAGAAGACAGGACACAGACACGGACGCTGTTTATATAACGAAAGTGGGCCTGCGGAAGAGGTGTTGTTGTGGGTCTCAGCCCTGAGTCGAAGGCGAAAAGGGAAAAAGAAGAAAGGAGGCGTCGCCAGCAGAAATTTCAGGGGCGGTGAGCGATCCGTGCAGGGGTAGGCTTGGTCGAGATAGGCTTGGCGAGGTACATGCCAGTGGGTACCTGTCGGAAATAGCAAAACCTGGAGTCTGGGGTAACGTGTCAATCTCTGCGATCGGCGGTGATGATGGAGAAACCCTTCAGCCGTGCTTTTTGGACATCTTGTCGTAGTCAAAAGGGAGCGAGATCGATTGTACGTGCTATAGATGATGATGACCGGCATTGAGGCTCTCCGAGACCCGTCCGGCTCAATCTCGCTCGTCTCGAGCTACGAAGACCCTGGTTGGGAGATCGACGTATTGCGGCGCGTCCCCGGCCTTCTAGACTAATCTACCGAGAATTATCCTATCCTCGCCACCTCCAGCCTCAACAACATTTCAGCAATAAACCCCACACTCTGCTGCTCAAACATTTTTCCATAGAAAATCCTCCACGTTTTTACCCTCGCATACCTCAGCGATCACTTCTCGCATTATTACTACTGGCGTCAGGCCCAGGATGGCGTCCTTGAACTTTTTGTGGTATTTACCACTGAAATTCTTGTGGCCGCCATACCACATGCCGTCAACAAGCCGCATCGTCATGGTGAGGTAACAGATGGCGTTTTCGACACTTACTTCTTTGATCCCAAATGCCTCGAGTAGTTCCTTGGCCTCTGGTGGCCATGCTGCTGTGCCGAGTGACTTGAAACGAGCTACGATCCCTAGCAGTATATCCTGACAAAGGCGAAGAACGGCAAAACAATTCAGTCGGGCTACGGGGAAAGTGCCATCATACTCGGGTCGAAGAACCTCGCGCGCACGCTGGATGAGCTCCGATGGCGAGTAGCAGTCGAAGAGTTTCGCATGCCTCCGACGTACTTTGGGATCTACGGCAAGCCGATGCATGAACTCGGGACTGAATGCATAGTCCCTAAAAAGACTTTCATATGCTGCCAGAGACATATGTGTTAGTGAAAACTTTGAATAGACCTCTTTCTCGCGACCAGGTTTTCTTCGTCCATCTCGAGCGATTATCCTCATGTCAATCTCTGGGTGTTTGTACGTCTTAGCACCTCCACGAAACAAGCCAAAGGTATTGCCGAAGCCCCTTCGCGGCTCCTGATTGCATGGGAAGACTTTCGATCTGAAAAGAGTCTTGAGATGCTCTAGTATCGGAATTTCCGCACATTCATCCAGGATCTGCTGCAACATGTTGTAGAGATGTATAACGGCCCCGAAGCAGTTCCTTTCGCCAAGTATTTCGAGTCCAACGAAAAGCGAAAGGTCTGATATATTAGACGTCTGGCTTCCTGCAACCCAGGGAGACTGAGAATAGATATCGAAAGTCTTGTTGGAGCGGAATGTGTGTAGCTTGGAGGCAAGCAGCTCCACGAGCCATTCACCTACCGGCAAGAAAGTCCATCCTCGTTCTAGATCAGCGATCGCGTCAGGAACCTCGTTTGCGCGTCTCAGAACGAGAATTCGGCAGTTGAGCGGGGGTTTTCCTATCTTCTCGGATTTGTGGACGAAGCTTCGACCACTCTCAAGAAGCATATGCGCTGCTACAATGGTATCTGAAAATCCTTCCTTTTTCTTGAGCTCACACAGAAGAGGGACAGTCAGGGCATTCTCTATATACTTGGAGTCCCAATCGAACGGCGGACATTGTGGGTTGTATTCTTCGTAGAGCGGATGCTGAGAAGCGCCCTTGACCAAAGATGCAAGCAGAATTCTATCATGGCCGTAACGGTCCTTGCAGATGGTTTCTATCTCTTCTTCGTGATCCCTATCCGGGTACTCAGTCAACCCAGGGATTAGCTCAGATGGAGTACAGGCTACCCAGTGTATAACAGATTGCGCGAAGCTTTCCTTAGTCACTCGCTCTTCGGAAGCGCTGCGGAAGTAAATCTCGAGCCGGCGAGCCTTCTCTTCAGGAAAGTCTGGAAGCTGTTCTGTGTCAGCGAAGGGTTCGAGAAGCGCAAAAGGCCAATGCATGCTGCATCCATGGGTCAATTCGACGACAAATGATGAGTCAATGGCAATCTTGCTAAACTCAGCTGCTCCTAATTCTTCTAAAGTGACTCCGCGTCGTACAGTGCCGTATTTTATATGTCTATGTCCACAGAATAAGGCCTTCGAGAAGTCGACGTTGTTGGGAAATTCCATGTGTCGAACGCATTGCTGTGCCATGTTCGTCAGCCACCCTGCAGCCGATAAGGTCAGGTCTCCGGTTGCAAAAGACGTCCATATAGACTTTATGGTCTCGATGATAGCTTGGGATTCAGCCAGCCACGCTTGTAGCGCCACAAAGTTTCCAATGGAATCTTTGATAGCGGACGTTTTGGCGTTGAGTGTGGTTGCGTCGTCGCACCGCAGCTCGTATGCAGGAACATCGAACTCTTCTTCCACCTCGATGAGCTCAGCAAGAGTACCGAAGCTATTCGTACAGCTCTTGGACGAAAGGTTGGGAGGTTCCTCTGGTAACTTCTTCGAGTTGTTCCTGCTCTGCTTCAGTTTTGGAAAAAGCAACCTGTAAGCCTCAGCTAATGTCTCGTTGAAGACCTTGTGGCCTTCAGTCGAGTCTTGAATGCTTTGAGAAGATAATGATAGTGACTCGTAGTGCCTAGTCAATCTGCTGCGATTCATGATGACCATCTTGAACGCCGGCTCGATGTTCTTCGGTGGTCTAGTTCCCACGCGTGCGGCCTTGCGAGCACGATCCGCGATCTGGCGTACAGTCAACTCTCGCGGTATAGGATTCTGGTCATCCTTGGAGTTGTCAGCCTTTTTATCAAAGGATGTGAGCCAGCCGATCACAGTCGACGTCTCGCGCTTGTACGTTCGGTAGATGCTGGATAAAGACGGAGGGAGCGGTTCCGGGGAGTTTGTGGAGGGAGACGTTGCTTCCGTTAAGCGGCGTCGGAACAGTCTTGAACTGGTGGCAGTGCGACGTTCGGATTTGTTTACTCCCAGGAGTGTGCTGGCTTTGTTAGACCTGATGTTGTGGCGACGTGGGTAGTACAAAGTTCTGAATATAATTTCTTGCGGGATGACAGAGGATACCCTTGTAGGCGATAGCGATCATAGAAGTATTCTTGGGACGGTACGAGCTCTCTGCTACCTGTGGGTCTCACGAAAGCGGCGAATCCTGAAACCATGGTACCACAACATGGCTGCCTGATTCACCATAGACTTCAGCCTGGATAGATGTCGTGCACTGAGGTGTCAGTCGAAGCACGTCCTTCCGTTATTGCATTTCGAACCGCGAGATGGCACATCTGCAGTGGTGGTCACAAAGCGTCCACGACAAGCTACTCCCAATTATCACAAGCATGGAAGTGTCGTCAATGAAGCGGGCGACCAAGCCTGGTAAGGCTTGCGCCAGACGAGTCTCGACTACCCGTCGCAAGAACAAATGGCTATCGAGGGAACGCTAAGCGAGATTCGCGTTACTTTGGGGCGCCGGTGTCCACAATGCTCACCATCCATCCGAGGCACGGCGAAAAGCAATGCTTTGAGGCTGCCGTTCAGGCATCATCGCAAGTGTCGTGAACTATGATAATCAGTGTATCAAGATTACACGTCAATGGGGTCTCTCAGACCAATATTCTCTTCCACATACGACGCACGTCTCTTCAGGAAGGTCTGGAAGGTCTGCGAGCTGTTTTGTTACCTTTAGCGAAATACTGATTACGTAACTATCGCCTCGCGAAAATCATTACCTTTTAACGTACCTAGTCGTTGGTTAGCGTCCAGCCCCGATTTATTATTGAGAGAGGAGGTCCTTTGGTTACTTGTAACAAAAAGGCATTGGCGGTCATCTGACGCACAGCCACTGTGGTGACGCCCGGTACTAGGAAACGCCCGGTACTAGGAAACGCCCGGTACTAAGGAACGCCCGGTACTAAGAAACGCCCGGAACCAAGATACGCCCAAGAGCTTAGAAACGCCCAAGAGCTTAATATCGCTAGGGCGCTACATAATGCCTAAAGAGGAAGTTTGCTGCCATGATACAGATGGAAGGATGCGTTACTGCTTCGGACATGCATGACTTCATCTAAAAAGCGTATGCTATTCTTCGTATTGCTGACTGTGACGCGACCCAGAAGCCTCTAGTTTCAGGCTGTAGGATGTGTTCTTCTTATTGAATCCACTTTGTTTTCTAAAGGGGTAAACGTCAAGTTAGGCACGCCGAGTGGTAATCACGACCTCACACGTATAAAAACCTAAGCGTTCTCCAGGCTGGTTTTTGTATTCATCAATTGTGCCACCTTCATTCTCCTGCTTCAACGCCGAAACAATCGTCACCCACTTTCAAAATGCAATTTCCCATCATCCTTCTTGCCCTGGCAGCAACAAGTTCTGCCATCGACATCCTCGGATTTGGTGGATCCACCTACGTTGCCGAACACTGTAAAAACAGTGACACCATTGTGGTATCATGGAGAGGCGTCCAAGCAGACACGTGCTATAGCTCGAGCACTTCGTTGGCGGCCATGCAATTCGTAGCCATCCCTAAGACGTGGCATATCATCACCAGATCATACAGCGCCCTCAGCTGTCCCAGTAATACAAAGCTCCAAGATTTCCACTCGAATGGCAATGATCAGGTGTGCCATGGCTCAGCCAAGGGAGAAATCAGATATCGAGGCGCAGGCTACAGCTTCGAGCCCACGAAGAGATCCGAGCAGAACGACAGCAACGATCTCGAGAATGCCAATGGAACCAAGAAAAGCTGCGTTGGACCAGATCGTGTACATCTGATTGACGGACAAGAGTATGCTGTTACTGGCATCGACGATGCGATTGTTGCAGAGATGGTGAGTTCACAAGCAGATTGTCTATTCAAAACTAACTCGTTAACAGTAAGATACAACCTCGATGAGATATGCCTCACTAATATTGTAATACATAACTAACTATGCTCGCACTTCTAGCATCGAGTTTGCTTCTAATGGCACCGTTACTGCGGATATGCCTAGCAGGTTTGACCAGTACCTTGCTTCTGCAGAAGAGGCTTAGTGCTATGCCTGCTTCCGCGCAATCATCCTTCATGTCAAGAGGTGTCTGAATTCTACTAGAGGTAGACTAGTCTTGTATCGAGCGCGAACCAGTAGATAGCAGAAGATAGGGGTTGGCAGTAGCATCCGGATCAGAAGGCTACAGGGTAGAATATCATAACATCTAAGGATTATAATCGGCTATTCAACATAGTCTTGCATAAATTCATATTCTTGTAGAAGATAATTTCAATTCTATCTTCTATAGCTAATCTGTATCTGATCTACTCTCTGTGCGTACAAGTTGTATTGCGTATTACCTGCAAGATTTCCACAAGTCTGCGTATACAACTGTCTCTTGTTTTGTTCAAATTCGATCGTCGATGGTACTATAACCTCTGGGCTCTAACAAACTCCTACTCAACTATTCTTTAAACTCTCCTGATAGCAATCATTCTTTTCTGCTACATGCTATCGTACTTCCTTTCCTAAAACTCCTAGACATTGCCTGTATCATTATAATAGGCTCGAGCCTTGTTAGTAGATCCTTAACATTGTATTAGTACAAGACTAAAAGCCGTATTTGATGGCGGAGGATCCGAAGTCGGGTATGTTTGCGTCCTCGTGCCACAGCTCGATTGGGTTGCTAAATTTGTGGGTGGCTTATTCGTACGCGTTGTCGTATCGCAGGACGGCAATAGCATGGTATGGTACGGTCAACGAAGCTCGAGTGAGAAGCAGCGATAGGAAGACTGAAGCCAATAAAGCTGGAATAATCATATGGTGATGGTGTTATGACTGCATGAGGACCCCAGACGATGCGAAGCGATGGAATCTCGGCGGGGCGTTTTGGAATTACCGCAAGAGACCTAGCCTGGCAAGAAACACATCATGACATCGTACGCCTGCCTCGTCTACCCCAGCACTCATCCTTTGCAATTGCTACTCAGTGCTGCTATCCGCACAGAGGCTCCCAGCATAGAATTTGATACTACTTAGTACCAATTAGCTAGAGCGTATCTTAACAGTGTGTGTGGGAGTCTATGTCCCAAGCTAGATACGAGAGTAAAGGCGTGTTGCTCCAAAAATGATGAGCATAAATCATGAACAATGCAATAAATACATTCAGTGCTTTCGGAGCCAATCCAAGACTCTTTCCGCAATGTCCAAACTGTTCTTCTCCATGAAGAACATATGCCCATTACCATGGATCCCTTCTTCGCCCAACTTCAGATGCTCCACCTCTACACCCGCCTGTCTCAAGTAGTCCACAGTACAATGGTCGTACATGGCGTGATAGCTCGCCTCCGAAGTCACAGTCAGCACCGGTATCTGCGCTAGATTCACCAACTGCTTCGCCGGTTCGTCTTGCATGATGCACTCGCTGTGATTGGCATCCTTCGATGGCAGAACTACAGTTTGAATGTACGTCGCATTGGGTCCTGCAGACGGTTCATACGCGACTTCCAGCTCGCTGATACCATACGGCCTAGATGCGGGTGAGCGAAGTCAGTATACTTCACATGCAGTCCACACAGGCACACTCACCGTGCGGGGCCTGAACCGAAAATGCGGCCAATGAAGGGTGGTCCAGCAGGTTCGAGTGCGACGATACTTTTCACGAGCTGCGGTCGCAAATCTCCAACACGCCATCCATAAGCACCAGCCTGGCTGTGCGCAATGACGTGGGCTGGACCAATCTTGTCGAGGAGTGCAGTATACGATTTCGCATTCTCTTCCTCGGAAATGATGTTGTCGGCTTGGTATTGGACCTGACTTGCATAGAAGGCGTCGAAGATAGGATCACCCACCTTCCCCGCCCCTGGCCATTGGGTATGCAACTTTGACTGGGGCCAAAGTTCGTGGGATGAGGGTGAGGTGAAGAGTTGTTCGATCAAGGTTGTGCTGGAGCTTGCCATTGTTCCAGTAGTGGGAAGCCATGGAGAGCGTCCGCGGGATGGCTGATCGCTGAGGTAAATGGTGTACCCGTACGATAGGAAGAAAGAAGCCCAGCCTGTTCGACCGTCTGGTGTATCGAGAAAGTTTGTCGCAGTCTGACCCGTTCCATGCATAAAAACGAGGGGATGTTCCTGGGTTGGCTTTGATGGGATAAGCTTCTCGACGTAGATTTGGTTTACCATGTATTGCGCGGTGGTATTTCCGATCTTGAAACTCAGTAGAGGTCTAGAACAGAACCGTATGACTCACCAAAACGTCCTTATACTCCCCGCCAACGTAAAAGAATTCGCGTTGTGGTGGTAGTGTTGTGTCGCCGGGTAGACCTGCCGAAGTATCTCCGTACAGTAGTCGCGCGAACAATAACGCCACGATATTGAGCGCCAGCATCTTTTACCCTAGGAAGTGTTGTTTTGGATCTGGTGTATGCGATTACGGGACGCCGAACAGTTTGTTGCAGCAGGTGGAGTGACGTGAGGGTTAGAGTGTGGCGGGCTTGGCGGCTTACAGGCGCCTTCCACAACAGACATAGGCGTACCGCTCACTTGGGTTTGCTTCCCAGCAGTCAGTGGTGACAATAGATGCACACACTTCCATCACTATAATTAACCTAGAGACACAATAGTAGTTTGCAGGCATGTCTAGTAACTAGGTGTGCTTTGGCGGTCGATAACGTCATGGCGAGGAGCGATTCTTCTGATTCATTGAGAATGTGCCGCAAGCGTGGTTGTTTCTTGACGTTACACCCTTGCCCGCCTTACTCGCAGAGGTTGTCTTCAGTCTCGAAAAGTTGCTTGGATCGGCGAATGTTATCCTGACAATAGCTGCATTTAGTCGCAAGTGCCCCAGGGTCACTGCAATAACGCTCCGCGCTTGTTCAGCGATTACGTGCTCAACACATTCATCATCTAGAGTTTGTTTCTAAGCTTAGTTTTCCGCCAGAGGGTAAGAGGGTCATGGTAGGCCTGTAGAGAAGCAGTTGACTCGACCGAATTGAATCGTCGTACTGGTACATAGGGCACGCAGAGTAGGGCAATTACCGTTGTGTCAAATCCGCGGTTTGGACTCCCGGATGATGTTGCGAGCCTCAAGTTTATCAAGAACGATTCAGACGGAACACGCTGGCTCAGAACTGATGTTTGGTTGCATACTGTGACCGACTCATTAAGCAATAGTACCCGACGGCTCACTTGCCGTGAAAGTTAGGATCAAAGGGCGTGTCAGTTCTTTGGGATTGCCTACAAGCGGATGAGTAGCGCGGTGAAACCCTCGGGACGATTAGAACGGCACGAGGTAGAGGGCTGTGTTGCTCATTCCCGGTGAAGACCTCCTGGGAGAGATTCGTGTTGATGAGAGTGCTGCGATGGTCGTCAGCTCGTCTCAGAAGATGGACGAGTTGAAAAAGAAGGGATCTTTGGAAAGAGTCGGGATGGGGCTGTGACTTGGCGCGCTAGCACTAGCGCCGGATGTTGCTAGATCCGGTTCCTGTTGCTGACCGAAACCGTCGTGTTCTACACCATCGTGCTCACTTCCCTGGAATCACGTACATGCTCGGAACGAACTCATAATGCTCTGGAAATAGTGTCTGGTCATCCATAGACCAAGTTCTAGACACACAGCGAGATACCCATAAGCTACAACAGCTGGAACTATGCCCGCCTCGCAGGAGCAACTTAGATAGCGTGTAAAGTTCGTTGGATAGAGCTCCTTCTTTTCGGTACCCTGTGCTTCGCGGTCTGCCCTCTACATGCCTTGCTTTTCGAACTGGACTTGGCATCTCGTCACGGCCTTCGCACTTTCCCGCAAACCCCCTCTTCCTTTCCCCGCTCCCACGCAGTGATACATCTTCTATGGCTTTCTCTTTTCCTACCTGTCTATACTATCGACCCTACGACTACCAGTTCTTCTGCCAAGATGCACGTAAGCATCGAACCGTCTGTCCGTCCCATTAGTCCGATACGGACGAAACGGTCTACGTTGATAGCATAGTGCCCCTGACCCACATGCGGTCCGCCCCTACGGAACGCTAAAATATCATTACGGCAAAGAACCCATCTCGTCTCCGTGTTACGCCACTGGGATACCGAATTCAAGGCTTCCGGCGGGAAAGAACCCACTGCGCATCCGCAACACCAAGACCGAGACATTCCACGTAAACATGGAAAGAGCTTCCAGCATCGTTTGCGGCACTTCACATCTCGTTCCAAGAACCTTGATCATTTCAAAAACGTGGTTTTGGAAGAAGTTACGCGTTTTGTCTGCGATCGTTCCGCGTCCCGTGAAGTGCGATCAACACAGCCCAGCGCCGAGCAACCTTCAGATGTGCAGGGATCGAACGTATCCACCATGTTTAGACAAAATCCGACTACCGAGCTCTAAAGCTCGGAGGTCGGATCAGTCTCCACCGGCACTTTCACGGTCTACCATCGGACAACTTGACTTTAAGGTTTCGTACAAGACGTCATTCATGTGTATATAGTATGCCGCAAACGCTGCATCGAAGCCGAAAGACACATCTACAAATCTCATCTTTACAAAACACTCCAATCCAATGTCTAACAAACCTTTTAAAGTCATCGTGGTTGGTGGCGGACCTGCTGGATTGACCGCTGCTCACGCACTGCATCTGGCTAACATCGACTTTGTTGTCCTGGAACGTAACGACGATGTTGCCGTCGATGTCGGTGCTAGCCTTGTACTCGGTCCTCAGAGCATGCGCTTCATGCAACAACTAGGGCTGCTCGACAAATTGCTTTCGATTGGGCAGAAGTTGTTGAACAACAAGTCATTCACTAGAGAAGGCACGAAATTCAATGATAGTACTTCCATCCAGCTGATGCGAGAAAAGCAAGTCAACCTTCTCTACAGCCTGGTGAACTAGCACAACGAAGATCGAACCCCTAGCTGACTTGCCCTTTAGCTTTGGCATAGAATTGATAGCATTTCATCGAGCCGAACTTGTACGAGCTCTACTAGAAGGCCTGCCAGCAAGCGCTCGAGAGAAATACCGCCTCAGTCAGAAGGTCATCGAAATCACAACCAGAGAGACTGGCGTGACTGTCACTTGTGCGAACGGAAAGACGTACTCCGGTTCCATGGTAATTGGAGCCGATGGCGTGCACAGTCGAACACGCAAGATTATGCACAGCCTCTCAGCTGATAGCAAGTATGCAGCTAGCAGGAATCCTGAACCGCCATTCTCAGCCAATTATAAATGCTTGTGGTCAAATTTCCCGCGACCATGCGTAGCTGGCCAGGCATCCGACACGCAGAGCAAAGACAGGTCTGTCATGTGGCTGACTGGCCGTGAGCGTGGTTGGATCTTCTTGTACGAAAAGCTTCCAGAACCAACGAAAGAGTCGCCACGGTACACAAAAGCGGACATGGACGAATTTGCAGCTAGCTTCGCAGATTGGCCTGTCAACGAGGACTTCACCATCAAGGACGTCTACAACAGCTCGACAGCAGGCATGTCGGTCTTGGAAGAGGGCATACTTGAGCACTGGAGCCTAGGGCGGATCGTGCTTGCCGGCGATGCATGCCACAAGTTCACGCCCAACGCCGGTCTCGGCTTCACAAACGGCATCCAAGACATTGCATTGCTCTGCAACTTGCTGCACGATGCAGTGAATATGAGCAAGGACACCGATCTTAGCGAAGACTCTCTCCAACGAATCTTTCTAGGCTACCAGACTGCACGAAAGGAGGAGCTCGCATTCGAGTGGGGAGTATCTTCGGCAACGACTCGTGGCCAAGCTTGGGCAAACCCGATTTACTGGTTCTTGTCCAGGTTCCTCTTACCGCTATATGCAATCCAATGGCTCATGCAAACATACCTTGCCGGTCCGAAGATGGCGCAAAGTAGGGTTCTTAATTACGTCTTTGGCGAAGACCGCATCAAAGGTCGCATCCCATGGGCGCATCCAATACATACCAAAGGAAAGGAACTTTAGGAGTATTGGCAGTCTTTTTGTATTCATAGAAGGTCATTCTGATCAGTTTTACCCCAATCACTCATGTTATCCACATCCTTGGCTATAATTTTTGCAGCATGGTACAATCGTGGCTTGGAATGTCGATGTACGAAGTCAGTGTTTGCCGCAAATGCGGTTCGTACATTCGACCAAATAAAATTCTAGGTATCTTTGAATAATGCACCTAACTGTCGTCGCTAACCCTGAGCTCGAACGCGCGGTGGATCGCCACGTCGGCATCGCGCTTCTCGACGTCCGAATCCCCGAAGATGTTGTTGGCGGAGCAGTCGCGGTCCCCACGCCAAACGGCTGCATCTACTAGGAGTGGATCCACAATGATTGCGAAACCATTTGAGAATTGCCACAACGATACGCAATCATCTCCTCGGCAACATAGTGTCGCGCGGGCGGTGCCATAAAGGTGCCGGGATTCGAAGCTTCGAATACTCTAGCGGAGTCCATGTTTCAATGCACCCAAACATCGCGGATAGGGTATTGTCCGTACATATACTGAACCAACTATTCCAGCTTTAGCATCGGCATGGCCGCACGTCGCCAAATTTCTGTCGTTCTCAATAGCGTTGTCAACCTTTTCTCCAACGCAGCTCATTACACTTTTAGTTTTGTCTTTGGTGTTCGGTCGCCTTTACCAATGCATTACCTCTTTTGTAGGTTGTTTAACGCATCTATATGAATTGCTCTTGCAAAACTCCTAGTAAAACTTGTAATAGAGACTTTGTTTATCTGCTCACACGCTAGGGTTTTGAATGGATCATGGTACATACGCTGCCCACGATTGACGCAATACATAGACGACCTAAACAGGTACTAGGCTTACCATGGTTCGTTTACTGCTGAAGTTTGCAGACCCACGTTAAATATAAACACTCTTGTACATACAAAACCTTTCCATCCACCGCAAATATTCTAACGATGAGTCTTCAAATAAGCATCTCCGTCAACGACTCGCTAGTCATATGTTGCAAACGTACGAAACGAAGCGAGTCAGACAAGCACCCGCAGGGGTTCTCCGACACCCAGCATTTCAACACAGTTTCATAAACTTTACGATCTTTGGAGTCACTAAGCGTCGCTTTAAGACTCACCAGATTCAAGAGCCACAGTCATCCCAGCGTCACGAACACATCGAATGTAGCCGGTGTTCGTCCCAGTCAACAACCAATGACTTACATTAAGTGCAATTTGCACGACCATGGAATTGTACAATGGCTCCTATTTTGCATCTTTTATTCCGCACCTGTTCCATCAAGGTGAGTCCTTGAATCTGTGGTACTCTCAAACTACCGCTCCTAATTCTGTTTCATACGTAACTATGGCCAGCAACATTGAGTAGATTGTGAATATCTCTAGAGCAGTACAAAAGGTCTCGAAGCTGCCCTACCTGGCTCCCACACAACCATTCATGCAATTACGACTACTACAACAGAAGCTACTATCGAGACTGCAACGAAAAACCCAGCCGAATACCATAGATTTCGAGCTTAACATTCGCTACTAGCGATACATAGGTATTCTTCTTCACAATCTACCAGATCCGGACTACATAGCTTCCGCAGCACATTTCCCAAACGAACAGTCCTACGCCTCCTCTACAGCTCCTCGATCGTCTATCTGAACGCATCGACATGTGTGACTACGAGAGGGTATTATATCTGGGATGTAGTCACACTAAGAACGAATTTCTTCGGAGTTGTCGAGCTAGCAAGAGCGGCTTCCAATGCTCAGACGCCAGAGTAGTGAGCAGGAAAAGTACTACGGCGAGGTGTGGATTGTGCTAGGTTGCTATGATCTCTTGGAGGGACATCAGGGGTATGATAAAAAGGAAGTGAGAAGTGTCTGGGATGCGAGACGCATGCGTTGGGGGGTGAATAGGAAGATGTACAGGACGAGATGTAGCAGGTGATTAGTAAACAATCGATCGAAAAGAGTGATCTTGAAGTACATCAAGTTATCTTGGACACGCAGAAGTCGTCTTTAGGCCAGTCTAGTACTTTTGAACCTACTCAGAGTACGTGTTGTTGATGAATCGTTCAGTGACGTGGCGCCCACTGGACGAATACCATCTATAGTTGTTCACGTTCCAACTGCGCCTGCCACTTCGTATCACCTTTCCCTTCTAGTCTTTCTAACTTGCTCTTGGTTTCCAAGTTCAAATCCCAATCATAACATTGTGTGCTCATCGTTGTGCCGCGGATTTTGCATCGAAATGTATAATAACCTAGTGCTCTGAACGTGGTGCTAACAACTGGACTGGGAGAAATTGTTCATTCTTGTCCCAGTGTGACGCGAAGAACAGGTAGGTAAATTAGATCATGACGGCGGAAACACAAAAAATGCCACAGGATTGCTAGGTAGAGATCTTGTATTCCTTCAAGACATCAGAGTAACCCACGAATGTAATTGAAGGCAACATCGTCGCGCAAATCACCCGGAGGCTTTGCTTGAAGTCCTTTTAGTTGCATGAATCGAAAGAGAAGAGAATCGAGATGTGCGCGGCTCAAGAAGATAATTCAGATATTACATGGTATAATTAACTATCTCGCTTATGATCATTCTTTCCTCTCAGTTTGGTTTGAGAGAAAAACATACTTGTGACGTCTTGTTCTTTCCCCACTTGTACTTGGTCTCCACTCTTCTACTTCCTTTTGCTCTTCACTTCCTGACATACTTGTAGTCATAGTGATGAGAATCAGTAAATGGTCCACCGTGCATATCACAGTTCTGCGGCAGCTAAAATATGCAAACATCAGTGTCAGATTGCGTCTCACAAACTTCCTTGAGCAGGAGTTCATACCAGCTGAGGATCTCTATGCTTGATCATGGAAGAGCCGGCGCAATGGAGCTGGCACGTATAGTTGAAGTGGATGTCTGTGCAGCCGCATGCAAACTCTACTGTGTAGGTTTCGCACATTGTGGAGTAGCGATGAAGTACGGTTCTTAATATGACCGAAGTGTTGGGTTGGGGTTTGCGAATCTGTGATGAGTAGACTGTTCACGATATTTTTCGTAGTTGGGGTGGTCAGAGTGGTACTGTTGATAGAGAGACAATTGTATATGTTTATATGGTGCGCATACTAGAGAAGATATCTGGGTATCTTTTATACAACTCTGTAGCTGCCAAGGGGAGATGTTTGTCACGATATCGTGCATTTTCTACAGCCGTTTGTCTGTTGTCAATCTATATCATTGACCTAGATACTTTGAACCATCACGGATCGCTGTAAACCTGCTTGTCGAATTCTATCGTTGGACCTGAATGGTAGGAAGACGAACGCAAGTTACGTTGCAGGTCCTTAAACATCCTTCCAAAGACCCAGCGTTTATGTTTTTGGAAGACGAAGCGATCAGTCAGCGCACATTACTTATCTGAGAATCACGAATAAACGGCAACAAGTGTCCATTGTAGCGTGTGCAGCAGCTGCTGCACAAGACATTAGGGCAAATTGAGTATGTTCTGCAGTACGAAACTGCATGTCATTGTAATATGTGAAAGATACCAGAGTCAACTCAACATTTTCCTGTGACAGCAGCAGCATACATAAGGCATCGGAATATCCTTCTTTATGTATATGCAACATATAACCACATCCACCTCTCTCAACATTCCATCCATCACGAAAGAAAATAAACTTCCGATCAGCTACATCGACGAACCATATAAAGCAGTGATGTGTGAGTTATACAAAGTCAAATATGCATGCGGACACGTAGCCGTCCGCCCCTTGCACACATGCAAACCCCGTAAGTCAACTTTCTGTATCGTAAAGATCACTTGTAACAAAGATCTCTGAGTTTGCACGCGGGCATCTAGATTGTGTCCAAATGGTCAACGTACCCGGTCTAACATTGAAGACTGAGAAATGCTGGAGGTGTGATGGGCCATTTGACAACGGAATCTCTCAGGCGTATCGAGGCTCCTAGATAAGAGTGTCTGAAGGGCGAGTAATAGACGAAAGGAGGAACGATGAAGATTTGGAGAGGTAGAATCAATGGAGAGAGTGTGACTAGGCGTCTCTAGAAGCCAGCCTACAAATTATAACACTGCCAAATCACGTTTTGAGACGTTACCCACAAGTTCATATGCCAGTTACATCGACTCTGCTTAACAAACCCTGCAGCTCGTCAAACTATTTTGTGGTTGCAGACGACGTCCAAGAACGATTCTAGTGCTTGAGGAAGCCAGCTTTTGAAGTGAGTTTGGGCGCTCGCTCTCACCTATCGACGCTCGGGCAGCAAACGCTCTCTCGTATCTTCCACCTACCATCTCTGCCATCGACACCCTCCTCTTCCAGCAAAGACACGACACTCACGTAGATGGTGGCACTCATGGCAACAAGCTCGATTCCCTCTGCTCCAGGTACGTGCAGCCAAGATCAACTGCTTCCTTGCACAAACTTACTGACTCTCCTCAGCAGGCAATCCATACTATACCATCCGCGCAATCCCCACCAAAGGTTACGGCTGCTTCGCACTGAGCGACCTCCCCCGCGGCACCCGCATCCTCTCCGACACCCCGCTCCTCGTCGTCCCCGTCGCCGACTACATGCTGTCCGACATTAAGAAAGCGTTTGCAGAGTTGACACCAGACCAGCAGGCGCAATACCACACTCTCCACTCCAGCCATGGCCAAGATCCCAAAGGCTGGCCCAGCCGCATCCACGAATCCGTCCTCCCAAAAGAACGCACGCGAATCGAGCAACAGCACGCCGCGCGGACAGGCAAGGAAGCGAGTTTGATCAGCATCTTCCAGACGAATTGCATGGAGATGAATGCTGGTGCTGCTGTATTCCCGCACGCGAGTCGATTCAATCATTCGTGTAATCCGAATGCATGTTTTTCGTTCAATCCGTCCACTGGTAGAGAGAACATCCATGTCATGAACCCGGTACGCGAACTGCCTATGCTCAGTACAATGGGACACATGTGCTTACTCCGCCCAGATCTCTGCCGGTACCGAAATCACCTTGAGCTACTGCGACATGATGCACGATAAACCACTGCGCGCCTACGAACTAAAGCACTACGGCTTCGTGTGCGACTGTCCTGCTTGTGCCGATGACGAAGATGATGAAGAGAGCTTTGGAGCCAAGAGTGCGGAACGCAGGTTCAGGTTGGCGGAGTTGGAGAGGGAGACGAGGTTCTTCAGGGGCGCGGGATTGAGCCAAGGAATCGAGCAGCAAGACTTTGTGAAGAAATTGTTGGAGTTGGCGGTGTTGCACAAGGCCGAGGGGGACTATAGTGCTAGGTTGGCTGCTGTGTAGGTCCGAGTCATTCCCTCATATACTTATTTGCTAACTTGGACCAGATTCCTCGATATCGCCCTCGTTTGTGAGATCAAGGGCGATATCCACATGGCGGACGTGGCCGCAGCCAAGGCGCTCGAGGTCAAGAGGGATTGTCAGGGGGAAGATTTTCCTAATTATGGCAGGTATGCTGATGTCGTTCATCGTGTCAAGGCAAAGGCCACGCTGCAGCGTTGATCAAGGACGAACATAAACTCAAGGATGAGAATTGCTGTGTGACAGACTCTTTACGTTGGCAAAAGTTGAAGGATGCATTACTCGAGGTACGTCATGGAAGATAGAAAGAATTAAAGCAATAGGTAGAACACGGCCCTCAGTGTGATGATGTTCCATGGCGTCGTCGCCTAGCGTCGCAACCCCTGCGATGCGCCGGCTGAGACACGGCTCGCACCACGTCAACACCACCGATCGCGAGCCCACCGCCCCTTCACTGATCACGCATGCATCCATCCGCGAGGTCTCGCAAGAACAAAGTCACAGTGCTTGACTGGAGTAGCGCAGCCCATGTCGATTGCTTGGCTAACACTACAGCGGGAGCTAACAGGCAGGTTTCATGAGCCGCTGACGTCGACTGCTGTGTGTACCTGCGTCTCAAATGTCGCGTCCGCGTCGCATGTCTGGCCGTGTTTCGGGTCCTTTGTTCAAATAATCTACCCTTCCGTCTGTTGGTTGCTAACCTGATAGATTCCATCTACGATCTATTTACGACCCGTTTTTCGTATTCAACGTTGCTGCGCCTCCCTCCAATTATTGAGCGATCACCATTTCAGCGCACCTGCTAGCTCCGGACCAGCTGGCATCCGTGGAGCTGAGTACCCCCGAGATAGACAGCATACATAGCAACAGGACGCGCCTGGGTCGACGCATCTGCCGTCGCACGCTTCTGGACGACAGAATGGAGACGTCAGACACCCCCAAGCCCACCGCCGCCGCCGCCGCACCAGCACCCATAGCGACTTCGGTGTCGCAGCCGCCAACATCGCAACTTCCCTCACCACCACACTCGCAAACCAGTCACCCCGCCGATGTCAACACCAAGATGTCGCTCGACGCCGCGGATAGTATGACGCCGCCTTTCTCGCCGTCGAGCCAAACACCAGTCCTGCAAAAGGAACAAGAGGAGTTCGAGGGCACTGTCGACGTGAATAACGACATTCCGAGCGAGAAAGACTTGGCCAAGGTAGAAGACCTGTTAGTCCTGGATGCACAAGGGCAGAGCAGGCCATTCAAGGAGCTGTACAAAGCACCCCATGTCGCCTCAAGGCAGCTGATCATCTTCATACGGCATTTCTTCTGCGGTGTAGGTCGTCCAAGCCAGACATGCACCCCTCCACCTCCGCCCGTGGCTGTACTAATATGCTCCCTCCAGAATTGCCAAGAATACCTCCGCACCCTCGCCTCGTCCATCAAGCCCGACGACCTCCTCTCGCTGCCCACACCGACCTTCATCACCGTCATTGGCTGCGGAAGACCCGAACTCATACCCATGTACACAGAAACCACCGGCTGTCCGTTTCCCATATACGCGGATCCCAGTCGCAAACTTTATGACCATCTGGGCATGACGCGCACCTTCAATCTAGGGGCGAAGCCGGAATACATGCAGACCAACGTCCTCATCAACTCGGTTCAATCCATCTTCCAGGGTCTCAGCACCGGCAAAAAGGCGCTCAAAGGCGGAGATTTCAAACAAGTGGGTGGAGAGTTCTTGTTTGAGAATGGCGAGTGTGAGTTATCTCTCTTTTTGCAGTACGAATCTGTAAGACGAATGCTGATAAGAAAATCGGAAAATAGGTACCTGGGCGCACCGCATGAAGACTACGCGAGGCCACGCCGAAGTATCGGATATACGCAAGTTGATTGGATTAGATGGATCGAGGCCCCCGCCAAGGAGAAAATGGAGTCACGACGTCAAGAAAGAAAAAGACAAGGACGGCGAGGGCAGAAAGAGGGCGATGAGTTGGGGGAGGCTGAGGAGTAAGAGCAAGGGTGGTAAGGATATTCCGGGCGGTACGGATCTGTCCAGGGGTTCTAGCAAACGGTCGACTCCGGACAGGATACTAGAAGAAGACCCGAAGAAGATGGAAGCAAGTCTATGACACAGAGGACGATAGGGAAGGGTGTGTGGCGTTTAGGGTGGGATTGGTTGCATAGCTCTACTGGCGTTACTGTTGCGATATCTTTGCTGCGAATGAAAGCACTCACGTTCAGTCATAGGCGTGCGATGCATTGCTGAATGCCGTATATATATACATGACCCTGTCGTATCCATCGTCCCAAACGGGCAAGTAGATCCGCAGCTCAAGTGCCGAGACAATGACGAGACTACCAATTCTCCACATGTAGCTAACAAGCCCGGACCACGCCTCCCAATCTACCAATTGTAATCAAGGGCGCCCAGAAGCCTGGCCAAGGCGACTATTCCGAGCCAGCTCCAAGTTTGAGCCTCAAGTCGCGAGTCTCACGCGTAGCTAAAGCCGAACCGTGCCCGCGAATGAGGGGCAATGGAGGGGCAGCATGACGATAGCGACCCCACAACGCTCGAATAAAAGCTACCGGAGCCGCTCGAGCTATCTGTAATAGCTCGCTTTTCCCCTCACTACTACTATCAGTTAAATACTCGAGGTACCTCTCTACTGAATTGCTCGATACACACTTGTTGATATACACAAACTATCACAATGCCTGCTGATACCGTAGGAAAGGTATGTTTCCCCATAAGCTCTCGTCCCAAAGGGCGAGGGGGTTATGCGACGCGCTGGACTGCGAGCTGACAATCTTCATATAGACTATTACCTGCAAGGTGTGTACAAGTCGCGCTTCTTACCTCTCCGCGAGCAAAAACCATGGCGTTGTTCTTCCAGTTTCCTCCTTCCAGCTCCAGATGCATTACGAGCCTCAGCACGCGGATCCGCATCGCCTCCTCGACGCACGACGTCAGGCGCATGTCACCGGAGAAGGGAACTTCCCCAAACTCAAAGCCCATGAAGCGGGAGTTGTGCTGTAGAAAAGTAAAGCAAGACTGACAAGTGTAACAACAGGCCGCAGTAGCCTGGGAAGCTGGCAAGGACCTCTCCATTGAGGAAATCGAGGTTCTGCCCCCTCGCGCCCACGAAGTCCGTATCCAGATCTACTACACTGGTGTCTGCCATACCGACGCATACACACTCTCTGGCAAGGACCCCGAGGGTGCTTTCCCCATTGTCCTTGGTCATGAGGGTGCCGGTTACGTCGAGTCGGTTGGTGAGGGAGTTACCAACGTGAAGCCTGGTGATCACGTTGTTGCGCTCTAGTAGGTCTTTTCTTAGCTTGTTTGACGCTGGTTACTCCGGGCTTTATCTATCAGACTTTCTCCCTTCCCTTGCGAAGTTTCCACGCGCTCTTGCTAACGCTCCACTAGCACCCCCGAGTGCAAAGAATGCAAGTTTTGCAAATCCGGCAAGACGAACCTCTGCGGAAAGATCCGCGCCACACAAGGAAAGGGCGTCATGCCTGACGGCACATCGCGTTTCCGCTGCAAGGGCAAGGACCTCCTCCACTTCATGGGCACATCCACCTTCTCCCAGTACACAGTTGTAGCCGACATCTCCGTTGTCGCCATCGAGGAAGACGCCCCCATGGACCGCACCTGCCTGCTCGGCTGCGGAATTACCACTGGCTACGGCGCTGCCGTCATCACGGCGGGCAAGAACGGTGTCGAGGAGGGCAGCAACGTCGCCGTCTTTGGCGCTGGCTGCGTCGGTCTGTCCGTTATCCAGGGCGCGGCCAAGAACAAGTCCGGCAAGATCATTGTGGTCGACGTCAACGACGCAAAGGAGGAATGGGCCAAGAAATTCGGCGCCACACACTTTGTCAACCCGACTAAGCTTGGTAACCAGTCTATCCAGGAGAAGCTCATTGAGATGACGGATGGTGGCTGCGACTACACGTTTGATTGCACGGGTAACGTTAATGTTATGCGTGCTGCGCTTGAGGCGTGCCACAAGGGCTGGGGCGAGAGCATCATCATTGGTGTTGCGGCTGCTGGTCAGGAGATTTCTACTCGTCCGTTCCAGCTCGTTACCGGTCGTGTGTGGAAGGGCTGTGCTTTTGGTGGCGTCAAGGGACGTACGCAACTACCCGGACTCGTCTCTGACTACAAGCGTGGCGACCTAAAGGTTGATGAGGTAAGTTTTTCTTTTTTTTTCGATTGCTTTGCATTCGTAAAGCGTCCCCTTTAACATGTTGAGAACCCAAAATACTGACTCGTTTCTTTTTTCTTTCAGTTCATCACCCACCGTCAACCACTCGACAAGATCAACCAGGCTTTCGGCGACATGAAGGCTGGTGACTGTATTCGCTGCGTTGTCAACATGCGCGAATAACTACGCTCGGGCCCCCCTGAAGATCTGAATTACCAAAGACCCAAGTTGTAAGAAAAACACCCAAAAAAGGAGAGAGCCAGGCTGTAAACGAAGACCCCCGATATACCGATTTGAGCGATTTTTTTTTTCCTTTTTGTCTGATAGAGAGAGAGAGAGAGAGAGAGAGTTCTCCCCGTTGGAGATGTGTGTGTGTGTGTGTGCGGATGATGCGCACTGCTGGTGTATAGAGTGGGCGAGCATAAGCTATATGGAGTTGTTGAAAGGTGTTTGACGATGGGAATGGGATGTTATGTTGTAGCATGATGCGGTGGCGTTTGATGAGAACTTTGTGTGTGTATATATATCGGGCGCCTGGTTGGGAGGGAGAGATGGAGAGATACTTTGGCTTTGGGCTTTGGGGCGGGACTTCTTTGTAGGGGACTGGAGAATGATATTAGTAGTTGTCTTATGTGGCTTTTGTTCTTTTCGCCTTTGGAAGAAATGTGAGAGGGAAATGCGTTGTGATTGTCTACGGTCGTAGTTTGTATGTTGGGAAGATTGTATTTGAACGAGCTAGGAATAATTTTAGTAGAGGTGATGAGTGGGTCATGATGGAAGATGGGTAGATTAGCACGATTGGCAGGCTGATGTAACGATTGATTGATTGGGGCGTACGTGCTGTCACGTGACTGTGGCGTGGTTGCTGTGCCGCAATCCTTTGACTGTGCCGCACGACCTTCCAAAGTGATGACACTAACCCCGTTTCTACTTTTCTCATAGAACCATGCTTCGGATAACGGAAACGCTCTTGGATCCTGCTGAGCCCTTCTGAGCCCTTTTTTGCTAGCGCCATGACGTGTTCTTGGTCCTGTTTACCAAATATAATACGACCCTTCTTTGTCGCACCCGGAAACCCAACTTTTATATCCAGAAACTTTTAGTTTGAGAGTAGCCCCTCGCACCCCCCCAACCGAGAACATCACAAGTAGCCATGACAGCGAATACTGTCCGAGACGCGTTCGGCCGACTTCCCGAGGAGCTCAGGATACAAATTATCAAATCCTCGCCTGACCCCTGGTCGCTATGGAGCTTGACTTACGCGTCACCCGTCATGGGCAGAGTGCTCGACCGATATCCGTTGGAGATTCTGGAGGTAGTCCTCGACGCTGCCGTCCCTACAACGACTCGTCGCCTCATGTACGCGCTTCTCAAAGTGCGGTTGCAGCGCTTTCCAGCATCCTTGGCTGAGGCTAAGGAGGTTGCCATCGCGGAGGTGACGGAGGTGACGGATGATATGCGTTCGTTCCCACTGGATCGAGCTGCGGAGGCAGTACGGTACTTGCTTGCTACCGCTGAAAACGTGCATACCTGGTCTCATGCCTGCCTCGAACATTTGATACAAAAGTCGTTGGATATGCGGCCTTCTACCATCATTGAGCAAGGACGTTCGAGTTCACTTTGGGAGATATTCGGAAACGCAGAAAGTCGTAAGGACTTTCTACCACAGTGTACAGGCCCACCTTCGTGGGTGGAAGAGCAGCGGATGATCAAAGCTTTCTGGCAGTTGCAATTCATATTGGAACTTCAGGACGCCGGTAACAAGGGCCGACTGAGTTCCCATTGGTCGGGACAAGAAGTTGATGTGTTGTCAAATATCAACGTGGATTGCTTCTACGTGCATCGCAGTTACATTGGGCCGACCCATTTTGAGGGCCATCAAATCTTGACCGCTAGCGAATTTCTTGGCGCAGTCACCTCTGGCACTATTACCTCGGTAGAGGCTTTTGGCAATGATGCTTATGGCTTACCAACAATACATTGGACTCGAGTGCCCGCGCCAAGGTGTTCCTGTGCCCAGCCGCTTTTCTTCGAGCGTAACAGTAAACAGGACAGATTCCAACAAGGAATAGAACACCTGGAAGGTCCTCCGAGGTCGATCACGATGTGGAACCTTATGTCTTCCGAACCTCTTGACGGGCAACCGTATCTGTGGAATATTCCCTTCGATCCCTTTCGCAAATTTGGGTTCGCCATATGGGACAACCAGCGCATGGTAGACCTAGGCATGCGGAGCGGGAACCCTAGGAGTCTGCTTGGAGCATACCCACGTGACTGTTTCAGATGGTGGAGCATCTTGACCGAGGAGGAAATTGGCTTTTTCAAGGAGCTGCAAAGAATGAGAGAGATTCTCAAATGTGAGATTCCATATGTGTACACACCTGACCCATGGAACCCTGACCCTCTAGCTGATGGGTGATTATTGAATCGTATCACATCTATAGCAATAGCTATATTTGATAATCTTTTCACTTGAATACATACATAGATACATGTAGTAAGGCTGGGTGTCTAGGAATACAATTCTACTGTAATGCAATGTAGTGTAGCTTAGTGGCAATATGATATCGATTCACTCTGCTAGGTACACTGCATTGCACGAGCTTCTTCAGACGCACGTTTTGAAGGTTAAGTCAAGTCTCAGCAATGCTTCCGTGATTGTGGTCACTGTACGAAAGGCTCTCATCATGGGTTACACATGGCGTAGTGAACATGTCATAGTCGTTGCTCGTATTCCTCATGTCGGACTCTAACCTACCCGACACCGGACCCTCAGCCACAATCCAATCAGCTCCAAGGCCGATCCGGCATTTAGACGGGAGCTGATATTCATTAGCAACCATCTCCAGTCAACAAACTTGCAAGGCAACTCACTCTGGTTGTCGTTGTAGCAAGGAGTACGGCCCTGCGCGGTAATAATACCAACGCAAGAGAACTTTCCGCCAGCATTGCACTTGGCGGGAGTGTCTTCGCCACTCTGCAGGAGGCGAGAAGCACCGGAGCAGACGGCAGTGCAGTCAGAGGTGTCACCTGTTTCCGCGTTCTGCATGATGGAAATGTTAGTCTGGATATTGCTTGGAGAGCCTGTTTTGAAGATGTCGGGTGACTCACGTAGCCATAGACACAGCAGTGGGAGCCGTCTTGGAAGAGACACTGGCATTGTCTGGCACCGGAACAATCAGCTGCCTGGCCGATGGCGACGGCGCCAAGGACAGCGAGGAGAGTGGTGATGAGCTTCATGTTGATTGAGGGGTGGGCTGGAGTTCAGTTGGAGTTGGAATGTTGGAGTCTTGTGGATTGATGTTTGTTAACGTGTTCACCACACCTTTTATATAGACATGTAGACCGTCACAGCTAGAAAGGTAGGATTCTCAGAAGGTCGTCTCCACATTGGAATACGAGAGATCATCAATTTGATGGACGTGCCGAGCGTGACAGCATCGTGATAGTATCGTCGTAGTATCGCCGAGCGATCGTAACGGTGTAATGACAGCCGCTCAGAGGATGCGGTGTAGGGAGTGTCGCCACGGACATTGACACCAAATGCACTTCACTTCGCCTTCTTCGGTTATATCTTGGGAACATCAGTGGAATCTCCATCTAGTGCATCATCTACTCGAGTCATTCGGGGCCAGATTCAAGCATTTCGGGGGTTTCGGATGATGTGCGGTGAGAATCAAGGTCTCCCCAAACTATCTTACGTGAGACAACTGGCATCCCTCGACAGATTCACGTGGTGGGCCAGCTGCTCCAAACCAGACTTTGTGTGGTTGACACCGACTGCAGATAACATTGCGAGACGCAGTGCGCGCTCAGTGTGATTCGCGAGTACCCAGATGGATACACACGGCGTTGAGTCCGGTCAAAACTCCAACATTCGCCATAGCATGCCACCTGGAATGGCATAGTCGTACTGCGTGTCACGCATGGAGGTCATTTAGCCGCCAACATGTGGATGAAGCTGAGCACAGCTCACGGAAACCGGCTCTTTCCTCGCGCTCGGGAGATTTAGTCGATCAGGAGACTGGTGACATGGACTTGAGAATCTGATTCGCGACATGAAACGACCATCGCAACCTCAAGTATAAAGTCAGTGTCCCACCAAAAGCTTGGGACAATGAGTATAGTGTCTACAATTGTCGAATTTTGCGCACCTGGCGCAAGCGCGTGGGCTTGCTGTGCTGTGTACGGCAGGTTGCGCTGAGAAAGAATACACCGACGGAGGTCTGACAATGCAAGCTTTGCTAAGCATTGATCATCGCATTCGGCCGGGCTCATAGCCAATGAGATCGGCGAACAGCGAGAACGTGTCTGAGAGCGTAAGCGGCAGGGCCCACAGATTGCACGCATGTTGGGGTAGATGCCTGCTAGTTCCCGTACAGTAAACGGTCCGTCGCATGGCTTTCTCTTCTCGCTCTATAGACACTGACGTCTCGGCGGTTTCTCGTGTTCATACGCAACCAGTGCGCATCGGTCGGACCATGATGTGCCTAACAAGCTCTGGTATAAGCTGCTTATGCGCATCGGTCAAGCTTTCATGATCACGATGTGACGCCGGAAGAATGCTTGCTACGTACGAACGGCGAATACCGCAGGATTCTGCCATGCAGTCAGTGGCTACAAACAAGACGACTCGAAGTACATATATGCGCCGAGGGCAACTATCGCGACAACGCACGCGAAGATCCCGGCGAGCTTGTAAGTCATGGAGCGTGCAGGATCGCGCGCAGACGCAATTTTCAACTATGCTCGGAGACTACAGATGGTATGCGAACTCGAAGAAAACGTTTGTGATAGCGACGCGTGGAAAGCCAAACATTGCGACGAGATGAAGATGGCTGCAGAGAAACTCTTTCCGTGCTTGGATGGGGATTCTAATAGGTAGGCGGTTGGCTCGTACTTCGGAATTTCTCAACAACAAACACATCTAAAGAGGAAGGTGACAAGAAGTTGCGACTCAGCAACAGCGTTGAACGAGGAAGCAAGTGCTTGATTTTAAGGCCTGACTAACCGCGTTAGGTCGGATGTCCAGGACATTCTACCCTCAACGTCTCCAACAAACTTCACACACAAAGTAAATCATCCCGTCCGAGACTCCACATCCGTATCCTCCACGCCCTTCTAGCGACCCTCTCTAGGCCTACAGGTCTCCCACATCGCCACCAGTCACTGTGATCTCCTCCACCAACAATACTCCCTGCACGTCCGCCTGCTACACGTACAGGGATGTGAACGGCTAGTAGAATCGCAATTTGAAACGCGACTGAAACCCTGTACGCCACAGCAATAATACACACAATTAGAAATAATGTCAAACATGTGTCCTCTTCGCGAATCGGGCTAGTGCTGATCGCAAAAAAGCTTAGTTGGACTTCAAGCCTGAAGTTCAAGGCGTCAAAGCCACACACGCCCGAGGAACATCTCCAACGGGGTAAAGTAACCACTAAGCTCAGGCTACCGGCCTACTTTCCATACACACCGTTTTGGAATTCGAAGTACGTACTTCACAAATAGAATACAGAAGAAGAAGAAGAACATTTGAACCAGAACTCTTTTATTCCCTATCATAGTAAATTAAGGAGCGTAATAGACCAGGGTTCCCAAGCCCGAGTAAACTACACAATCAACCGCGTTACTCCTCCTCCATCCGCCACCGATTTTACACATAGAATACCCAGTATTAACAAGCTCTCTTCCTTCCATCTGCGCGTCACAGACGCCGACCAGATAAAGAAAAATGAAAAGCCCCGTAGCTCCACCCTACTCTCCCCAAATCGTCCTTACAATATTACCCTTATCCAAACAGATCAACCGAGGTATATACAACCCATTCATTAAACCACATCCCCGTCCCACCCATCTCCTCCATAGTGTAAATATTCCCATCATTCTCATCACTCTCCCCAGCGCTCATAAGCCAATCGTTCATGATATCGTTGTTCCATCATCGTGAAAGCGCTTAGTTGTCGTCCTCGCCCTCAAGAAGGTCAATCTCCTCCTCCTGGTCGTCGTTGGTGAGGGCAGGCTGGTTGCGGGCGGCCTCACGCTTGCGAGCAGCGGCGCCGTTGATAGCGGTGTTTGAGCCTGTGGTGGCACCGGTTGCGCCAGTTGCGCCAGTGGCGCCAGTGGCACCAGTGGCACCGGATTGAACGCCAGCTCCGGTCTGTTGAATAGCACCAGTTTGCTGAGTAGCACCGCCAGCGTTGGCAACTGGGGCAGCGCCGTTTGCGACCTGGCCGGTGGTAGAGCCTGTGGTAGCACCAGTGGCGCCAGTGGCACCGGTAGTAGCACCAGTAGCACCAGTAGCACCGTTAGCAGCGGGAACAGCACCGTTAGCGGCCGGGGCAGCTGCGGCGGGAGCAGCAGCACCAGCAGCACCGGCGGCGGGAGCAGCAGCAGTTCCAGAGGTAGCGGGAGCGGCGGCACCAGCAGCGGGCGCGGTACCAGCAGCGGGCGCGGTACCAGCAGCAGGAGCAGCCGCAGCGGCACCAGCCATCTGAACAGGAACACAGCCACCGAAAGGACCAGCACGAGCGGGGTTCTGGCAACGGACCATGCAGACGTTGCTCTGGCCAGCGACAGTACCCGTGCAAGTCATGCCAGCGGGCATGGAGACAGTGAGGGGAAGATCCTGCATCTGAGTGTCGCGGTTACGGCCACGGTCGTTACCGGGAAGGTTGGTGGTGACGGTAGCGGCTTGCCAGTTGGTACCGGTGCCAGTTGCGTCAACCATGCAGGTGTAAGGACCGGCGCCGTCAGAGTTGACTTGGTGGACTGTCATCATAACTTGGCCGCCAGCAGAGACCTGAGGAAGAGTGGCGCCGCTGAGGGCCATGACTTTAGCGGTACCGGCCTGGATGTCGTTGTCACCTCCGCCGAGTGTCTCACCGCAGGTGTCTGCGGCATCGCCACGGAAACGGGTGGCGTCCTGTTGGAAGGGGTTTCGGTTGGTACCGTCACGAGGAGTGTTGGGGTCAACACCGATGGCAGTACCGTTACCGCCTGCATCACCGGTAGCGCCGATGATAGCAGCGTGGCCAGCCACGAGGGAAGAGGAAGCCAAAAGGCTGAAGGAAACAATGGTGGTCTTGGAGAAGTACATGTTGATTTTTGTGTTGATTATTGTCTGAACCGGTCAGAGAAAAGATTAGGTAGTAGAGTGAAGAGGTATTAAGTAGAAGAGAAGAGAAGTAGTGATTACTGTAGTTGCTGGGTTGGGAACCTGTGATGCTGGATGCTCTTCTTCGGTTGCGAAGACGGTCGTCTTTATACAGCAGACTGATACCGAGAGAGGATATTCGGCATCGTGACTCGCATCGACTTTGGTTAGGTCCAAGGTGGTGAGGCGTTCCGGTTTGGCCAAGCTGTGAGAGCCTGGCAGTGTAAGGTTTCAAACTTGTCGTGGTCTTGCAGAAACGTTGCATGAGTTGGTGGAGCCACTAGATGAAAACGTACGAAACGTGGTTGCGGCAACATCGACCCCAGAAACATGTATGGAAGTTCACGGCTCCGGATGACGGCGTGTAGATGATTACTTTGAGCCAAGCTGGGACTGATCCGGTAGGTGTAACGGGTTCTTCTGCCGTAGACTGTGACAAAGCTTGCAAAAACTCCGACACGAGTAAACCGGTGAAGATGTTGCGTGGTGGATAGTTCCGGTTCCCAAGCTGTAGACATCGCAGGTAGCTCTCGCGCAATACCGCATGAATCGTCCATAGTTTACCGGTGGATAAACGGACATGTGGCTAGGGCTAAGCATTCAGAAGTCTGAGGTTTCAAAGCTTGGCAGTGAACACAAATGTACCCTGGGATCCCTTGAAACGGAGAGTGGCTGAGGCCGTCAATGTTCATGCATGACGTTCTGGGGAAGTTGGAAATACACCAGGCGGGGCCTTCCCTCAGGCGCATCTCAAGCCAACGCGCTGATGGCGTACTTGAGTTCACTATGCGATGCGATTTGGCTGTAGGCAATGTTGAGATGCATGGCGCAATCGCGCAGCGCCAGCCACAGCTTAGATGTGCGCCATGGCATCAAGCGAGCGCACATCAATTCTGCAGTGGCGATCAGGGTGATCAGGGTCTCGAGCAGACCAGATCAAGCCCGTGTTTCCATATCATGAAGCATGGGAGCGGTCAATTGAAAGTTTCGGTGTTCCGTTTTGGGATCAAAGTTTTCTAGTGGCGCATGGTCGGTTTCATGAGTAATGGTACAGCATCTGGGGAAGTTTCTGCCTCCGGCACGACCATGATCCGGCCTGAGTGTACCGTTTGTGGCTGTTGGTGCGGAGCCGGGGTGGAAGTTTGCTTGCGATGAGGGGTGGAAGTGTGCTTGCGATGAGGCACTTAGGAGGCGCGGAGGGGTGAAGTGTGGTTCTGAGGCACAGGGCGGACGGCTAGGCCCGGGCGTTAGTCATGGTCTTGGCAGATGTCGTCTGCAAGTAGCCGGCGAGGTTCGCGTCGCAACATGGCCATCCAATACCTCAATCTATGGCAATGCGCTTTCACGTGCGGCTAACGCTGGCAGCTACAAGTTTCACTTTGTACACAATCCTAACTCACTGCTTCAGATAGTGCCGCTGCCGTCGTGGCAGGCTGTAGGTGCGCAGCCCGATATACTCTGCTGGCAGCGATCAAGGCTAACAGCTGTGGCATTCTGACAGTCTGAGACGCCGTAGTACGACACCGCATACGCCTTGCACTTCTCCCCGAACGTGAACAAGTTCCTCGCGATCCGTCCACCGTCGATAGGGAAAAGGGCGACAGACGAAGCAACACATGAGGGTGGATTGAGGAGTGGGGATACCGCACGACTGTGCTTCATGCGTGCATGCTGAAGTGGGATTCGATAGTTGTTCATGACACGAACCCTGATTCAGCGGGCACCCAAGGCCGTGTCGATGTGTCCTAAAGACATGATTGCGGCCTGTTGCAGCCCCTCCGCGACATGCGATCCTTCTATTCTGAATATCCACTGTTCGAGATGGTCTAGATGGTTTTCGCGCCTTTGCACGTACCGTGACGACGATAACAAAAACAACATCCCCTTCAAATTTACAATGAGCCAAGTACTCCCCATGAATCTCTTGAACACACCACGTCTGCAACCAGCTTGACTAAAGAGGCAGGTAGAAGTTGTCTTGGCAAACTACGTCACTCCGATGCTCGGTACTTGGACAAGGCTGCCCGCGATAAGATCGGGATAGGAATCTGAGCATTATCAAGCATCGTGACTACTCCCGGAGACGTGGGTTTCTTGGTTCAACCACCATGCAGATAACTACCCGTTGTGATGTATGACAAGCCCGTATCCCGAGTAATGTATATATGACGGTTCCGACACACTGGTAAATGTCCGCAACCCAAACTTGCGGTATACGGACTGAGCATCAGCTAATCAGAATGGTTCAGTTCACACGCCTAGCGCTTGTTTCGCTCTGCAGCCACGCTGTGGTTGGGCAAAACATGCCCTTCGATGCTCGGGAAGCCACCATCGACTCAGTCCACCATGCGCTCTACTCCGGACTTTCAACATGTCGCGAAGTGGTATCGTCGTTCCTCGCCAACATTGACGCCAACAACAACCGAACGAACGCCATCATCACCTTGAACCCCAATGCCCTGGCCATCGCTGACGACATGGATGAGCAGCTCTCGGCCGGTAATGCCACTGGACCGCTCTTTTGCGTCCCGATACTGCTCAAAGACAACTACGACACAGCAGACATGCCAACCACCGGTGGGAACCTCGCCCTAGCGCATTCCCAACCTTTGGAAGATGCCCCAAGTGTGACAGCGTTCAAAAACGCGGGTGCCATCATCCTCGGCAAGGCGAACTTGCACGAGCTCGCTTTGGAGGGAATCAGCGTGTCCTCGCTAGGTGGGCAGACGATCAATCCCTACGACTCCACCCGCACACCAGGCGGTAGTTCGGGGGGCACAGGTGCAGCAGTCGCGTCCTCATTCTGTGTCTTCGGCACCGGGACGGATACCGTGAACTCGCTGCGCAGTCCAGCCTCGGCCAACTCGCTATGTAGTATCCGACCTACGCGTGGGCTGATCACCCGGACGGGAATCATCCCCATATCGACTACCCACGATGTCATTGGGCCTATCGCCCGCACAATCAGAGACGTGGCAACAGCGCTGACGGTCATGGCTACAACGGGTTACGATGCAGCAGACAACGACACCGCATTAGTCCCTGGCCCCATCCGCAACACTGACTACACCTCCTCGTTACATAGTACCGAGCTCAAAGGTCTGCGCATCGGTGTACTAGACGGTTTTTTCAACCGCACAGACTCGCCAGAAGTCACGCCCGTTAACAATGCCATGGACGCCGTTATGTCGCGTCTAGAAGCTGCGGGCGTAACACTAGTCCCCATTACCGAATCCATCTACAACGCTACTGCCATTCAATCCGCCTACGACGTCCAGCGCTTCGAGTACCGCGAGCTCATGGACGCCTATCTCGCGCGTCCGTCCCTCGGCGGCCAACACCCCGCCACCCTAGCCGATTTGTACTCGCGCCGCATGGCCAACGGCACTCAGGGAGAGTTCCTGGTGCTTCCAAGTCAGTACGAGTATGTCAATACGGCTCTTGTGTCTTCTACGGGTAATGCTACGTATAACGATCGGCAAGCTGGTATTCGTAACCTTACGCTCGCTCTGCTCAACACTTTTACGTCGAATGGCCTCGACGCTATCATCTACCCTGAGCAAAAGAATCTGGTTGTTAAGATTGGCTCGCCCTCGCAGTCGGGCAGAAATGGTATCCTGGCTGCTTTGACGGGAACGCCGGTTGTCACTGTGCCGGCGGGCTTCTCGGATCCGAGTGACGAGGCGCCCGTTGGTGTGCCGATTGGAATGGAGATTCTGGGGCGCCCGTGGGACGAGGCCAAGTTGTTGGGCATTGGGTATCAGGTGGAGCAGCTGTTGAAGGCGAGAAAGAGTCCGGTTTGGGCGAGAGAGATGGTGGAGGGGAAGAGGTATGAGGAGGTACCGGTTATTGAGCCAGATACTGCGAACGTTCCTAGTGTGTATCCGTTGGGGACGCTCTAGATAAGTCTCGTTGTAGAAACGAACTTTGTTTTTTTTTTCCTTTAAACAAGTAGCAAGAAATACAGCACTTTTCTAGTCATGAGCGTGGGCGTGCTGCATTTTCAACACATGGACACCTTGTCTTTTTATCTCGGGTGCGCAGCAGAAACTTCAAAATTGAACACCGTTTTGCATACTTTGCTTCACGAGAATGACGTGGTATGGAGGAACAGTAGTGACTTCAAAGGCCTGGTACGTGCATATCCTAGCTCCGACAGTCGTCTCTCGTATGACGTCACATGGAAACCCCCCACCACAATGGAATTTAATTCTAATAAGGCACCTGAAGAGACTAAAGATAGATTCTTAGTCGCTTTGCGAAGTCTTAGGTGAGTTAAGCATAGTGGTGGGTTGTGACAATTTTTTAAATGAGTTGTTGTTCGGTGATAAATACCAAATTTGTGAATGACCCGTGGCACATCAAGATCTGACAAGTTTCTCTACACATTGCGTCTTATGCTCATTTTCCCCCTCTCGTTCTTCGAGAACGCATAAACAAACTTTCTGAGGAGTTGTAATAGTTCTTGCTTCCTCGCATGGTAGGGTGATGAATTCTGGATATCGAAAAACCTGAAGCCCTAGAGATGCGGGACAGGCAGCTCGCGATATACTTATATCGCGTACTCGCTGATATTTAGAAGAAGCAGAAAGCGAACGTACCAACATCTTGATGTAATCTCGACAATATTAGAGAAAACAAAGAAGTTTCGGTTACTTGCGAGGGTTTGGGTCGATAAGGAAAATGAAATCGTATTCATATTTTTTCAAGGACATTAGAACGAGGGGGTCTCTTGCTGGACACGCGACATAGAATCGATGCATTCAGGTTCAATGTGACAAAGAAGAACGCTGCTCAAATGCCGACGTTGAGGAAATTCGAGCATATATAGCTTTTGCCTTTGTTTGCTGGTCGTCATGTATAGATATCGTAGACAACTCCACTAGCCACATTGATCTTGTAGTGTGCACGCCGAAGATTTGAAGGACCAGATCATAGTGGGGTTTCTTGATTGCGATGATGAATAGCACCTGGGTAGTGTGGTCCGTGAAAAGTAGTATGATGTTCGAGAGAAGCTTTCGCGATGTACAAGGACAAAGTCCTCAGATAATCTTGTTCATGCGACCCGAACAGAGTGCGAACGCATTACACAGTATAATTGAATTTTTGAATAGTATATGACGGACATTGCAATGTACATGCTAGCAAGAAGAATAGGCAGCGAAGGCTTTTGTCACTAGAGATGTCGACGATCAAGTCAATCAAGCTGAGCTAGCCTTATATAGTAAGCTCCTAGCCTATCCAAAGTAGACTCCTACCAAATATGGCTAGCTCAGCTTGATTAGCTTGATTGTTGACATCTCCGTTTGTCACAGAAGCGAAGGCCGACATGTCGCATACGTCTTCAGTTTTTAGAGTTCAGTCTCGTACACATGTACGAGGTATGCAAGACTTTTGACATCTCGTGGCACGTATTTTGTGGTAAAGAACATTGGCGCCTTTCATGAGTGAACATCACGAGAAGTTGGTTATCTTAGGAGCTTTCTTCCCCAGGTCTTTGTTATAAGCAGTACCGATGAGAGCGAGATGGCGGAACGGGAGGAAAGTGCTGTAATAGGTTCGTATAACAATCGGCACTGGAGACTAGACGCAGATGTCAGCGAGGTGTCTGATCAGCGAACCTGCCAAAGAGTCATCACGACATGGCGACATCGCATGTGCGTATTCAAACATTAGTGCTCACGCATTAGCAACACATGTTGTTGGGGTATTAACGAGGAAAACGTATTTGTCGTCTAGCTGTCAGTGCATCCCTCCTCTTCCTAACCTAATCCAATCCTCTCGCGACCATGGTATTCGTCAACGCTCCTCGTATACCAAGACTCCTCCTCTACTCAGCCCAATGCAGCTACGCAGTTGAAAATTTTCATAGTCCTGGAGCAATTCGGTATTGGTAGCGTATTACGCGTTCGCGTTCGTGTTGCGGACTTTTATGATGACACCGCGGCTTTTCGGTGTTCGCATTGTCCGGAAGGTATCCACACCCCGAAAAGTGGCATCACCCTCAAAAAGGGAAGTGCGGAAAGATGACCAGTTCGAACGCAATGGACATGCATGTCACTCAACGCAATGACGTTGGAAGTGTGGCGCAGTCGGAATTCATTCACGATGGTCGGCCGAAGGGCTTCCGCGGGCGGTTCTTGGAGCCGGATCCTGTAGCTGCAGTTCATGAAGGGCGCAGCGGTCTTGCTGATTGAATCGTCGCGAGCTCCTCCGATATGCGCATGCTAGGAGGATACAATATACGGAAGTCGTCGTATTCGTTGTGGTGTTAATCGTTCGCGACGATAGCTCTCAAGGCGTGTTTTGCTGCCCGGACCGCAGTATCTTTCCTAACATCCAATGCGCAAACTGCAAGGCCGGCATGATCATTGCTGCAACGAGCCGTGAGACGCCATCATGAAGCTTCCATAGCACCGTCTCTTGCCATGCGTCCACATCAATGTTCCTAGCTTGATCCATCTGATCTTGCATCTGCCTTCGTAGTCTTACAGCCTTAGTAGGTAGCTCGAGACCCAAACCAAGGTAAAGCCCGACGATAACCCATTCCATAATGACTTGCCTATGCAATCATTAGCAGATGCCGCGTTGAGCAAGATTCAACATGAGAGCCAAAGTGATGGGTGATACGTACATGCACAGTTGAAGCGTCACGTCACCACTGATGACGTTGAAACGCATAGTCTGCCAACCGTCGAGGCCGGAATTGGGCTTCCATTTCTCAAAAGCGAAGCACATCATGTAGACAACATCGACGACGAAGAACGGCAGACTCAAAACGACAGTCGTAAGAATTCGGACCTCATCTCTATCGGCAAGGTAGAGACGCGCTGAGATGACTGTAGTGGACCAGATCAAGACGAGGAAACACGCCAAGTAAAGCGAAACCCCGGCCTTGGTGGCTTCCGTAGCTGCAAAAGTGGGTCCATCTCGAGAATCCGGATCGATGCCGCCAGCAACGATAAGAATGAAGGAAATAATGAGCGGGATGTGAACCATGAGCAAGATCCATTGCATGCGTCGACCTTTGGGGCGCGTCGTCGCGTTGAGCAGGCTGCTGGTAGCCATGAACAATGGCGTCAGGCCCATGGTAGTCAGGATCGCAACACCACTTTCAAGACTCGTGTTTGACGCGGTGAGCTTTGGAAACATGGTTGTGGCCGCCAAATCGAGTGACACCTGGGTAAGCCGACATATGGATAACAAGGTGAGCCATATCCACGGGGAGCTGCGACCCAGGCCCTGGCGGAAGATGAGCCAGATGGAAATGACGAGATAGAGGAAGAAGACGACAAGTGTCGCTATGTTGACGGTGGCCGGGTAGGTGATGAGACCCACATCGTTTGACGAGGAAACCATCGATGTCGAGACATTGGGGTTCTGGATGATGAGGGTTGGATGCGAATGGAAGGAGACGGGAGAGGTTGGCACGAAGAGGTTCATCGCTAATTCCGCTGTCCGAGCGCTCCGCCTCAACGCCAAGCGCGCTATCACGTGGCGGCGTGCGTCCAGACCTCGAGCCTGTTCTGACGTTTGTGACGCCCATGGTCGCACACTGATCCTTTGCGACAGCTAATTTTGATATTCCAACTTTGAACCGCAATTCTCATCGTTCGTCACCTTCTGACGCACAACATCTACACAACATCGACGTCCGATCGAGACAGAGGCATCGGCATCGCGCGGAGATACACTCGGTGATCACGCTGCAGTTTGCCACTTAGCGGGCAGTGCCACCCGAAAATCGTCATCGCACTAAAGAACGGACCAGCGCGCTTTGCCCGTTCGACGTCACTAATCTCGCGTCACGATCATCACGTTTAACACAACGCATGGTGTTGTAATGATCAGGACATGCAGAATCGGCGTGTGCAAGATGGAAATGATGCATAGCGCTGGATTCCTAGTCCACAAACACGACTCGCGTCATTTACGCATTCTCATATCTTCGCAATCCATCCCTCGTCATACAAAAGTCAAGTAAGCCGAGAAACTGTAAGGAAACTGTATTCGCAGCGTTGGAACTTGTTACAAGCAGCGCTGCAAGCCTATGCAGTTCTGCCTCACCTCCGCTTTTCTCATCTTGTCTCTAATTACCTCTGATAGTTAAAGTTTGACCCAAGCGCTGGGCGTTTACGACCGCCCAGACTGGGTCGCTCTTTCAGTAGGCGTTAGACGCGTCGTTTGAGCTGAACGACGCGTAAAAGACCCTGCTGCTGATCGCAGGGCGGGCCTGAACCTTGCAGCCCCTCGGATGTCTGCACATACGGCCGCAAAGGTCCTACTTCTTGCTGTGGTCTGGAAGCCAACGCCGGATCCACGGCGGACGACGACGAACTCATGGGATCAATGGCGAGCAACCTCGGATCGATGGTGGAGAACAGCGGGCCCACGGCGGGTATGTGTGCGCCCTGGTCGTTTTGGTCGCCTATCGCGTCGCGTTGCGCGAGAGTGGTTCTCCAACGAGGGGTTCATAGCCGAGGACGATGAACTAGCGGCGGACGTGTTTGCGCCCTGGCTCTGAACGCTACCCATCATGGCATGTTGTGGCTGGGCGTTGCCTCCAGGCACCTACGACTGGTTCATGGACTCGTTGCACTCGTTCGTATGCCGTTGTTGCGGGTGGTCAAATCCCGCCATCTGTGGCTGGCCCACTGCCATGTGGGCTCCCTGCGTGTGCGCTTGCCCCCTTCTCAACAACAATCCAACATGGCCTCCATGTCAGTCGCCACTGCCAATCCCGAGTTCGACCTCGTCCCACTGGGAAGTTCGTACGAAAACCACACCACACGCAGAATGATAGTCGATCGTGGAGAAGGCAACCAGGGTGCGGCATTTCGTAGATATGCTGCAAGTGTATCGCATGTAAGACTTTATCTGCTACTATAAACTACTCAAATTCAAAGGTCGATGCCGTTTCCACTGTCCACGTTGCCATTAACAACAGCTACGCGTCTGAAAAGGGCGCCCTCCCTGCCGTAGATCGACGAGCAGTGGAGTTAGCAAGAGCAAGTTGGCCTTGGACAGGTACACAGAAGGAGCCACTGGAAAGATGAAGGAGTTCCAATAGTCGTTTTCGTCGACGGCGTGCTGCATTAACCTGGCGGTGGCTTTGAGGTTGGAGTAGTAGCTGTAATAGACCATGTAAGCGGGCTGCTGCTGCGATGTGAGGTACTCGCGTTGTTGTCGCTGTTCAGCTTGACACCTCCACTTATGGAACAGCGCTTGATGAATGGGTGCCCATGTCCGAGGGGCAAGGTGTCATAGTTTGTATAAAGGATCTGTCTCCAGACGACCAAGCCAAAAATTCCAATGAATCGGGCTGGCTGGCGAGAGATGGACATATTCCATTCGACGGTGGACTTCTTGAGTACAGTTCGCGCAATATACACCTGGCAGACCGATCTATCTCCGCGCGTCTTGCTAGCTTTCGGGAAGCTACCTCTACGACAGTGTTTTTCTTAGAACCACGAGTTGCAAATGGCAGCAAGTTTCAGCATGCAAAGCTTGGCGTTCATGTTATATACTGCAAGCACAGGAAGGTCCACAAAACTCAGCCATGCAAGCACGTGTTCTGCAATAGCACAAGTGGAAAGAGCTGCCCCATGGCTCACCTAATGAGACCTTCTCTATTGCTTGTAGTAAGAATCAAGCGTCTAAAAAATCTGCCTCCATGTGCAACAACGAGCACTGCAAAACCTGCATCTGCAGACCAGCCATGTTGCCTTATACCTCCAAGGTGTTTGCCACGCTTTTCTGTCTTCTGTCTGTGATGTGGCGCCATGATTCGATTCATCCGCTGTTTTGGCCTCCTGAAGTCTTGCTCATCAAACTTCTGCATAGTCAGCCGGCATCCCTTAACCGCTGCCGCTGCCACCGCCTCAAGACTCTTATTCGCCCAACTCGTACCGCGCCAACTCGGGCCGAGAGAACCTGCCCGGTAACTCAGCTATATTGGCGGATGTCTCCATCTCTTGGCGCATAGTTCCCATGCCATCAAGTTCACGTGCGTGTCCCTTCTTCCCGGCCTGCGCCCGTAGGTCTTGGATGCGCATTGCCCGATACGCTCTCTTGGCTGTATTGCGTTTCCAAAGCAGGTATGTGCCTGTGGTAATGAGCAAGATCATGCCACATGGAATGCCCACTGCTAGGCCGATCGTTGCGCACAGCGAGAGTCCTGAAGGGTGTGTCATGGTGCGCGGTGGACTTTGCTCGGTGTTCGTTGCGCTGGTGCTTGGAGAAGCGGGCGCTGTCGGTGTAGTATCGGATGAGTTGGTGAGTTGCGCCGAGGGGTCTGAAGGAGAGTTTGGTGTACTCGGTCGTGCAGAATCGGAGTCTTTGGATGTTGATATCAGGGATGCTGAGGCGGCCGTCGAAGAAGCCACGCTGGGGGCTACTGTCCCAGATGCGATAACCACTGTAGTTATATACTGTGTTACGTGCGTAGTCGATGGTGAACTAGCAGCTGCCGCACTCGACCCAAAGATCGAACTGCTCACATGTATAGTGGCTGCTCGAAATATTAGCTGGAAACATGTTCAGCCCGCTAAGAATCTCATACAATAGCATGTGTCATTGAAGAAATCAAATGCTTGTGAGATGTCTGATTCAGAACATTGGCTCGCAAGGCAAGTTTCGACACTTGGATTATGCGAATTTGCGCAGCTGCAATTAGGGTCTTCTATGCCACAGTCACTGGTCTCTCCCTGAGATTCGATGCATAGTCGCTTACGGAGATTAGCTGCGTCGAATCGAGAATTGGGGCGGTTTAGACTTACGGCGCATTGAGATAGGTCTCTGATCTGTAGCACTCTTGCTCGTGCTTGTGAGACTGCCGCGATAAGGTCTATGATTAGGAAGAAGAACATGGCTGGCCAGTCGCCATCGCATGGGAGGAAGATGTTGAGGGGACGAATATTCTAGCTTGATTCACAGACAAAGCAGCATCCGCAGGCCAGCCGTTTGGGAAGGCTGGGACGTGCAGGGTAATGTGGCGCAGAGACGTCCGCATCCGGCTGGGAAAGACGCCGAGACTTTTGCCTCATCAAGCCGATAAGTGACAAAGACAAAGAGATGATACATTGCAAACTCAACGTCTGACCTTCACAACCCATGCCAGCTTCGCACGCATCACTGATTGACGTCCGTCGAGAGTATAACATTAATGACTTACGCAAGCCTAAACATATCTCCACTCCACCCAAAATTCCTTGACAGTCGTCGTCCATACCGCCTCGCCAACAACATCGGTAATTTGTTGCTCGGGTGTGGTTCATGAAACTGAATACTTCTCTCTACCCCAGCGCCAAGCGTATTCGGGGTGAAGTTCCAAGCAGAACCATGTATCTTCTCAGCTGAAAAACCTATCAACACCATTGCGTGCAAGAAGTCAGACCACAGAACCTCGCCTGGTAGATCGGTGTTGTATGGCGAATGGAAGAGCGATTTGAAGACCTTGTGCGCGCGCTTGTCGACCATGAAGATGGGCTGTGGCTGTATGTCTTGGGTAGCGGTCGCAGGTGCCGTAGGTTCGGCAGATTGGGGCGCATTACCCCGGGTCTTTGGTTTGACAGCGGGTTCGTTGAGAGTGGTGCGATCGAACACACCAGTGATCTGTTTTGTCGCATCATGGTACACGCTTGAGAACGGCTGATACACGTAATTCGACAGGCGCTACGCTCGCGGAATTCGTAGTCTTGTCAGGCTCTTCCCAAGGAGGCGTTCGCTGCACAGCGCTGTCCTTGCTGAGGAGATGCGCAACTTTATCATGTTGAGAGCCACCACTTCTAGATTTGTAGTGCCGGTCCACCGCCTCCCAGAAAGCATCCAAGTTGGCCTCCGCTTTTCGCATGATCTCCACATTCTGCTTGTTACGGCGGCGATGTGCTAGATAGTCAAACTTTCCATCCGTCGGATCAGCGTACTTGTAGACTTGCGAGCCCTCAAAATTGTTGATACCCATGATATTTGCCCAACCCTTGAATGTCTGGTTGTACTGACGTGAGAGCTCATCGTTCTTCAGGTCCATGCCGTCCTCTATCTTTCGCGCTCAGGGTTGGAAAAGATGTAGCTGATGAAGGCATTCAGACACCACTGACAGCGAAGATATACGCTCTGCAATGTATGGTGATATCAATGTAGCAACGGCGGGATTCGTTCGGATAAGGCGTCCAATTTCCTCGGTGATCGTATGAAGTCCGAACAGAAACAGCTGTTCATCGTTGAACAAGATGTTGAAGAGAGGCATGAGTCGGTTCACAGCATGATCGTTGCGTGGTGGCTCAAACGTGGATCGAATTTTGGAAATGTCGGGTTCTTGAGGTTTGCGTACGCAGAATTGGCGGATTGGTGGAGAGGCAAATAGACCGCCTTTGAGATTGAGTACAAGACCTGTCTTTGCCGCGTCCAAAAGGAATCGGAGGTTTTGGAAAGCGTCAAACAAGTCCGTAGGCAGATCCTCTTCTCCATTTAGGTTTTCCTTGCATGCTCCATAAATTGAAGCTACTTTTTCGACCTGCTTTACGACCTAATCGAAGATCGCCGAGCCAAAGTAGGCTGGCACAAATGCAGTACCCAAGACTCGATTCCAGAACAGTGGACGACCCGCTTCTTTCAGTGTAGGATGCGGCTTACCCCGAGTGTCCAAGAGCATCTCTTGCCGATGCTCGGAGAGTTCTTGCATCGTTTCACCAAAGTACCCAGGGTCTTCACGCATACTCCATAGATGGTCCTCTCTCAAATTGCGTTCTGCAGAAGCCATAGCTTTCAAACGGTCGAACTCGAGGTGAGCGGGTAGCCGATAGGGCGCTTCAAGAGAGACAATCTCCAGCAACATGGCGTTTTCGTCCTGTATAGCTGGCGGCCCAGGATTAGGAAGGACCTCAGACTCAACTGTCGAAATAACGTCTTGCAACAGAATCCGGCAGCACTTAACAAGGAAGGCCCAGATACGTTGCTGTATCTCCAAAACCTGTAACCCATGCCCAGGGTGCATGCCAACACCTTTGGTCATGTTTTCGAAAGCAGCATCATCGTCATCCCAAGACACTAGTTCGCCGTATGTTTCTGGAACCGTCCGGTCAACGAAGAGCATCGTGTATCCGTTGAGGAAGCCAGGCATGGTGATACCGCTGGCCTCACCAAGCCGAGCTTGCTCAAGATCAGAGTGTACACACTCGTATGGCTGATGTCTGCCTCGATAGTGTAGCAATAGTAACAAAGGGGTTCTCTTAGTCAAGTCTTCTAGGTTGATGTGTAGCCACATGTATGCTTCCTTTGTCCTTGAGTGCTGGCGCCATGCCGCCATATCTAGCCGATGTTGTGTAGACATACCGGGCTATGCTTCTAGTAAGATCTGCTTTCTCTGGGCGTTAGTCTTCTTCATCTATCGTTTGCGAATCGTCTCTTCATGGCGCTCAATAGTTCTTTTGAGAGTGTCGTGGTCCTCAAAGTGCTTAGTTGCACGGTCTCGAGCTTCACGTCTTACCCTAGCTAGCTCTAGAAATGCCGAGGGCATTAGTAAGCCACCAGCTACACTTTGAAAGAAGGCTGACATATCTATGTTACCGCTTGCGTCTGTCTGTAACGAGGACTTCTATTCAAAGTCCGAAAACAATTGCTAGCAAACGAACGTAGTGTTTGCTTTTGAGTGACACTCTTCTTATTCTCGTTAGGTAAGGGTATCCGCTTATTCCGCTTATTCCGCTTAGGCGCAGGGTCCAGGCCTCGTAATGCCGCAAAACGCGCCGTCTCGCATGTCTGACGTGGTTTCACCCTACAGCCATAGACAGGCTTCCTCAAGTGCTTCGACGGTGTACCAGATAGATTCCTCAAGTATAGATTACTTTCTCGATCGCTTGAGACGTCGATATGCGCGCGCAATCGGATAATGTGGCAAGTATGACCGAGTCAACGGCGCGCCGTTCTTCGAGAAGCTCGTGAAGTCGTATCTCGCGCGGCAATCGGTCTCGATGAATCTTGGCATCGCGCCATGCACTTCTAGTAGAGGTTTCGAGTTCTCTGGTCGCCAATCTCTGATTGTAATGTTAGTCTGCAGTTCGAGAGAAGGATATTGATCTCGAATGGTAAGTGTATACATCAGGCTAGGGCTTCATCGTAGCCAATACCCGTGCGGATGAGTCCTGGTCAATGATTGATGCCGGCCAGTCATATTCATCTAATAACTGATTCAGCAAGCAGTCATTGTACATGTTTAGCAGATCCTGGAAGTCTTTATTGTGCCAAAGGCTTCTAGGACGACTGAAGGGTCAACCGAACGAGAAGGATGAATATGCAATATTGAGTGCACTAGAAATTTTTGGTCATGCGTTGACGGCCGTGTGATATAACTGAAAATGCGTGATGATGGCTGTGAAGATGCAGGTCAAGGAGGCGCGATATTGCAATCACGCGATGACGCGGTGGAACGTGCGCGCTTACATCATCATATTTCCGTAAGCGGCATATTTTGAACCGGCGTTGATCACGGATGACGCTCCTGATGTTCAAGGCGACAATTTTGTCTGGAGCAGTCTCGTTACGAGTCTTGTAATCATCCTTGCTGATTAGGTGCCATTTTATTGAAATGAAAATGAATCCACCGGTCTCGCGATCATTGTCAGGAATGCTTTCCCAGCCTGACCCAGAAGCGCCGGGTGTTCAATCCAATTATCCACAGTCTTCGTCGCTTTCGATTGAATCAGAGTTCGTTACAACGTGGGGCAAACGCTTTACTACTGACTCTGAGAAGTCGCACAAGGCTGCAGATCAAGACGTACCTGGGTAGCGTCCTGTAGGCATGCGGCGCAGTCGTCACGCCTACAGCTTTGCGGGCTTCCGTACGCAGTTTCAAACCCTTCGCTTGCGGGCAGCGTTTCGTCATCTTTTGTGCTTGTCAAAACTCATCCCGTTAGATGATGGCATCGCCGACTTCACTTTCACTCCCTGAACCAGCTGCGGCGCCTGAGGGCCTTTGCTCACAGTGCGCGGCATTCGACTTGGACGATGCACTATGCTTCAAACCTGCGATAGCAGTCCGAATCGTGCTGAAAGTATATCAGCTAAAGCCGAAGACTTGCGCATTCTGCAGATTCCTGAGTGGCAGTATGGGCCATCTGCCGAAAGGTGGGATGTACAACCTGACTGCTGTACAAGCTCATTTCGCAGTAACTCCTCTTCTCGAAAAGATCGAAGCGCCCATACTGTGTATCGAAGCGTGGCGGGATTGGCGGATTTTCAACCTCTTCAATATCCGCAGCTCCATCATCTTTGATTGCACTGGACCTATCGCTCGAAACTTGCAACCAATAGCACGTCTGATCGACTACAGGGTCGTTCGTGAGTGGATAGATTCTTGTGTACACACCTATCAATGTCACACAGTCAATAGAGGGAGGAATTCACGATGTTCAAACTACGTACCCGGCCTGAAGGTTATCGACTGCGAGCATCGCTTGATCAGAGATTTGCCAAATACCGCGTCATACGTGACATTGAGCTACGTCTGGGGTAAGCCAAAAGATCAATCTGTTGGTCAAGCTCGCCTAGAGTCACCAGCGCCTGAGCTTCTACCACAAGACCTCCCAGCGACTATCGAAGACGCCATCAAAGTCACGCTCGCACTTGGGTACGATTACCTGTGGGTTGACAGGTACTGCTTGAATAAATCTTCAGAGGACTTCCATGCGCAGCTCAGACAGATGGGTAAGATCTACGCTGGGTCGGCCTTGACGATCATCGCAGCTGCCGGTTCCGATGGTTCTTATGGACTACCGGGCGTCAGTCGGCAACGCGTGGTGAACCGACCCTTTCACTTTGGCCGACGGATCTTGTGTTCTACTCCCTTGTTTAGTAGAGAAACCCTGGAGAGTACAACATGGAGCTCAAGAGGCTGGACGTATCAGGAAGGCCTACTTTCAACCAGGCGTCTTGTTTTCACTGATACCCAACTCTATTACGAATGCCAGGAGAGGTCTCGAATGGAAGGCTGGTTAGCTCCTGAACACATGTTCTGGCGGCGTGATGAAGAGAGCGCCGGTTCTTGGTGTGACTATTTCAACAAAACTTCGGACCCAGGCCTTTTTCCTACTATCAACGGGCACGTTAAGAGTGTCCTTCACCGGATCGAGGCATTCACAAAGCGATCGCTTACGTATGAAGACGACGTACTCAATGCATTGCTAGGTATTTTTGCAATACTACGGCAAGACAAGGATATGCCAGATAGTAGCATACAACATCTTTGGGGAATGCCGTACTTTGGGTACGATGTAAACTTTCGGCACGATAGAACACCACTTACTGTGTCGCTCTCAAGGTTTGTGAACAACTTAAGCTGGGATGTAGATAACCCAGTCAGAAGGCGAGTTGGATTCCCTAGTTGGTCATGGACTGGATGGATTGGTCCAGTAAGATGGGCAAAGGGACTGATGTTGGTGGACAACGGCCGATATCACAGAAATCGATCTACACCTGATGTCCCATGCACTGTCAGTTTGGAACACCGGAATGGAAATACCATTGACTGGCGAATCTACCACGCGATGTCCTACTTCCACGACACTTGCGAGGACGCACGAAACGCGCAACAACTCACTCGCTTTATACACATCAGCGCTTACATCACTCAGATCATGCAATCGGACGTACCGCATTGCTACCAGCTTGAGCTTGATCGCAAGAAACCAAACAACGATTCTCGACCAGTATATGTGTCTATCAATCCTACAAGGGGAGATCATGTCAACGTCGATCGAGGATTGTTCGTGATGCACTTACCGTGGTATCTCGAATATGGCCACGATAGCGAGTGCAATGTCTTAGTGGTTCAGCGTGAAGGTTCACATTGGGAAAGAGTTGGCATTGGTAGTACGTCGACATTGTTGGAAGTGGCACCCGTTGAAAAGACATGGACGACAATTCGCCTCGGCTGATGAAAACCACATCCTCGGTGTTTTTTGTTTCACGCGCTCAAGGTCCGACAATCCGGTATCATTTGGACGGATGCATGTTTGCCACTGCCGCATTGCGAAACATGCTACGCCAAGGCTTGCAGCACAGTATGCTTACCTCAACAGCAATTAACTACTTAATTAGACATAGTTCGAATCATCATACGTGCAAAGTGCTATATGTAGACCGTTCAATGCTCAAAAGAATGCAGCAATGTTGCCAGCGGACGCATTCAAACGCTTTGAGGCGGGAATCGTCGGCATTGATCAAATCCTTTTTGAGACATGCAGTCGTGCATACTCTGAGAGCATTCATGTCTTTTCAATTTCTATGCAAGTCTGAAATATGTCCAAAACTGGATAGCCTATAGATCTTTATCCTCGACCCATGCGATCTAGGCGCAGTTCAAGTAAATGTGCATTACATATAATCTTATAACTTTGACTGATTATTGTTGTAATTCGATAAGCTCTGAGACTGCTAATTAGATATCAGCTTTAGTATAGCCTTTGAGAGGTTGGGGGTGTTGAGATATCACGCGTTTTCATTGCGATATTGTTTTGGTGAACAGACTGCGCCGCTCGGTTGTGGAATACGTGAGCTCAAAAACATTGTTCGAAAAACTGCGCTGACGAAACTTGATCAGACCCTTCGTGAAAAAGTGATGCTAAGTATAGCCATCATGAAGATAATGCTCGCTTCTTCCTACAGGATTCGCATCGTTAATTGCTTTTTTTCGCCAACATGACTTAAAAGAAACAATGCAAAAGGAACACCTGATGCTAGGTATGAATTAGATGTCACTGTTGTCTCGAGGAGATCTCCTCGAGGAAATGCTTAAAAGACTATCCAAATCCGCGAATCTAAAAGTCAGACTCTAAACATCAACACTTCACACTTGCTTTCAGATCATACACCTTCCACCATCTATACGGCAGTAAACGAATCAGGCGAAAACAATGGCATCAAATGGACTACAAGACTATTCTGATTTTTCACTTCCTATACCACCGAACCGCTACATCGATGATCCCGAATACTTCTGTCGATTTCATCCACGTGTTCACAAGGACACTCAAGCATCAGATGATGCCACGGTACAATGTCAGATCGATGTCTTTGGGAGAGCCAATGTGGGGTTTGTGAAAGGGTGCCTCAGTCTGCGTTCAGGTGGTTGGACATCCTTGACTTACCCATATTGCCTTCCTGAACGTCTCGCCCTCGTCTCTTACATCAACGAGGTTGCCTTCTTCCAAAGTGGTAGGTTGCTTCCACATTCAAGTTATTCTTCACTAACATTAATAAAAGACGTCGATTTTTGGGTCCCGTTTGATGTAGGTGTATTCTACTCATGTTCCCTCAAGAAGGTCCAGGATATTTGCTAACAAGGTTTCTTATCAAGCCGGACACGAAATGTTGTGATTCTAGTGTATCAGTTGGTGGTAGAAAGAAGGCCGTGGATCCAGGTTGGCAGAACCGCCATACGCAAGTTTTTGCGAAAATTGCTATTCAGCTCGTGGATACGGACTCTCAACTCGGGAGTCTTGTAATTCAAGGCCTGCAAACATGGAAGCGTGGTGAAGCCATGATGGAAGAGGAGATTCGATACCAGAATCTTACTCAATATCTCTCGGATCGCCTTGTGGACAATGCCTTCGAGTGAGTAGATCATCTTCTACTTCTTCGATGAAGAGCTTGCAACTAACATCTGTAGATTTCTCTTTGCCGTCGCTCGATTTGGATCCAACTTCAGTCTCACTAAAGAGGAAGAAAAACTGATCGAACCAGTTCTCAAACCTTACTATGAGATGATGATTCTCACGAACGACTATTTCTCGTGGGAAACGGAGTATACGACTTTCCTCCGGTCCAACGAGAAGGTCGTTGTGAGAAACGCTGTTCCCCTGTTCATGGAATGGTATACAATGTCTTCTCAAGAAGCAAAAGTCGCTCTCAAAGAGAAAATCCAATCCCTTGAGAACGACTATTGCTCACTCAAAGCTGAGTTCTTTTCCCAGTACCAGATTCCAGGTTCTTCGCCTGCTATCATGCGGTGGTTTGAGATCCTGGAAGGCGTACTTGCAGGCAACATATTTTGGAGCAAAACATGTCCTCGATATAACACGGCATTTGGGAGTGAGTACAAACAGTACCTGGCTCAGAGAATTAACGAAGGTGCCTATTTCTTCAATAGTTCGACAGAATCCTCCGCAATCATCAGCAATGATATCTTAAAGATATCGAAGCTGAATCTTAGCGGACAAGTCGTGACCGATAGCGAGGGCGGAATCGGCTCTATGGGTAAGTAGATCGAGGAGAAACCCCTGGAAGCAAACAATTGAACGATATCTAAACAGTACGCAGGTCGAATGAAAGCGTCCTTGTTTACCTGTGAACGGCTCCCGCCGTTGGACCAAAGCGTAGGTTCCAATGGACAATTTAGAGTTGGTCTACGCTTAGGGACTGATACCAACTATAGGTCATTGAGTATCCATCGAGATACATTGCATCGCTGCCTTCCAACGAAATTTGGCACACGTTTATCGACGCTTTGAATACATGGTACCAGGTACCACAGCACCACTTGACTATCATTCGGACAGTCATTACACAGCTACACAGCTCCTCACTTATGTAAGTATAATCGCATGTAGGAAAAGTTTTTGTTAACCTTTTGAAGGCTAGACGATATTCAAGATCACTCCCCACTCCGTGGTGGTAACCCAGCCGCCCACAGAGTTTATGGTATCGGCCAAACCGTCAACTCTGCTTACTTCCAGTGCGCCGATGCACTAAGACAGATACAGAAGATATCATCTGACGCTGTCTTGGTGTTCACTGGTAACGTAGTTCTATCTTAATGTCGAGATTCTCTTCACTAATTCTTTGAAAGAGGAACTCATGGCGTTGCAAATAGGTCAGGGAGCCGACATGTATTGGACATATCATTCAATCACGCCGACTGAAGAAGAATACCTTCAAACGGTTGACTCTAGTAAGTTGTTGAGTCCTATAGACTTAGCCACCATGGTAGTCTACAGGCTTGTTCCCTATGTGCTAACAATGATATTTCTAGAAACGACTGCCTTGTTTCGTATGGCTAGTCGTTTGTTGCAAGGTCAGGCAACCATGAATAGGTAAGCTATCGGTCCACTACTTATATTGGGTATAGTCCCTGATAATCATATAGATGCATGGATATGGAGGGGTTTTTGACTCTATTTGGACGGTATATCCAGATCCGGAAGGATTACCAGAATCTCGAGTCCTCTAAGGTTTGACACCAACCCAGACATCTGCGTTCTCTGCCAAAATAGCTGACATATTATAGAACACCAAGAATCAAGGCTTCTGCTCCGATTTCGATGGAGGAAAATACTCTCTCCCTCTCATTCATGCTTCAAAGCATGGCAGCCCAGAGATCAATGCAATCCTGCAACAGCGGAAGCGAACAGAGAGTCTGACAACCGATCTTAAGATCGTTCTGTTAAGCGAGCTGAAGGCAAAGGGTAGTTTAGCGTACACGCTTCAAGTACTCCAGAACCTCGAGCGGGCTATCAAAGATGAACTCCAATCTCTAGAAAGCGAGGCCGAAATCAAGAACTGGCTACTATGGAGAATCTTGCAGCAGATGAGCCTGGATAACCACCTCGGCTGAGCTGTTGCAGGAATACAAGCGGTAGTCCTGGTATTATAGACAACAAAGCAAGCTACTAGACCAGCCTGAATACTGCAATACAAGGTTGTGTTAACAGATACATGTCGCTTCACCCACTGGCTAGCGTGCTACAACACGATTTGTTACTAAACATTGGCAAAGAGTTGGCATTGGTCTTATGTCAACATTCATGGAAGCGGCACTCGTTGGGACGACATGAACGACGAATCGCTTTGGCTGACGAAAACTGTATGTCTATACGCGAGCATATCTACTACTTCCCAAGCTGTTCTTACTGTCGCTTCCCCATCGCCAGTTTCATTTGCCGTAGAAAGTACTCATACGATACTTTGTCTCACCCTCGTACTGCGCAAGATCTGACAATGCTTGCTCGCCCTCTCGGATGATAGCCTGCCGTATTCTCTCACTTCGCGGCTTGATACTCACTTTGAACACTTGCGGTCGCATGTTGAGGCCGTTTCTAGTGGACATTAGTACTTGAATGTTGGTCGCCTCCCCATTAAAACTTACGTGTAATCGAAGATATTGACCGGTATTGGCTTCCCACTCTCGTCTAGTGCTGGCTCGATCTTGAACCCCCAAACTAGTCTCGCAACTGTCAACCAGGTGCCTTGTTCGGCGAGCGCCTGGCCTGAACACACGCGTCGACCCCAGCCGAATGTCATGTATCCCCTCTCACCAGGAAAAGGTCGCGAGTCAGGATGATTCTTCATGAAACGGTTTGGATTGAATCGGTCTGGGTGGGGAAATTCGCGGTCATTGTGGTGAATTGCCCACACGTTTCCCTGCACCCATGTCGATTGCGGGATCAAATAACCATTGTAGTAATCGTCCTGAACTGGGGCATGTGGTTGTCCACCAATGATTGCAACAGATCGCCATCGAAACACCTCTTTTACGAACGCGCGCATATAAGGCAGATTGGCGTCGTCTTCAAACGAGGGACTACGATCCGGTCCGACCACACGATCTAGTTCTTCCCATGCTGCATGCATGGCTTCTGGAAACGCTCGCATTGCAAGAACAGCGGTAATGAGCGTACTACTCGAAGTGTCTGATCCAGCGCCGAACAAGTTTCCAGTCAGCGCGGAGATCTCCTTCGGATTGAGACCATACTTTTCCTGCTCTCGAAATAGCATCTTCGCATAACAGTCATCGTGTCCTGGTTTTGCATTCGCTTCACTTGCTAAGGAGTAGAAGAAGTCATGACCACGATGCGATCTCTTCTTTGATCCCATGCCGTGCTTCCATGGCGCATATTCGGTCGGTACGCGAGCAAGAATTGGAAAGGTTTCCATCAGCATGGGAAACGTCTTTCCTGGCACGTTCAAATCGGCCGCCCGGTGCATCAACGCGATGACTTCGGTGATGATGGGATCATCGTGGCTCGCGACACGCCTGCCGAAGCCGACGATAGAAACCACGCTGGTCGCATAGCGTTCAAAGTGCGCGACATAGTTCTCGGGGGTATGCAGGAGGTCGAGGGCGACAACTTTGCTCTCGTCGTTCTGGAAATCACGATATTTCTTCACTTGCTGAATGCCAACGCCCTGGTGTGTCACCTTGCGCAACATCCGGAAGCGCTCACGCTGCGCTTGTGTGGTAGTGATGAGATTTACGAGATTGTTCTGACCAGAGCCGAGTTCAGCAAAGACAAGCATGCGCGGTCTTGAGCAGTATATGCCTGCTCTCTTGTCAAGAAGTTCGTTCGCGGTCCAAGCATCGTTGATCCACACGGTCGGATTGCGTCCGATCCAATACGTTATCAATGGGGTATTGTATTTTTTCGACAATTCCTCGAAGTAGATCCACGGCTTGTTATCTGGCAGCTGGAACGTGTTGCCAATAATTGGGTATGGGAAAGGCCCAGGCGGCTTCTCAACATCAGTATCATGCTCGCACGCTACAATGTGGCGTCCTTACCATCTTTGATCTCATGTATAGCATCCAGGCATAGTCTGCGAGGACCCCCAAAGCTGCGGTTGCGAGGACCGCCAAGGCGATGTTTCCCACGCCAAACTTTGAGATACCATGCTGCAAGTAATATAAAGGCAGAGCATCGAAGACCTGTTCTATTGCCATGCTTCAGGTTGTTCAAAGGGTGCGCTGGCGACGTCCGTATGATGAAGATGTGCCGAGTTACAAGATGCACTTCTCCGACGCTTCAGAACTCCACCCCGGCGGCTGTGAGCAGGCGTTCAATAAATTGACACCTGATACCGAGCGTGCTAATCGACAGGCATTACAAGCAGTGGGTACTGAGTGCAGCCATTCGTAGAGAATTGCATGCGCACATCCCCACATTGCGGGGGTGGGGCAATGGTGCCGGGTAAAGTTTGCAGCTTCATGGTCATCTCATACACCCGAGGGGTATGCGACTCTTTCCCCACTAGTGCGAATGCGCGCAAGAGAGTGGGTCAGCGTCTGTAGGTATGGTGTTGGACGGTAAGCGAGAGACTGGCGACAAATATTGCGCCGAGACGAGACGTGCGACCCGCAATAGGGCTAAACCGCATCATCGCCGTGCTTTTGCTGATCACGTCGACAACACAACCACGCACAATGCTCTCTATCAAGATGTACACCGACTGATATTCAGGAATACAGCGTCTCGCTCAGCAGTTACGCTTTGGAGGCCTTGTCTTTTGTACTATACCTCCCAGATTTCCCTATGATGTAGCACTTAGCTGATGCGGTGCCTACGAAGATCGACTCACGAAGCCACCACGAACGCGATGCCTCTCGAGCCAGTGCTACTATGTTCGAACAATACATGATTTTAACGACGAGGAAACTCCGTTTTTTGCGGCGGGTTCCTGACATCACTATGTACCACAATTCGTTCTTCCCGTAGGACCAAAACTATGGTAGCGATAGCCTGCGCAAGAATTTCTCACAATCCCTCAACTTCGTCGCACACCACTCCGAGGACATATCAAAGCCGCGAGAATGAGAGAGATTGATATGGAAGAACTCATGGCTTTCATCCGTGAAGACCTCGGCAGCATGCTCAACGACAAACACGACTCTTATGTCCCAAACAGCCTAGAGTCTCTACCTTGTGAGCTCATTGTCATGATTGCTGAGTATCTTTCTAAAAAGGATTTACTCACGCTTCGATCACTGAGCAACGGAAACATATCACGAGGTATCGATGACCGCTTTGTAAGTAAAATCTAACCTAAATATACTTGCTATGTCTTACATACTTTCGAGCATTATGTAGGATCCAGCGAGGCCTTCAGGATCGTTTTCTCCCTAACTAACTGCTCTGATTAGGTCGAGGTATGCTTTTCCAGACGACGATGTCGAACGACCATAGCAAGCGTCGCGCGCCTCGAGGCCTTATCTTGCACGCGATTTGCCAAGCGTATTCGCGCACTCGAGGTGTACACTATATTCGATTGCCAGCCATCACGATTCGGGGATCTAGCAACAGGAAAACCCTGTGCGAGAGCTGCCATCAGTCCCTCCGAGGTACCATGGATGTTCGGTCGTATCTTTCAACGCCTGTCGAATCTCAAAAACTTCGTGTTTCGCGCTCCTCCTGGTCTGTGGGGAATGTGTGACGAAGAATTAACTAATGAGCTGCCACTGTTCGGCGTTTCTGAAACCTATCCGCACTTGAGGTTCGGCCCACGATACCACTTCGGACTGCAAGGTCCACGGCACAATCACGTTATCGATACGCGTTCTATAGCCAGCCTTGGTTATACCCTAATATCCAGCCTCCAGCATGCAAAACAGCAGCTAGACAGTTTCAAAGTATTGGGATTTGCGGATTCGAAATGGCAGATGAAGTTAACATCTTATCCACTATTACTCTACTCCATGCGCAGGGTATGCGCCTTACGAGCTCTTACATGCCTGAAGCTCCAGTTGGACATGTTGGCCTTGGAGAATGAATCTATGACTTCCCTTGTCATGATGATCGAAAGCAACGCGAACCTCAAATCTCTGCATCTATCTGCGGGCCCATCAAGTTGTCAGCGCTGGTTGTCGCGTAGCGAGAATTGGGCACCTCTGCTTCGGCTACTAGGCTCTAGCCCACCATTCCGGCTCCGCTCACTCGAACTTGACGGGCTTGTCACCAGCACTTCTGCGCCCACTCTTGCGCGAATCATCAACGTACACTCATCCTCGATTCGCCGTGTCGTTCTCAGGCACACAAATTTCCATTACCCGAATACCCTTCGTGAATTCTTCACAGCGTGCGCCAACTCGGATATACATTACTACAGGTCAGAGAGCCTCTTATTCCACGAAACGAGCATGCTGGTTGGTACTAGTCTAAGCTTCCGCGTGTTTGAGGACGAGGAAGATGAACTGCACCGAGAGTGGTCGGGCGAGGAGGACTTGGATCAATGTGACCTGCTCGATACGGCTTGTCAGGATTGGGTGGAGGTGCGGTTTCCTAGTGGAAGGGACATGCTGGTATACGACAACGAGAATGGGCAAAACGGAGATGATTGGATGAACAGGGCCTTTATGGCCGGTGTGGCGATGATCCAGGATGGTGCCCTCATTGATTCTTAACACATAATCCCTACAGAGGGGCAGCACTTGGTGTATTGAAGTGACGTCAAGAAGGCCTTCGAGGGACGAATTGTGACGTCGACTCCAATGTGACACCCCGATGGTATCTATTGAAACCGGTTTTAATACAATTTTCACCTACGATCTAGCAGCTACCGAGCGCCCTAAGTCGTTGCTGAAGCCGCGACTACTGATATGGAAGCCTAGAAACAATGTATGAGTGCCACTTCAAGGAGACCTTTTACGTGTGTTGATTGGTATTGCTACGTACGCATGTACTAAGTCGAGATGCTGACATCATGTTTCTCTGCTGCCTTCTTCAACGCCTCTTTATCAAGCGGTCTACTTTTATCTGGCACAAGGGTGCCCTCGAACTTGCCACCAGCATCCGCGATCAGCGACTCTAGTCCACTTCCGCTCGAATATGCCCAGAAGCGGTTGTATCGGTCGAGGAACTCAATCGAGATCGTAGTGCCAGCCGGAACAAAAGCTGTCTCTCCTGCTCGAATGACATTCGCACTCCCGTCAAGAGTGACGTTGATCGCTCCATCTAGAACATGATATACCTGATGAACCTTCATGAACGCGAATGGCCTACTCAGGACCGAGTTTGCCAATCGGTTACTTGACTCGATAGCTGTAGCCGCAAAATTCCCCGTGGGCGACTGAGTTTGCTTAGTGGTGATGAAAGGCCTGCTTAGCACACCCTCGAGTAGATGGCACGGTCCTGTGTTCGCCTTGAGATAGTACTCCTTTCCAGGCTCATCGGGCAATTTAGAATCCTCTTTCTTTGTCAAATCGCTGACTTCCGCACCCTGGAATCCTGGTTGAAAGACGACGTCGTACCTGTCCTTGATTTCCATGATTCGAGATCCAACTAACTCTCCTATGTCGCTTATATCAAACTCATCCGCAACAACACCATCATACTTTCTACAGATCAGCCGAAAGAAGTCAACCCATTGTCCAGGGGTGACTATCCCGATCGATTCGTTGTTTCCATCATCGATGAGCTGCGGTTGGTGCACGACCTTAGGGGGAACGTAGCAAAAATCTCCCGGACTAAGAATTTTACAGCGATTTCCCGCCCAGACTTTTATGTGTCCACGTGTGCACATGAAAACATCGTGCGCCAGATTATGATAATGGAAGCCTGGAGCGTCCCCATGGGTACCATCGTACCCGAACACAGATATTAGGCCCGAAGTCTCCTTGGCACTGGCGAGTAGACGTACAGTAGCCTTGCTGCCAGGTATCATCATGGTATCGCCTTCGTATGCGGGAATGATATATGGTGAGGGTCTTCCAAGCGGTTCTTGCACGCGTGGCATGCTAGAAGATTGGTGAATGTCCATTCTGTCAAGCGTTTGTTTGAGTGGAAGATTTGAGCTCGTTATAGCGGTGATGGATAAAATAAATTCCACAAGCGATGGCTTCTAAGGTAAGTGTAGTTGGTCTTGGTCTGTGTGAATAATGAATCTCGGGGAACATGGGGGATGCACCGTTCATAGTGATAAATACTTCGGATCGGAGCATAAAGAGTGGCGAGCGCGACCCGATCCGGCCCTTCGGATCGAAGCATCCTTGAACATACAATAGTCGGATCGGGAACGAGTCTGTACCCCAGATTTTAGCAGAAATGAGACGCGTTCCTCGATGCTTCGGGGGCCGTAGTTTCCTACCTAGTGCGCTCCTTGTTGGGTGTATCAACAATCAACCATTTTGGTATAGGTGAGCGTAACGCAAATCCATACTGGCAGCAAGCCGCTTTTAAGATTCTCACTCACTCCCGAAATTCAGCAAACGTCGTGCACATCTAGGTGCATTAGAACTATATCCTTTTCTACGAATTTGATCTATCATTTTCACATGATCCTTGGGGGTATCTGGTGCAGGTGTAGTATCTGCGTACGGCCGCTCAGGAAACTCCGGGAAAAGTGGGGTTAGGACGTATATCCTGTAGTCCGCTGTTTACTTAGCCTCGGCCGAGCTGTGATGAGATTGCCGTCCACCGTAGCCGCTGATAATGACGGTCTCTTACCAGGAGCGATGTGCAAGGATGATGTACGAGGATAGTGGCATGGTTTGTGATACGGCAGCCTCCATCGCATCTTTGAAAGTAGCCTTCAAAGCATCTAGACCACACGCTATGTACACTATACCTAGAAGACTTCAAGATCTTGAACGCAGTAATATGCAACATGTCGCTCATTCAAATCAGACTGAAGAGCTTACATGAGGAATGAACTCACAAAGATGAAGCATTTAGAGCTGCGATTACAATAGAACTATTTTTGTGAACGAGCATGTCACCAAATCCGAGTAAGCCATCGTAACGCAGATGTATGACGCGTGCCTTTGCTCTTGGAGATTCGAAATTACTTCTTCCAGGTAGTCTATAGGGCTGCTGGTACATGGATACGTTGGAACAGCTATCGGGTAGTATCTGCTAAGACAACTATAATGCTTGCATTGATTACAGCAGGTGCGCATCGCACAGCCATTATAAATGGCTTGCCCTTCAGAACTTCCAAGACCATCCATCATGGTTCAAAGGCTCCATCGCAGGATGTGCAGCTTCTGCTTTCGCGTACTCCTTTTCAATGATCTTTCTCTTCGCCTCACTACGAACCTTCAACATGACAGGCATGTGCTCTCCTGGATTTCCTGGCATATCTCCAGGGAAATCCTTCGGGTCGAGTGGCAACTTGGCGTTTGGCGCTGGCACAATCTCAAACGCCCACACTAGACGCATGATCGCAATTGCCAGTGAACGTTCGGCGACATGATACCCGGGACAGATACGCCGCCCGGATCCGAAAGCGAAGTGATCGCGGTCTTTAACGTTAGCAGAATTCTTGCTTTGCTCGCTATTCGTCAAGTCTCCCTCGTATCGCTCAGGCCAGAAGCGATCTGGGTCGACATGTCGGCCCGGGTCATGCCCAATGGCCCACGAGTTGAGATGGATACGAGAGCCGGCAGGCAGACGGACGCCATTGTAACTCAGCTCCTTGGTAGTCATGTGTGGATGGCCGAGTGCAACAGGTGGGCGCCAACGCCAGAGCTCCTTCATCAGGTAGCGCACGTAAGGGATCGACTCGAGGTCTTCGTAGATTGGCAGGCGGTCTGCAACTCCAACTACAGCTTCGATCTTGCTGAGTGCCTCGGCCTGAACAGCGGGAAATCGCATCATGGCCTCGAGAAAAGACCATGATGACATTTTCGAAGTATCTGCAGCGCCGATAATGAGCATGAAAGCTAGGTAAGCGGCCTCAGATCGGTCTTCAAATCCCATGTTCTTCTCATCCTGCAACACACGAGCTAAGAAAGAATCGTTGACTCTGCCTGCCTTAATGGCCTTTTCAACTCGCTGCAGGCGCTCGATGGACCATTTCATGTTATCTTGAAAGAGTGCTCTTGCCTTTTTCTCCCAGGGCTTGAGAAAAAGGGGCAATCCGTCCAATATTGGGAGTATATCGACAAGGTGAGATCCAGAAAGTGTTCCTAAGATCTGTTCTAATCCGCTGCGGAAGATGTATTCAATCACTGGATCTTTCTCGTCTGGGATATCCATGCCGAATGTTTGACTGGCGAATGCGCTGTACGTATACCGGCCAATTTCGTTGAAGAGCTGAACACTGTTACCGGCTAGATTGTCATCACCGGCGACTTGCTTCAGAAACTTTGCAGTTTCAAAATGCAGGTAGTCGAGACCAGCATCGGCGCGCGTGACACTGGTCATACCTTGCAAGATCACCTTCCTCTGGTGTTTCCACCTTGGATGGCTGGCACTTAACAGAAGCACGTTCTCTTGATTGCATATCTGTTCGTTGCTAACGATCCAACGTGGACGCTCCGATGTCGTGGCAGATGCTTTATCGAAGATAGCTTTGACAGCTTCGTCACTATTGATGAAGTACTGAGTAAAGGGCCCAACTTGCAAACGAACGATCTCGCCGTGGTCGCAAGCATACTGGCCGAAAAGTAGGTGTAGGGAGCCCGTCTTTCCGGATCTGATAACATCGACCGCGTTTCCCAGTAGTGGCAAGCCTGGTGGTTTCGGAGGCAATGGCAGCTTCCCCCTATCTTGAAGCCAATGGTGCACCCATGATAGCAGGTAGAAAACCGGAACTGTCAACAAGGCCAATAATGGAATCGGCAAGAAGGCCATGATGATAATCTTGCTAGTTACATAACTTCCATCTCACGGTTGTGACCTCTTTAAATTGCACTGACCGATGCGACGTTGTACGAGCAAGAGCGGACCCAGATCTACCGCCTTAGACCATTCGGCCATCGTTCCGCATGGACGGACTTTGCAAGCAAGAGCTGTCAAGGTAGTATGCGGGGGAAGTACGGGATGTGGAGAGCGGAATCGGGATCTTCGGCATCCGCAATTCCCGATCCGTTGTCACCATCACTTAGTGTTCCGACAACCAGAACTCACGATCTTACCCGAACTTGCTCAACGAACTTATGCTGTAAAGGCATCCGAAAAGATGGCCACTGAAGATACCGTCATGCCAGCAGCGGCTGTGACGGCCAACAACAATCTGTATGGAGAGTTGTCATCACCTCAAGCGCTAGCTCCGACGAGGGGAAAGCGTGTATCGCTCGCATGTCAAAGTTGCAGGTCTAGAAAGACCAAGGTAAGATTCATTGCTTCGGGAGCCTTGGCGTTTCATAGGCCAGTTTATTCTTGTATCATTTGTTGACCCATGGCGTTATCAGTGCGATGGTATACAGCCTGCTTGCTTGACGTGTCGGCATCTCGGCATCGACTGTGTATATGCGAAAGAATCCCGAAAGGCCGGTTCCAGAAGAATAAATGGGTATGCGTCTAGAGCTCAGCTTGGATGAAAACTGACAGCAACAGTCGAGCTCAGGCGATGCACAAAGTCAGAAAACCGCAACATCAGTTGCATATGACGACCGGATACTCAATAACGACCCCTCCTGATGATACCGTGGACATTGTAACCCAGCGCCCTGATACGATCCATAGACTACGTGCTCACACCGAAGCAAGAGATACTGGCAATATCGATCCTGACACAGCTGGTAACATCTCTGAACAAGAAGCTAGTGAGGAGGTTCACGCAGCACAGGTTTTTCAGGATCGGCACACATCTGAGTTTGGATACTTCGGTGGGTGATGAACTTTCACCATACGAGCTCTCTAACAATATGCATAGGTTTGTCTTCGAACCATGCATTTTTCCGATCGATATCACGTTGCTTCAGACGCTTCTTGCGTGGTGCGCCGCCACAGCATGATCGAATCCAATCACTGACAACTGAAGACTGGAGTGAGGTCAACACATCAGAAGCACGCCAAACAAGTAGCCCCAGGAACGACTCCGTGGCAACATTACCAGCTATTTCAGAGTCATTCTCCATGCTTGACCGCTTCATAGCAACCAGCGCAGGTGCCTTTCCTTTCGTTAGTAAAGCGATCTTGACATCATCTCTCAAGGAACTGGCCTTTGGGTCTCGGAAGTCGAGATCGACAACGAAGCGAGCACTTGTCAACATCATGTTTGCATATTCGTGTTTGGCGATTGAAGACCCTCAGTGTGACATGTACTTTCAGCGGACCATACAATGTCTGACCCCTGAAACTCTCCGAGGCGCAAATCTGGAACTCAGTGAGTCATTATTCTTTCGTTTCTTCATCAAGTATTGATAAGTCCCTTAGTTCAGGCATTACTGCTGGTGACAAGCTATCAACAGCAACAGCAGATGCCCGTCAGCAGTGGAACGTACCATGCCTTGACGGTAAAAGCCGCGTTTCAGCTCGGTCTGCATTGTCCTTCCAGTTACAAGGAAGTTTCGCCATCAGACTCGGAATTGAGAAAGAGACTATGGTATAGTTTGATCAACCAGGATAGGTATCTCATCACCAATAAGCTTTCCTCCGACTACAAGCTAAGCAACTTAGGATGCTTTCTATGTGCCTTGGCAGACCGTGTCTGATTCCATCACAGCACATATGTACGCCTGAACTAAAAGACCCGAGACAGACTCACCACGTGTCATCACTCGAGCATGAATATCGAGTGGAATGTCTTCTTCAGCACAAATATCAAACGTGAGGCTCCATGGTCATTCTTGCGAATTCTGAACTAACAACGATGCAAAGCGATCTGTACAGTATCATCGCGGCCATGCTCAGCGACATTTACCAACACAACATTGGGAGGGATTCATCTTTGAGCACGTGGTCTTTGCTTGCATTAAGATTGCAATTGTACCAGCGATTTGAAGAATGGCGCCAACAACTCGACCCTCGTCTAAGGCTCATCACACCACAAGATGTTTGCACCGTCCTTACATCCCAGATCGATGAGAATCGATTCAGAATATCCCTGACAGTACATTACTACCGCGCTTTGATCATGCTTAATGGACCGATCATTGAAAGGTTGCTGGGCATTAGTGTCAGCTCCTCCAGCTTAGATGAAGCTGCTCAATCTCTCTTCGAGCAATGTGTACCGACCATCAAGAACGATCTTGTTGTGCTCGAGAACTTGAATCAAATTATTTCCATCATTTCACAAAGCGAAGATTTCATTAACCACAACAACGTCCGATGGATGTCCAATCATGCCTGTAAGGACCGGCGTTATGCGGCGATCAGATACGGTAACATTAACGAGAAGCAGGTTCGATACTAGCCATGCATCTTTTCTGTCTTGCACTGCTTTTCCACATCCGCCCTGAACTTGAAGCGAAGACTGTCACTCGAACATCTAGAATCAGAGAGCTACTGGGACAATGCCTTGATAACATGAAAGTACTGCAACGAACTAGTATACTGTTTCGGAAAGCTCGTGAAGCGCTCGAGGTCTTCACCCAAAAGCTAGATTCAATTGGTAAGTCGTTCAGCTCAACAGCAGCTACCTCTAGTGTACATTGTCTAACGCCGAATTGATCAGGCCTTAGAGAGCTGCCTACATCTGGCGCTTCCGCATCTGAGATTGGAGCACCCTGCACTTCTGCTCCTAGGCATTACGACTTCAGTATGAGCACCGACTTCTTTGGACAGTCTGAATTCGACTTTCTGCTGGGAGACGGATTTTATTGCTAAGCTTACAACAATCATCGGTCGACAAGTCTATGCCGTTGCGATGACACTATTTCAAGTTTCTTTATCTCAACTTAATGCGCACATTGAAGTTCTTTCGATGCACAAAGAAGGCATTCTTCAAATACATTGGTTCTTGGCTTTCATCAATCTCGATCTATGACCAATGGTGTTAGCGGAGCACCGGGAAAGTGTATCTGAAACGCTTACCTCAAATTTCCTTAGAAAACTGGGAACGATCTTGTATGTTTCTAAGAGGCTGATGTTTCTTCCTATGCATGTTCTTGATCCTGCTCCGAAATGAAACATACTGGATTTCATCTTCGCGATCTGTGCAGCATCGGCACCTTCACCCTCGAGCCACCGTTCGGGTCGAAAAATATTCGCGTCTTCGCCGAAGGTCTCCTTGTCCTGATGCAGAACCCATGCATTACAGCCAACCACGACTCCTCCAGGCACATGATGCCCATCTATAGTGGCACCCTGTGGGGACGTGATACGTTCGAGAAGCAAGCCAACAGCTGGGTGCATTCGGAAAGACTCAGTAATGACAGCGTCGAGGTAGACGAGCTTCTTGGCAGCGGAGAAAGGAATAATATCTGCCGCACCAGTACTATCTTGGGGGGATGCAAAAGCACCTGAATGGTGTGCGTCATCGATCTCCTCCATTAATCTCCTGTATACGCGTGGATTCTTCAAGAGGTAGTAGAATACGCCAGACAAGCTGATGGAAGTGCTGTCAGAGCCAGCAATAATCAAGGATGCGCACATAGCGGTGATTCGATCATCAGTCAGAAACTCCGGGTTCTTATCCTGTGATTGCAAGAATCGTTGGAGAAAGGTGATACCCATCTCGCTGGGAGGTTTCCCTGCTGTATATTGTGTTTGATTAGCCGATACCTCGTCTTGCCTTGCCAAAGCAAACTTGATAATCGCCGCGTTAGGGCTAATTGGCCAGAGACCTATACTCTCGAGGAATAGTTTGATTGGGTTTTTGACAAGGACACGATCCCACCAGGGATTTTGGCCTACTACAGTGCCATAGTCTTGGAATGAATCCACCGTAGCGATGATGTCTGCGACGTCTTTGTTCTCTTGGACGAAACCAAGTCGCTTGGACCAAGTGATCTCCCCAATAACGTCGAATGCGAAGTACTGAATCCAGGTTGATAACGGACAGATATCCTGTCCTTTGACGTAAAGCTCTTCTGTACGCTTTAGCCAATAAGATGAACAGCTGTTCACAAGCGGTTCGAAATCCAGCAGTGTTGATAAAGCGAACGCATGGTTGACAGAGCGTCTCAGGCGAGCATGATAAGTTTCTGACCTTGTCGAGAACCTGAAAATGGCGTATGTAAGCATCTAACACCCCAAGAATGGGTCGTATTCGAGCTCACAGGTTGTAGACAATGCTGCCTTTTTTCAGGACAGCAAAGACGTCGTAATATCCACTCTGGCGCTGATCAGTTCCATCTAACTGGGCTACTGGTGCCGTCAAAACTGACCTTCGTAAATCCTTTATTCAGTCCGTATATGTCTTGGATAGCAGATGGCTTGCCGAACGACAAGACGTTCGGTCCAACTCGGACGACGTCGCCATATTTCGCATGTAAATTGCGATATGTAACATGTGTGTCTCGCTTGTATACATCCATCGCACGCCATATGTTCGTTAATGACGCCAAAAAAGGCCCAGGATATTTGCTAAGACCTTTCTGAAATCTTTGTGCCAATAGGTAACAAATCAACGAAGCGAAAAAAACAGCGCAAGTAGCCAACATCTTGAAAGGAACCAAAGTCTTCGATGCTATGACAGTGGCACACAACTAACGAATTTAGAGTGAGGTCCATATGATGTTTAGGAGAATATATAGCGGCTACGACCGCACGATCGTTGGGTTTGACGGACGATGACTTCAACTCGATAACAGCATCAACGGGTCGGGTCGATGGCTAGATCAGTTTCGATCCCTAGCCGCCGGCAGTGGTTGTGTCAGTTTCCAGTTCGAGCCGATGGTTGAGCCGAACTGACTTCCGAGCCGATCGGTAACAAACAACTGGCCAGCTCGCGTTCCGAACTCTAGAGAAATGCTGCTATCACGCGTCGGATCATCGGCGCAGTATGTAGAACGTAGTAACGGGATCTTAGATGATACCCGGCCAAGTGCTTAAAAACCCTTGAACATCCGAAGCTGCCCGTTCTCCTGGATGACTCCACCAGAACCTCATATCCGCAGCAACCTCAATTCGTACCACACGATCATGTCTTCAGTTGATCGCCACACCTTGCCGAACGGCTCTCGACCCGTCGAAGCCGTCCGAAACAATGGGCCCGACGATTTGGCATTGCAGCGCTGGAAATTACGCGAGATGGCTGAAGGATGGCCCATGTACCGCGATGCATGCGAATGGGAGAACTTCGATTCTATATTTCACGACGACGCACATATCTACACTACATGGAGCGGCCGCGTGCATTACAAGAAGTTCTTCGAAATCTCCAAAGCAGGCATGGATAAAGGCGCCTTCATCATGCATAGATGTGTCGGAGCCAGTACTGACATTCGACCCGACGGTACTCGGGCTGTAACGAAGCTCAAGTCTACTATCACCCAGCGCTTCACCATCGACGGTTGCGAAGTCGATGTGGAGTGTGACTGTCGCTTCTGCTACCTGTGGGAGAGAAACGACGCTGGCGAATGGAAGGCTAGGCTTGTACGGCATTGGTACGAAAAGGACAAGATGATCCCGGTGAATCCGAATAAGGTCCCTGTTTTGGATGAAGCAAGATTGGCGACTTATTCGCCCGGCTATAAAATGCTTGCTTACGGTCAGGAGGAGACGATGGAGGGTATCAAAGTCCTCCACGGCATGCCAGGACATCGCCGTGAAGATGCGGGAACACCTTCTCGTGAGGCGCACGACAAGCTGTATTTCCAGTGCAAGAAGTGGCTGGACGGAGAATCTCTTCGGGCGGAGGACTTTTAGACCGGTCTCCTGAGAATCAATGTACACATTCTAGTTGCAGAGCAACGTGCTGTTTTTTTGTTTTCGTGGGTAATGTAGTGGTGTTTGACGGATAAGCACAGGCGTGCTCGAAGAGGCCATCGCCAAGTCGGATCCCAGGGACACAAGCGCGCCCCACCGCCTCAGGCGTGAACTCGTACCATCCGCTTCCTGATTCTCCATCATTCTCCACATCGTCCGCTTGCGATGGACTGCTACTAACCATCTAGACTTACGCCACGCCTTTCTCATCTGACTCCAATCCGGTGCGAGTACAATCCGTTGACTCCGTTGTGCATAACTGCGAAAGTCGGCAAATGCAGATCCTTGCCCTACTGCACGGGGAAGAACAAGATCAATGTCGCGCGGCATTATCAATCCGACCACGCGGTATTACCGTCTTATAACCCTCCCTTTGTTGATTATGGAACCATAGGTGGTATTGTATGGCATGCTCACAGCTAGGATATGCTTTCGACTGCACCTACTACACCTTCAAGTCCATTGCGTTATCTGAGCGATCGCCAAACCAAGGTATACATCATGCTGATGGTGAGTAACAAAAACCAACGATAGTTTTGGCCGGCAGCAGTACAATGGTAGGAAAACTACTGGTCTCCTCTCCACCCCCACTCAACATTTACCTTGCATCGTGACAAAAGCCTAATGCGCGACTTGAAAACGAAAAGCACAAGCTTTCATTACCCGACAATGGCTCGAAGCGTCGTTAGTCGAAACGCCACCTCCGCACTCCACACTTTAGACTCATGTTCAAGTCCGGGGTACGACAGGCTAAGCATTTGGAGGCACTATCGGCAGATATTGCGACAAGGGGGTCGACACATGGATAACGATCTGCATATCAGTCTGGGATGAAGTGCACATGCAACCGTGAAGCAAGAAAGCAGAATCTCCAATCTCTGGGAGGTGGAGCCAACACCCAAAATCCAGCCTTTGCTTGATATCACCTATCCCCCCGATTTAGCATTGCAAAAACAACAACCACTACTTGCATCGCGTTCTTGCTTATATCGAACCGTCAACAACAGCTACCATGCCCGACCTAACCTCCAGCCTCCTCTCCAACTGGAAATGTCTAGCAGCATGTACTCTCGTCTCCATGTCCCCCTTCCAATACGGCATCGACTTTGGCGCCATCGGCGGTCTACAAGCCATGCGCGGCTTTCTTGAAGTCTTCGGCCACCCAGACCCCACCGTACCAACCGGCTACAACATTTCTACAGAGCGCCAACAGCTCATTTCCTCGTTGATGACGCTGGGTGCTTTCCTCAGCTCCTCGTTCGCCGGTGTCTTGGCAACGAGACTGGGGAGGAGACAGTGTCTTTGGATGGCCAGTGTGCTCTGCTGCGTTGCGAATATCGTCATGATGACTACGACGAGTATGGGGGGTTTGTACGCAGGGAGACTGCTGATTGGTATCGCGAATGGATGGTACATGACGTTTTCGCAGTTGTATATCCAGGTTCGTTTCCTTATCCTTGGTTTCTCTCTCTCTCTCCCACCTTCTTTTCCACACTTTCGTTGACGAAAAAGGGATAACAGGAATCTGCACCGGCGCGCTACCGCGGTCTCATGATCTCCGTCTTCCAGATATGGACCTCGGTTGGCACACTCATCGGGACCGTCATCGACAACGCGACACACGACATGCAGGGTCGTAACTCGTACATCATTCCGCTTGGCACCATCTTCATCGTCCCGTTCTTCATGTCCATTGGCATGTTTTTCATCCCCGAGTCGCCGCGTTGGCTCATCCTGGTGGACAGACCAGCACAGGCAGAGAAGGCACTACTCTGGATGCGTCCTCATCCCGAAAGCGTACCCGGAGAAGTAGCAGAGATCCAAGCTGCCATTGACGCGGAAAAAGCCGTCAAGTCAAGCGCGAATTTCTTGGATATCTGGAAGGATCCTGTGGATCGGCGACGCACGTTATTGGCTATTGCGGCGGTATCGACGCAGGCCGCATCTGGTGCCATGTTTATGATTGCGTACGGAACGTACTTCTTCCAGGTCAGTAACCCGCGCTTCATTGTTCTTTGACCTGGTGATGACTGACAGGATGTAGATGGCCAATGTCGGAAGTCCTTTTATGAACTCGTGCATTTTGACCTCGGTGGGTGTCCTCGTCATCATGGTGAACAGCAGCGTCATCTCCAAAATCGGCCGTCGACGCGTTTTTCTCATGACTGGTCTTTCCATCTGTGGCGTTACGCAGCTAATCATTGCGGCTGTATACCATGTCCATCCTGGGACTACCAGCACGGGAAAAGTAAGAGTCGTCTTTTTTTTCTCTCCAAGCATCAATCTAGGTTCCTTCACTAACTTTTGCACAAGGTCATCGTTGGTCTTTCAGTCGTGTACATCATAGGCTACAACGGCATGATCGCCGCCTACGCTTGGCTCACCGGCGGAGAAATCCCATCGCAGCGTCTCCGTTCCTACACTTTTGGAATCGCATCTGCTGTTGGCTTCGCAGGTGCCTGGCTTGCCACTTTTACAGCTCCCTACTTTATCAATCCCGAGTCGCTAAACTGGGGACCCGAGTACGGTACGTTCAGCGATTTCCCCCTCTCACACATAACCTCCACATTTCCAACGAAGCTTACTGACATGCTTTTCTTTGCAGGCTGGATCTGGGGCCCGTCTTGTTTCATAACCGTCATCTGGGTCTACTTTTACCTCCCCGAGATCAAGAACCGCACGCTCGAGGAAATCGACGAGATGTTTGAAGCTAGGCTCCCTGCGCGCAAGTTCAGAAAGTATGTTTGTACCGGGAGGGTGTTGGCTGGTGATGGGAATGAGAAGCTTGGTAGTGAGAGAAGGAATAGCGAGAAGGATGGTAGCGAGAAAGATCAGGTTGTACACCAGGAGGTTGTTGATGTAGGGGAGAAGGGCGCATGAGCTGGGAAGGAGATTGTCATGAAGGTGTGAGAGATTTTATGTCACGGTGACTAGAGTCACAGCTTGAGGAAATGATAGCTGAGCACATGGAATTGCAAGATGTGTACTTTGACTGTTTATCGTTTGAATGCTACTCCTCTGTTTAAGCCTCTCATCATGTACCGGCGTTCTCGCCATCCTTCCCACACACCACACCTAGCAAACCCAACCAAAATCGGCGAAAATACGATACTCTAATGCCGTCCATCTACGCACCAACACGACACTTCTTTATCGCCTCATCCCCCATCTCCTCAGCATGCTTCTCCGCATCATGCTGAAACACCCAATCCTCCCTCGGAAACTGAATGAGCGTAGGATCCTTCTTCACCTTCTCCCAATCCGTCTTATGCCACATATCCCTCGTCGTCTCGCCCGTCTTCTGCACCGCCTTGACACGGTCGTACCGTAGATCCTGATACGCCCTCAGCGCACCTTTAACATTCTCCTTGCCAGCCTTCCGCAGCAACACGGCAAGCGTCACGCCATCTTCCAGCGCCTGCGTCGCACCTTGCGCACTCGTAGGTAGGAAAGGGTGTGCAGCGTCGCCTAGCAGGCAGATTCGGCCGTGGCCTGGTGCGGAGCCATAGCCGCTGACCCAGTTGGGTAGTGGGTCCCGGTACACGAGTTTCCAATCTACGAGTTTCTCTTCGGGCGTCTTGGACACGATTTTCCAGCACATGGGGTCCCAGCCTTCGAGCACGGTTTTGACGTCTTTGAGGTAGCCGGGGAAGGACCAGGATTCGTCAATGTCGTGCGAGTCGCGGTGGGTGAGCACCCAGCAGCAGTCTGTGCCGTTCTTGATGGTGCTGAAGAGGAAGTGGACGTCTGGGCCTAGGATGGTTGTTAGTATGAGATTAGGTTCGAGAGGAGGGGAAGATAGGTGTACCGATCCAGCCGTTGAAGGTGTCTCCGTTGTCGCAGAATTGCTTGGTTTCCGGGTCTGCCATCATGTCCTTGTTGCTGAACCATGCTCGCCAGACGGCATACCCACTGCTCTTCGGCTTGTCTTCGTATCCCAGCACCAGTGTTCTGGCCTTGCTCCTGACACCATCACTCGCAACCACAAGATCACCAGCGACCCTCGTCCCATCCTCCAGCACAATACCCGCTTCCTTTTCATCCTCCCAGTACTTCTCTACCCTCTGCCCCAGATTAATTTCCACCCCAATCTCCTTTGCGTAATTGAACACAATCTCGTGCAGCTCGCCGCGGTGTCCGTTGAAGTTTGGCGCCTTTTCGTCGCGTGGCGGCGTCTTCTGGTTTATGACTATCTCGCCAGTGTCCCATTTGTGGATGTTGAAACCGTATTCGGTAAGGTCGATGGAGATGCTGCGCATGTCGCGTGCGACGCGTCCGTCGCTCCAGCGCGCAAAGATGCGACCGGCGTTGGGGCCAAAGGTTATGATGTCGCCGAGGATCTTGAGCGAGGGGAAGGATTCGTAGATGACGGGGGTGTGGCCGTGGCGGATGCATTCTATGGCTGCTGTGAGGCCGCCGAAACCTGGTCGTGGTTGTTAGGGATTGTATGTAGTAGGTAGTAGGAGATGTACCTGCGCCGATGATGATGACTTTGATGCCAGTCTTTGGCTTCGCGCCATTAGTGACGGGGCCATTGCCATTGGTCTCTAGAGAAGACATGCTGGGTAGTTTGGTGTCGTCGATTCTCGCACGGAGTGGCATACGCGACTTTGATAGAGCGTCACGACCAGAACAGGAGTGACACAACGCGCTTGGTTGCGAGAAAAGGCTCGAGGTGTCTGAACGCGTCGACCGGGTATCCGTTCGCGCAGCGTGGGGCTTGGCCAGCCTGCATCTACCGACGATATGGCAGTGTACCCATAGCCTCAGCTACTTCATCCAGGCGAGATGATACCGATGGCCGAGGGTGCAGGCGTGGGTCGTGGCGCCATGGGCTTGCAGACGTTGGACGCTTCTCGCGGCATGTCTTCTCCGTGGCGTGGATTCGTATCATTGGGGAGTGGATCGACGTATCTGCCGGGTAAAGAGTGTTGACGCGTGACGCGAGGTTATTGGGGTTGTGAAGGGAAGCATGTCCCTGCCCCACATCGTGTTAAACCTCCCCGCACTGTACCCCGCAGCCTCCATTACAACTGCGCCTTGCCATTTCCGGATGGACCCCGTTCTGAGAGTGTGATGCAGTAGACGCTGATGTGAGTCTGAAGTTGGCATGCATCCTGATGCCAGAAGACAAAAGTAGCTGTGATGAAGCTTGGGCCCTCTGTCAAGGGGTGACGCGAACCGACCTGCGAATTACGAGGGAGAAAGACATGGTGGGGCGGGCATGATGTAGCCCTGTTGATATCGTTCCAAATCTATAAGCCTACAGAAGGTATCATATATCAAAATTGATGTCGATGGATCTGCTGGACATTGTGAAGGTACCATATGCCACCATGTCGACCTTGACACATCCAGAATGGAACCAGGAGACGGGTGGCCTCGAAGTCGCGAAGGCGTTCGCTGACCAGATTCGAGGGAAGAGTGGTAAGAAGCCTGGTACCGTCACACTCACGAGATGCGGAGTTGATAGAACAATAGTACTCATCACCGGTGTATCACCCGAAAGCATTGGTTCTTCCATAGCCCTCTCCATCGCTTCCCAGAACCCAAAGCTCGTGATCCTCGCCTCGCGCACCAAGCACAAACTAGAACAAGTACTTAAGAACGTCCAGAATGCCTATCCAGACGTCGCACTCAAAATTGTTCTCCTCGATTTGATGTCCCAAGAATCTGTCAGAGCCGCCGCGAAGGAGGTCTCGCAGTTGACAGGCCGCCTGGATCTGATCATCAACAATGCAGGTATCATGACACCAACGCGCCAAACGACCAAAGAGGGCATCGAGGGACAATTTGGCGCAAACCACATTGGCCACTTCTTGCTCACCAATCTGCTCATGTCTCAACTTTTGGCTTCGGTATCGTCTTCAAAGGAGGGTGCAACACGCGTCATCAACCTCACTTCCCTGGGCCACCGACTCAGCGCAATGCGCTTTTCCGATTACAACCTGGAGAAGAGCAATGAGGAGGTTCCTGAGGCAGAAAGACATGTGCCATTACCCCCGGCGTTTTCAAAGACGGCAAGCGATGGGTATAACGGGTATGTCGCGTACGGACAGGCGAAGACGGCGAATATCTTGTTCTCCGTGGGTATGAATGAGAAGTTTGGAAATCAGGGTGTGAAGAGCTATGCTGTTCATCCTGGATGTGAGTACTCCGCTGCGACAAGACTGTTTGGTCGTTCACGAGGGAGCTTGCTGACGGTTCAGCCATCTGGACTGGTCTCAGTCGCGACTTGGATGCAGATGGTGAAGCTGCGATTAGAAAGACGAGCCCGTTCTGGAAGAACCATGATCAAGGGGCTGCGACGGTACTAGTCGCGGCACTAGACCCTGCTTTGGACGGTAAGTGCATACTTGATCGCGCTATGGGCGTGCTGACACAATGTCAGAGTCGAAGGGCGTTTTGCTGCATGACTGTCAGATGTGCGACGCCATGCCGTACGCGACCGACACGAACTTAGCCGAGCAACTGTGGGCGCTGAGTGAGAAGTTGATTCAGAGTAGCTTCAAATTGTGACGGGTCTGTTACATTGAGTACGAAATAATTTAGCGGACATAGTGAAGAAGAGAAAGGCACGGTTGCCGGGGTAGGGCCCTAGAACAGGAACAGTCAAGCCTAGCAAACAGCGACCAGAACGGCTGAAGGAAACCTGTGCATGACCTGCGCCTCTTCCACATCTTCCGCCAAGCCTCTCACATGCTGCAGACTTCTTTGCGTGTCGTCATGATCATAACCCAACTTCTTTTTGCGTGCCTCGTACAGGCCTCTCGCGATGCCAAGGGCTTTGGAGAATTTCCCCAGATGCTGCAGGAGAATGGCGCGAAACTCAAGAGCTTCCAACGCCTCAGGATGCATCACACCAAACTTCTTTTCAAGTAGCGGGAGTGCGAAAGCGACTACAGATTCTGCCTCGTCGAACTTGCCCTGGTCGTGCAGGGCAGTCGCGAGATTTGTATGCGTCTTTAGCGTGTCTGGATGCGATACTCCAAGTTTCTCCTGGAAGATAGCCAGAGCTTGGCGGTACAGTGCCTCAGCTTGCTTGTGGTGACCCTGTTCATTGAGCGTAATAGCGAGATTCGCTTTGCTCTTGACGGTCTCGTGGTGGTGTGGGCCCAAGATTTGGTGGCGCTTTTTGTACACGTAGCGATGGCTGTGCTCAGCCTCGTCGAGCTTGCCCTGGAAATGAAGCGCGATGGCGATGTTGCTCCTTGCCGCGATAACGAATAGATCGTCGGCCCCGTAGGCTTGGAGCCAGCCTTTCAGTGATCTATCGAACAAATTCTCCGCTGTTTCATGCTCTCCTTGACTGAGTAGAACAATTCCGAGGTTGTTTGCGCTGATCAACGTATCAGGATCATCGCGTCCCAATATCTTGCTCTTCAAACGAAGGGCGCTTTGGTGGTGACGTATTGCCGCGCGATTGTTACCCATGGTATGATACATCAGCCCTAACCCATTGACACTGTGTAGAGTGCAGATATCCGATCTTCCAAGAGATTTTGTTCGAGAGCGATGCAGGCTATGAAGCATCGGCAGGGCCGTGTCGAGTTCTCCGCGTAATGTCTGTGCAGTTATCTCTTTACCGCTCAGTGTCGTGTCCGTCTCGAAGTAGGCTGGCAGCACATCTCGAGACCACGCCTTGAATGTAACAAGAAGGTACAAGACCCGCGAATAACACCCGGTCATCATGAGATACATGCAAAAGCGGACCGTCAGAGCTGCTGTCTCTGCGAAGGTAAGTGGGTCTGCTGGATATTGCATTGTAGTCTCCAACACCTCGGAGACTTGCACATGGAGATCATGACCACGCTGAAGATCCTGGAATCGGGTAAAAGGCACGTCGAACTCGATACTGAGGGTGCGCAAGACTGTTCTGATGTGTTGTAGACGTCCTGATGATGTTTCGAGCTTTGTACGCACGCTCGGTTTTGGTTGAGTTGCATTTCGACTGAGATTGACCCTAGTAAGGATGTGTTAGCTACCGACGCTTTTAAAGCAGCTCAGGCAGAACTTACATAGTGATATACGATGCAAGGATGTTGAAATTGTTTCTATACGATGACATGATCCGTTCCACCTCCTCTTCTTTCCGCATGACAAATACTGTCCCTGATGCTTTTGAACGTTTCTGCGAAAGCATGTACTTCCGGCATGCTGCAAGTAAAGTATGTAGCCTTGCAGCGTCTTTGCGACATTGTCCTAAGAGTTGAATAGTGCTTGGAGTATGGTTGCGGATTGAGCAGTCGATATCGTCGATAAGGTTTGTCATCAGAAGAGCTTGATCGATCCAGTTATCGATCTTATCCGCCGTATGACGTATGTTATGCGACAAGGCAGAAACGGTGCTGACTGATACAAAACCATAATGGATCAGCTGGGTGAGGGCAGCAGCGCCACCGAGTACTGCCAGCACTTCTGCCATACTAAAATCCCGTGGGTGACGACGATGTCTGATGTTCAGAGCCAGATGCCGAGGTGGGAGGCATATTAAGATTGAACAAAAGTGAGGCAACGAGGCAGACCAGGACGGTATGGCTGACACTCGTTTGGAAGGGTGTAGGTCCAATCAGCTGTGACGGTGTAGCCCATTAGATACGACGTGCAGCAAGGCTGAATATGGCAGGCGTGATACCACAACAATGAGCATCTGTATTCAGTATTGGTATTGGTAGGCATATTGGCTCGTGGTAAGCTGTTCGTTTGTATCCGTCGCATCTGCGTATTCAGTTGGTTGTCTTAGGACTACTTCCCATCCTAGGAACTCAGCCAAGTGCTGTTCGAGTCGCCTCACGGATTCCCCAACGACTCTGCCAACGTTCTTTACTTTGACGTTGTACTGTACTGGGTGTATCTTCCCAAAGTCGATGCGAGATGCTGGGCTGACATCGATTTGTTCATTTTCAAGCTTGATTTCGATGGGCTCTTTGAGGCCAATCTCGCCTTCGTACACCACAGCTTGGTGACCCTGGCGGACTACCGCTGCGTGTTCATTAGAATTCACGCCCGGCTTGAGAGTTGCACGGCCGGAATAGGTGCTAATTCGCAAGCAGTAACAGAACTCTCTTTTAGGTTTCACGACCACAAATCTAGTCTGTTTCGTGAAGGGTTGCCCTGTGGTACCGTCTGGTTCGGACCAGAGTACCATGAAAATTCTTCCTATCTTGAAATAATTGCGAGGGTTGCGGACCACCTCGTAGCCTTACAGGATTAGCAGTGGTAAGTGTGTTTTTAAGGCAACTTACCAAGCTGGCCTGTATCTAGTGGTAACAAAGAGCCTGGTATTTCTGCATTCGTTTGATACGATGATTGCGACGTAGGTTGAGCAGATGGCGATGCGACTACAGGAGCCCATGCAAAGAAGACCCAGCTATACCCGTCTATACAGGTGGTCAGCCCACAGGTAGCTTTTGTGGAAAGAGGCATACTCACCATGATGATCCCAATAATATCTCTGGTACTCGTCACTCCATCTAGTGATCAGCCATTTGTTGAAGGAAGGGTTCCATTGCGGCTGGGGTTGAGACATGTTGCTCGTGGTCTTCGGCAACACGATAGGTGTCAGCGATCGGAAGTGAGGAATTGGCGATTGGATGACTCAGCCCCCACCAAACTTCGCAGAGCAGGCTGGAGCGTCACTGCGCCTCGCTGTTGCCTGGAGTTGGGGTATATATATTGCGCGCGCGCTACAGTGACCAAGTGTTGGTAGACGCTCCAGTTTTGTTACCTGTAACGGTCGCAACTTCTCTCCCTCAACGACGAGCGTTACCCTGAATTATACCTTTGTGCTGGACCTAAGTGAAGCCTCTTTCCACGCCACTCACTGTTGTGCTCACCGGCTGGTTCATCTATTCATTCGTCCTACACATCGGGCTGCAACGCGGTGCAGCCGCCCAACGTCGCCAGATTGCCTGTAACACAACCTATACCTGACAAGCACATGTCGAACCTTCTGTCCGGCCTTTGGATGAGCCAACTCTTTTCGGTAGGCTTACTATTGTGTTGTGCCTCGTCATCGGGCACAATCTTGTCTGCAGGTTGTTTTGACGATGCTTAGGCTACGCGCCTCTCGACGCGCGACGATGGACACGATCTGACCGGGTCGGCGTGGGCGCCCGCGCTTCCGCTTGCGCCCAAGACGCGATGCCCGCAACCTCCAGCAGCGCAGCATTCCACACTCATCTCACTAACAAGTCGCTTCATTACAGCCTCCAAGAATGGTTTTCATCACACGTTGTCTGCTGTTCTTGAGAAGGTGAACCGACTCTTGCTTTTTGTTTCCAATGTTATCGACGCTTCTGTATCTACTACAGACCTTTGTATTCCATTCCTGACAATTTCTTTCCTTTTGTTTCATCCTGACGAATGCACTCTGCGAGTGCGTCTTGTACATAACAACATTGCGTCTGCTTCTACTTACCCACAGCTTTACCGTCGAGCCCTCGAATGGGAATGGTTCACTACTAACATCCCAAACTCACTTACATCACATCCAGCGCCAAAGCCACACCCAACTGGGCTTCATCAAAGTGGTATCTTCAAGATCACATCCGCAGTCACCAGTTTTGACACTTCTCGGATCTACAAAGCTCGCGGCTCGCGCAACCAGAGAGGAAACAAGCCGCCACCACGTCCTGCACCTAATCCGTACCCAACAGGACCACATCAAAACAGTATCAAGAGACCTAACAAACCACCCCCGCGCCCTGCGCCTAACCCATATCCGACTGGGCCACATCAGAACTAGGTTCGTTACAGGTTGAATCCAGGTGCGGAGGTAAACTAGTTATGACTGGGCTTATCCAAGCATGCGCTAATACCTCCAGGACCCCTTCTTGGTATCCTTTCTCACATGCTTGACTAACAATCATAGATGACAACGGCAATATCTCAATTGTCGCATACAGTCACTTCCTCTCGTTCAACTATCCTACGCTCTGCACATCGTGTATGACCCTGGCCGTAAGACGAATGCCGTTTGGTGGATAGACACTCGTTTGGATTGGAAGTTTTGATGGAGAAGGGGATGCTCTTGCTGTTGGTTACTTGCATAAATGGACACTCGTTTATCTTGAATGGTTGCTTGGAAAGAGGGGCAAAAATCTATGGACTATCCTTGCAGAGAGGATGAAGATATACGTCACTTCCTTAGGCTCACTTGCTTTGATCCTCACATCTACGTGCTTCTATATGCTTGTACCTATAAAGCTTGATTTTGAACTAGCTCAGCGCCGAAAAGATGGGAAAGCCGAATGTGGGAGACCGACTGCGAACGTCGCGATACCACATATTTCGCTATGAGACTTGTATATAACTTACACTCACACCTACAACATGCAAGAGATAATGATGTGAGAGTCTTGCCCACTCGCCACTAGCTCTGCTTCCAACTCCGCCAGGTACCTCCGACTGTCCATAGTGTCTGGATGGTTGTCGTCCAACATCGCTTTCTGCATATCATAAAGCAATGCCATCATCTCCATCGCCTCCTCGAGTCTTTCTTGCCAATGCAAGAGCGTAGCCAGATAGTGTATTGTCTTGAACGTTTCCGTATGACCCTTGCCATGCTTCTCTTCCAATGTATCAAGAACTTCTCGTATCAGCGCTTCTGCTTCTGCAAATTTGGACTGCCGGTGTAGAATGTAGGCAAGGTTGCGAAGAGACTTGATGGCCTGCGGATGTGACGGGCCCAGTTCTGCTTTGTATGTTTGGTAGATGTCGTGAAGGAGCTGGACTGATTGATCGTAACGACCTTGTTCCTGGAGCGCCAGTGCTAGATTACCTTTGCTCTTCAATGTATCTGGGTGTGTCGAGCCTAGGGCGACTTCTCGACCTTTTAATGCAGCCTCATGTAGCCGCCGAGCTTGTTTAGACCGTCCTTGTAGCCCCCTGAGGACACCAAGATTGCTCTTACTGACGAGAACATCGGGATGTGAATCTGGAAGCTTTGCTTGTCGTCCGCGCAACGCCTGGACAAAATAGATCTCCGCTTCTTCAAAGTTTCCTTGGCTTTCCAGTGATAGCGCAAGATTATTGAAAGTGAAGAAGATTTCTAGGTCACACGGCCCGCATACGATACGCTTCAGCTCCAGCACTTTGCGATGACAACGCTCCGCCAAAGAGAACCGACCTTGCTCCCATTGATACAAGCCAACATTGTTGAGGCTATGAAGAGTGTCCAGGTGATCTTCTCCGATAGTGTAGATCTGCGATCGGAGCACCTCTCTCGTAATAGTTTCCGCAGTCGTAAACTCCCCGCTTCCATAATAAGCAATGCCGATCTTGCTGCAAAGTCTGTCGGAGGCAGTGACAAGCTTTTGCACACTGATTGGAGCCCAGGAGATGAATCGAGAGGACGCAGCGATTGCTTCGTATGGCTTTCCCTGGTTAATCAGAAGTTGGCACAATATTGTTGACAGTTGAAAGGCGAGCTTAATTATGCCTGGCGGGAACTCTCGTTCAGGAGCAAGTGTGGCGACGGCTGTTAACACTGAGGCTATGTGTGCATGTTTCTTCTGGGCCAAACTTGTTGCATCCATGCGTGGTGCTTCGAGTTGGGCAACGAATTGGAGAGCGGCTGCCAGAAATCGAGCACGGTTGGGGCTGCAAAGCAGCTGACCTCTAGCGGTGTGCTTCACGAGCTCTGGCATCTTCCATCTTGTGGTTCGCGTGATGGGCTTGAGAAGCGAATATGCTTTGAGGATGTCTATCGCTTCTCTTCTTGAGTCCGTGTTCGCAAGAGATAGAATGAAGTCGTCTGGTAGGTCTGAACAATCCAAGCTCGAAAGGACGAAGAGCATCGCAGGGACATCTTCGTTGCAAGTTGCAAGGGATTTGAGCGTGTATATGCGGTCATGATCTCCTTGACGTACCGCTCTGGGATGCGGAGGAACTGCCGTTCCGTCGAGTAGCGCAGTCAGGAACGACGCATCTTGTTCCAAGAGCGCGAGAAATCTTGTTAGCCGGGTACCGGTAGATGCTATGTATATTCCAGCGCTTTTGATCGCTAGCGGATGATACTCGAGCGTTTCCACTAAACTCGTGGTGGGTTCTCCATCCCAAGTACCTGCCCCGATGTACGAAAGCAACAATTGTTGCGCATCTCCTTCGGACATGGTAGGCATATCGATGATATCTGCCGGGTGCGAATAATGTAATGCGATTCGGCGACTACGGGTAATGAAGAGGATGTGATGATCGCGTGTCGGCCGCAACAAGTTCTCTAGAATCGTGCTGGAGGTTGAGTCTACATCAACGTTGTCAATGATCAAAAGGCGTTTAGCTAAGATAGGTGATCTCATCCAATGTATCACAGCAGCGGTCAAAGCTTCTGTCGTATCGTTGGCGATATCTCTGATGCCATCGATCGCGCGAAGCCCTGTAGTCAAGGTTTCGCCGGTAGTGGCATCGAGCCAGAAGATGGATAAGTCTGATGTTTCTTCATGAATGCGATGCGCTAACTCGATTGCTAGATCGGACTTCCTGAAGAGGAGTTAGTAAGGATAGTTACCATAGCTACTATAGGAAGAGCTGACGTACCCTAGTCCTCCGAGGCCATGTATGGCGGTAAGAGACTGCGCTGTTTGTTTGATCTTCGTGAGGAGCTTCTGAAGTTGATCTACACAGCCGATGAACATCATGTTGCGCGTGGTAGAGGCTGCGGGCTGATTGAGGAGTAATGATGGCGCGCTGGTCGTTGACAGGGCCTAGATATTGTTTATAATTAGCTGTCAAGCATGACATAACAACGAGCTACTTTGTCAATTGAGATGATGGTCTCAGCAAAGAAAGGTGACATTGATGCGCGTACAGTGTGAGCGACCAAAGTATTGGTTGAAGCTGAGGACAACTGATTATAAACAGTCGATATGCTGTTCACGTGATTCAGCCTAGTACTGTCAGCACGGCTTCTACCTTCCAAGTGAGCAAGCACTTAACGTGACTAGGTGCGAACATAATACAATACGCTGACTTATAGCTAGCATCTCTTTGTTCACTTCAGTCTCTTTCCTTACGACCCTGATGTTCTTCCACATCTTCGCTACTCTTCCATCATCGGTGTGTATCGTGGTCTTGCGCAGTTCGGATTGGACACTATTCAGATCTTCGGTAAGATGATCTATGATTGTTGAAGGGATAATATTGGTATTAAGTTGTCTATAAGCTTCCAGCGATGCGTTGGCAAGAAGCGTTGCTTGGTCGATCCAACGGCCTTGAGTAGTGGGGGCTTTGCGCACTCGTTGTGCAAAGTCTGGTATGGCATTAGCAGCACTGAAGCTGTATTTTGCAAGCTGCAGGCTCGCAGCGGCGGCTCCGATGAACTCGACCATAGTCTCACATTTCTTGGGCATACACGGACGACGTGGGCGCTATATACTGAGGGGAAATGCAGCCTAAGCCACGAAGGCTGCATACAACCAGCTCATGCGTACTATGAGAAGGGCGTTGAAGCACGCGAGGCTTCTATTTAGTCCAATCAACCATTCATTGAGCCGTCTGCCCGCATGTGTGCGCATGCTTAGTAGATCATCCCACAATCTCATTGGTCGGCCTACCTGGACCGGTGTAGCGATAATCTTCAGCCTTGGAACACATCGCTAAGGAATCGAAACGCAGAATGCTAAAACTCTTCAATGTCAAATTCGCCAATAACGGCGAAAAAGCTTCCTTTCAACTGTTTCCAATTCTCGAGCATTCCGTGAAGTATTGTTCCATTTGCCAAACTGAATCTGAGACGATCCTGCCAACCTTCCAAACTTTGACATTGTATTCCACGGTATAGATCTTTGCGAAGTTGATGCGCGACGCACGGTCGATTGGTCCCGTAGAAGTATTCTCGACCTTTATTCGCAAGGGCGTCTTGTCAAGCTTCGCTTCATTTGGCAGCCGATAGTCCACATCATCGTTTTCGGCTATGACTGCAGCGTGGTCTTGTGGATTGATTCCCGGTTTTGTAGTTGCTTGACCACCGTAGGTGTGAATGGGCAGACACAAACAAAACGTATTCTTCGGCCTGATCACCACGAATCTTCTGATTTTCACAACGACAGGCGGGCCCACTCGATCTTTGACAAAATCACCGCCAGGCTCCGGCCAGGGCACCATGAAGACGGTGCCTTTCTTGAAGAAACCGCGTGGATTCTGAACGACCTGGTAATCTGCGAGTAGTCAGTCGATGGTACTCTACCAGTGACAGATGGTACAGACCTGAAGATAAGTCGCCAGTCAAACGACTATCGAGAGCAACCGCTGATAGATGGTGCTCGGCATCTCTACGGAGGAGTAACACATCTTCGCTATCTGAATCCGGGTCTGGAATCTGAGTCGGCTCCGATATAGCATAGTTCGGCGTGCTCCGCAGATATGAGCTGCTGCCACCATAATCGTCCCGATCTTGCCAGTAAGCTACGAGTTTGTACCTATGTGACGGATGCACTATGCCGATGTCCTTGACTTTGACATTTTTCTCGATAGGATAGGTCTTGCCAAATCGAATACGCGATTCCGGCCTTATACGGACACTGCTATCCACAGGTACAACTTCGATAGGATCTCTAGTCATCCCGGCTTCCCGCTCACCAGGCAGGTAGCACGATTCTGAGTCAGTACCTGAAAGATATACAATAGCATGCTCTGCTGGATTGATGCCACTCTTTAACGTTCCCCGACCAGAATAGGTTCCAATACCGCTATAATTCATGTTAGTTCAGTATTGTTGTGCGTCGCGAATGACTTGCCATGCATAAACAAATCCATGCTTGTCTTCCACCACGACAAAGCGTCTGATGTTCGTATGCACACGTTCATTGAACCGTACAGTAGTGTAAGCATCGTCGAGAGGTTGAGCTTGATACCCGCCAGCAGCCTCGGTATACAGCATTGCGAATACCTAGAAGAGGTGATTAGATCTCAACTTTTTCAGCGATACCATTCCTTACTTTTCCCACGACGAAGAAGTTGCGCGCTTCCGTCCCTGTTCGCATGCGATAACCTGGAGAACTTAGCGTGTTTGCCAAATGACAGAGATCCGATACTGACTCGAATCTAGTAAGTCATACCACCCTGTCTGGGGTGTGCCCCTGATGGCGCCTGTCAAAGTCCCGAACTGTGGAGGTGCAGGGTCTGGCATCTGAGCCGTATAGGATCCATAGTCCTGTTGAGCGGCGGAGTCCTGTCGAGGCAGTGCTTGCGCTGTCTGCTTAAACCAGTGGTAGACCGGTCGATTACACTCTAGGGTGCGTGGGTCAGCAAGCTTCACGTGTGGAAAGGACCACTTGACACGCACCATCGTAGGTAACGTAATAATAGTCATTGTATTGTGCATTCCAGATCCAGTGGCTTGCCGACATTGCTAGATCAACGGTTCATACTAGAGTTGATGCGAGGGTGGAAGGCTTGATGAGCCTCGATTGAAGGCGCGACGCTAGCAGGGCCCGGAAGCAACAGCTGGCGATCCCGTGGTGGATGCCTGGGCACCTAAACCATCATCCCACTTCCAACTTCAACCCAACAATCCACCTATCAACCCATCGACCTATCCAGGTAGCACCGAGCACTAGTCATTAATAACATTCTGCGCGCGACCAGGTCCATCTGTACGTGCGACTACGTGCACACAGACCCGCTGGACCTAGCTGACTGTGGAGCCAGAGCACTCAGTCCCCGCTGTGGAGCTGCACCGGTGCATGCTAGTGTTACCCGTTCTCCATCGGCCAGCGAGACTTACAGCGTTAAGCCGTCGTCTCGAATCATGCGTATATGCTCCCAGAATGTATGCGAAAGTTACTAACACGACAGCAGTTCTGAACGCTTTTCTCTTCCGCCCGCCTGGCGATGAGACGGCTGACTGCAACTCGATGCGCAGCTCAAACGATGGCACCGCGATACTCTACGCACAGCACCCGCACTCAGAGGCCTGCTATCTGTTATCTCGTCTAAGTGGTACGACATCTGCTCCTAGAGCAGTATGTTTCGACAAATCGACTCTCGCCGCGAGTATCGCACCTAGTGCACCTTCTGTCGCACCTCTCGGCTTGAGAGGTGCGCCGCCTACAAACAAGGATACGATAAAGAGCAACATCAAAAGGGCTCTTTGTAAGGAGGATGCGGGCACTGCTTCACTTACGGGAGCAGCGTTTCCATCATCCCTCCTACAAATTAGTGGTAGCAGAGCTCTTATTGGCAGCAGCACCATCATCGGGCTCACAAGGATGCTCTATCGTATAACGAAGAATCGTCATGCAGACGTCCCTTCAGAGGCTGTATACTCAGTCTCATCACCTATTTCTGTCAAGTGCATTTCCCCTACACCCCAAGCTGCAGTTTCACTCACGGAGACGCTTATCCTTCCTTCGTCCATTCATTACACCGATTTTCATGCCCAAGCTGTAGTTCCTCCGACGGGAACAACTCCTCTATTCTACCCACCGCCTCCACCTGAATCTGAGCCGTACAACACCGGACAAACCCAATAGTCGCAGTGCGATGCAATACTTACGGTTGCTCGTGCAATTGAGTTGCTATCTAGTGTGGTTTCAGCGATGACGTTAGTGTGTGTGTGCATTCTGTTCCTATTTTTTTAAGTCTAACTCTTTACACTCCTTACAAATGATCCTTATTGTATTTTGTATGTAGATAGAGTTTGCGAACCCAAATTGTATATCGTTCAAACTCGAAAATGCTGCCTACAGAACGGAAGGCAGAGGCCGGACGAGGCTGACAGCTCAACGCAATGAAGCTTGCCGTAATTACGTCCGTGCACCACCACGTCGAAAAAGGCGACACATCCATTAGTTTCTGCCGATGTCCATAAGGGACATCACTCTAGACACATGGTCAGAACAGATAATGAGGCCGAAAGCGCCCCACTATTCAAAACGCCAATGAGTCTTCAGCTAGTACCGCGTCGGACCTTTCTTCTGAGTCACACCCCGATCTCAGGAGCATAGAAGTAGAAAATATTTACTTAGACATCGAGCTTCTTTCACTCTGAATCCTCACCATGGCCTTTCCATCAGTTTTCAGCGAGGATCAGATTGTGTCGTTCCTCAAACACATTGGTCTTTCCTCGTTGCTCCAGCAGCAGAGATTCTCAGGCAATGCCGCACAGGATCTTCATTTCCTCCAACAGCTGCATATACATACCATCGCTGCCATTCCGTACGAAAACCTCTGGCTCCACTACAACCCTACTCACACGAACAACATCAAGCCGCAGGACACATTCAACAGCGTCATCGCCAATAGGCGCGGGCGCGGCGGCTACTGTTTCCAGGTATCAATCTTCTTCAATCACATGCTACGTGGACTAGGCTTCCCGGCCTATCTCGCTCCCGTGAGAATCAGGCATCGTCTAGATGGTGTTCCACAGGGTGACTACAGCGGCTGGGTGCACCTTGTCAATCTCATCAGCTTAGCGGACGGCACCAAATGGGCTCTCGACGTTGGTTTTGGCGGCGACGGTCCTACAGCGCCCATGCAGCTCGTTCATGATCGCCCAAAGACAAATCTAGGAAGCCAGGAAGTTCGACTCTGGCATGATTGGATTCCTACACAGTTGCACCGGACGGATGGGACCAAGCTCTGGATCTACCAGTACCGCAATGGCCCTGAGCATGCGTGGAATTCGTTCTACGCGTTCTCTGAAGAAGAAGCCATGGAGGCGGATTTTCACAATCTCAATTGGTATACTGGATCGCACCCGGAGAGCTTCCAGACGTTTACTTGTATCATTGTAAAATTCCTGCGACGCGCGAAGTCCGATGTTAGAGATAGCGACCAAGAGATTTACGGCAAACGCATGTTGGTCAACGGCGTTGTGAAAGAGAATTTAGGAGGGAGGACCACGGTTGTGGAAGACTGTATAACCGAGGAGCAGAGACTACATGCGCTAGAAAAGTGGTTTGGCATAAAATTAACAGAAGAAGAGAAGGCCGGTATCAGAGGCTGGGTAACTGAGCTCAGGGGCGACGGCAGCGAAGGTGTAGTAGCAGGAATGAGGACGAGAAGCGAAAATTGGGAGGTCTGCAGAGGGAAGGATGGGTGGTGGAAGTGGAATGGACCGGCTGCTGAATGATAGACGAAACTTCCCAAGTTCAGTTGGCGGATTTGTTGTTATCAGCGCGGGCATCAACCCAACAGGCTTTCACAGAGATTCACTGTTACGGTTTATGCTGGAAGGACATTGCGCGTGTCACATACAGAGTCGCTATCAGTCAGGCTAGTCCAATCTGACATCGAACCGATATCTGTGCACGTGTATACCTCATCATCAGAATTATCAAAGTGTATCAAGAGAAAAAAATGCTAAAAGCTAAACTATCTTTCATTTTTCCTAATATAGTAGGTATTCTAGCACTTAGAGAGTAATATCAATATATACCCTGAACAAAGGCTTTTATAGAAGGGGTACCGATATAATCAAAACCTTCGCCTAGCTTCCCAACAGCATATTCGCAAAGTCAAGAAGTCTCCAACGTTGATAGAATAGCTCTAGGTGTACTGAATTCAGAGCCAGGGATAGTCAAGTTCATAAATAGTGTAGTAGGATGGACATTCGTTCGCGCCTTTATGTAGCTGCACTAACACATGTACAGGTATATTACACAACAGTAATTCAAAGAGTCAGAAATTATCTGCTAACAAAGGAGTGTGAATGCGCGTCTCATAGACCGCTGCCAAATGAGTGTAGGGGTTCGCGACTGCCATGACTCCCATCACGGGGTATGGCCTGTGATCTCTCCAATCGTCTAGCTCTGCTTAAAGCCGTACTCGAAAAACTCCTGGCCCAAACGTTCCTGGCGGCCGTTGGCAGAGAAGTAAGTAAAAAAGCTGGATCTACCATGATCCTCCAGAGTTGCACCTGTGGAGGTGAACTCCTCAGCCCAAGTCAGGACAAACTGAATCTTCTCGTTTGTTCTTGCGACAACAGCGTTGAATGTTGCTGTCACGATGCCATCGACGCTGTTGACGAAACTCTGGTCGATTTTGAACGGGCCCCAAGCAAATGAGCCGTCGCCTTTAACAAGATTGCCAGCCACATGCCCTTCTTTGCCTCCGTTGGTGGTGGTGTATCTGTAGCTGATCTCCCAAAGCCAGGTGGTACCCGCTGCAAGGCCGTGTACAGCCTTCTTCAAGCCGACTTGAATCGTTCGCTTCTGGTATGGAGAGCCGATGAGGTAGCGTTTGGCGAGATGGACATCATTGGCGGCGTCGCGCTGAGTAATTGCGCGAGTTACGCCAGCCTTGTCGGAGAGATCAATACCCATGTCGAGGGGAGCTGTCGAGGAGATCTCTCGGACAGCGATTGCATCTACAGAGTTGGAGGTAGGAGCGCACAGCCCAGTAGAAATTGCGCTAATAGCAAGAAGGGTTGACATCAATGTCTTAGTGTTGATGAAGAGCATCTTGAATAGAGAAGAGGTTTCGATTGTAAGGTGATTGTCGAAGCGATTGACCGTTGAAGTGAGTTATGATGCTGAATTTGATATCGAATGATACGGGTGATTCTGCTTGCATTTTATATTCGCTGAGATGCCCGGATAGCTGCGGAATCAGTCTGCGTCCTCTCACCAGTAAATCGATGCTTACCCAAGGCTGTGAGTGTTTGTGCTCATTGCAAAGGTTGTTACCAACAAAATACGAGAAGCAAGCCCGTGCAGCCACAATACGAGGCCGTACCCCAGGGCTGTTCCTTGAATATTGCGTTCGGCAAGTAAATAACATTGTCTTCTTGAAAGAGACCTAAGATCTTATGCATATATATAAGCTGTTTGGCAAGGGTTTCGCTTGCTGTTGCGGAAGTTTAAAATGCAACCTTCCGGTGTAATAATATCTACTCGCTTGATACTAGTCAAGATATCTTTTGGTGTTTAACAATTAGCGTTGTAACGGCCGTGCTAGCTTCTAGTAATATGTCTGAGTAAGATTCGCGCGATGTAATACTTACGGTTGATCGTGCGTTTGCGTAACTGTGCGGTGTAGTTTTAACTATCATGTTAGTATGTGTGCACATGCTGTTCTTGTTACTTGAATCCAACTCTTAACATTTATTACGGGCGATCTCTTTTGTAATTTGTATGTAAACAGGGAGCAGAGGCCGGACGGGGCTGACTCGGGAATCGCTCGCTTACTTAGATAAGCGTGCACGTTCCATCGCGTTCCTGGTCTCCTTCCCGCGCCCAAGCATCACAACTCACCATTCCAAGCATGGCTTTACCAAGACTATCGGCAATGATAGCAAGTCTAGCTTGCTTTCTGCTACTTTCCAAACAACTCCTTGATCGAACGCGAACATACACAACTGTCTATTTGTCGATGTTATGACACGAGCTTATCATATCGTTCGATAACCTGAAAAGCTCTGGGTAGCTTGACCGCTTCATGCGGAACAGACATGCCACATTGTTGCCTCGTGAGGGTACGACCGACTGACTATCTCAGCCCGAAATCCAGTTGTCATGCGGGACACTACCCTGCCCTTTTTGTTGTCACTGTCAAGTCGCTATGAACGCTGCGACGTGACTAGGCCCTGGATACGATTTATCAACGCTGGCACTGCATCATGCATCGCTCACTGACTTCACTAACTTTAGCTTCCGTCGGTCGCATATCACGATCGATTTTAGTCGTTATTCGCCTCTATTAACAATATTTGCCTTCGTCTGAGATCCTGACTATAAGCTCAACTCGATGGGCTCGACAATCGATATCGGCAGCTTGACAGCCACGTACTCGACACTCGTTGTGCTACCTGATCCTAATAACCAGAGCCAGAAATCTCACAATGGTGTTGCTGTTCCACAGCGACAACAGCTACGTATGTGGGGATGACGACAAACACGCAGAGGCAAAAAGAGGCGGTCAAAGTAGAGGTACGTTTGCGCATTTCGTATGTAAGGCGGGATCTAATTCAGAGATTAGAACAGGAAGCGGATGCGATGACCGCCTTCTGGCACGGAAGCGATCCCATTCGACTTTACTCCGCGAAAACATATGTCGACCATCCTACAAGCCCCAGCCTACCAGATCCGAATTATATACCACACATACCATACATGCCATTAGGCACGCGTCAAACACGACTTGGAGACAACCTGCCAATACCGGTTGTACTGCCAAACTTGGGTGGTGTGTCGGGTTTGGTGGTCGCTCAAGCCGAAGACGAAAGTGACGAGGAGAGGGACAAAGGCAAGGCAGAAAATGACAAACCAAAGTCAATTCATCGAAAGACGCTGATGGGTATCCATACCTATAAGACGACGATAACAGATGACTGGAGGCAGGAACTAGCAAGCGCAAGCAATGATTTAACGAAGAAGGCTATCTGGAAGTACCCATTTGTCGCCCCCCAGAAGATCGATTTCCCTCTTGCTTAGCCATAGTGTCGCGGCTCGCGGATCAGATGCGCCAGCTCGACGCACAGGCTTGCCAAGCAGTAGCTGAAAGAACGGCCGATGCCTATTCCAATCAGCAACACCCACAGTGATCGCGAATGATATGATTAGACTTCAAACAAACATTGACCCAACACCTACCCAGACAAGGCTAATGACTGCCTATCAACGGCAGCTCTAAAGTTGTGGAGCCAATCATATCATGACAGGGCTTGTCTAAGGTTTGCTTTTGACTCCTTTCGTCAAGCCAGCCACTGCGATATCGCGATAGCATTACTTCAGTTCTGGTACATTATTGAGATGTACATGCAATCCCCACGACTCCATTGATTGACGCTCGATGCGGTAGTAACTGCTTTGTATACAACCACGTCCAGGTATTCGACAAGAGTATCTTCGACCTAAGCTGGTCATTGAGGCAGCCCCCAATTTGTGGCTGCAGTCAGGCCCCCAATACAGCCACAGTCTTGGCTGCATAGCCGTATCCGGCGAAGAAAGTGTTATCAGGAGTCGCGATCCTTCTTGTCACTTTTGGCGTTAGGAGAACCAGGGGGTGCTGGTACAGACTGTTGACAAGAGAGTGCCACAGAGTGCAGCGACCCCGGTGGCGTTCTTCCAGACGGTCAGGCGCCAATTGGACTTCGGTAGTTCGGAGACTATGATTCGTGAGTCTTGCCTGAAGTACTCGGGGGCGTTCAGATAGGCAGGTAGAATGCACAGCATTGTTAAAGAGCCGTGCCTTCGCGCGCATGAGGAGAAGCTTCTTATCTATCATTTGTCTACTTCGTCCTTTTTCCCATCTCATTCAGGGTTGTTTTCATTTGTTACACTCGTTACACTCACTCTGCCTGGAGGTGTGCCTATGATGGAGGATTATACTACCTGTTACTGGCGGAACGGTACAGTGGCGGACGGTTTTGAGCCTTGTCACAACGACCAATATTCCATGTGTATGGATCGTCGTTACGATTCCAATGATGTTTGCCAGTCCAACGGTCTTATCTGGAATCCATACCCAACACGTGATGAACCATGGGGCAGCTTCTGGCGTACGACTTGCACCGATCAGACTTGGACAAGCCCTATGTGTATCAGCGTGTGTTCAACGACTACAGAGAGCTCGAATACTCTATACCCTTGCGACGACGATAAGAGTATTGCGGAAATCCAATCTTTGGTACAGCAAGGCGATGCGGTAGAGGTGTCCGAGAAATGGTGCTGTCACGATGCTGGGTGCGATTGTTCACGAGGCGGGGGTGTACCGTTATTGGCCTTGGACGTATCGACAGCATCTTCCGCCACAACGTCACCGGCAGCGACATCTTCGACGATGACGTCTTCAGTAGCGACACCTTCGACAACCACATCGACAACTAGTTCCCCCGCAGCAACGTTAGTTCTGGCAACAAACAGTCATTCTGATCTCGGATTACCTCTTGGTGTGGGGCTTGGTGTGGGTTTGACAGCCATAGGTGTTATACTAGGAGGATTGTGGTGGTTCATGAGGCGCAAAAAGCGGGTTTCTAATGCAGTCACTTCGGAATCGGCCAGCAAGCCAGAGTTACATGGAGAATCGATCAAAGGCGCAACATGGGACGTAAAGCCTGAAGAGTCTCAACAACATACCCAGCTATTTGCCGGAAAAACGGACGCGCCGCACGTCGAGATCGATGGTCGAGAGATACCCGTCGAAGCATCAGAGCATAGACTAGTGTGATGGAAGATTATGATGGATGATGCGTTGTGTCTCGGGTGTGGAGAAACACCAAAAGGACCTTATTGTAGTATGAATATCTCCAAGGCTGCCGTCTTCGTGGCTGGTGAGATCTGCCTCACGCGTGCCAATCTTCACAATTTACTGGTCATCCGTATTCAAGCGTCAGCAGGCTTTCAATCTTCTTGGCATGCCCAGTCTCGAGCTGGTCGCGATCAACAACTGCCGACGAAGTAGTAGAGCCATTGTTCATCGTAAGATGTATCTATCATGGCAGTCGGGCGAGAACAGACAGTAACATGAACCCGAGACCTCGTTACGGTGCTAGCTTCATGAAGCGATTGACCATGCTGTCGTTTGCATTCTAACCTCAGTGTGATAGAGGCTTTCACTTCAAAAGTTCTTTGTTATGTTGTCATACGGAGGATCTTTTCTAGAGATAGCGACGGCCGCTTGCGTCGCGTCTTTGTCTACCTACCGAACAATGGGCAACTTCAGCACCAAAACGCTGACCATGCTGCCAGTTTGGCATAGGAGGTCAGATCAAGCTATCAACAGTCGCACCATCGACGCAAAGAAGCCATAGACCGCTGTAACTCTCCAAAATAATGCCTCGATCTGGACCGCCATTCAGAGAACCGATCACGTACTTTAGATGGGACGCAAAAGAGTGGATCAGGCTCCATAGGACAGGATGGAGTATAGGTAAGAATATTATCTTCATACAGCCTCATATGCTGATATGGATAGGCGAAATGAACACAACAATCGATACACTCTGGCTCTTACATGCAGCGATTCGAAACTATTACATCGCTAGCCGAACTGCCGACCAGCGTCGACAACCTGGACTGCCAGCGCCAAATCCGATACCAGCACGACCTTATACCCCAGCAGATCTAATTCATGTACAGAATCATGGCCAGCTACCCCAACCTGCAGGCACAGCCCCAGCCCCAATCCCAATTGCAGCTTCTGTTTCGGTTCCAGCTCCAGTTCCGGTTCCCGCTCCTGCTGCCGGCCCAGCCCCAGCACCGCCTTTGGGAGGAGCAGCTCATGAGCCAGTCGCACAAGGGGTAGATGCGGGAACACAAGCAGCTCAGGTGAATACGACAAATTTCCTGTATCAACCTAATCACCGTTCTGTGAATCAAGAATTGCCGCCGATGTTAAATATCGATGACGGTGAAGAAAAAGGTGAAAAGGAAAGAGCAGCAGCGAAGAGGCGCAGGATGCGTAGATTCGAAGACGCCGGGTTATGCGATCCTGGAAGAGAGGGGCGAGATTTGGAATGGAGGTGCGCGAACATACTTGGCCAAGGTACTACTGGAACTGTTACACTCTGGGTTGGCGTTGACGAGTCGAGAACCATCGCAGAGGTAATTTGCTAATCGAGAAGCTAGTACTGAGCTAACGTGATTGTCAGAGGTTAGCAGTGAGAGATGTTGCCGTTGAATCACAGAAATGGATTGGGCCGATCTTCTGGCGCGACAAGTTACCGATGGAGCTTGCCATCCTGACACGGCTCGAGAGACGCAAGGCACATGAGCACCACGTGCATAGGTACCACGGTCATCGCATCGACGTAAAGAAACGACGCTTTCGTGTTTTCAATGAGGTTTGCGACATGGGTGACATCTGCCAGTCACTAGACTGGTATTCGCGTCAGTGGAGACGAAGACGTAATATGTTTCGATGGCAAAACTCTCATCCTGAGATCAGGAATATCTTGAGAGCACGTGGGGACATACCGGCATCAGGAATAGTAGATGTTGATCAACAAGAACAAGACTTGAAAGCAGTGAATGATTGGGCTTGGTATGCTTTCGGAAAGAAGCAGTTCCTGGAGGCGGGGAAGCCCGTACGTGCTGCCGTCCCTGGAGAACTGCCACTGCCAACCAACGTCCTTTTCGAAGAGTATGAGAACATGTCAGAGCTTGAAGATTGGCACGGCGATCCTCTCCCAGTAGATTTACCAGAAGTCATTCCAGAATGGTTTCTCTGGATAGTGTTTGACCAGCTTGTGGATGCCTTCACTATGTTGGGTTCGGGGCGCATCAATGAAGAAGACGATGACGTCGACTGGAACGAGATCGTGCATCGCGACGGCCATCTTGGGAACGTATTCGTGAAACCAGCCAATGGCGCTGTAGGCAAAGAGATCAACAAAAAAGACGGGCATCAATACCGTCAGTTTGGCGCACACGAGGTAATGCTCTTGTCACATTTCATATGTCGTTAAGGCTAACAAGACGCTAGGCTCCTTCTATTGTCCTTGCAGACTTTGACCTCGCATTCTTCGACTTACAGTCAGGAAATGACGACTACGCCGACAATCCTACGCATTATATGATGCGAAACCACCCTCTCGATGCTAAGGATGCTGGGGGAAGATACGCTCCAGAGATGTTTTGGTGCTACGAAGGTCACTACCTAGACGAAAGGACTTCCGAAAAGATGACGGCCAGAACAGACGTCTGGCAAGTTGGACAGATGATGTGGAACCTGGTTATGAATTCACCCGGAAAAGATGGGTTTGTTCAGGAGCCGTTCACCTACACGGTGTCTGATGAAGGCGAAGGAATTGAAAAGCTTTTGAACGACGGCTCCGAATACGACATCCAAAAACACAAAGACGACTTGTTTTCCGGCAAGACGCCCTTCGAGGCTTCTAATATGTATAGCAAGACGCTCAAAGACACCATCATCCGGTGCATGGACTACCGGCAACACAAGAGAGCTAGCTTTGCGGATCTGAAACTCGTAACGAAGGAGTGGGCTGGGAAAGAACTTCCACCAGGCTCGAAAGCGAATGGCGATCTGATCATCTGCGTTTCAGAAGCTATGGAAGAGTTTGGGCTTGGACAGACATATGGGAGGAGCAAGAAGAGGAGGACATGAGGGGTACGTATGGCGGGAGGCCCCGCTTCGCCTCACCAACAATCCCCACCGACGGCTGCACCCTCGCGAGTCGTCGCGCATACGACCTAGCAGGATTCCTGAAGACCACACTATGCTTTCGAAGAAAACATCGTCGCATTGATGTCTGCAGACTATGGCATTCGCATCTTGCGTTCTGTTCACTGCAACCCCTACCTAGGTACCATGTCGCGATGTTTGCGAAGCATCCACACCCCTCGCCGAACACGGATCACAGTCCGCAATGCCAAGATGCAGAATTTTGCTTGACATGCAGGAAGTACGAGCCTTTGGCAAATCAGTGAGAAACAACGGCTGCATCTAGCTCAGACTTCTTCCAGGTTTTCTTTCGTGCCAAGTTTGGAGGTTGGACTATGATGGGCGGGAGGGTACTCACCCTTGTTTAATCTAATCTGATGCCATCTTATCTGATGATCACCTACCATATTGATGCTGATGCCATGTCCGACATCACGCCGAAACCACTGCGCTGTCTCACGCAATAGGTCAGAGGCGCCGATGACATGATGTCGCATTTCAATGGAGCCGGTGTTGTTCTCGCGATGCTTGTTGCACGGTACATAGGAGCGTTTCGCCCGTCTCTGTCAGCAAGTACGGCACTTCTCTCGCGGTAAACATGGCGTTATCGAACTTGCTTTCGTCTCAGGAATCGGCGAAGTCAAATGCGCTCTTCGAATGGAAATTCCTCGTATTCGCGGTAGTTCCACTTGTCATAGCCTACTACCTACGGACCACCAAGGCCAAGACTTCCGATCTCGCGCAATATTCTCACTTCCCACAACCTGAACCAGCAGATCCTATTCGGGGTCATTGGGCATGGGTTGAGAAGATTGCGGGGGAAGGTGATCCTCGACGCCAATTCGATGAGATGCTGTATGAACAGGCGGAAAAGCTTGGATTCCCTCCAGTCCTTTTTGTCGACTTCCGCCCGATCGAAAAGTTCCCAATACTATTTGTGCTGGACAACGATGTTGCTGAGCAAGTCACCAAGCCGAACAAAGCCTTCAGGACTAGTATGCCCAAGCACCCTGCTATCCAGCAATTAGCTCCTCTTGTTGGTGCAAGATCTCTGGTCACCACTGATGTAAGTCAGCCTTTTTGAGCCTCTCTAACAATTTCGGGTGTCCAGGAACTGATTATTGACTACAGGGAGATGAATGGAATGTACTCTACAAGCGCATACGCCCTGGCTTTCAACCCAGTCATCTTCTTGGTCTAGTTGATGTCATCCTGGACAAATCCGAGACCTTTATCGAGCTCATGGAACAGAAGGCCGCCTCCGGCGACACGTTCACACTCGGCCCATACACGACAAATTTAGTCTTTGACATCATCGGTATTGTAACATTCGACATGGATCTCAACGCGCAGATTGATGGAAAACAGTCCGAGGTCCTCCTAACCTACCGCGCCCTTTCTGAAGCGTTCAATAAACGCCCATTCGGAGGGGTAGGTTGGCGCGATTACTTCTCTGCCAACGAACGCGAGATCCGGTCAAAGGACAAGAAGCTTGATAGCATTCTCAAAGCCGAGATCAGGAGACAGCACAAAGTTTTAGTGTCCGGCACCACCGATACGAAGATCAAGAACAAGAGTGTAGCGACTCTCAGCCTTCACGGTGTGGACAAGTTGACATCTCAAATCATCCAGCAAACCAGCGATACACTGCGCGGCTTCCTCTTCGCCGGTCACGACACTACTTCCATCCTGCTCCAATGGGCGTTCTACGAGCTACATATACATCCATCCGCTGCAAAGACCCTCAAGGAAGAGCTTGACTCTGTGTTCGGTCCAAACACTCACCCCTCTGCTGTCGTCAAGGCCTTACGAAGTTCGGAAGCTGGTGCTCTGCTGTATAAGTTGGCTTACACAGACGCCGTAATCAAGGAAACGCTACGCTTGCATCCACCTGGCACAACTGCACGCATGGCTCCATCCTCATCGAACACCATGCTCACTCTTCCCGACGGAAACACACTCTGCGTCGACGGGCTGTGCGTCACACCGCGCGCGTACATCATCCAGCGTCATCCCAAGACCTTCGGCGACACCCGCGACGACTTCAATCCCGAGCGATGGCTCGGTGAGGAAGGCAAGAAGATTCCTGAAAGCAGTTTCAGGCCGTACGAACGCGGGCCTCGGCGATGCACCGGGTCTGAACTGGCCAACCTAGAGACGAAGATCATCATTGTATGTGTAGCAAGGCACTTCGACTTCGTCAAGCAAGGGCTTGGTGAGCTGGATTTGGACGACAAGGGTGAGGTGCAGGTTGATGAGAAGGGTAAGGCGAAAACAAAGGGAACCATGTTCTCGACACATCAGGTTACTGCAAAGCCAGTTGATGGTATGGAGATCAAGGTGAGAATCAAGAGATCGGATGAGGTGATGGATTAAATACAACGCTCATCTTGCCCTGAGTGATTGGCGTTGACATTGGTCTACTCTATAAGCTTATGCTGTGATCACGAACAGCAGAAAATGATAGATAGGACAAGACAGACATCTCAACGATACGCAGCAGCCCTGGCCAGAACATAGCGCGGGTACACATGTTCTCAGTCAATCTCAGTGCTGCACGGAGTATCGAATGTGCAGAGTGTGGATGGGGATGTAATCTTGGGTATAGGTTCATCAACCTCGCTAAGACGAGAGGGGACCCACATATGACCCGGAATGCGCCATCCTTGGCAGTCGTGTGACAGGCGCGCTGACATATTGCTTTTACAGTCGTCGTCTACCTCTGTGGGGAGTAGTTGGGTAGGCAGGCGAACAATCGGGGTGTGCATAAGAGCTCCGGGGTCAGATGGGTGGTTCGCGCTAACAACGCGGGAGGGTCGGGTCGTCGCCACACGGCCCAGCCCAAGTTATTAGGTGCTTCTCAACGACTCTGATGGGCGATCTTCTTCTCATTCTAGCCGCATCCTTCGATCACGCGCTGGACGTTAACAAAAGCACTTTCTTGCTTGAAGTTTCCCACGTATTGGCATTGCAGCAGCATGAGCAGATACTTGTTTCTTTTGATGTCCGACGGCCCCACGCCTCCGATGCAAACAGCATATTCTACAATGGGAATAGGATTCTGAGATGCTTGTACGTGACTTTGCTCAGTGCCCTCGAGTGCTATGTGTGAACAGGAGGTATAAAAGGTGCACAGACTCTCTAGTAAGTCAGTATCAGCCTTCTACTACTTTGCTTTAACCTTCTATCTTGGATTACCATTCCCGCATTCACCTGACAGCCGCCATGGACTCCTTTCCTCGTCCTTTTCACATCGCAATCAAAGGCCGCTTTATAGTTCGCCCTGAGCTATGCTCCGAAGGCGATTTCGACCAGAAATATGCGATGTTGGGAGAGCCTGGCGACAAAGGGAGTGCTGCGACTTTCACCCTACGCGACGGTATCCTGTGCCGTGGTGACGAATGGGCAATGGGAAGGCCCATCGCCGGTCCGCCGCCGATGATCCCCATGCCAGCTGTATGGGTCAGGGATCTCGGGTCGGTGCATCGAATGGCTGTTGCTCCCGGTCCACACGGCATAACATTTGTGAACGAGGGTATGTTAGACACTTTCTAACATGCTTTCCGAAATTTCCCATTCTAAGATCGCTACAGGCCCAAGCTTTGGCATGCTGGAAGAGGCCGGACCCAGGGTCTTCAGTTTGCCCTCGCACAGTGAGTCATGACGGTGTTTACGTTACTAGGTTTCAGTTGCTAAGTGTATGCAGTGCAAGGCGGTGAGGATGCATTGCAATTGCATCTTGTCGACTAGGCAATTTTAGCAGGAATGGTTGGGTTTTGGGGCGGGTTGCATCGGCTAAGAGTAAGAAGATGCTCAGGTGTGTCAGACTGCCTAAGTGTAGTCTCAGCGCACTACCCAACTTATCAACACTACGTAGCAACTATAAGCGCCTACCTAACACACAATCGCATCTCTCTCTGTTCTCATAAGGAAGTTTGACGAAATTGCTCCTTCAGTTCCGCCACTTCGATTTGTGGATGCCTCTAATCGAATCCAATTCTTTCTTCTGGTTTATTGTAAACAGTATCTTCCAGTGTTTCCCATGTGATGGCAAGACTTGGCACCGCTGTCTAGCGAGAGAGTATCGCCTTCATCTTCGTCCCTTACAGATTCTATTATCTCACGCCTTTATCCCCCGGACTGCTGCCTAAGATCCTCATCAGCGCTTATTACCCACCCTGGCCTTTCCATTAAGCAGTACCCAAGACCACACTTAAGTGCCTGTTATGGTCAGGGCACGTTTTGGGCACCTCAGCTACGGCAAGAGCGAAATAATCATACTTGCAGTGCCAGTGAAAGAATCGAAACAGAGTCGAACTGTGAAGATCGTGACGGACAAGGAGAGGGATGATGTGCGCATTTCAAGTTGGGGTTCGGGAAGATCTACAGGTTGGGCGATGCTGATTCGAGCCCGGGAATCTCCTCAAGGAACGAAATCACCAGATCGAGAACTTGTAAATCAGCCTAATGACCAGCAACTGGGTCGAGTCAACGTCTCATCCCATACTTAAAAGGATTACGATTAAGAACCTTATCAGAATAACAATTCCAAGTCCCATGCCAATACATCGGTGCTTTGGGTTATCTTCCGGAAAATCAGGAAGAAGCGACGACATGTCGTAGGCTTTGAGAAGATTCAATCGTTATCAGTCTATGTTGAATCTACCGAATTTGGATCATCATGGTAGCTCGGGTAATTCCAAAGTCGGTACAGGCCGAGGCCCCACTTCCAACCGGTGCCTGGTTGGTGTCCTCTTGACGATTTGATTGCGACAATGTTGTTGGACCTGTCGTTGGAATTTCGACGCCCAGAGTGACTATTTTCTACCGGTCGAACCATTGATTGATCACTCAGCTGTTCATGTCGTCGGTACGTCTCCCGAGTACCTGGAAGTTACATTGCGACCCACGTCGCCAGCTACCATGCCGCCCGAGGTGGATGTCAAAGTCACGACAACGGAACGCGTATTTCCCCAAAAGTCAAAGCAGCATGAACACGTAGTCCCACTGTCGCTGCTGGACGCAACCACCGCTAACTTTGCTCTTACAAACGCTATATGGCTCTTCGAGCCCCTCGATGAGCGGAATGTAGCAAACGTCGCCGTGCACCTCCGCCAAACACTCAGCATTGCGCTTACTTCGTATCCTCAATGGGCCGGCCAATTGAAGTCCATCACTGTCGTCGACGATGTCTCGATACCCGCTGAGGTGAGGGAGTTCCCAGCCCACGCCCGCCGCTTCGGCCGCGTTTACGCGCACTTCGGGGCCTCCGCAGACGTCGGTGTGGAGTTCGTCTCAGCAACGAGCTCTGCCACCACGGACTCACTCTATCAAATAGAGCGCGTCAAAACTCAGCCACTTTGGAATCGCAAAGACGATAATCTCGGTAAATTTGTGCCTGTTGTTGACATTGCGCATGCTCTACAACCCAACGAGCCCGATGCCACGACGGGCTTGCGCAAGCCGATCATGGCTATACAGTGCACCACGTTGTCAGACGGTGGTTTTGTCCTCGCTGCTAAAACGGCGCATCCTTTCGCGGACATCACGGGTCTCATCCGCTTCGTCACGGACTGGGCGAGCGTGAGTACTGCCGTCATCAAGGGCCTGACCGCCCCGACCTTGACTCCCGTCTTTGAGCCGGCGCGTTTGGACAACCTCGCTGCAGGAAACATAAACGCCGAGGAGCCGGACCTGGCCATTATCAGTCGAGCGGAACGTCTGCCCTTGCACAGGTACGATTGGTGGGCTGCACCAGGAAATCCTCCCACGCCATTTCTTGATGCGGCCAAACTGGTGTCACCAGCAGGCAAGCCTATGCCATGGGCTGAGTGGAACTCTAATGCGCCTGTTTCTGACTATACCATTCATCTCAACACAAAGCAGGTCGATTTTCTCTTCAACGAAGCTACAAATGGTACTGACAGTAATGGCCCGAGAATCAGCAAGCATGATGCCGTGTTGGCACACATCTGGTCCTGCATTGTGCGCGCACGTCAACTCGGAAAGGATGACGGCCCTGTACATTGCGATCTTGTACTTGGCCTTCGATCCGCTTTCAATCTGGGTGAAGACTTTCTGGGTTCACCAATCATCATGATGAATATTGAGCTGCCAGGCTCTGAAGTCGGCCGCGAACAAACAAGCAACGCTACCTCATCAATGGTTGCCATCACCCGAAAAATTCGGCATACAATTTCCACTGTCAGCGACCCAGCGAATCTTGCAGATCATCTTCATAGCGCTACGTATGAGAAGTCTCCTCAGCGTATATGGCAGGCATTTCTTGGCCGGCGTCATATCCTGGTGACAACCTGGGCGCGTGCCGGCATCTACGATGTCGACTTCGGTCTTGGCTCGCGCATACGATACGCGGACGGCATCGTGCCGAACTTAGACGGTTGTGTTCTCATCAAAGAAGCACCTCCACCTCCTGGACAGTCCTTTTCTGGATCTCGGCCGTCTTGGACCGGCAGCGGGGTGGATATCTCTGTTCATATCTGCACTGAGGACATGGAGCGATTGCTCAAGGATCCTTTGTTACTACCACGTCTTGATTAGATAGAGTCCATAAACCATGGAACAGATAAACTTACGCGAGGGGACGGTCCGGTGGTACACTTGGAAACGTATGAGATTCAAGAACTTCTTTACTGGACTAGACACTTGATGCGCCCTGATGGCGCTTAAGCGCTGCATTGAGCATTGAGATGGACCCATGTATGCGTTGCTCCAATCTCTGATGATGCGTTTGTACGGATGCTGTAAGATTGACTTCCTCGGCGCACATGGACATCTGCACCTAGAACTAGATGAGATGCCAGAGTTGAGGCGCCTCGCAGCGCGAAGAGACCTTCGCTTTACATATATGTATAGTGTTAGCGTTGAATATACAACGAAATGCAGTACTTGCCTTTTGCCGAGTTCTCGCCTGGGTGTTGTCGTATCAGCCTACGATATAACAAATGAGTGAGTGAGCGTGCGAGTATGTGTCGGGAGTGATCGCGAGATTCAGTTCGAGCGCAGCTGGAGGCGGGGGAGCTTAGCGCCTGGAACCCATGCATCCGCCTTTAACCAATTGCTACGATCTCTCACAGCATCGCATACTGGCGCTGTTTCCCTTGATGAGCAGACTGCGATCAGTGGTAGAGGAGTTGGAGACTGGCCTAGTCATGCGCCCAAGGATCACAGCTTATTTTGTGCTTGATTGAAGCTAGTAAGCCATGGGTAGCCTGGGTCCATTGTCATATATACGTTCCGATTTGGAAATTAGTTTGTTATGCCTCAGACCAGGCTATCATGGAGTCCCAACTTCAAAATCCGCAATTCGTGGTCGTCCAACCGCATATCCGTCCCCTCAGTCTGAAGCAAGATAGCACCCGACGTTCTTGTTGTGGAGTTCACCTAGCCGCTGTCATCACGTTGTCAACAGCGGCTCAAAGTAGAGCTTGAATATTCTTTACAACACGTGCATGAACTAAGTCGTGTGGTCGGTGATGCCAACGCCGATTGATCGAGGGATGCATACAGCCGAACTGCGTTCCCATGGGGCGGAATCCTAATCCCGCGGATGATCTACCAACCCGGTACATTGACCCCGCATCACGCTACGTAGTGAAGACGGAATGCCTACTGATGGGATATTTATAATGGTTGGTGAAGGTGATTGGGGATCTGGCTGCACATTTTGTACCAGAGACAGTTTCATATTACCGCAGAACCATGTCGACGCCTAAAGTTGGTCGCTGTGTAGGCGAGTTTGCAATGTCATCAAGACCTAGGCTGCCTTGCGTTTCAGCCAGCAATGCTACCATGGTCTACAACCAACGAGCTATTTTTGAATCCCGCGATCTGTACACACAATACGCAAGACGAGGCTCTCAAGTGAGGGGTATCGCAAACATTGGCAAACCGTCTAAAGTCTCTTCGAATACACCATCAGCATCTTTCAAGAATAAGGACAATGATAAAAACAAACGATCGCTAAGCGAAAGAATGAGCCTCGTGGGTAAGACCACCGTCATCACGGGGGGCGCTCGTGGGATAGGTCTATCTTTGGTTGAAGCTGTTGCGGAGACGGGTGGAGATGTAGCAGTTCTCGACGTGCTAGAGAAGCCGCAGACTGATTTGTCTACTCTTGGCATCAAAGCCAAGTACTATCGGTAAGATTCCACTCGCAAATGGAGTGGCGTTTCTCATCCCGATAGTACCGATGTGACCAAGATAGACGCTTTAGAAGAAACGTTTCGCCAGATCAAAAGTGACTTTGGGCGCATCGATAACTGGTAGGTCTTGTCTGGACAGAGTGTTGACTTGATGCTAAATCCGCAAGTGTCACTGCCGCAGGGATAGTGGCCGACAAGTCGTTCTTCGACCACTCTTGGGATGAATGCGAGAAACTTCTCAAAGTCAATGTAAGCTTTCTTGATTGTAACTCTACCGTGTACTAACATTGAAAGGTCCTTGGAACATTCTTCTGTGCACAGCTCGCTGCGAAAGCGATCAAAGACCAAGGCTCCGGTGGCAGCCTTGTGTTCATTGCTTCAATCGCATCCCACATAGCCCTTCCACTGCAACGGCTTCCCATGTATGGAGCAACCAAGGGCGCGGTGCGAGTGATGATGAAACAGCTGGCTGTTGAGCTGGCACCGCTCAAAGTCCGTGTCAATACTGTCTCACCAGGATTCATCCGTACAGATATGACAGATCTCTGCGCGACGCAACAGCCAGAACTGTATTCTGTGTTTAGTTCCGCCCCGCCGATGGGACGGATTGGCGAGACGAGTGACATAACAGGCGCTGTGAACTACCTTCTGAGCGATGCATCCTCGTACACGACTGGGGCAGATATTCCCATCACGGGCGGTTTAATCGCTGGACGGATTGCGAATTGAGACCGTACATAGCAACGTCTTGGGTTACCAGTCGTCTTGATGTCGCATAACTCGTCTGTATGTATCTCCTACAGTACTGATTAGCCTAGCTCTATCTGAATGTCGTTTGAGTGGCACGTCGAGAGGTGTCCTATAAGCGCTGTTAGTAGCCTGCATGCTGATCTAGTGCTCGATTCTGCATTCGATATCGAATGTGATAATTCCAGGACCACCGCCAAAGTTTCAGAGTAGAGTGGCGTCCGAGAATGTTTGACCAGTGGCACATTCTTGCTTGTGATTGCATTGTAAAACCATGAACAGCAGTGAGAGTCGGACATGGACAAGTTGGTCTTTGAAAAGGCCGGCAGATCTGATAGGGACGAGGAAAAACGACCAGGAACTCTGCGCAATACAGCAGAACGACAGAACATACGCCAAGATCTAGTCTATATAAGAAAGAACCGCCAGTCATCCTTTTTTTCGAGCTCTTACTTCAGCTCCCTCTTCCGAATATTCACCTCTAGTGGCGGTTTCTCCCACAGTCCAAAAATCTTTTGCTTCTCCCACCCGTCCATGCCCTCTCCCAACTCCAGATCAAAATTCCACACGAGCAACGCAATGATTAGCCTCATCTCCAAGAACGCTAAATTCCTCCCAATACAATCCCGTCTACCGTACGAAAATGGCTTATGCACATCGCGGCGGTCGTCATGGAATGGCGAGGAGGGATCATTGTATTCCTCTGGTAGCCAGCGTTCCGGATGGAAGGATAGTGGATCGTGGAAGTTGAGGGGGGAGTGGTATGCAGCAAGCTGATGAACGCCGACACGTGTCTGCAATCTGTTAACAAATACCGCTTCTTCGAGTGAGAAGTAGCCAGGATGGTTGTAAACTTTACCTCGGGAGGGATCAAGTGTCCAGCAACAGGGGTTGGCGGACCATCGTTTGTGATACGCAATAATGCCAAAGGAATCGATGGAAAAATGCGCATCGCTTCATTCAGACAAGCCAACATATACGGACAGCGCGCGTTGACCTCTTTGAAGTTGATGTCTTCAGCCGTATCAAAGGCACTGCGGACCTCCTCCGTCACCTTCTTGTACGTCGTCGGGTTTTTCAAGAGGTAGTACGTGACTCCCAGAAGCACTGTAGCCGTCGTTTCTGAGCCAGCGACCATGAGTAAATCCGCATTATGCACCAGCTCCTCATCCGTCAACTCGTGTTCCTCGCCGCGGGAGCGCAATATGAAGTCCATAAAGTCCCCTCGATCGGTCTGTTCTTTCCCCTTGATACGGCTCATGGCAAGCGACGCAGCATACTCCTGATGCTCCTTCCTCGACTGCTGCATCTTATTCCCAAGCACCAGATTAAACAGACTCATCAACAAGGGAAACGAGGTCGCCAGGACCAAAACAGGCATGATCCGTAACATGCGATCAATCTTCTCAATCCACGCATTTGACCGGCCCGTCTCCAGACCATCTAGCGACTTGCCGAAACAGAGATCGGCAATGAGATCGAACGTTGTGAGATTGTACCAACGCGCCATGTCGGCCGTCTTGCCACCAGCAGAAGCCGCGCATTCCGAGAGACGCTGCATGAGCAAGTCGATGTAAACCCTGATCAACCTCTCCTGCTGTGCCAACGCCTTTTCCGAAAACGCAGGCAACATGGCCCTGCGCATACGGAAGTGGTTGCTGGAGTCCGCCGCGATGATCTGATTCGAATTGACCGAGTTTGGTGGGAAATACTTGCGCAGCTCAGCGTGGCCGTGTCCGTAAATGTCTTTCCACGCACTGGGATGGATAAAAGACAGCTCGTTCACACCGTGGCGTACGACTTCGCCGTGCTTGCGGTGTTCCTCCGCCATCTGCAAGTCGAGGTCGCCGCGCATGTGGCGCAAGGTGCGGGTAAAGCCAAAGGCGATCCATAGCTTTGGGCCGGGATACTTGGCTAAGGGATGGAAATACAGGTTGTAGATTATGAGGGCGAGGCTTCTGACGATATGGAAAAGGAGAGCGGTGCCCAGGATGAGTGCGATTCCACGTGGTGAGAGGATGTTGAAAGGGCCGAGTTGTTCGAAGACGGCTTGTAGTGCGCCCGCCATGGTAACGGGGATGTAGTGAGTTGACTAGCCTGTTCAGAGTCGCTGTCAAGATGTATCGACCTTTTATTTAAAGCTGGACTCGAGTTGAAACGCATGTTGGGGTAACCCGGCCACTAGCTAGTCGTGCGTATGCACTCGTGTTCGCACTTCGTACTCGCACTCGCAAACCGTCTATGCACTGCCGATCTGTACCTCCACGTGCAAATCAGCTCGCAGCGACGGTCATCCAAGGCTCTAGTGTCAGCAATGTACATGGGTGAAAACAGATTTTCGCATAGTTGGGTAAATCCATCCGGGACAAAATCTCTATAATTCGTCCTGATGGCAATGGATACATCCAAGGAGTTCGTAGTATGATCAAGTCGTTCGAGCTATTCGTACAGCAGCCCGCGGTCATACAGGGGGCCGGAGCCAGCCAGTGGGTGCCGCCGCGGTTAAAAAGGGAGGCATCTCAACGTTCACTTTCGACGATATGTCGTTTGTGGGAACTCGCGCTCACTCCATGCACTCGTATCTGCCTGGCTGTGTCCTTGCCTACCTGACTAATCCTGCGACGTTTGAGCGAAACGGACATCTTTGGAAAGGAAGCCTGCCAAGCAGACCCATATCTGAATGTCATGACTATTATAATCTGTATTATTATCTTATGTATTTCATCAGCTCTCCTCTCGCATTAAACACACGACAAGAATACCTTCACGTAAAAGTGCTTCCAATCCAAACCGCCGACCGAGCCTTGGTGAGTCAGATCAACTGTTCAGCGCTCAATAGTCCCACTTCTAGACCCCTTACCCGATCCCATATACCATTGTTGTCCCCATCATCATTACTTTCCGTCATGTCTTTTATTGCTTCCCGCCCTTGCGTTGCTTGACCCTCGACCCAATGCTGTCCGCACCGCTCGCCTGCAGGCCCGACCCGTTCGCAGGTGTTCTGGGCGCATCTTGCACCTTCTCCAGCTCCTTCTCCAACCCCTCGAACTCGGCGTCCGCCTCGGCTCCCTCTTTGATCAACTTTTCCTTCTCCTCCACTTCCTCATCCGTCGGCGCATACTCACTGCGATCATCGTCCGCATCCTTGTACACCACGAATCTATACGCGATCCTGCAAATGAAGAACCACCAGAACAGGTTGACTGCCTGCAGCGAGGCAAGCAGGGCAAAGGTAATGTACTGGCTGATCCAGCACTTGTATTGTTGCGTTTCCCAGTTGAGTTCAAAGGGACCAACGGTTTTGAAGGTTGTGAGAATGGACCAGATGATCTTGAGGTTAATGTAGTGACGCGTGTAGCCCCAGACGCACATGAAGACGAAGAAGTAAGGACCGACAATAGGGGAGTCGATGTAATTCAGGCACTTTGACGTCTGTTTTGTTATTAGCACACGTCTTTCTCTCTCTGTCCGTATCGTCGCGAGAAAAAACTTACAGCCAAGAAGAAGTCGCTGACATCATGCGTGATATACACGGCAATGCCCATGTACGTAAAATGGAACCTGTACGACAACCAAATCAAAGACACGGTAATGACATGATGCGCAACCAGCTCCTTGAAATCTTTCCTCGGCTTCTCCAGCATCAAGAGCAACACAATAGCCTGCTGCGCCCAATAACTCGCCTGCAGCAGATAGTACGCCTTGACAACCGCCTCGTGTGTCCGATGCGGAAACCCTTCGTACATGCCAATAGGATTAAAGTACCACACGGGCGTGCGGCTCATGATCCAGATACCAAACGGACCATACAGCGCAAAGTACAGCGCGGTGTACGCCTGCTCCATGAAGCGAGACTGCTTGTCGCGGTTCCGTATACCGAGTTTAATCGCAATGGGCCGGATGAGGCGCTGCATGCAGAACTCGCGTGTAAAGCTCAGCACGATGATGTAGAAGCCGACAAAAGCAAAGTCGCGGCCGCCCTTGCCGTAATGCTGCGGGCCATTGGGGTCGGAGCGCACGTTTTCGGGGATGAGGGGGTCGTCGCGTGCGAGCGGGTAGGAGAGGAAGAGGCAGGCGGATAGCGGGTTCGATTCGTAGGGGTAGATGGCGTAGAGCGAGATGATGGTTAGGCCGAGGACGAGAGGGAGCAGCCATGTGTGGCGGATGCAGAGGCGTTTTGCTTTGGAGAGGAGACGGCGGGTTGAGCGTCGTTTGGAGCGGCGGGTAGATTTGTCTGATCTCTGCAAAAAAGAAAAGAAGAAAACGGCTGGTCAGCAACTTTGTTTCTCATGTCCCTCATCGCCCACGTTGTACGTATACATTGATTCCTAGGCATAGGAAGAAATTGGCAACGTACCGGATCCATGGTGGTTGGACTGTTCAGCGGCGGGGTGCTCGTCCGATGTGTCGCCAACGCTGGTACATCGACATCGCCGGGTACATCAGAGCCCAGCGCACTAGATTTCCTTCTCCGCCTGGGTGCGCCGTTGGCTCCTGTGTTGTGTGGCAGTGCGCCGTTGAGTGGAGGGAACGGTTCCGTCATTGTGAGTGTCGAGGGGAGGACAAGTAGCGCTGATCCGCAAAAGTCCACGGGTGGAGAAGGCGCAACAGTCCGCAAAGGGTCCAACTTCTGTGTATAAGCTGAATTACGGACGAAATAGGTGTGAGAGAGAGAGAGAGATAGAAAGGGAAACGAAACGGGACAAATCCTCAAACAGAAAGAGGTTCAGTCCAAAGTAAAAGTTGCGGTCTGTCTGCAAGTCATGTAGAAAAAAAGTGGATGTTGTCGCTTCTCCTTTCCAGCTCTCCCGAGGCTCGCCGCAGCTTCGCTGGTGTCGGAAATTGCTTGGGAAGACAGCGTTGCAGTGGAGCTCTTGGCATATTTCATACTGGCAGGGATTAGTGCGCGTGTCGATCTGCCACGAGACTCGAGTAGTAATCAGGCGGGCCAGGGGTAAGACTTATGTCATCTGGGCGTGCTCTTTAACAACTTGGGTTCGGGAATGCACAGAGGTCCGAGATCCGAGTAAACGACTGGTGAAGCGATGCTTTTTCGGGACCCTGAATGGGAGAGGATCAAGAGCTACGGCCCGGCACCCTTCCGCGCATGGGGACATGTGCGTCACAGGTTTACGCACATGGAACAAGCAAGTAAAGAGTGCATCTGGGGAAATCGGGTCACGAACCGAGACGAAAAGCAAACAATTTTTCGCTTGCCCTGTGAAGAATTATTGGTCTCACTACCTCCGCGTATCTACATGTATGCACCCACTCACAAACACAGTTAGACTCGATGCCTCCGCGAATATGTGTGTATGCTACGACCTGTTTGTTTTGTATTCGAAAAAAAAGTTCTCCAGCAGTTTAACCTACTCCGCACATGCACGTGTGTTTGAGTAGGCGATGACTTGACGTATACATCTGTTGTACACACATGCATGTTGCATACTTTCCATTAGTCCACCTTATGCGGCGGGTCTCAGTCTACTCCCAGTATGCGCATGGGTTTGAGCAGGCGCAAGTGCACCGTTTGCTTTGGCGCCCTCTAATCTCTTCCCCGCAATCTCCAGACTCTTCTTGAGCTCTGTAGTCGGCGTACCAACGCTACTCACAGTCGCCGTGCTGTCCATGCTCCCCTTCCTGGAAAGTACACCGTCTTGTCTCAACAGTCCCTTGATACCGCCGGCCTTGCGTGCAGGAAGCTCACCTTTGCCTGCCGTTGCAACGTACAGCAAGTACTTCAAATTAGGTAGTGTGTGCCTTATATCCACCGGACGCAAACCCAACGCATTGGACAAAATCTCGATATTCTTGTTCAGCAAAAACACGCCGTATTCGAAGCGATACCGAACGACGTTCTTCATGTAAAGCGGGTAAGTGCGTTGTGGGTTCTGACCACTTTGTGTGACGGCAAGTGGATCGTCAATCGTGGACGTTGAACCATGTGGGGAAATTGGGTATGGTAGGATGACAGAGAGGTAAGGCGACAGTAGATTGACCACCTGCGCCACATAGCCGAGTGCCGCGGAGGCCACGTCCTCTTTGACGTCGTCGAAGACGGAGTTGGGTAGGAGAAGGCCTCGTATTGTGAAGGCGAGGGCTCTGCCTGGGACGGGTTCAATGGGGAAGATTCGGAGGAGGTCTTCGCAGACTCGGCGGCGTTGGCCGGTGATGTCCTCGATGGTTTTCTCCATGAGAGATTTGCTTTCAGCACACTTTGTTCGTTGTTCGAGTAATGAGGTGTCGGCTTCTGCTTGGCGATCTCGACCAGTTTGCATCTTCTCTCTTCGGTACTCGATGTTAGCTTGTAGTTCGTCCCGTCTTCTCCTTGCAGCCACCACTCGTCGCTTTTCAGCAGTCACCGCAGCCTCGACCGTCCCTAGTCCGTCTTCAGTCTCGGCGACCGACTCGACAGTGCTTAGATCTTCCTTGTTTGCTGCGAGTATGCCCTCAATCTCATCGGCAATTCGGTCTCGCGTAGTCAGCGCATCTTGTATGCAATCATCCAGCGTTGACAATCGCATGAGGGCGTCGTAGGATGACGAGTTGAGCGCTTTGCCATCTGGATTCTCTTTGGGTGGTGCAAGAATTTCGGGGCGCATTCGCTCCTGTACCGGCAGATCGGTGAAGCTGGTATAGATGCCATCCGTCATATGGAACAGTATGCAGTTCTGTGGCAGCGGGTGCCTGAAAGCTCCTAGTGTCCTGCCAATGAACTGCAGCGACCGGAGCTGCACAGTATAGTCCATCAGATAGTGCCATTCCTGCATTGTCTCGCTCTTTGCCCAGACCCTCACGGTGAGCTTGTCCAGCCGAGTGACAGCAGGGCCACAGGGTTCGAGGTCGAAGAATTTGAAGTTTGGGTTCATAGCTTTCTCAGCGACTTCAGAAATGTATACTGGGTCTTCCTGATGCTCCACATGCAGACTGAAGAAAGTGTCGGCCATGCGCCCTGCAGTGATGTCCTCGAGCTTCTTCTGGCGAGTCAGCGGGCTTGCATTGGTCCACTCCATAGTCGAGCGCCTTCGCAGTCCCCGTCCGTATCCCGGCCTGGTGGGTGTGCGGACGCCGTCTTCGGGGGATGTGGTGAGATGGCTCGAGGAGCGCGAATGGGCCAGGCCTCTGCTCTCTCTCAATGCCAGCGCCTTGGTGGGCGACTTGAGGGTGCTTGGTATGGCTTCATCGTCAATGGTGCGGCCGCGCGACTTTGGGGTAGTCGTGGTAAGCGTGAGGTTGCGGATGGTGATGCCTTGGAGGTGGCGCAACTTGCGATTCTGGTACACACTGTCAGTGGGGAGGGGAAGGCAGACGGAAGAGAAGGACGTACATATGGCAGCAGCCACGGGCGCTCACGTGGTGGAGACTTGAGCTGCTCGGCTGCCTGGTCTCCAGCCATGTTATGTAGCTAGTCGGGTGGTTGATGTCAGCCTCATCGAAGCATCCTGATACGGCAATGGCCAGCTCATAGTAGTCGCTTACTCGGAGTGAGAGCGCGTCGGAGAGCTCGTCGTATCGCGCCCGGCGGAGGTGCTGCTGGCGCCCGCGGTCCGAGGCCCGTGCGCAATTATCGCTCTCTCGCATCTTTGCGTCCCGTCCGTCAACCAACATCGCCCGCTCGTCAATTGGCACTCCAGGCAACCCCGCAGCCATGCCTCGATCACTCGCCCGGCTCCGGTATAAGCCGCCACTAAAGCCCGTCACTTTCGCCAATACCGCCAGGCGCATCACTCCACAGCATGTCGAGCATATGCAAAAACGCATCGCCGCCTATGTCGAGCGCCAATCCAACCCCAGACATCTGCGGCTGCAGACTGTTGTGAATGAAAAGGCAAGGCGGCAGGCGACGGGCCAGCGTGTAGTGTCGCCCATCAAGCCGTATACGCTTCGGGATGTGGTTGATCCCGAGGGCACAGCTCAACATGGCGAGATCATCTACATTTTCCGCAACACCAAGACGAATCAGATCATCTACTCGCTGCAGGAGCTTCTCGATGTACGACACACGGAGATGCCTCGGGTTGCCGCATGCTAATGACCTTGTCAGACCCACCACCTCGAACAACTCCCTTTCATGGGCAAGCACACGAAACCCCCCGCCCTCCGCCCCGACGAATGGGTCCCCCACTGTGTCCTTACCTTTCCCACTCCTGCACAAGGCCAAAATGCTTTCCGCAAACTGCGCGAGTTCCGCCGCCTCCACGAGACAGCCTGGGATAAAACGAATCCAGAATACCTCCGCATGGACCGCAAGAAGCGCATGCTAAAAATCATGGACCAGCGCGCCAACACCAGCGCCGACCTAGCAGAGGTCCTGCGCATACAAGAAGCACATGGCGCCAAGACAAGGGAGGAGCAGGAAGAGTTGGACAAGAAAGCGACGGTCTTCATGGACAAGCGTTGGGAGCAGATTGACGCTCTGGCAAATGCGGGGTTGGCCAAGGAGAAGCCTACGGATAACGTAAAGTGGCTCCAAGGCCAAATTCGCTCCATGGACCTCAAGTTGAAGATGAGACACAACCAAAACGAAGCAGACCAGAAGAGCCTAAAAGCCGCTAAGGAGAGTCTGGAAACCCGGCTGCGGAAGCTGTCATATGCGTTGCGCAAAGCAGAGCAGTTCAAGAACTTACAAGAGGACTTGGCCAAGAAGGCGGCGCCGGCTAATGAGATTGGTGCGCAGGGCAAGTTGGATGAATTGAGAGACCAGGCGCACGTCCTAGCTCAAGCACTCGAGAACCCGGATCCAACACGTTCAAAGGCAGATTTAGACATGGACAAGGAGATTCTCGTCGGCCACCGCGAGAAGATATCCATGCTCGAACAGGCATTCGACGCAAAAGCCCAAGTCGAAGCAAGGGACCATTACATTGCAAGGTCTGTGCTTCCACAAGCACTGAAGAAGAAGACTGCCGAACCGTATACGCTCGAGGGCGTAAGTGTGAGGTGGGCGGATCTGCAAGACGCGCTCTATGCGGCTGGTCAGTGGCCCGACGCTATTGAGCATGAGCCCCTCGAGATACACAAAGCGCGCGGAGAGACGTTATTACTGAGCGCCGAGGAGTTTGAGGCGGAGAAGCGGAACGAGGTCAGGGGGATGATGGAGAAGATGGGCTTGTTGGACGGAGAGTACTTTGGTGTGAGTGGGCATGGAAATGAGAAGGCGTTTGCGTATGGAGGAGCTGCTGCTACTGCGCAATAAGGAGGTGGTGTATGAGGTATGTAACGAAATAAACTGTATATGTACTTGGCGGACGTATTGTCCCTTCTGTGGACCGATCCTTTGTGTCTTCGTGACACTCTATCTTGTTGTATAACTAAGGTTGTTACCTTGCATCTCCTTTACTCGCTTCGAAAAGGCGTATCGCCGTGCACGCTGGATGGGCGGAGCGGTAAAGGAAAGTTCAAGGAAAGGATGGTAGAAGTCTCACTAAGAAACCGAGTAAGAAGCTCAAGACGCTCGCTTTGGACATTCCCACGAGGCGTCACAGCTTCGCGTTGACATGCGATGATACTACAACGTTGATATTTTTGAACAACGATAAATACCTGTTATTGCCCCCCCTGCTTCGGACTTCTCCGCGAACTAGGCACTGATAGTTAGTAGATATCGACATCATCCAAGTTGAGATTTGACAAGATTCAATGGAAACAGGAACGAATTTCTCTTGGAAAGGACACGCTCATGGACAAGTCTCCATGCGGGTACAATACGCTGGCAACGACCGTGGACGTATCGAGTACTCCGTAGTCTTTAACCAGTGTTTTGTTTCCGTGCCACCAAGGGAGTACTGAAAAACTTTGTGCATGACAAATACAATTCGTGGAGGATCGGTTTGCAGATGTGGTTTTGAATGGGGAGCTTCTTTGTTTGGCTCTTTGACTGCCTCCCTAGCTCCCATCATGTGACTGGACAGCGCGAGATAGCTCAAAGAGTGCTCCGCGAGCAATCTTCGTATGCGATAGCTCCTAGTGGGTTCTCACTTGGTGATATGATAGAGATGACTTTCTTCAACAGTTGCTGGATGGTGTCTCATCCGGTGTTTCTAGGATGTACGTGTCGCTGCCGCTTTGCATGCGTACCTAGGTATGAGGTCGAAGCAAAGTGTTGTGCATCTTCGCCTTCCCGTGTTAGGTGCGTGGAACCCATGTAGCGTTGTATGAGAAGCAGTACATTTTCCACGGTCAATGTAGTTGCATGAGAAGTCAATAACCTCCCAATCAGGTAAGATGGACAAAGCGTTGCAGTGGGGTTCCGCTCGTAAACGAGAAACTGTGGGGGACTTGGCAGCCCCACCACGTCATTCCTCCATCCCCCCCAGCGCGCCTGCCCACAACTCCGCCCATTCCGCACTCTAACTAATCAAATCCACTCCACTGACTAAGCCTTTGAGACTCGAGCAAGCACCGACATGGCCACGCCGAAACCTTTCCCAGCGCTAAAGGGCGGTTGCGTCTGCGATACTATCCGTTATCGCCTGCTTACGTCTCCTCTGTACTGCTACGCATGCCACTGGTACGTTGTGCCTGTACCGAATGCATGACAAACACACACTAACTTTGTATGTTTCCACGTCCACAGCCCCAGCTGCCAGAAACAAACCGGCAGCGCTTTCTGTCTGAATCTCAACATTGAGCTCTACAATATCGAGCTTATTTCTTCCACTACACCACTGTTTGTCACGCGGACGTCCAAGTCGGGAAAAGTCAGTCGGCATGCAGAGTGTCCGACATGCCACGTTCAGCTCTGGGCGTCGAGTGCGCTGGGCGAAGCAGTCATTGATTTGAGAGTCGGGACGCTGGACTTTCCATCACTCATGGAACCCGATATGCATATCTTTGTGGAGAGCAAGTTGGACTGGGTCAAGTTGCCGGATGGGGCGAGGACAGCAGAGAGGGGGGATAATATGAAGAAGATGTGGCCAAAGAGTAGTCTCAAGAGATTGGAGATTTGTATGCGGAAGGCCGAGGAGGTGAAGAGGAAGAGGGCTGCTGCTGCTGCTGCTGCGTTGAAGGAGAGTGAGCGGAAAGTTGCCAGTGGTAGTAGTGCGGAAGAGACTGCGGCAGTCGAGGGTAGTGGAGAGGGGGACAAGACGCCTACTGCTGGGGAATTTGGGGGCGAAAACGATGAGGAGTTTGAAAAGAGGTTTAGGGAAACAGAGAAGGCGCTTCAGGAACGGTTGGAGAGGTTGAGCTTGAAGCTGTCGGATGAGGAGGTTGTAGAGAAGATGGGGAAGACGACGATTGATGAGCGTGGGGTTGGGCGAGATGGCCATTGAAACGCAGATTGAAGGAAGTGATCTCTTTTGCCCGCTTTAATATGCATCGCTTGGCTTTGTACATTGGACTATGATCATGTACTACATGTTACGAGTACCTCCTAGACGTACTCTAGCCATCCAGGTCGTGATCAATCTATCGCTACGATTTAGGATGCAGCGTACTGCAGGGTATCGGACGACAAATTCTTGAGATTCGAGATGAGCTCGTAGAGGTTTGGAGAGGCTTTGAGCCAAAGAACCTTTTGTTAAAAGACACGTGAAAAATCAGGTGAGCATGATTAAGTCAAAGTCTGTGCGAGCAAATCAAACCATAGCATTCGAACATACAGGTACTCCTATAAGCGCATAGCCAGGGTACTTTACGCCCTCATGTGTGGTGTTTACCCGGAAAGATGATCGGCGCTTGGCAATACACCCTTGGATCCTGTATTACCGCGAACGTCGGTCGAGTCTTATCTTGCATTCTCCATGTCTCGGGACGAGAAGTCATAGTAAGTTTCTCGTTTCTCATTGCCTTCATTGAGCTTTTGGGGCCATTCGTCATCCTATACACCCTCGTGGGTATAGACGAAAGCAGCATCAGATGCCATCATCAGCTTACGACATCAGGGGATTCTGCCTGGAATTGTGGAACTGTCACGTTGACCTACCGACATGAATCGCGAGACCAGGGCAGCTCGTATGGTGTGAAAGGTCTGTGAGCTCAGTGGCAACCAGAACGATGCAGAGGAGGTAAACATTTTCAAATGTAACTTGATAGCAGCGCGTGGCTGTCTGTTGAACAATATCGATCTATCGCACTGCATCGCCGAGGCCGCTGTTCGTGTAGGGTAGAGGGATTCCTGCATCTGACTTGCCGACCGACCATATGCTTACAGGTACCTTGGATTCAGATCCTGTACCTGAGCTCCGCTCGCCCAAATCGCCTTGCCTGGATAATCATGGCAGAGTGGATGTGAATACGAACAAGAGTGAGCTTACTGAGCCTTGTGAAGAGTCTATAAAAGCGTCTCCAGTACTCATTTGTTATCGTTCGCCATCCGACATCATCCAGCTCTAACACTGCTAGAAAGACTGACGGATTCGTATTACCATCATCCCTATATTCATTCCACCGTGCACTTGTTCACTTTCACCGCCACCCTAGCTTCTGCTGTGGCCACAGCCAGCGCAGCAGGATGCTACAGCGAGACCGGTCCTGGCTGGGGCGATCTGCGCCAGGCTGCCAACAACGCTGCCGACGCTGTCTGCAACGGTGATTCTGGCGGGGTAGCCGGCGACTTCGACGGCAACAGCAAGTACGCTTGCCTTAACCTAGGCGAGACCATGAAAGCCGAATGTACGCAAAGCCCTCCTCCCCTAGGTTTGATGTATGTCCAAGTGGCGTGGACTCGTGTCATTGACAGAAGTGATGTTAGTTTGGGTCACGGGAACAGGATCTCTCAGCGACCAGGACTGCAAGTTTGGTCTGAAGGAGGAGATCAATGGTTGTGGTCGGGGTGGTGAGAATACACATGGATCCTTCTACTACAGGTATGTGTGGTTGCTTCACCCCATCTGTAAAGGCTGCTGGTAGATGCACATTGCTGACTCGTGGACGAAAGGTCTGACCCTAATGATGGTCAATGCTAGGTCTTGGCTTCCGTTGATTGCTTCCGTTCGAGGGTACTGAGGTAAATAACGCAGGGGATGTGAGCAGCCAGGAACTGTAATGTTCGTGTCGCTGTTTGAGGATTGTCTAATCACTGTCACTCCAGATTAATAGAGAAGAATCGAAAGGCCTACTATACATCTGGAGGCCTAATTTCGGCTATTTGTGACTTGATTGTACGGGCATGGAAGCCTCAGCAGGGAGATCTCACGGCACCATGTACAGTGTTGATGACTTATCTTGTGCGGTGTCTTTGCTGTGCAGATTCTCGTCTCGTCGGCGTGCTCGCCTCCAATCTGCCTGAGGCACTCTGGCTAATGCGAGTCAGAGTTATGCATTTTCGATATGATAATGGTCTTATGTCGATAGGGGGTCCGAGAACCCAAGGTAGACCATCTTGAGGGTGCGAGGAGAGGTACACTCACTATTTGGATCGTGTCCGACATGGGAAGTCTGCCCGAAACAAATCCATGGTATTGAGTCCTGGGGAGATCTCCAAAGACTACTTTGCATAGCAGCACAAGACTTTGTATCGAAGGGGAATCGCAGGTCGTTCTCAGTTGTGTTCTTCGATTGATGCAGCTGCACCTTGTTGGGTGCGCACAGACTGTAGGCTAAGAGGTAGAACATTTAGATCGTCGCCACGAACGAGCGGCCCGATGACGAAAGAAGAGATCCAAAACGGATTCTGTCCCGAACAGTAGACATTTGTTACTACAGGGACGTAGCCCATCGCCCGAGGGAGTGACCAGATGTGCGACTAGTGCCATTTCCCCATGAGGAAACTATTTCTTCCATTACCCCCGAAGTTGAGGCTATTGCCGATTGGATATGTCCTAAGCGCAGCCTTGACCGGTGGTAATCCAGAGTTATGCATGTCACTTTCACCCCGACTCCGACTTCTTGCATGTCAAATTCCAATTGCCGTACAGCACAGACGACGATAGTAATTTTGCCGGTTGCAGACGCTCATCACACGCTCAACGCTGAGCATGTGACATATCTAGGGCGCCTTGTCCGGTCCGACTCAAGAAGTTCTGTAGATACTGCAATGGAAGCGTTTGGCATGTGGTGACACGATATTCCTAAACCTCCTGACAAGCACTTTGGATATTTGTCATGCATTGTTTCGTCTTGCCGACAAAGCGCTGTACGCAGACAGCGCTTTGTATGTATACAAAATTTGTCTTTGCGACATCAAGCCTGCCTCCTTAGGTAGGAATTGTAAGGACTACAGATGGCGATACAAGATCTTGCGTAAGAGGAAGGATAGAAGAGGTTGGCATCGATGAAAAATAGACAGAGAGTGAGCAATAGAGAGATTTAAAGAAGCATTGGTTCATCATGCCTACTTACTTGGAAAAGCTCATCCCCCCCTCTGATAGACTGTGAGGAGAATGCCCTTCAAGGAGCCCTGATACTTGGCCAAGCTTGTCAAATACAAGAGTGACATGCTCAACAGCCGAAACAGGTACGAGACATGTCATAGGTTCCCTTTTCCCCGTTTCTTGACTGATCCAATGATTGGATGTTCAGGAACACAATGAGATGCCTGGTGCACTATCTCGATCATCAATAAATACAGCCTTGTTCACTTCATTTTCCGCAAAGAAAGCTAGACTGACCAGAAAGTTGCGCTTCTAGCATGGCATACCGGCGCCATCATAGTCAGAGCAGTCTGCATCACAGGTGGCCAAGACTCTATCGGCGCAGGGTAATCGCTGCGCACAGTATTCGTGCTGAGTCAAAAACTGTCTCCCTTCATTGTGCTGAGCACAAGTAGCATAATTTTTGTAACAGCAATTAGCAGGGTCACAGTCCTAGACAACTGTTAGTACCTCCATCGGCAGAAAGGAAGAGTGAGATGGGTTCCACTCACTGCTGTAACCATCGCAGTAAGAAGGCTGGCGATGATGAGAAAGACCTTCATATTGAGTGGACTAATGAAAAGTAGTAAAGATGTTTGTAACTTGGTTGATAAGAGCGTTGAGAGGACAAGCAGAAAAGTTAATGGTAAGAGGATATTGGTGCAGAAGCTGTCTCAAATACAGCCATGAGAGATCAACAGCTTGGCTTTGAGATTCTTGGGTAGTCCTTTTCGCAATCGTACTACATGGTCAGAGAGCACAAGTCGCAACGGGATATGTCATGCGTTGGTTTCTTCATAGCCAAGGCTTCACATACAGTCGCATTCCGGTCCCATCAAGGTCACTTTGCGGTTGCACTGCGGATTGGCTTATAGAGATCATGCTCTATAAGACATTTTTCATAGGCCCGGAAGTCAGCTATAAAGATCTACATAAGTCATCGGGTTTCATTCACCGCTATGTTGCGGCTTCTCTCCGGATCATTTAATGGTTTCTACGCCGACCGCAACGGCCGGTGTGTACCGTCACGATTCTAGAGGTAGGTCCAAGAAGGCATTTTCTCCTCTCTTTCTATGATAGAGCCGAACACTTCCCTACTACTTCAAAATCGAAGACAACCTTGCGATTCAACGCATTCCACCGTTAACGATTCTTTCTCAAAAATGAGACTCCTCTGCATAATCCTCGCTAGCATTGCTGCTACTGTCATGGCAGACGTGAGACTTCTTATTTGCTATCATAGCGTAGTATCAGTCCTAACATAAATGAATACAGTGCGACCCGTCAGACTGCTGTTATAAGAGTGAGAGGACTTGTGAGAGCCACGGGCGCCGCGATGTCTATTGCGCAAACATGTTGATTCGTATGCAACATTCACTGATCACGATTCCCACTTTTCGCTATCCACAAACCCGTCGCGCCGTTTATCGAGACTGAAAACGCTGTTATTGTTCTTTCCATCAGCTCACCAATTCAGAAATCTTGTTTGCTCTAGTTCACGGTAGTCTGGCATCAAATTCAGCGACCAGGCTCTCACTACAGATGTTTCGCTTCCAGACACTATGATCTGTAATGAGATATGTCAGCTCGCTGTACTACCGCCCTTCCCACTCTTGGAACGCAGATCATAGGTCTTGCCAACAGCGATTTCGTGCTTTGTCTTGCGTCTTCTATCTTTCTCTTCTCTCTTCTTCTCTTCGTTGCGTTTAGCGTCATAGCGCTCTTCCTCGAGAGCCTTAAGATATTCCTCCTTTCTGAAAGCTTCCGGCCAGCCATGCTCTTTGAGCAAGCGCTGAACTTGCTACTCATTGTCTGATTAATATTCAGCATGCTTTGTCAGAGAAAATCGTACTTACTGGTCCATCCTTCTCCCGACATGATAGTATCTCGTGATACCATCTCCAGTCACTTTTTGTCTTTGGTACGGGAACGGTGACTAAGGTCTCGATTTCGGTGTAGAGCTCGTCGAAGTACTCCTGAATATCGCGAGGCTTTGCAGATACCCGCCATGGCTGATCTTCTGGCGCATCATTATTCACAATAAACGATCCCATAGGCCATATTATTCCTAAAAGAGCTGTCAATCTCCAGTGATGTACGTTGTGCGCCAGCTGTACCTTCGTCCGTATCGATCATCCATACGGTTGCGATGTTACCCATGCTCAACGGAATGAAACCAGCAGGCGAGTCCTGCTCCGAGTTCCACGGCATCATGAGACCATAAGGATTCCTATACTCGTCTTTAAACCAGCCATGATTGCGAAGGTAGGTGCATGCGTCCGTTTCGATATAGACCTCGTACTTGCCCACCGTATCCTTATTCTTACTCAAATAAGGCATATGCCGCAAAAGATCAATGACCTTCTCCGAGCGTTTCCTCTCTTTCAATGTATCGACAGCGAGCTGCTCATCACCCCAACCTCCAGGCGGTGGGTGGAGGATCACGTCGGGGTCCAGGTAGGCTATGCGCACGAGTAAATCATAGTGTCTTTTGATGCAGTCGACGACCACATCACGATCGTAAGGCATGGTGTAAACGATGTAAGTCGTAGAGCGGATGCCTAAGAAAAGGTGGAACGTGGCTCGATAGCCTTGGTGCGGTGAGGGGTACAGCGCTAAGCCTAGGTCAGATTTCTTGTATTGTGGCACAGCTGTCAGCTAGGTGCACATGTACAGGAGCATCAGGCTTAACCTGCAATCGGAGGATAGCTAGATAGAGTGAATTAAGGTTTATAGCTATTCTAGGTAGGTACGTGTCCATTGTAGTGTTGCAAGGTTACTTCTAGCTCTTGAAATACTATTGAGCTTCCCAGTATCACGTGACTATCTACTACACCACAGTATCAATGAATTACAGTCAGCGCTTTTTACATCACGACTTCTAACTAACGTTAGGCATGGCAGCCTGAGCCGAAGGGGATCGCCACGTTATTCGGTTTTTGAACACTGAATTCTGAGAAGGAAGTATGGAAGGCCCGAGAATGTCTGGTGATGATCTTGATGGATAGAAGAGAACAAGCAAGTTAGTTGATGGTGATCATCCGGCCGACTATGACATGTTCTGATACAGAGAACTAATGAAGTGGTCAATCGCGATCCGAGGCTCGAACCGGACAGACTAGAGAAGAAAGGAGTGTTGTTGAACTGGTTCATATTGGCGTGAGCTAGCATGACCGGAGAGCTGACAAATTCATACATAATGTATACGCATACAGTACACATCATAGCGCAGGGATCAAGGCTGTGTCTGAGCAATTTGGTCAGATCATCAGATAGTTGTAGTGTAGATATCAAGAGAGAAGAACCATCAACGAGTTTAGCCTGCTGTGATACGTACCTGAGACAATGCTCCCAGGTATCGCAAAAGCTGACTGCATTCCGTGCGATATGAAGATGAGTTCTTATAGCAGCGCATGAGAAAAGTTAGGGGCGAGTAAATGTCCCCTATAATACCTATAGCGCCAGGTGTAGGCGTTCGAAACTTGCGGATGATGCCGGCACGGATGAAATGAAACGGCCCCACCAAGATCAGCGAGGATGCGAGACCGAGACCGACACGCTTATGCGAGTGCGACATCGCCAAATGACCCGCACTACCCAAATATTTACTGCACATAATGATACTGTAATCGGGTACATGGGTATCTTATGATTTCTCTGGACCTGGACTTACCGCTGCATTATACAGTGCCAGATTATCCATGCAGCATTTGAGGCGCAGGCACTCCAACACGTAATTTACAGCAGGAAGAAAACCCTAAATTCTTCGCTTGTACCACAAATAGACAAGCTCACGAAATAAGACTAGTTCTGGCGACAGGTAGTCGTATGCGTGGATACGACATGGACGAATATCTGGGGACCTCTGCTTATATAAAGATGAAGTAGGTTCAGGCAATGACCACTCCACTGCTCCGATCCTCAACATCTCGAACACATATCTACAATGACTACATTCAGGACATTGATTTCTTACGCGTTTTTTGCCTCCGTAACAGCTTTCCAGTCGGTGGCTAGCTATAATATATCGGATCCTTCGACTGCGTGCCAGATCTTGAAAAACACTTACCCGAATATCACCTACCTCCCAGAGGACGCGGGCCATGCAGACGAGAATCAGGGTAAGTCAAAACGACATGATAGCAAATGATAGTACGTTGGCGAAAGCCCAGTATCTTGGGATTCCTCCGCCTGGCTCGGCCCAGCATGTATATTCGCACCAACATGTGCAAAATCGCTCTCCTTTGCTATCAAAACGTTGGTCGCTACCCACACGAAGTTCGCCATGCGGGGCGGCGGCCACATGCCCATTTCAGATGCTGCAAACATCAACAATACTGGCGTCTTGATTTCAAGCACCAATTTGAACACTTTGGAGCTGTCTCAAGACGGAGAGACGATGAGCGTCGGACCGGGACCACGATGGGGAGACGTTTTCAACTACTTGGAATTCACCAACAAGACTGTCATAGGTGGTCGCCTGGCACCTGTTGGAGTGCCCGGCCTGCTCCTTGGTGGTGGTATCAGTTGGTATAGTGCCAAGCATGGCTTGGCTTCGTCTGAGGGAAAGATCAAGGCATACGAGGCAGTCCTCGCAGATGGTACAATTGCTACCATCACTGCTAACAGCACTTACTCCGACCTTTACTGGGCTCTGGGTGGCGGTGCAAACTCCTTCGCGCTGACAACGCGTTTCGACCTGCAAACCTTTCCATCGATCACCCCTCTCATCGCAGACGCCCATTATGGCTCAAGCAACGTTACTCGAGACGCCTATTTCGCCGCCATCCTAAACATGGCTTTGACCAATGAACAAGATCTGGCCTCGACCATCATCCCCGTATGCCGCTGGGGCCCCGGCTCCACCGCACCCTCTTACGAAAGTACACTTTTCCATAATGGCACTTCCGTACCAACTTCTGGCCCCTTGGCCGAGTTCATCCACGGCAACACTACAGGTCTCACAGCTCTCAACGGCACAGCGACAATGCGCCCTATCTCGCTAGCACAATATGGCCGTGCCATGCGCTCAGCTTTCAGAGAAGGCGGTCAATCTCATGGCTTGCGCCAGAAATTCCGCGTCGTCTCCATGAAAGCGACGGCCGAGAACCTTGCGATTGCACACGACACTTTCTTCAACTCGCTAGCTGCTTCTGGTCTCGCGAACAGAGTGCCCGACTTCTTCGTGGGTCTCGACTTCAATATTGTGAACCGCGAGATGGTTAAGAGATCAGCGGGGCTGCCGCAGAACATCCCATTAGAACCGGCGTTTTGGGTCGAGGAGGCGATCAGTTGGGGAAGTGGTGGGGAATTTGATAACGAGGTTGCCGAGTGGGTCAAGAATGTCAATGTAGAAATTGAGAGGAAGCTGCAAGAGGTCAACGGGTTGAACAGGTACGTGTATTTGAATGATGCAGATAAGGGCCAGAAGGTGTTCGAGGGTTATGGTGGTGAGAGCGTAGGAAGATTGAAGACTGTGAGGGCAAAGTATGATCCCGAGAGGGTTTTTACGGATTTGATGCCAGGTGGTTGGAAAGTTGAGCATGTGGAGCTGTAGGGTGTAGGAGAGAATGTGCAATAGTCTGTAGCATATAGCACCCTGAGACGAGGAACAGGGCTGAAGCATTAGCCGAGCGTGTGGTCCAACCTAGTTGCTTACTTGAAGCACTCAGCCAAGATGATATCCACAGCCTGTTCGGCGATCGCGTAGACAGGGACTTGGTAATGCGCCGCAAGAGGCTTTGGAATGATACTCGCATCTGCAACCCTCAAGTTCTTAACCCCATGCACCCTTAGCGACCCATCAACAACCGTCCCCATGGCCGCTGTTCCTGCAGGATGATACGTGGTACCCGCGCCCAACTTGATCCTTGCATCGATGGTTGCATCTGCCTCTGCCTGCACTGATGCTGGAAGGCCTGGTGGAATGTATTCGCTTTCGACGAGCTCTTTACCCTCAGCAGTGTTGAACATCAAATCCGTTTGCATACGGAAGCCTTCACGCATGACGTGACGATCTGCTTCCGTTGCGTAGTAATTCGGATTGATGATAGGATTCGTAGCGGGATCAGACGATGCGAGCGTCACCGAACCACGTGACGTGGGAAGACAGCCCATAAAAAAGGTCATGATTGAAGAGCCGTCGATTGGAATCTGAAGGCCTTGCGCTTCTGCTCCGACGGCGATGTACAATAGCAACATCTCGAGGTGAGTGCGTGGGCCCTGGAGCAGTGGGTGCTCATCAGAAACTGGACCTTCGTCCTTTTCGATAGCTGACTTCAGTGGTTCTATAGATATTGGCGCGCGAACCAAGAAGTCTACTGGTCCTCCTTTGTCGTAGTTCGGGCCACCGAAGAGAGGCGAGCCGATGGCTAGACCTTGCTCCGGGTGTCGCAGCTTCCAGTATCGATATAACATCAGATGATCATGCAAGTTTTGACCTACGCTAGGTAGGTCAACTACAATCGGGATGTTATGCTGCAAGAGTTGAGAGTGGTCTCCGATACCAGAAAGCATCAAGACCTGTGGCGTTCGATAGGCGCCCGCAGTGATGACGACCTGACCACCGTTGTTGACATCGACTCTTTGACCATTTGCAAGCTCGACGCCGACGGCTATCTTCGCATCGTCGAAAAGCACGCGGCGAACGAGAGTGCTCGTGAGCACCTTCACGCCCTTTAATAGAAACACGGACTGCGTCATCTGCCTTTTGCCATCCTCAAAATTCTCCACCAGATCACTGATACCCTGCGGACGGCCATCATTCAGATCGTGAATATGAGGTATGCCGAGGTTGGACCAAAGCTTTAAGACCCTTTGGCGTAGCGGAAACTGACGGCCAGACGAACTGACAGACGCAGTTTGCATCAAGCCATCGTGACCATGCTGCGATGGATCTGCGTCAGAGTCGAAATGCTTCTCAGTACGCTTGAAGTATGGCAGAAGGCCCTTATAGCTCCACCGCGAATCACCCACATCTCGAGCCCACTCATCGTAGTCCTGCGCATCGCCCCGAATCCAGCCACCTAATACAATTAGCCAACAGCTTGCAGCTTGCAGCTACCATGTTTACCAGTATTGATAACACTTCCGCCTCCAAGCCCTTTGAAACCAACGTTACGCTTCGGATTTCCGTCAAGATGTTCTTGCGGTGTTGTGACGTAGTTGTAGTCGAATTCGGAGAAGTGGAGGTTCGCGGCCGCGGCTGGATCAGTCACATACGGATTGCCGGCGGGGTCAGCTCCTGCTTCAATCACTACAATCGAGAGGGATGGCTTTCTCTCCTGCAGCCGCGATGCAATGACTGTCCCGGCAACGCCTCCGCCTACGATGATGACGTCGGCCATTGTCGACGCAGCCATGTTATGATACGAGAAGGACGATGTAAGGGACGAAAGGATGACCGGCGTTGAAATATAGCTGTGTCCGCGATGTGTCTCGCAGCTTGGCGCCTGAAGTGAGCGGGGCGTACTGGCTTATGCAGTCAGCCTTGCAGTCAACCTCTGCCATCCAATTATGCGATTCACCGTAACGGCGCAGCATCCATATCGATACGCAAGACGCGTCTTGGCACTCAACAGTCAATCCTGCGGTATCTTCCAACAGCTTGCTTTCACGTGTATCCCTTTTCCTCCTTGACCGCCTCGGCTTATGTCGCAATGCTGTTTATCTCTACTGAGGATCGAGTGCGGCGGCTTGCTCATGTCGTATGATGCTTCGTGTCCGGGCGAACAGAGCGAATGCCTTGAGTGCGACGACACATATATACGAGATACAGCGTCTGTATGACGTGGCCGATGAACACCTTAAGAGCACCAGGTACGTGGAAATCTGCGGGCGTTGTGTAGGTTCCTGGTCGAACATGACTACTGCGCTGTACTAGAGGTCACACGGTCGTGGTTCAGAAGTAATCAAGCTTGAGGTGCAATGGCAAAGTCAGCAAGGAGTCACAGAGCAGAGGCACATACTCAGATAGTGGTTCGGAGAATACTGGCACATTGTAGCAATATGACGCGTGTGGAAACGTAGATGCCGTCTTAGTGCGTATCGCAAAGGCGATACCACTATTACTGAATGCTTCTAGGAAGTCTCTCATGAAAATCCTTACGCTTCCCATGCCGAGTTGATCGAAATGTCGCACGGCGACGAGACCGATCGTAGCATCGGAATGACGCAAAGGGAACCGGCAGACGTTGAGTCGATTCATCGATGTCGTCGTGAGCATCCAGAGTGTCATCATCTAAAGCCGATTATTATCTCTTGACCTGGGAGTTGTGTCTGAGCATGTGTGACGATGATGTTGGTGTTGGTGTTGGTGCTGAGGGCGACGCGATGCCTGCCCAGCCGATGACGCATCGGATTAATGCAGCGCCGCTTCCCTTGGCAGGCACACCGGGATTCACAACCACGTTTAGCACCTCTTCGCAGCCAACACTCCACTGCTACCTCTCCTCACTTTGCACCTCCTAAGTAGTAGCTTGCCATACGGTGACTGACCAGCGATGTCGTGGTCGTCTGTGTGGGACGATTGTCGTCCCGTGCGCTCTACGACACGCGCAGTGACACCGAATGAGGTCCCTTCGTCCAAACCGTCTAGTCACACCGGTTCGTACATCACCTCATTGAGGGAAACCATGGCGATGTGAATTCATATTCATGGTATACTGTTTGAGGTTCGGACGAAAAGTGCGCCGTGACAGGGATCACACTTTGCCTTGACCGACTCGCGGCCCTTCTATCACTGCTAACCAGTCACTCTGTGCCGAGTCGCAACAAGCTTCGCACATCAGTGATCTTCACTAGGTTCGTACTAACACCACCACATGCCATTGCATGATGCTCCGAGGCGAGCAAAACACCACGATCGGGTCAATATGGCATCCGACTGTAGAGTTATAAGTCGACATGATCGTCGATTGGTGAGAGCAATCATTCAGCAGCAACGACATCGCTACTTCAATTCTCACTCAATTATCAACCTCCTCACTTTGCGATTCGGCAATCGCTCCAGACCATTTCGACATTCATGTTCAATCCAACGACCGCCCGTCTGCTTCAGGGTAGCACCATCTACATCACTGGTGTGACAGGATACATCGGCGCCTAGATCGCGTAGTATGCTCTCGGACTTAGGTACAACGTACGCGGCGCGGTTCCTTCTCTCGAGAAAGCAGCTTGGCTACAGGAGCATTTTGACTCCAAATGCGGGCCAGGGTGATACACCCAAGTCCTCCCAGATTTGTCTGACTTGGAGGCGTTCAAAGAGGGTATTACGGGCGCTCAAGGTATTGCCCATGTCGCGGTCAATACCAACCGTTCTACCGAAGCCGAACCCTACATTCCCGACATGGTCAATGAAACCATCAACATCCTCAAGGCTGCTCAAGCAGAAGCATCAGCCAAAGCCGTTGTCTTCACTTCCACTGCTTTGGTATCCTCAGCCTAGGGCGAAAAAAGTCATTCCAAGGAGTGGCAATACAATGCAGACTTCATCAAGTACGCCTACGATCCCAACTTTCAGCACTCTTCGAAGTGTTTCACCGTGTACGGTGCTGCTAAAGCAATGCCAGAGAAAGCAGCATGGAAATCCATGCAAGACGAGAAGCCGCACTTCACCTTCAACACTATTCTTCCGACTACCAACTTTGGGCCCTCACTAGTTTACGAGAAGCAAGGACATGCTTCTACAGGAGGCTTTCTTAAAGCCAGCTTTGACGGTGATGAAGCCATTGTCAAGGGCGTGGTACCTATGTATCATATCGACGTTCGTGACGATGCGAGGGTGCATGTTCCTGCTCTCGCCGATCCGCAGACGGCTGGCAGACGGCTGGCAGACGGCTGTGGGGATATGGCGAGCCCTTTCATTGGAACATAGTACTCGGTATATTTCGCAAGCTGCGGCCCCAGAGAAGATTCCTGGACGATGTTCCAGGCTTAGAGTTGGATGATAGTGTGCTGCCGACGGATGGCGCACCTAGAGCACTCAAGAACGTGTTCGATCAAGATCGTCGGACTTCGCTTGGGTATTCTCTAAGAACGCCAGGCTAGATCGGGAGCCACCAGCTGGGTCGCAGAAGCTGGATATCTCAAATGAAGAGAAGGAACCAGGCCGATGAGAGTGGGGAGCGTTGGCGGAGTAAAGCGATGTAGATTAAAGCGAGTTTGATTGCATGCGCGAAAAAATATCGTTGATCTACATTCCATCTCTTGTCTCAATTCACCGCTGTCTATCTGACTAGCTACAACAGATTATGTTTGTTATTTCAACTACTTTGTAAGGGACCGAGGAGGTGCCTCTACTTCCTTGTGATAGTGAATAAACTGATTTCTGACATTGAATACCCCCATCTAAGAAATCGAGATCGCGACGTGTATGGGTGGTCCGTTCAAATGAGCCCGGTTGCGGGACATCCTGTTCCTTGCAGCTGTGTAGCGCATTCCCAATTACAGCGCGAAACGATAGTCTGGATGCTCATCACCCAGTTCCTTCATGCTTTGGTCAAGCACTTCTGGCATTTGCAACCTTGCTTCGTCGCGTCTCTTGTTCTCTTTCTTGCACCCAAACCAAGTAATCGTCGCAGCCACGACACCCATACACGCCAACCCAAGACCTGTGCTGAATCCGGTACGGAATCGAGGCGCCTCCTTGAATAAGAAGACGTTCGAGCTCACAAACGCTCCAGCAGTTCCAAAGTTGATAATGGCAGCGATAGCCACAGCACGTTTATACCCAGATCCGCAGTTCATTGACACCCAGATGATTGATATCGGCATCGCGAGATAGCAGCCGGAAGCAATGAAGAACATGCCCATGTATCGCACTTTTGGGTTCGTTGGATACACAATTTCTACAATCAAACCGGACGCGAGGACGGCCCAGCCTAGAACATAGAAAAGGTAGCGGCGGTTCAACCATTCAGACGTGTAGGCGAAGATGACCGAGAAGGCAGCGCCGACAAGATACACAGGGATTGTATGGACTGCAAAGATGGAAGCCAAGAGTCAGTGTATTTATCGTATAGATTCTTTGCAGTAAAATCTCACCTTGTGCTTGGGTGGCTGTGTAGCCTAGACCTTTGAGGATTGTGGGTTGGAAGTTGGCAAGCGAGTTTGCGTTCTCGGTGACGCCGAGATTCATTGCGACGCCCGCCCAAATCTTCCAATCTTTGAGAAAATGCAAGGCCTTCTTGAACGAAATTTCATCGTCAGATACGTGGCCACCGTCGGCTTGGATACGTGCGAGCATGAGCGCTTTATCTTCCGGGGACAGGAAGGTGCAGTTCTCTGGGAAAGGAGGAACGACAGGCCAGCATGCCATGCTAACGAAGATCGTGACGCAGCCCTGTACAGATGGGAGAATGAAGTCAGTGAACATGTTCTATGCAATTTGTACAGTTGCAACTTACTTCAATGATGAAGATCCACCTCCAAGCTCCGTACCCAGCTGTTCCATCCATTTTTGCAATGAGCGATGAAAGGAACCCGTTGATCGCACCTGCAACGATGCCAGCCGTGCAGAAAAAGACGTAGCGAGTCAGATATTCACGCTTCGAGTAGTATGCGCCGATCAAGTATGCCGCTCCGCTGATGTATGCAGATTCGGCGATGCCCTCTAGCAAGCGACAGACTACAAGCTCCTCCCATCGTTTGACCAGTCCGCACCCGATGACCGTAATGCCCCAGCAGAACATCATCACACAGAGACTCTTCGGTCCGTATTTCTTGAAGGCGATCTGCAACGGCACGCCAGCGACTAGATACCCCAGGTTGAAGACCCACACGGCGATGTTGAAACGTTGACCAATCAGATTTAGCTCTTTCTCCATGCCTTGAATCTTTGCGTTGCCGATGTTGGCTCTTATAAAGTGGGTGAGCATGGATTGTGAGACATTGGGGAGGCTGCATCAGACTTACCGGTCAATGAAGTTGACAAGATATAAGATCCAGAGCACTGGCAAGATCCGCATATCCAACTTTCTGATAAGTCGCCGTTCGGCAGCGCGATCGAAACCATGCTCCGTGGTTGAGGCCGTTGGAGACACCGGCACATCTTGGACGTACGCGCCTTTTTCGACGGAGTTGGAGTCTGCCATGCTGAAGCTGGAGAAGCGAAGAAGGAGGAAGGAGATTAGTGTTGCTGCGCGGCAGTACAACGTCAAGTATCAGCACCAGGCTGGCTGCTATGCACAGTGAGCAAGGACAAGGGACGATGCAGGATACACCGTGGGTCACACACTTACGCCCGGTAACATATACTTCCTCGCGGCATCCGATACCGTCTTTGAACGCTCTGACTGCCGGAGAAAATCCAAATCAGGAGAAATGATCTCAGCTGCACTCCTGCTGTGTCTCGAAGCTTTCTGGCATCGCCTGATGATACGGCATATCGTTGAGAAGGATCGTCGGACCTTTTATGATTCTTCAGCATAATCACCTCACGATTGAATGCCAATTGGCTGTCTAGCGAACCGACACATCGCACAAAAGAAGTTGCCGACATGGGGCGGGTTGCAGTGGGTGCGAGATTGGATAGAATTGGACCCTGCCGACATGATTCTGCGTCCGTTTGTCCTTGGCGGCGATATTATACGAACCATGGATCGTGGACCTATCGTTATATGAAGAACTTCGGCACGAGGCTTGTCTTGATGCTAGTGTTATGTAGGTGAATGAGCTAGCGCGTTCGGAATGAAAGCTCGATCCTACCTGGGCAGGGGCGCCATCTTCCCCGCCGCAGCGGCCCGCAAAATCAGACGTCCCACAACGCTCCAGACCTCGCTTCGGCGTTATTTAGGATGGCAACACGCCCGGCGCAGAGACATTCTCGCAATGGCAATACCGAGGGAGCGCCGCGCATGATGCATCAGTGTGTTGAAGTTTGAGAATGTAGGGGACCGGAAGTCCACCAGGTGCTGATAGGTAAGCATGGCGCAACTGATCGGCAGACTGGACGACCACAACAGCATCGTCGCATCGCCATGATCGATCTACGCAGATCGCTTTGCATTTAGCCACGACACGATATCTTTCCAGCACGGCAACAGGAATACTGGAGCTAAGAGTGGCCAAGCCGTTGCCAAACCGCCCTATCGCTCTGGCGAATTACCATACCCTCTCGAGTCGACGAGTGGGATATGCCGATGTTCACCCATATACATGCGCAAGCGCGACGCATACACCGTTCATCGCGAACCGCGGCTACGGCTTCTCGGGTGATCTCAGGCACAATCTCCATTGCAGCTATCGCTCCATGAGAGGATCACCTGACTTGTGGCTGGTATACACACTCGTCGGGCTGCTGATGTTCAGCTGCTTCGTAACCGGGCTCGGTAACACCCGCAAATGCCACCGAGAAGGATTCATAAGATTTACCATGAGACAAATGCAATACAAGGACAAGAGCGAGCGGATGACTGATTCGCACGGAATTGGCTTCTGAGGCTTGTCGCGTTCAGCCTCAATAAAAGACCGGGTGGAATTCAGTATAAGTATGCTCGTGAATCCGTAGCTTTGCGGTCGAATCTCCCTCGACCAGGTTCCTGGTTTCGCCGACGCAGGTGCCATGATCTTTTCTGCCTACGAAGGGCAACAGAAAGACTTGCAGTGGGTGACTGTGACGCTGACGGCCATCTCAACAGTACTGTTGATCTGGCGCATCACGAACACAATCACAAGTAGAGGTTGGCTAGGGTTGGAAGATGTTTTCGTAATCATGGCGAATGTAAGTATGACACCGCCGAGAGACTGCAAGTGCTTGTATCTTAACAATGTAGATTTGGCTCGTTCTACTGGCGGCGTTCATTTACCGGTCGACAACCTATGGATTCGGCACGCGCTTAGTCGATATCGCAAGGGATGGCGGAAATGCTACCGAAGCACTCAAGGTTAGGGAAATGATCGATTTCAACATCAGCTTGACATGCTAACGCCATCGTGCTAGTCGTTCTGGCTCACGCAGTCCTTCTACACGCTCACCAACGGCTTCAACAAAATGGCTTTCCTGGCTTTGTATTATCGTGTATTTGCTCTGAAGCGCTTTCGACAGGCATGCATTGTACTAGGGGTCATATCAGTTGGCTGGACTATCTCATATGTCGTAGTCTGCATCTTCCAATGCACGCCGGTACCTCGCGTCTATGACCGAACGATACCAGGAACATGCATCAACTTCTTCTGGCACCGGTATGTTACCCTTCAGTGCATGCGAAACTATCACTGACATTCCCTCAAGTTGGTCGAATGCTATCTCGAATCTCCTTACTGACCTCGCGATTTTCATACTTCCAATGCCCGTCATCTTCAGATTGAACATGTCCAAAGGCTCACGAATCGGTCTCATGGTCCTTTTTTCAATTGGCTTCTTCATCTGCCTAACAACCGCTCTCCGCATGTCCACGTTGCCACTCACCCTTCGTACCCGGGAGCCGACATGGCAATCTGCACCCACGAATCTTTGGAGTTTCATCGAGGCCGCGACGGGAGTGATAACCGCTTGCTTATTAAGCCTACGTAAGAGCATCGGCGGGTTGTGGCCAAAGAGATGGCGAAGCAACAAAGGAACGAGTGGAGCATACCAGCATTACAGCGGATCCAATGGCATCGGGCTGGGGATATCGCGACCCCGCACCGGGAACGCACATCAGGATGCGTTCGCCATGGGAGCAATGCGTAGCGGTGCAAGGGGCAAGGTTGAGACTCTCGGCGACATTAGTCCGAGTGAGAGTCAAGAGCGCATCATCGAAGAATCCAAGCCGGGGGTGCATATCACATCGCAACCGCGACGCAGCAACAGCACTAAAAGCGAACATCTTGTATTGCAGGGTATCACTGTGACTCACGATGTAGAGGTTAGGAGAAATTAGCACCCAGCCCAGACTTTCATGTCCGAAAGCTACCTGTATTGAAAGTCCGACGTGACACTTCCATGCGATTGCTTTTCTGAACTGCCGTACTCGTTAGCATAGTTGTGAGGTTTGAATCACTCTTCTGGTTTCTTCCAATACGCTCAAACTTGACCATAAACCTTTACACATTCCCCGCACTTGTTCTAGAAATCTCCGGGCGCTGTGGTAGTTTTCGATACGTATAGCGCTGCGCAGCCAGGATATCAGTTCAGGGTGTGAAATCGCTGAGCGCATCATTCTTCACACGTTTACAACCCAACGGCGGAGCTTTAGTACAGGTTCTGCCATGCAGCCGGACGTATTCGACAAGCGTCAGGCTTTGGTATCGGAGCCGCGTGTCTGTAAGGTAAGCGTTCGCCCCACCAAGCGTGGGGCGCCTTGCATCTGTCAGTGCATGCTAAAATAGCCGAAAGGCCGCAAGAACAGCTGCAGGGTATTAGACGAGCAGCAAGTCGCATCACAAGTCTTTCGGTTACCACTGCTTCCAAACCTCGTACACTAAGCTATTACTACATCTCGAAACGCGAACCCTCATTAATCCTACCATCATGGCTGAGCAAAGCTCTCTAAGCATCGCAATAGTGGGCGGAGGTATCGCGGGCCTGACGCTGACCGTTGCGCTGCTCACAAAATGCCCGCACATAAAGGTCACGCTGTATGAATCTGCTGCGGCTTTTGGCGAGATCGGCGCTGGTGTTGGGTTCTCGCCCGTCATGGTCCGCACCATGGGTATGATCGACCCACGAATCGAGGCCGCCTTCATCAAGTGCAACAAAGGAAACGTCAACCCAGATCCACCGGTTTGGTTCACAGCAAGGGTGGGAGACAAGAGGAAGAAGGGCGTTGAGCTAGGGGAAGAATCATTCACTATTCCAGCAAGAGAGGGACCGAATGGTGGAGTGCATCGTGCGCAATTTCTTGATGAGCTTGTCAAACTGGTTCCAGAAGGTGTTGCGCAGTTCAAGAAAAGGTTGCGTGATATCACAGAAGCAACTGATGGATCTGGAGATGCGATTCTCCATTTTGCCGACGGGTCTACTGCACAGCATAGTGCAATACTGGGTTGCGACGGTATCAAATCGCGCGTACGGCAAATTGTGCTAGGCGATGTGCCGGAAGCGCAAGCAGTCTTCTCAGGAAAATACGCTTATCGTGGAATCTTTCCCATGACGAAGGCAATTGAGATCTTGGGCGAAGAGATACCGAAAATGCCGCAAATGTGGCTTGGCTACCATGCCCACATACTCACGTTTCCCATAGCAAATGGAACGCTGTTTAATGGTACGTCAATTCGGAAGTTACTATTGAGCTGGCTGACGCGCTGACAGTTGTCGCATTTGGGTCGCGACCCACTTGGGAGGATAAGAACTGGGTGGTGCAGACGTCTCGCGACGAGATGATGGAAGACTTCAAACACTTCATACCTGCCGCTCAAAAGATCATAGAGAATATGCAAAAGCCAGATATCTGGGCGCTGTTCTACTATCTTCCTGCGGCAACCTACTACACCATCAAGCCTTTGATCTGCCTTGTAGGTGACGCTGCACATGCCTCAACGCCTCAACAGGGGTCTGGAGCTGGCATGTGTATCGAGGATGTCCACGTTCTTAGCGAGCTGTTGTCGGCATGTCGTCAGAAAGAACAACTTACAAATGTGTTCCATGCGTACGATGCAGTCCGAAGACCGCGCAGTCAGAGACTAGTGGCGACAAGCAAGGAAGCTGGTAAGCTGTGGGAGTTTGAGGGAGAAGGTGTAGGTGATGATTTAAATGCTTTGCGAAACAATGCGCTATCGAGGATGGATTGGATTTGGGATCATGAGATATCGAAGGACCTTATGACAGCGAAACTTATGATGAAAGAAGGCCTGCCGAACACTCCGTAGTCTTGGAATGTCGCAATTAGATATAATCTACTATGCAGAAATGTTCTGCAGCTCGGTCTTCATAGCAACCAGTATTGTTGGGTACCACAAGTAGTACAAGACGGTAACCGCGAACATTGGAACTGAATCGAAGATGTACATGGTCCATTCATGCCTCAGAAGATACCCGTCATTACCCATGGCGTACTCTACGACGCGAAAGACAGATCTGACCATGATGAGAGCGGAGACGATGAACAGCATGCGTAAACTCTCCCTCCAAGGAACATCGATGGTGTACGACTCAGGAGTAGGACGTTGGCGTATGCGGTTCCGAAAGATGACCCCTGTGACCGCGAATAGTGCAAACATGATCACTTGAATAAGTAGACCAGCGATCACGATGCCTTCTCCGAGCTTTGCATGCGTGCCGGTAATCATCAGGCCAGAAGCGCCTCCCTGAACCAGGATGGAGAGGACGTCACCCGTCACGAATATCTTCGTCAACTTCCGAGGCTCGATCACGGAAAGGTGGTCGGCTTGTATACTGCGAATGATGCGACTCAGACACATGTAGATTGATGCAGCGAAGAAAGCGGGGCCAAGGAGAATGAAGACGTTTTGTACAGCGAATGGCATGATTCTACCAGTCTTGCTGTGAGCAGACGCTCTTGCGCAGTAACCGGCGAACTCCACTACAATAAAAGTGTCAGCTCCATCACGAGAACCAGAGGGACGAAGCTTACGGAAGCCCCCAGCCACAAACGGGGTGCAAAACCAGGTCTTGGTACGGAACATTCGCCACCAGATCAAACCGGTGGTAACCATGAAAAGTAGGATGAATATAACAGCGGCGGCCATCGAGGGGAGGTAGTTCCAAAGGTAGTAGCCTCCCTTGGTGGGCTCTACTCCGTCGACCATTCTGGCTGATTGGGTGAAGGCGCCGGTGGGTATAATTCGTACGAGATTCTTCTGCGGGACAAGCTCGAAGCGACTGGAGATGGTGAGGCGATGGAAGTCGATGGTAGATGGTATCTTGATCGAAACATTGTGAGGACTCAAGATCTTTGTACCTCTCGAGTTCGCTGTAGTTTCAGAACGTGCTGCGGTGAACGCAGCGCCAGATGTGGGTGAGGAAGCAGAATGTGACCCGCTATACTTGGGAATACGTCGTACTCTACCCCGATTAGTCGTAGCCGAATTGTTGCGATAACAACATGAGCTTCGCACGCCAAAGGGAGGAGAGACGGATGGGAGTGGAAGTTATCGTGAAACGGCCGCCGCAAGGGCGATACGTCGTATATTCGAATACGACGTATAAACAGTGACGCACCAGTGCTTCATGCGGTGCTGCAGGGGTATGCGGCGAATGAAGGGGGATATGTAGAAATCTAGCGTGGTCCACTTCCAGATTTCAAGCTCCGATTTGGGAGACACTAATCTAGTGCATCCTTAGTCAGCGTATCCGTATTTACCGCTGCATTCTTCTTGATCCAACACCCCTTCGCTACTATCCGTATCTCTGGCTCTGCGTATCTTTGTTTACTGGTTTCTTGTTACGCCAATCACAGTCGCCTGAGTCGAGTTTGGCCATGCGTCCACGGAACCCCTCACGGAGACCACACAGGAAGTCGCGACTTGGCTGTCAAGAATGTAAGCGACGCCACATCAAGGTAAGCGACCTGGCTGTTAGACGCTGGTACCTGTATCTATCTCGACTTAATCTGAAGTGGAGAGCATACTGACTTCCGCAGTGTGATGAGGCACAACCGACATGCGAGAATTGTTCGCGGGATGATCGGACCTGCGCGTATCAAAAGCCACCCACTCGCCGTGCAGGGTCCGCTCAATCATCATGTACAATCTCCGATACTGCCCCAACAGAACCTTACATTGGAAGTCCCATGTCGCAAAGTGTGCCAATTGTAGGGGATCGTCACAATAGTGCGTCAGCAGCAGTAACGCCGTCTGTCAACCAGGATTACCTATCTCCACTACCGTCATCGTTTCAAGCACAAGATCTGTCGCTCAATCTGCGCCATATGCAGTTGTTCAATCATTTCATCTTCGAGACCTTGCCAAGTCTCGAAGAAGCAGGCGCTGTGGATCGAGAACAGGCACGAACTTTGATGCCGATCATATTATCTAAGCCATACGTTGTGTACCAGCTGCTAGCACTATCTGCTATGCATATGAGCTACCTGAATGCGGCTGAATCAGGTCTCTATCGCGAGGAAGCAAGGGCCTTCCAGACACTGGCGTTGAGCTCGTTCAATGATGCACATTTCGAGGTCACGGCAGAGAATTGTGCCCCTCTATTGGTATTCTCTAGCTTCATCGGCTTGCATGAGCTTGGTGAAGTGGCCGTGATTACGGACGCTAGCGCAGGCGATATACTAGACAGGTTCATCACGTACATGAACTTGCATCGTGGGGTGCGTGCTGTTACATCGCAGTCCTGGCAATTCCTGAAGCATACCAGCATATCTTCCTATTTCGAACGTGCCGAAGATTCCATCAACCTAGCATCATCTTCCTACAATGAAATTGCTGAGGTTGTAGCCGATCGCCTGTCCAACTTGCTGGGCCAAGCGGACATGAGTGAGCAATCCCAATCAACCTGCCGCGCGGCTGTATCTCAGCTGCAGCTCGTGTACCAAACTGAAACAGTCCCTGGTCAACCGTCTTCTTCTGGTTTGATCTGGATTTGGCCTATCAATTTGTCTAGCGACTTCACGAACCTCCTGTCCATGCGAAAGCCGGAAGCGCTAATCATCCTCGCCCATTACGCGGTCGTTCTGCACCGCCGGCGTCAAATGTGGCTTGTCGGCAATGTCGGTAGAATTTTGATCGAGGAGATTTCCAGATTTCTGGGTTCCTTCTGGAAGCATTGGCTCGAGTGGCCGAACGAGATGCTAGCGCAGACTCAGGGCAATACGTAGCCAATCAGCGCAATACGCCGTATGTCTTGATTCGTGATCATCTTTTCTGAGCAAGGACCTGCAAGCGCACTCAGAGGTAATGTCGTGGATTGTGCTGAGGCTGTGATAGCAAGGTCAATGAGTCTTCATCTCTTTCCGCTACTTGATCGGAGAATAAAGCTTAATGTTCAGCCACTCCCACCTCCAATACTCCCTTCGTCCTAACCTCTGTCACTCGTTCCCTTGCAACACGATGCACAACATCACCACCCCATCTTCGGCCTGCGATGCCAGCTTTATACCTTACCCAACGGTTTTCGGTGTCACTATCATCGACCTTACCGCTACGCCTGTCACAAACTATACAACCGAAATTTCCGACCAGTTCTACTACAACCATCCATCTATTTCCGTGCGCGGCGTCGACTACTGCAACATTACCATTACATATACGCACGAAGGCCAGAACGACACCATCAACGTCGAGACATGGCTTCCAATGAATGGATGGAATGGGCGACTTCAATCCGTGGGAGGGGGAGGTTACGTTGCTGGACGGTTTCCACTATCGTATATGGCAATGAGCGGCGCGCTTGGAGAGGGATATGTGGCGTCAACGACGGATGCTGGCCTGGGATTGAGCTATGTTCCCGATCCGTGGGCGTTGAACAGCCCAGGTAATGTTGACATGTATGCGCTCCAAAACTTGGCTGCTGTATCGCTCAACGACCAGTCGCTCATTGCAAAAGATGTCATCAACTCCTTCTACGGACAACCTGCTAAATATTCGTATTGGAGCGGATGCTCTCAAGGAGGCCGCCAAGGCTTCATGCTCGCACAGCGCTACCCTGACGCATACGACGGTATCGCTGCCGCAGCTCCAGCGTTCAACTGGAACCAGTTCATCCCCGGAGCGGCATGGGCACAGGTGATGATGTCAGTAACGGGGCAGTTTCCCACGAAATGCGAATTGGACTCCCTCACCGAAGCCGCTGTCGCCTCCTGCGACGCCCTCGATGGTGTGGCTGACGGACTGATCAGCGACGTGGACAAGTGTTCTTTCGATCCGTTCACGATGATCGGTAGCGTTTGCAAGTGCACTTCAACGGGCAAATCTGTCACCATCACCGAAGCAGCTGCAGTAATTGCAAATGCTACATGGGAAGGCCCTCGCGGTTCGAACGGCGAGTTCCTTTGGTACGGTGTTGACTATCAATCTCGGCTCACTGGCAGCCCTAATCCAACGGGTACTACCTCTGACTTAGGCTACGCGGCGACAACGTGCAACACGAACGGCACATGTACCGGAGCTCCTACTGGACTTGGGGAAGCATGGTTACAGCTCTTCGTCAAGAAGGACCCCCAGTGGAATTACACGCTGATCAGCTCAGTGGAGGAATACACACGCCTTTTCAAGTCTGCTATGCAGCAATACGACTCTATCATCGGAAGCGCGGATCCAGATCTTTCAAACTACCGCAAAGCGGGCGGCAAGATCATTACCTATCATGGCCTGGTAAATTTTCCATCGAGCAATCCTTGCCTCTCGTCGTCTTTGACGAGTGTTGTATTATTCCGAACCTATGCTGACCTTCCTGTTAGGCCGATGGACTTATACCACACAAAGGCACAACTGACTACTATAACCGTGTAACAAAGCTGGATCCCAACCTCGACGACTTCTTCCGCTACTTCCAGGTTCCTGGACTAGCGCATTGCTCTGGTGGATCGGGTGGACAGCCTACCTCCACTTTCCAGGCTCTTGTCGATTGGGTGGAAAAGGGTACTGCGCCGGATGCGATACCAATCAACTTCAATGATACGTCTGGAACACAGTACCACAGATTCTTGTGCCCCTATCCGATGAAGACACGCCTTGTGTCGGAAGACGGAGATGTCACGAAGGCGCAGTCGTACGAGTGTGCTCCTTGAAACACAGCCTCATGCCCATGCAGGAGTGTTGCGTAACCTATGCTGTTGTTCTGGGAAAGGTTGTATCTTTCCGGACGAACAGGACATGTTCGTGTTTCGTGCAAGTAACGTAGCTTTTGGCAACGCGGTGGGGTTACTTTTGCATGCTGAATGTGTGCTATATATCTTCCAATCTTACAAGAGATTCCCTCTATAAAGTCACGATGCTCGTGATCAATAAGGAACTCTACTGACGACATTCTACGGGCAGAATGATGGTCAGAAGATTCTCACGCAGTGCATAGACTTAAGACGTTGAGAATAATTCTCAACCCACCCCATGTTATCATGTTGATGTACGAAGCCTGATAACACACTTGTATGATTGTATTGGTCTCCCATTCGTGCTGGTACGATGCCCTGTCTATCGCACTCCTGCTCTTCTCTAGGAATCAACTCTGGATCGTCCAAGGGCGATCTTCACAATCTTCAACTCCAGCTCTAATCTTAGGTTTTGATTTGCTGCTACTAACCACTGATTCCACAACCTCTGAAGAGGACAATCGCCTACCAGCCTCGGGGTGCACTGTAGTTCCCGGACCCTTCTTTCATGGATGGTTAGTCTGAATCAGAGGGGATTGTGGAGCACTACATACCTGACTAGTATCCTTTCGAACAGTAGCAAGCAGCTAGCACTCCCAAACATAAGTGCATTTGGTGCCTGGAGGGCTGCACCATGTTCTTCCGTTGATACCTGTGCCAACATACTGTCCCGCTCTGCCATTACACACTTTCGGGTTGTTCGGATTGTTGAATGCTGTATCCACGTCGCAGACGTTGGCAGCGCTGCAGCTACCACTCAGATTCCATATTTTTGTTGTAGCAAGAACCATAGGCGCGAAGAAAACAACGAAAACGTTAAGTTTCATTTTTCGATATGAGTTTAAGGAAGATTGTGGAGTTGGAAAGTAGATGTGACATGAACCCAGGTCGTAAACTCCATAGTTTAAATAGAGCGTTTGAGGAGTTCCAAGAATCGTTAAGGTTACGCTAGAAATCTTACTTGTAACAAATACTCTGTGGACCGAAGTCCGACCTCGAATGATCAAGAGCGATAGTGAGCTTTACAGGGAGTTGGACTTTAAAGGCGGTGTGGTAGTGTGCATAATGGCTTCCGTGCAGTCTTGGTAATGCTAAGCTTTGGAGCTAGGTGCTCGAGCGTATTTTGGGATTTTCGGAATCGTCTCCGAGCTCGACCATCGCGTTGAGCAAGTAGCTTGATAAGCAGGTTAAGGACGACGAGATGAACAATAAGGATCGTGATTTGGTAGGTTTCAGTGCGCCGATAATTTGAAAGACGAAGTCTGGAGAGTTCTGTCCTTTACTGCATGAAGAACTAGGCCAGTGCACCTGTACAGTATCTAGGGAAAGCAGCTATCTTGGAAAGCGTTAAGCCATCATTATCATAGCTCACCGTATGGCAAGGGGGTCCTGGGAAACACTTCGACGGTCACCCTTGGAACTACAGCATGGTAAGCAGTGGAAATATCGTAGTTTGCACGACATCCCCGATCGCAACAGGGAGCGCGAGAAGCAGAAATCGCCCTGACATGGCAGCGGCACCAGCTAGGCCAGTGGAACCGATTCCGGGCTACTGTACCTCTCCGAGTTCGATCAGAATTTCTCTTTGCACAAATGCGATGCCCATGATCAACACGAGATCCTATTGGAGTCGCTTTGCGAGCAGCATGATGAACGCAGGACCCTCAGGCAGTCTGTAGACTTGAGACGTTGAGTGACATCCTTTTAGATTAAAATTAGCATTTTAGTCAGGCGTAGTACCCTCTACCCAGTTCTGGCTTACCAGCTAGTCCAATGAGCAGTGGGTGCAGCTGTATGACTAGAAACGAATGTTGTTCCAGGTGACAACCACGCCGCATCAACCTCGCGCGCATCGCCTACCTCTCCACCTTGCCTCGAGCTGCACAAAGCGAGTTGCATGACAACGCAGGGGCGCAGCGCTATTCTTGAGTATCGAAATACCTGGTATATCATGCGCCGTTTGCCGCTTCTCTCGTGGAAAGATAATGATTCGCAGCTCACCAAGCTGTTCTGTCTCAACACCATGAAATGACCCATGTCTTGCCAGGTTGACAATCCTCCAGAGGAGTTACTTGGATATTGCGATCGTGGCTGTGAAGAGGGAATGAAAGGTTGCTGATGGATATATCTTCGTGCAACTCGCACCATTACGCCTTCAAACCCTACTACATCACGACTTTTATTGTGCTGATATCCCCACAATCAACGCGCATTCTCGAAGACTCCCTCAAAGACACTATTTTCTTGAACAATGCCTTCTTCAGTGCCCACCAACAGAGCCACTATCCCTGGCACGTCCAGATCCCAGCCCCGGTGGAATCCCGAGGACGTGCTGAATTTATGTGTGGACGGCCTCTGCTTCGGGTATGCCCCGTCCAAGGGTCGCGAGTGCCACAGGCGGATCCGGCGTCATGACGTGTACTTCTTGGTTACTGAGATAGCAAAGGAACAGCCAGACCCGGAGCGACTTCGACCGGACCTTGTGAATCTCGCCAACCATGGGTTATGTTATCTCCATCGACATACACAAGGCGAGGCGCTGGTGAACAAATGGACGAACAATATCAGGGCAGCGTTCCCGGTCGAGCTTGATCGAACGCGGGGCCGGAGATCTGCAATGCAGAGTCAGCCGGCGACAGTGGCTTTCACGCCTGCCCAGCTTGAAGCAATACGCGCGCAGATCGAGCAGATCGTGCAACAGGTCAGGCAGGAATTAGGGCCTTCGAACAGTACCACTCCTCCTCGACACAATGTAGCGAGTCCAGCCGCTGCTGAATCCGTCAACGCATCGTCGGAGATCCCGCCAACACCTAGTACATCGTTGGGCCGGGCTGCGCGCAGCGCTGTCAACACCACACCCCGAGTCACAACAGGGAGCGCGAGAAGCTCGAATCGTCCTGACATCGCAGCGGCACCAGCCGAGCCAGCTGAAGCGATCCCACGCAGGTCGTCACTGTCCAGTGCGACGTCATCGCCAAATGTGTCGCAGGTCGTGCCACGCCCTTCGCTGCAGCGATGCCAACGCCCACATGCTCGCCGGTTGCCCTTGGACGAACCGTGTCCCATCTGCTACGAAGGAGACCTTCTTTCCGAATGCGATGCGTCCGACATTGTATGGTGTAGATCAAGTTGCGGTCGGAGTGTGCACAAGAAATGCTTCGATGATTGGCGTGCGGTATGCGTTACCGACTGCAATCCTCTCACGTGCACCGTTTGTCGCAGCAATTGGGACGAACATTCTGCATGTGATGCATGTGATGCTGCTCATGCGCGGAGGCAGGCGATCGAGGGGGATTGCGCGATTTGTCGTGAGGTTTTGGTAGAGGATGGGTCGACGGCGGCGAGCGACGGGGGTTTGGTGTGGTGCAAGGACAGCTGCGGACAGAGCGTACATCAACAGTGCTTTGAGGGCTGGAAGAGGCAATGCGTTGCTGATGGTAGAGCTGCGACGTGTGTGTCATGCCGTGCATCCTGGCGCGAGGGGTGTGAATGTTAAGTGCAAGTACCACACGAGGGTTTGGTGTTGCTTTAAGAGTCGCGTCGCGTTCCGATCGGAACCGACATCTCAATCTGTGGGCAGTCGCCTATCGGTAGAACCTTCGTAATCAGACATTGACACTGCGCAAACCATCCTTTCCATCCTCCCTCGACAACATGAGCTCTGCGTTGCGATCTGATGGAGGGCTGACATGTATGACGACGTATATCGCTTTGTGGACTAATAACGCTCTATGTCATGTCTGTCAGCGCGGGTTCTATGCGGTCACCTCAAGAGCGCGTTGCGAACCCTTGATTCGGGCGGAACGTACCAGCGCATACCTAGATACCGATCGCGCGAGGACAGCATGCCTGTCACAACAGCGGAGCGATAGCCTTGGTTGGCTGGACTTAGCAGGGCGCAGTCAACGTATCGTACAACAATACTTACGTCTTGAATCTTGAAAGAAACGAATACCCGGAATATAAGCTCCCACAGGCAATGCCGATCTTTGCGTCGGTATGGAACTCGGAGTTGCAATGGGATGGAAAGTCTGGAGATGCACCTCTTTATTCTGTTATAAAGCACACTCCCCTGACTTATACATCACGCCGCAATTCCGAGAATAAATTAAGTCGAGAGGTCCTCCGTGCCACAACTGAAATAAACTGCAAGCCGTACACCGTGCTCTATGATGTTAAGGTGTCCTTTCCTCGTGGAATACAAACTGTTCAGTTATTACGAGTGACATGAAACTGCTTCCATCAATCGGGTTCTTTACAGATACTCAAGTCTATCACGATGCAATTGGTGCAGGCCACTATCCGTGGGGACCGCGGAGTCCTTCGACAGACACTCGAGCTCTTGAAGATTGGAACCATCTAATGCGCATCATATTCCCATTATACAACCAATGGACTTTACGACAGACACTGGGATTACCACTACAAGATGAAGTCTATATGAGCAACTTAGTCTGGAGACTCAAAACCGACGATTCATGGTGCAACAAGAGCAGCAGCAGTTTGATCAACGGTACGGAGTGTTTTGACTGTTTGAGTTGGGACCTGAGTTCTTTTTCTGGATGGAACACTAGCTGTAAGTCTGATGTCTAGCTTATTCGTAATGGGAAAGTTGACTGCTTCACAGCTTCATTGCAGGGAACTGTCTTTGATACATGGCTCAACATGCCCTACACTGACCAAGATCCCCTTGATGCCAGGACATATATCAATGTTACAGAGGACCTCCTTAATAGCGTCTTAACTAACATCACCATCTCCACCATTTCCCTCGGGACCTGGTGGGACATGGTGCCTATCACTACTACCCATTACCAAAGTATATACTCCTTCGCCAACCCACTGAACCTCATCCTTCCATACAGCATCTACCTTGTAGCCGCTATCACTTTCGCCGCAATAGCAATCTGGTCACTATCACGCAATGGTACACCCGCAGCAGACGGCGGCTTCTTGCAGATCATGACGGCTACGAGGGGCAATACGGAGATGGAACGGCTGGTGTTACGCGAGAAGTTGACGGCAGTTGAGGACATGTCGGTGGAGCTCAAAGCCCTGAAGGTGCGGTACGGCGAATTCGTCGGCGAGGATGTAGTGGGTGTCGACGGTAAGACGGTGGGCTTTGGGACGATCGAGGAAACGATTAGTCTGAGAAAACGGAAGTGAGATCAGAAGTTCATGTGCCTCTATGGACGTTAATGACATGGCTCAGGTAGATCAACATGGCGAGAGATCGAGATCGTGAAGCTTTACGGCCGCTCTGCGCGGTTCTTACCTGACGATTCGTCATTGCCACCACTTCACATCATATAAACGATGGTTCTCCAGGCAGCCATGACTTCCGTTTCGGATTCAGCATACGTATCTACCGTAAGCGAGCCACTGTGCGGGTCACCCGTATCGTGCGCTGGTTGTAATGCCAGTACCACTGTCGCTATGTCACCATAGCGCATCAGCAATCTCCATCTGAACGAAACTTGGCGGCTTAACAATAACGAGCTTGATCGCGGATCCACACGGCGACTGAGATGAGATGTATTGAGGACTAAGAGAAATGAGGAGAGACAGAATGGTTCGATCGCGACTTCAATGTTGTTGCTGTGGTGGCTAGGGCTTCGATTGACACCGCGCGGCAACCATTGGTGGTTGCGCTGTGCCAAGGGCCGACCCGCCTTTCCCAGAGCATCACAGCCCCACCTCTTAGTTTCCCCATCAATGCGCAACACCACCAGTCCACAACATCACGACGATACTACACTCAAAGTGCGCCAAATCATAAACAAAGATAGCTCTAATTGATGCGCTGAAGTCTATTACACAATGCCCAAGCGTATACGGATCACCACCCCTCCACCTGAGCTAGCGAAGGCGTCAAGTACGTCACAGCTAGAGACACCCAAGCGAGCTGCCATATTCGCTGTGCAGCTGTATTGCCAACAACACGAGTTACCATGCAGTTATGAGCGTATCTCCACTGTATTTGGCATACCCAAAAGTACTGTAGGTGACGTACTTGCATCAGGGAGATGCCGGAGGCTCCAAAACTCGGATTCAATCGAAACTCGGGGAGCCAACCCACAAACCAAGCGAACGAGGAAGAGAGAGCTTGTAGAAGTCAGTCCCAACGAATCGCCTGAACCAAAGCTAGCGAAAAGACTCAGGCGCGACCGAGAGAACGCGATTGTACGACTAGAGTCCGTGGTTCTACAACATGCTGACCCTTTCTCGCTCAAGGAGGTGTTAACGCTACAGCTAAAGTATGTAACGTACCCCAAACCGTCGTACAGCTTCGACCTGGAAGATATCAAAACAGGAAAGCATATCCAAACGGCCGCCAGATATAAGGAGCGATATGATGGCAAGCCAGCCGAGAAATTCCCGAATTGGCCCTACGTAGTATCCCAAGTTACAGCAGAGCTCGTCAAGAAGTATAGCCTCGAATCTATCAAGCGTGACGAGGACATTTTCGACCTGGTGGTCTCGAACGACTTTACTGGATATGGGTTGCAGGAGGTCATAGAGAATCAGCTCACAGCCATCAACTCACTCATGGCTAAGCGAGACGTTCCAGCCGATGAGCTTGCTGTTGGACTCTGGGTACGCTTGTCAGCTTTCGCCCACTGGGCTCAATCGCAACAACTAGCGCCTTGGTTCATGATGGATGATGGTCAACGCTGGCAGGACACTGTCGCAATGATTGGTATCGCAATTTTAGCCACGCTAAACGCTCTCGACCGGGCAAAGCTACTCATGGAGCACTCCCCGGTCAGGGACCTGGGTCTGGTTCTCGCACTTCTTGGAGACTTCATTTGCGATTGTCTGGATCAAGCCACGACCGTCCCATATCTATCATCGAACCCACGAGAAATCTGCTGGCCGTACAAGATTGTCTCCTACGCCAAGGCGAGCGGTATCAAGATCGAAGGCGTTCGCGGCATCGAAGAGAGATTTGTACAAAGATTCGATGACGTGGATGAGGCGAACTATTGGAAGAGAAAAGAGTGTGTTGATCGCTGGGGTTGAAGTACAAAGGTAGGTAATATATCATCCCAAATGACGTTGCCTGACGACCCAAAGTGGAGAATCCTCTGGAAAGAGTACGGCGAACCACGTCACTTCTTCCATCGGGGTCCACCACTTGGAGGAAAGTACTTTGATATCACATGCTGGCCCCCTGCTGAGAGGAAGAAGTACCACCTCGAGAACAAAGACCCTCTTGAGCCCGGAAACTCCCTACTGCTGTGTTTGGAAAGCAGCCTTGGGCTTTAAACTTTGCTAGGTGTTGATATTGTCCAAAGACAGGTCTAGCCCACCGTACCCTACAGCGCTTAGGTCTATGTATCACTTGATCGCATTACTCAAGGTGGTAGTGGATACGCCGAAAGCTTTAGTACAGTTCCAAAGGTTAGTCGGTTTTCCCTAGTTGGATTTGAGCCTGCGGAGAAACTCCGCTACGACTCCGCCAATCTCCGTGGACCCACAATGAGCTCTCGGGATACGCCCGCACCGTATCACAACCTGATAATCTTTCGCTGTGGCCGTCAGCCGCATCATCTTGAAGAAGCTTTGCTTCGATCGATTCAATACACTCGCTTCTTTCTACAATCACTCATACCACCTTCACGAGCCCACCACAATGACAGTGGTACATATCGGTGAGTACAATCTGCATTGACGCGCTCAACATCATCCGAACATCGCTGAAGTATGATAGTTCTCTTCAAATTCAAGCCGACTGTTTCATTGGCACACAAGAACACCTTCGTTACACAACTCAAGGCGCTCAAAAAGCTTTCCTGCGTCCTGGACAATAGATTGATCGTGGGGGGTCCATCTATAACTCAACCTATCGACAAAAGCAAAGGCTATGAGTTTGCTTTGTTGAGCTTTCATCAAGACCGTAAAGCTTTAGAAGAGTATCAGGCAAGCTCAGAGCATAAGCGGTATGAAGCATCAATGGCATAGACACCTACATATACTGACGGTAGCATAGAGTTACTAGTGAATATTTGTGGCCGTATAAGGAGGACGTTACCCGATTTGACTTTGAGGTCACTAAAGATGATGAATACATGTGCCAGTTCGTCGCGAAAGGCTTGATGGAAGAAGATAGCAGCTCTTAGTCCAGATAGGGAAGTCTTGTACCGAGCTGAGCGCTCTATAAAGCAGAACTGCTGTCACAAATTACTACGCGCGCATACTTTAAGTGCTTACTAGACGCCAGAACCATGGCTACGTACGATACGTGGTCTAATAAAAGTTGTCGCATAAGGAAACAGAGGCAGAAGATGAATGCGGTGAAGAACGATGGAAATGACCCGTGCATGTAGCGGGAAGTTTGGCTCCTCACACAGCTGAGCAGTAACGGCTGGGTTCTCGAGAAGGGCCTATTGTCTGTGAGGTCGTTCAGCCGTCAAGAAATCACAGTGAGTACTGTGACGACTGTCATCAGTCTGCTGCTTTGCGTGTCCTTATCCAAATCTTCACGACAATGACATTACATCGACATGGCTGATACGCCGTTGTACATAGCGCTACATTAAGGCCTTGTGAGCGCGGGATAAGAGGAAAAGAGTCTGATGTAATATGCAGTCTTGTTGCTGCAGAGTGCCTGTTCTCGTCGGGCTTTCGAGAAGACGACAGCGTTGGAACTAGCTTCTGCATACCAGTTTTCGTCTTGGAATAACCCTATCTATCAAAGCTACGCCAAACGGTCTACACTCTACCAGTACTTGAGGTAATGCCTCCATCCACGACAATCTTTTGTCCAGTGACATAGCTCGCTTCGTCCGAGACCAAGAAGAGCGCCGCATTTGCAACATCCCAAGCACCGCCCATTTTGCCCATCGGCACTTGCTTGTTCCTTGTTTCTTTGAATTGCTCGTAGTCTTTCCCATATCTAGCTGCCATGCTCTTCGTGTACGGCGTATTCATAAGCCCTGGTACGACTGTGTTCAACCGTACACCCTTGTCGGCATACATGACTGCCGTGGCTTTCACAAACTGCAGTATCGCAGCCTTAGCCGTGTTGTATCCAATCTGCGGCTTGCCGATGTATCGCATACCAGCGATACTAGATATACAGACGACTGCGCCACCGGAGGTTTGCCCTTCCATGATGGGAAGGACGTGATGGCAGGCCAGATATACACTCCGGAGATTGAGATCCATCTGCGAGTCCCATACGGATTCTTCCATGCTCGCCGGGCATCCAGGCTGTGAGGCGCCCACGTTCGTCAGGAGGATGTCGATGCGACCATGTTTGGCAACGCAGGCGTCGACAAGATCCTTCACCGATCCCGACTCGGTCGCTTGAGTGACTTTGACATGGCACACACCACCCTCTTCCTCAATTGCTTGATGGGTTCTTTGTGTGGACTCGATGGTGCGGTTCCCACCGAAAATAATGGCTCCTTGACGGGCGAAAAGAACGGCGCAGGCTGCACCGATACCCCATCCCTCATCTCCCGATTGCCCAAGACCAATGACCAGAGCCACTTTTCCTTTCAGGTCGTGCATCGTGAGGTGTTTTGGTGGTGTTATCCTCGGAGCATGGCATGACGCCCTTCCCCCTTCTTGTATAAGCGCAGCGGGCTCGGTCCGCAAATTGTGAAGCGGACGATATCCGCTAGGAACTTCTCTGCGGACTTTGCCCGCAAGCATGCCTAACGTCCACAACACAAATAGGCGAATTGAGACAGGGTTTTTGAGCAAGATTATCTAACGAATATCCATCTGCATCATGTCTGCGAGCCAGAGCGCGACTGCGTGTGATTACGACATCGACAGTCCTATACCAGCATCGGCGAGCGGTCTTCGTCAGGGTCTGACATCCTATGGAGATGCTCACTTTTCTTTGTTCTTGCGCAAAGTCTTTATCAAAGCCCTTGGTTACAGTGAGGATGCGCTGTCTCGGCCAATCATCGGTATCGTCAACACATACAGCAGCTTCAATCCTGTAAGTGTGCGCCCATTCCGCTCGGGCTAAGGGAACTGATAAGTCAGTGTCATGCTAACATCCCTCAACTGATCGAAGCTGTCAAGCGAGGGGTGCAGCTTAATGGAGGTCTCGCTATCGACTTTCCCACCATTAGTCTCCATGAGAGTTTTGCTAGTCCAACAAGCATGTTCCTCCGAAACTTGATGAGCATGGACACTGAGGAGATGATCAGAGCACAGCCATGCGATGCTGTGGTACTTATTGGAGGTTTTGGCCCCGATGAAAGTTGTTTCTGTAGGATCAAGATGACTGACTAGTGCAAAGGCTGCGACAAGACGACTCCCGCGCAGTTGATGGGTGGTATCTCTGCGAACAAACCGATTGTTCACCTTGTCACCGGCCCTATGATGCCGGGGAGCTATAAAGGCGCCAGGATTGGCGCATGCACGGACTGCAGAAACAATTGGGCCAAGTTTCGTGCTGGCACAATTGACGTTGAAGACATCTCGGCCATCAATGACGAGCTCGCACCCACAGTGAGTAAGACCAAGATTCCATCAAATCGAACTCTAGATGACCTGTTGAAGGCAGGCACTTGCGGCGTGATGGGAACAGCGAGCACCATGGCCTGCATTCTCGTGGCTCTTGGCATGATGCCGTTCAAAGGTGCTACTGCTCCAGCTGTCTCATCGGCGCGTCTGCGAGTTGCTGAAGAAAGTGGGAAGCTCGCTGTGGATGCGGCAGCGGCAAGGCGAGTCCCACAGGCTCTTCTATCGCGCAAATCGTTCCTCAACGCTATGACCATCCTACAGGCTATAGGAGGCTCGACGAATGCTGTTGTTCACTTGATGGCAATCATCGGTCGTCATCCGACAGTCGCAGGTACTATCGATTTGAGCACCTTTGATGATATAGGACGCCGAACCCCGCTATTGGTTGACCTCAAGCCAAGCGGGAAGAACTACATGACCGATTTCCATAACTCGGGTGGTATGCTAGCATTATTGCACGCACTAAAGCCTTTATTATACCTGGACGTAATGACGATCTCCGGTAAAAGTCTCCGGGAGGAAATCGACTCTGCACCGTATACACGAGTACCTCGAAGCAGTCCTACGAATTGTTTACATTCTCTAGCCGATCCGCTTTACCCAGCATCGTCCCTAGTTGTTCTCCGTGGTAACTTAGCCCCTGGTGGTTCGGTAATGAAGGCCAGTGCTTCCAAGGACCGAACGCTGCTGCGACATAGCGGTCGAGCTGTAGTATTTGCGAACTCTGCAGACTTAGCAGCGAGAATTGATGATCCTGAGCTAGACGTCGATGCAGATAGCGTTCTCGTCCTCCAGAACATTGGACCTGTGGGCAATCCAGGGATGCCGGAAGCAGGCTTGATACCCATTCCACGCAAGCTCAGTGAGAAGGGAGTCGAAGACATGCTGCGCCTTTCCGACGGACGGATGAGTGGTACCGCTGGGGGTACAATCGTCTTGCATATATCTCCGGAGTCTTCGAAGTCCGACTCTGTGCTGGGCGTTGTTCAGAACGGCGATATCATCGAATGCAATGTGGAAAAGAGGTTGTTGCATCTTCGCGTTTCTGATGAAGAGATCGAACAGCGCATTGCATCGAGGAAATCGAAGCTGGAAGCGACTGTGACAGCGTCTGCCAGCCATACAAGAGGCTACCGTGGTTTGTACATGCGGACGGTGAATCAAGCGCAACAGGGAGCTGACTTCGATTTCTTGACAGCAGCGGGTCCTACGTAGGCGCTCGCTACAAGGCATCAATAGAAACTCTGACCCGAAGGAATGAAATCGTCGAATAAATTTCTCATCATATCATCAATATTGACCGTGTTCCCGAAGAGCTCTTGATGTTGCTGCAACTCAGAGAAGGACCCGAAATCGAGCTGCATGTCTGAGAAAAGATCGGTATGCTGAGCCAGACCTGACATGGTGCAATCATTCTCTGCACCGCCCATCAATCCATTTATCTGGGTTAGGGTTAGGGTTAGGGTTAGGGTTAGGGTTAGGGTTAGGGTTAGGGTTAGGGTTAGGGTTAGGGTTAGGGTTAGGGTTAGGGTT